TGGCCGGTCACTCAATTCGGGTGAGCGCAGTGGCATTCTCACCCGATGGCCAACGGATCGTGTCTGGATCTGATGACAACACTATCAAGATATGGAATGCGACGACAGGCCAGCTGAATGCATTCGAGTCGAAACCTCAAGCGACCGATGCGTCAGATAAGCCACCGTCCTGGGTGCGATGGACACAACCTGTTAACCGTCTATCACATCATCAGAGCAATAAGCTGTCTGACCTACTCGCCGTCTTCAAGTCGCGATCTCATGATTCAGAAATCAAAACCATCAAGACATCAAAACCAGTCACTCAGCTGAAGTATTCTTCCGATGACAGGCGTCTTATCACAAACTGTGGTATATGGGAGCTCGAAATAGCTGCTACAAACCAAGCTATCAAGATGGATGATTCGCCAGAAATTTTACACGTCGATGACCAGTGGATTCTCTGTGACAGCCAGCCTCTCCTTCGACTACCCGCCGGGGTTGATGTTACAACATTCGATGTGAAGGGGGACCAACTGGCCGTGGCACTGAGGAACGGTCGAGTCCTGGCCTTGAGGATCGATTGCAGGCGCTGGAATGCTAGGTATGGCCTCGGTTGAAGAGTCTCTAAGTGAATGCTCCATATGCCCTTTATACTCGGAGAGCAGTGGCGGGACCTTAACATCCCTTGCGAATAGATTTGCCGCCGTTGACAGACATATACCTGATCAATCCACCAAGAGGTTGCTTGTCGAGTACCGTATTAGGAACGTAATGTATAGGCGAGACAATTCTTACGTGTGACAAAACAGTACGGTGTGGCGGTCGATGTCGAAGGAGTCATGACAAGACTGTATTTCAGGTTGCGTTTTGCCTGGAAATGTTGACCTGAATAAACAAGCACGATTGATGGAATCGCAGTGCATGGTAATTCAACCTGGCGAATAGCGCTTCTCCCGCTACTGGCCCCACAGTTTCAGAACCAAACATTTGTGTGGTACCGGTGTATGTTTACCATTCCTTTTGTGTCTCAGGTACTACTGGTAGTATTGCTTGATATCACAGACTGCATGGTGATTGAATCATTCATGTCCGACCGCATCAGACTGCGGGATAGCTGTGCCCAGCTCCATCCCTACAACTGATTGCCAGGCCTTTTTTGTTGCCCGTCGGTACATACCTCTCGTATCAAAATGGGCTTGATATCGACCAGCTATGCCCTGCTGCTGGCCATATCATTCGTCGCCTTGGTTGACGCTGGTTGTCACTACCAATTTCCAGCATTTCCTCCTCCGGACTACGCTGAGCCTTGTCCCGAGCTGCTAGAAGCGTTCAACCGCATCGAGACCACTGTTTCAGCTCTGGTGGCTGACCCGAGTTTCAATACCTCGTCTTACTCGATCGAAGTCACTTATGCCAAATCTACTTTGTGGACTAGTTTCCACACCGCCGTGGACAAGGATCCAGCACGGCCTGGGGCAGAAGAGATTGATGGAAGAAGCGCCTACCGTATTGCGAGCATCACCAAGACATTTACTGTGCTAGGTATCCTCAAACAACACGCTGCAGGAAACCTGAGCCTCGATGACTCTGTGGACAAGTACATACCGCAATTGGCTGGTCATCAGAATGGAACCATCCCGTGGAAGGATATTACGTTGCGGTCCCTAGCAAGCCAGTTGAGCGGCCTCCCGCGGGACTGGGCTCAAGGTGATTTGGCTACAGAACTATCAGATCCATCAGCACTGGGACTCCCACCTGCCAGCCTTTCAGGTCTGCCACAATGCGATTCTTTCGGCGAATACAGGCCGTGTACGGAACAAGAGCTCTTGCAATCCATCCAGAGCAAACCTCCTCTCTTTGCTCCCAATCAAAAATCGACATATTCCAACATCGCCTTCGAACTTCTGGGTCTTGTTTTGGCGAATGTCACTCTCATGGATTATGAGGATTATATTCAGTCCGCCATCCTAGACCCTCTCGAGATGACTGGCAGTTCATTTTCCAAACCTTCGGATTCAATCGCAGTCCTCCCTAAAAACATTAGCTGGTATTGGGATGTTGATGAAGGGATCCAGAACCCTACAGGAGGGCTGTATGCCTCATCAGCCGATATGTCAAAGTTCCTCCGCTATGTGCTGTCCCATTACAATGGCATCACCCCTGCCCTTAATTGGCTGCAGCCTGCATCGTTCACAGCCGGTCTGAACTCATTCTACGGCACCCCTTGGGAAATGTTTCGCAGTAACAAAATCCTGAATGATCCTGACCGACTGGTCACCTTTGCGACCAAGGGAGGAGGTCTTCCTGGCTACTCTACAATCATCGTATTAGTACCGGAGTTCGAGCTTGGAATTACCATCCTGACCGCGGGCAATGAGACACTTCTGAACCACCTGCTTGAGGCGACAACGGTGCCTTTGATCCAAGCAGCTGACATGGTGACCCAACGTCACGTTCAAAATGCCTACACTGGCACGTTCGAGGCGTCCGTGATCAACTCATCTATTGCTCTTTCATACACTCGGAAAAATGGCCTCGGAATCACTGACTGGATCTCCAATGGGACGGATATGATGACCGCCATACCAAGGTATTTCAAGTTTGACTCCGGTAAAAGCCATGTCCAGCTTATGACAACGCTCCTCTTCCGCGATCAGGATAACCTAGCTGGCGAGTGCTGGAGAATGTTGGTACTTCCCAATCAGAGCCCTCCGGACAAGGCAAAAGTCTGGGACGACTTCTGTGTTAGTGATGTGGACACCATGATGTATGACGGGCTCCCCTGGAACGAGCTTGTCTTCTGGGACAAGGACCCGAATGGGAGATTCCACACCGTGGAACTAACCGCCTTCCGGGTTTCCATGTCTAGAGCCAATACTAAAGAGGTGATCAGCGAGAAGCTACTGATGCAAGACTTGTAAGAAGGATTGATCTATTGGAGTCGGCTCATCCACAAACACAGCTATCACGCTAGCATAAGCGGACCAGTTCATGAGACAGCCGCTCACAGCCAACGTCGACCCTCCACGTTGCTGTCTTTAGGCATCTCCTGTATCCAGCCAGCCTCCTGCAATCCTTCGCCTGTCGATGTTGCGTTCCTTTTCGGCAGCAGTAACACTCTGTCTGAAACCTGGTTGTTCGACGTCCTATCGATAATCGCACAATCTTCATCCAGCTTTTCGACGACCTTGGGTGCTTCTGTAGCCATCGATAATTCCTGCCATGACCTTTCTTATCAACCGGACCTTGTGTGGATTGGGATGTCTGACCAAGGGAGCAATCAACCCTTTCGACGGGTTGCTTGCGCCTCCGCTCGCGCCGCAGCTCGCGCCATGGCTCGGGGCATGGGCTGAGCAGGTTGGCCTTGAGGAGTGGTTGACGCGGCCGAAGGACTGTTGCCATTCACACCCGCTGCCATTTCGCGCATGAGGTCCTCGTAAGCACTGTACATCCGTGCGGAGAAGGCGGCGTCATATTCGAAGGGAGCCTGTTCCGGGCCCTCGAAGCGGTGCATTTTCGCCGTGCGGCCAGGGTCATCTCTAAGGTCCTCCTCCACGCATGTCATGATATGACCACAGAGTCTCCCATCACGCACCGCTTCATAGATGATGGAGATCCATGATCCAATCGTCTGATTTGCTCGATTGTCATCATCGGCACGAGGTCCTGACATTGGGTCATCCTTTATGCCACGGTGGAATGGCACGCCCAACTCGCCTCGAACAAATTGATACAATGCCTTAGTGCCGTGACCGAGCATCGGCAGCGTGGTCTTTGCAGGATCAGCAGAGAAGTCATGTCGATGCTTTTCGAAAATCTGGGGCATGGTCTCCAGTAGTGCTTCCTTCAAGTCTTTGAGCCTAAGCAATATTCTGTGCTGACCCTCGTCGGTGTCTGTCGTTGCGGTTGCGAGAAATGCGTCCAGGAAAGCCTGTGTTAAAGCGTTGCTTACCCGCTCGCAGCGTTCCTTCAGGTCACAGCCTGCATTGGTATACCATGCCAGTCGAATCTGCGGGATCATGGATTGGAGCAGCTTCTTCACCACGTCAGCGGTGACCGTGACTTGCCATTTCTTGATGACTGCATCCTTAAGGCATTTCGGGTAATCCGCCATGAATGCCGTGTGCATTGCGCGCAAGTCTACTGCCTGCAGCCCGACATAGATGGCAGCGGCAGTCATCATCGAGAGGATTTCAACGCTGTGCATGGTGGATCGAGCTGAAATCATGGCGAGCGAGTTGATCGATTGGTTGTGCATTTCAGCAGACTGACTATGCGAGGTGACTGGATTGGCCAGCCATGCCAGCTCGGATTGGTAGCCGGCCATATTGATGTCGACTCCCTTCATGCAGAACGAGAGGCTCGGATTGTCTGCCGCCAAGTTGGGGGGAAGACCTTTGTTGGTTGCCGGGTTGATCAATTCGGTAGCTTGTGAGAACAACATCTTGCCAATCAGCTGGGTCAGGAGTCGTGCCTTGTCCATGACCACGGCCACCGAGGTGGCTTGGAAGTTTGCACCACAATAGACCTGTTTGTCCTCAATACTTACCACTGGGTTGTCGGTGGTGGAGTTGAGCTCGACGTTCACGACGGCGGTACAACACCACAGGTCTTCGAGCGCTGGTCCGATCCATTGAGGTGCACTTCGAGTTGCATAGCGGTCCTGCACCAGGCCTTTCGTGGCTCCATGATCCGGCCGGGAGAGACCACTGACGAGGCTTGAATCTCGGAGGAAATACCTCATGTTCCGCGCAGCCTCCATCTGGCCGGGCAGGGGACGGATTTCTGCAATGAATGGATGAGCCCATTCGACATTGCCAGCAAGGGCCTCGGAAGACAAGCAAGTGATCATCTGTGAGATCACGGCAAGTTGATTGACTTCGAAAAGTGCCAATGCAGCTACTCCAGCCGATGGGGCAGTACCGTTTACTAAGGCCAGTCCTTCTTTCGGTCCGAGGTTGACGGGAGCGAAGGGGTTTGCCTTGCGCTCCTCATACTCACTTGCAGGCTTTTTGCTGCCCTCGCCCTCATCCTTGTCCTGCACATCTTTGTTTGTTTTGTTCTTCTTACCCTTCTTATCGTCATTGGCTTTTTTTGAGTCCTCAACCTCTTCGCCCTTCTTCAAATCTTCCAGGCTCAAACGCTGAAGCTCGGCAATGGCTTTTCCCGACGTAAGGATCTTGCCCGCCGCCCCTTTGCCGACGCGTACGTGTATGTCTGGATTCCCTTGCAATGCGCCGGCAATGTAAGAGAGGGGCATGAGATCACCAGAGGCGGAAATGGAACCTCTCATCGGGACAATCGGGACCATGTCCTGTCGGATCATTTCGGCGATGGTGTTGACGACCGACGTACGCACTGAGGAATGACCTCGAAGAGTGGTATTGACGCGGACCAACATTGCACCTCGGACCCAGCTAGTCGGCATCGAGTGCGACTTGTGTTCTCCGTCCGCATCTCCGTTGACAGTGACGTCGTTCTTGCCAAGGATCGCGGACTGTTGATGCTGCATCAACGCTATCTGAAGAGTGTCGAATTGGTCGGTGCGAGTGTCCGCGCTGCCCCCAAAACCTGTGTTGACTCCTACAAGGAATGATCGTCAGCAAAGTTATTTTAACTCGGGCAGTATATGCAGGCTTCTTTCTGAATATCTTCCAATTTATGTTGGAGGTGTGCAAGGTGGGCGGGTCAGAAGTCAACAAGCCATGGCATACCGTAGATGTGATTGCCCATTTCCAAATGCTCTCTCAAGATCGACTGGCTCTCCAACATACGTTCGAGAATCTTATGATTTTTGGCGATGCATGGTTTACATCCGTATCTAGGGTCAACATGGTCAGTATGATTGATCAAAATGTCGAAGTGAATTAGAGCCGGAAAGAAAGGAAGAGATAGGGAAAGAAGATGACACGATACCAGGATCTCCAAACTATAATCGGTTGCAACATGATGATCCAAAGGATAACACGTCGAAAGGGATACAAAGGGAAGGATGTGACAAATATGATGGAGACAAATTTAAGGATGTGCTGTGCTATGGTAGGCCGAGTTGAGTTGAGGTCAGTTGAGCTGTACTCACTTGGCCACAGCAACGACGGTCGGAATATCCAATTGCTCGCCGTCGATGTCTACGCAGCCTGCCTTTCGCAGATCACGAAACTTCACGGCCTGTTCCAATGTCATCATGAGATGGAATCTCACCGCCTGCTGGCCGCGCGACCACGAGGCCAGGTGCGGGATGGGGTCGACCGGAGTCGACGGCAGGGTTGGGCCCGGGCCCCACCCAGGACGGACGGTGGAGTCAGAGGGACCGGAGGAGGAGGGGGGAGGAGCAGCCATGTCTGCTATTGCTGTAGCTGTTGAGTTTGTTAGCTTTTCCGAGCTCAACGGTGACGGGAAGAGGCAGAAGTACCAGTCAGGAGGAAGAGGAAAAGGAAGAGCTTGACGTCACTTCAGAGACCAGGGTGAAATCCGAGCGCGAGTAAGGGCCCGGTGGCGGTATCCGCTGTAAGAGATGAGATATAGGAGGAGGTAACAGAGGTGAGTTGTTTGAGACTTACCAAAGGAAAAGGAAAGAAGAAAGTCAGAAGAGGAGCAGGCAAGCAATCCGTCGGGATTTCACAATCACTCTTTCTGTCACTCGCTCTCTCACTGAACAGTCTCCTTGAAGGTGAAACTGATAAGGTGAACGCTGTGAGAGCAGTGATATAGAATGATTTGTGAAGGGTGAAGGCTGAGGTTTGTGGTTAAGAACGAAGGATGGAGGAAGGAGGAATGAAACGGAGGAAGAAAGGGAGAAGAAAACAGTAACAACAACCACGGATCTGGTCTTTCGTGGGCTTTCAACTCGTTTTTTGTCCTTGGCAGCGCCGAAAATCTCTGCAAGCTGCGCGTTTCATTAACGCAGTCGTCACCCGTGGTGACGAGGGGAGGGAGGACAAGGCGCGACAAAGGATGCCTTGCGCTGATATGGGCTGGCGGCTGACGGCTGGCGGAGTGGGAAAGGGGAGAGCGGAAGGAGAAACAACAAGAACGAGACACCAGATAATACATTCAAGGGCAGGAGAGGAGTCAAGAATGGTAAGGGAGACTGTTCAGAATGAAACAGAAAGAGAAAGAGAAAGAGGTACGATATGGCTCTACCTAAGCTGAAAAAGAGGGAACATGGCCGGAGAAAAACAACAGATATATATACTGTGCTCTCTGGTGCTCTCTGCTTTGATCGAAGAAGGGGAGTCTGGGTAGGTGGTTACGACTAGAGGGAGAAAAGGCCCCTGATCGAATGCATTACTGGATCTGTTTGCCTTCACGTTGTCAGTGAGAGATGACAGACTCATAGTCAAGCAGTCGACAAAGACGGATGTCCCGTGACCAGTTCAACTTCTATGGCGTTGACAAGTCACGGATTTGAAGAGTCACGGCTGAATGCTTATTGTTTGGACCTTTGGCTACTCGGGTTGACCAAACCCATCATATTGGTTGGGGTTTCGGCAACGTTGTGGAAATTGACTGACAATCGATCACCTTCGTTGGACTGGACATTAGGCGGGGATTGATGTTGGTGAATCAAGCAAGTGCTAACAGCTGTGGTGATATGTTCACTCGTCGGTCATGATGACCCCTCTGGTGAAAGGATGGAGTTGGGTTTGACTTGGTATTGTTCGACGTGAAAGGGGGATCTGAAAACGGCACGAGTCATCTCTTTCAACAAGCAAAGGAATCCAACAGAATAGGAAGTCCTGTCAAGTCCAGTCTAGTCTCATACAACTGTGTCTGCTGTCTGGTCCTGTAATGTGGGCGTTTCAAGTCTATACTCGGCACGGGGAGACTGTTTGTTTTAGGAAAGCGGTTGGCATTGCCTGCCTGACACCCAGGTGGGTGAGTAGGTAATATTTGTGGAGCACAGCCTTGTTGACCGCTGCGGCAAGGCTGCCAAGATTAAGGGGGAAAAGAGAGAGATACCTTATGACATCAACCATACATAGCACTAGTACAATGAGCAAGTCTCCTATAGTGACTCCTCGACTCGGCCCCATCAGCAGGGATCTAGCAGAGGAGTTATTTCTTTGGGGGACCCGATCCATTAAGTACTGTGGTGAAGACACGATATGCACTGAAAGATAGATACCTACATAGGTACTTAAGTATTGTGGACTGTGAGTCGGGGAATGAAGCGGCCGGAGAGATCGGGGTTCGGTCCGCTTGCCGCCAGCTTCTGACCCACACCACCCACGTATACTACTACTGACTGACTAACAACGACAACCTCTGTTCCCTCCGGTGTCTTATCGACTTACTCACCCTCATCCAGACTTCAGTCATTGATCAAGGTCACCGTCACCGATATTCACATTCCTTGCGTCCAGAACCAATTCAACACAAACCCCGCCAAATCCCAATCACCAATTCACCATGCCAATCTACCATATCGGTCAGTCTCCGCAGCACTTGACTGCCCACCTCCTCAAAAATCCCGATCCCGATCCCGATCCTTCATGAAATCCATCTTCTTTTCTTCATACATCTATACCCACACGCACCTGCTGATGAAGCTCCTTCGCTTTGTGTAGTCCTCTTCAAATTAAAACCCGGCGTCACCCCAGCCCAGCTGACCGAATGGACAGCCAAGGCAAAAACCATGGTCGGCCAGATCCCGGGCCTGCTGAAACTCGAAGCCAACGCGCCACTGGCCTCCACGGCGCACCGTAGCCAGGGATACAACATGGGTTTGGTGGCGGTGTTGGAGAAGGCGGATGATGTTAAAGTCTATGCTGACCATCCTGCTCATTTGGTGTAAGTCCTTTATTTCCTGAGGGTTGAGTCATTTGGTGGTATATTCCATGGTTTTGTTATCTGTTTGACTTCTGGTCATTGACTGATTGACTGATCGACTGACTTGATTTACCTTGGTATATCCATATAGCGTACAAAAGTATCGAGAGGAGCTGTGTACCGATACATTGGCTTATGATTTGGAATATTCGGAGTAAAATGAGAATCGGATTTCCAGTTGGAACTTGATGGTAGCCTGGAGTGAGGATTGTGGATGGTGAGACTGGAATCGAGATCTAGGGAGTACGGCACACCATCCAGAAACCCCACTCCAGGCTACCATCATCTGGTCCATGGAAAGGAGAATGGGATCCGGGATCCAGTTGCCTATTGGTGGTCTTGTTTGATATGCAGGCTTCACATTCAATTTTGACGCCGCACCATGTAGTCGACACGGAAATGGCATTGCATCAATCTGGTAGAGAGACCCATGCCAAGCGAACGTACATTTGGCTGATTGAAGTAACATGACACGGCTCTTGGATCCTGTGTACCCCTGGTCCGCCTAGCCGCCAGGCAACCCACTGCCTGTTACGTTGACCCATTGAGGTCGTGGAGGCCTCACCCACACAAAAAGTTGCTTTATTGGGGATTAGGACAAATAAGGTCGTGAACGATGAACAGTGAACGGTGGTCAAAAGTTCGTTATATTGGCATGACTCCTGCGTCCTATCTATGGACATGGTCTAGATTTACGCTTACGGTCGAGCTTTATCCCCCTCAAGCTCCTGTTCCAATACCTGTATAGAGGTTCGGCGATCGTCGCTTTTGTTGCGGTTGAACCCAACCACCTGCAGCATTTCCGTCCAGAAGCCGACCGGAGGCGAGATGAAAGTGGCTTCGTAAGCATCGACAATGGGTCGATCCCAGACAAGGTCGGCCTCGAGGGGCCGCACGAATCGGGTCTTCTTGATGAGCTTCCAACCCACAAACAGGACAGGAGCCACAAGAACCATGGTGTAGTTTGAGAAGAACGTGCCGACGTCCCAGGGCGTGAAACTCGAATATCCAAAAAAAATCACGACCAGCGTCTCCACTACGAGACCTATCCATCCACAGTATGGCTGGAACCAGCCAGTATAAGGCAGGGTGCTGCGATCGAGGCCCTGGGCCTTGCAGGCGCGGTAGAAGCACAGATATGTCACACACATGACGATGTAGTCGATGAGGCCGCCAGCAGTGATCAGGTTGACCAGCCATGTCAAGACGGTCGAGGACCCGCTCCCGACCTGCAGGAACGAGAGAAACGGGAACAGCATGACGCAGCAGAAAGACCATATCGGCACGCCCTGGCGGGTAACCTTGGTCAGGAAGCGGGGCGCTCGGCCTTCCAGTGCTAGTCCGTACAAGCTGCGTGTGGCACAGTAGGTGTAGGTGTTTCCGGCAGAGAAGATGCTCGTCAGCATAAGCGCGTTGGTAATGTGTGGCATCACGCTCACGCCGAGGTTCTCCATGGCGATCACATAAGGAGAGGCAGCGGCCGTCCCACCGCCGGAGACTGTGCCCGTGATAACGCCTACCAGAGTCGGGTCATTGTAGGGGACGACGATGCCGACGCACAGAGCACCCAGGATGAAGAAGATGCCGAATCGCCAATAGATGGTCTTGAAGGCATTCTTGATGTAGATCCGCGGCCGTTTCGCCTCAGCCGCCACCATCGCAATATACTCCGGTCCCACGACAGTGAACGAGGCGGACCACAGAGCGGCAAGCAGCCCTTCGAATCGGCCTAGGCCCCCCTTGGTGTGGTATTCGGCCATCGGACCAGGGTCTCTCCAATACCGGAAGCCGTAGGCGTCGTGGCGTGGATTACCGCCCACCATGGTGATGAAGGTGAAGAAGAACAACATGATGATCAAGATGACTTTGCCTCCGGAAAGCCAGAACTCGGCTTCTCCATAGATACGGACAGCCAAGACGTTCAAAAGTCTAGAGACCACACGTCAGTTTTGATTTGATCCTTTGGTCGCACGGGGCGAAATGATTTGTCGCTTTGGAGTGGTTCTTACGCATAGAGCACGATGCAAGCGGCGCAGACGGCAGCGGTGGGTATGGCGTCCGTCCAGAAAGACAATACCAGATTCAGAGCGGTGATTTCGAAAGGGATCAAGAGCGCTTCGTAGAAGAAGAAGTTCCAGCCTGCCATAAAGCCAAATGCGTCGTCGACCCATTTGCCGGCGAGACGAACGAACCCGCCCGACACGGGTTGCAGCACAATCATCTCGGCGATGCAGTTGTTGACCAGGCCCAGAACGCAGCTATAGACGGCGTAGGCGAGGAACAGACTGAGCGGGCCTCCTCTTGCCAGACCAGTCCCTATACTCACGAAAAGAGCAGTGCCGATCGAGCCTCCAATCGCAATAAGTTGGATCTGTCGGTTATTGAGCCGGCGTTGTAGTCCATCGGCATTTTCAGACACATCTCCAGGTTGCAATTCGGTCGAGCCGCCTCTGGGGTTGCTGCTGTCGTAGGCGGCGCCAGCGTCTACGTATTTCACTTCTTTGTCGCTCATGGCTGCGGTATTGCGGAGTATCGAGTGGTGCTTTGGGAACACTGAATCGAGGAGAGAAAGATGGGGGCAAGAGCAAGGCTACATCCCTACCTATATAGCCAGGAAGTTTCGATAGCATTTCTGGGGCTTGGGTTTCTTGTTCTTGTCCTTGTCCTTGTCCTGCCATTGCCTCAGGTCATAGAATCCATTCGATAGACGACGCTGCCCAGGTTTTCTTCGCCAATCAAGCCCCAGAAGAAAGAGCCGAGTTTAGAGCTAGAGGCTTGCAGATCATCATTTAGCGAATGAATGGGAGTATGGAAGCATCCTCACCCCGCACTCAAAGCTGATACGGCCTTCCATATGGGTCAAGAAGGTATCCAGCAAACGTTAGTTGAAGTTCTCTTGGGGGCAAACTCGGGTGGTTCCTTCGTAGCGAGCACTGGTACGTCCCAGGTCGTAGGAGGGTGATAACTGTGGTAGAGTGGACCCGTTTCGTCCACCAGGTGAATGTAACTCTGGATGGGCACAATAATGGGGACGCCACCTGCTCATAGGACCCTAACTGGGGCCAGGGGAAATGTTAGCCTCGATATATAGTATACATGGACCTAAGCGATCTCTTCAAATCATATCCACCGCGCGAAGCGGCGTGCTTGAGGCAGATCCCATCGGGATGGGGTGACGACAAGGCCAAGGTCAGGCTTGGCCATGGATAAAAGTCCCTTTCTTAGGTGTCTGTATCAGAAGGGCAAAATGATCCCTGGGAGGTACGGACATGGTCGGCTGCTTTCACTCCATGAAGTTTCCTCCGGACTTTCACTTATCGAGATCGAGGCAACCGTATTGATGGAAAATTCTCGCCAAGATCTCCGACGTAAACCTGCGTAGCACTGGCAGGGACAGAGATTTTCCTGGGATCGGGAGGCAGAAGCAAGGAAAAGGACCGGATCCTACTAGTAGGGCAGCAAGGATGTCTCTCTGGCTTGGCCTTGGGTTTCCATAACGACGTCCTTCAGAAGCAAATCACAGAAGCGCTTGGCGTTACTTGACCCATTCTGAGTTCAAGCCAGACGACTTTTTTGCACAGAGGTACGTAGTTCCTGAATGTCATGAGAGAAAGAGAGAAGACAGTGAGATTTTCGTTGGGAGAGGCGGCCTGTAAAGATTCGTGTAGTAGGGCTGCTATCGCATCTGCCGGGTGCCCCACGATTGATGAAGTGGATGGATGTCACAAGTTCCAACACCCTTGAATGGATGGTCAGCAGAATCTGCTTCAGCGGACGAAAGGCAAGATACAGAAGTAATTTGCCTGTTGCAGTATTTCACGTTAAGCATATATGTTCCACCGTATACGCCAAGACAGCGACGGGTGCCCTGATCAGGTCATCAGCCCAGCCTTGTCACGTTCCAGGGGTTGCAAGGCTGTGAGGTTATTGTGACGTCACGCTGTTGTCCTGCTTCCCTGATCAAGTTTCAAGTGCCAACAAAACATTAGACGTGCAGTTAAGTCTCATGGCCGTCCTCATTCATCTTATTTGATGCACCTTATTGCGACCCTATTTCTGAGCATAACCCCTGTCTTGGGGTTCTATCATGGGGCGTCGCGATGAGAACATATCTCGGTCCATAGTACTCGCCATCCTCCGAGACGACAGCAAGGCTGACAGCGGCTTCCGCATTTGGCGTCCGCTTCGCAGGTTCTTCGCGCTCTATGGGCTCGTGCTCACCCGGATTCGGCCAGAACTGTTCCAAAGGCTGAGGAACAAGACATGGGGCATTTCAGAGGAGGATTATAAGGCCAGCTTTATGGGTAACGAGTCGCTCATACAGAAGGGGGACATGGGCTACTCGGGTTCGGTGAGTGTAATCATAGCAACTCCCTTTGCGCAAGGAGAGACACCAATCTGACGAAATATTCTCTTCATCACCAATAGACATTCTTCACGACCAAGGACAACAAATATCTCATCAAATCGGTGCCCCGCCGGTTCGAGCATACCTTCTTCCGCGATGATCTGTTAGAACCCTACATTTCGCATATGGAGTCTCATCCGGAGTCCCTCTTGGTGCGTATCACCGATTTTCTCGCCTGGCGATATCGTAGTCTGGGCGGCCTGTTGGGCTTTGCGCCAAACCACCATCTAGTCATGGAGAACCTGCTGTACGGTCAAGAAGAGGATTCTCAATGGCAAACCTTCGACTTGAAACCGATGTCGTACTTCTTTCCCGAAAGAGATATCGCCGGCGGCAGACTTGCTTCGCAGGCAACCAAATCGAAGCTTGCCGACGAATTCGACGACAAAATGCTACTCAGCCAGTCTCAAGCAGATATGTTTCTGAAGTCACTGGAAGCCGACACCGAGCTGCTCGCGCAAAATAACGCAGTCGACTACAGTCTTATGCTCGTCCGCATCCCTAGGCCTGCTTCGTCCGCTAGCGGCAGTGAACTTGACGACCCATTCCGGGACCCTGAGCCACTTGACTGGCGGAAGGGCGTGCCGTCACAGGACAACAGATGGTTGTTTCGCGCCGTGATTCTTGACTTTTTCTGGGCCAAACACAAGGTTCGAGCCAAGATGATGACGAATCTTGTCGACGCGTGGAACCTTGTCAATGGCCAGGGGCCTATGAGTATCACCACCACGGCCCCGGAGTATCGCAGCAGGTTTCTCGACATGTGTAAGAGCATTGTCCAGGTTGAAGAAGCTGGGCTAGAAGGTGGAGGTTCCGCATCCTGAGCGTGCTCTACACCGAGAGAGGATGTACTTTCCAATAGAGTGCGTTGTCATTCGTGTCTGTTTGCTGGGCGTACGAGCATTGGCGTTGGTGGCTTGCACTATCCGAAAAGTCGGGATTCTGGAGCCTAAGAAGATTTCACAAACACGCAGGCTTCTGAACTCCAATTTCACGACCACAAGTGGTGGAGACTGCGAGCCCTTGTTGTCCTGCCACACATGATACCCGTCTATGTTGACATTCTGCCTTATAACATTGTGGGAATTCATCTCTTCGATATCGGATCCGTCCTTCTTTCAGGCCAACGGAAATGGGCGACACTGCGCAGCCTGTTACTCAGCACCCCGCTGCGGACTGGGCAATTGCACCTAGAGACCATGGGGCTTTGAATACCGGCGAGGCTAGGTTGACACCAAGCAGTCCGAGCGACGATGGATTGACTCTCTTGCTTACCGTTGTCGGGACGGTGTACCCATACGGCTTTACGATAACAGGATTTGTGCGATGTGTCGATACTCACGCCGTATACATGCAAAACATATTTCTCGCGTCTTCGGCAGAAAATCGGGTCAGACGCTTTTGCTGTGTGTGAGCAAAAGCCCGGGCCGTGTCAATCAAGGGTTGTAGGTCGTGGACAAATGCTACATTCTGAGAACCCGCAATACTATACTCATCTCCTGACGCACGCGGCGAATATGGGTTGCAGGGGCCCTGACCGCGATCCTGGTCAGATTCATTGAGGTCATCACTCTGAAATTTGAGGGTGGTGGTGCAGGATTGTCCTTGCAAACCTGTTAGATATCGGGCGCCTGAAAATCAGCACATGTGAAAGAATCTGCGCTGCCGTACAAACTTGAGCGAATCAGTTCGGTCGATAACGCAGAAGCCGTTGGAGGTTCGTTGACTCAGCCTTGTCTTAACGCCTGAGCCCAAAGCTCCATTCCACCCAATATCAAACCCGCAAGTCTTCATTCGCCATATACATTTCGATGTGCATCTTCTCCGTAACTGTCATGGCACCGGCACCGTTGGGGCTGGAGCCGTCGCTGATCTTGCTGGCCCCGTTCAGAACATCCTTTCTGTCTTGTTCCTGTTCAGATGAGGTCTTCTTGCCCAATCCTGACATGTTACTGTTGGTTCTTGATGCTGTTCCTGCTAGAGAAGAGATGCCATTTGCTGGTTGAGTGCCGTTCCCTTGAGCAATCTTGTCAATGACGCGTGCGGTATTCGGGGCCTGCTTGTCGCTCCCACTCTCAGACACATGTGTATTATCTGGCTTCAAGTGCCCGTGGTAAGGCTTCTTGAACTTTCCGTCCCGCCACTCGTTCAGCCTGAACTTCCAAGCGCCTAACGTCTCTGCCGGGTAGAGCGTCCGGCCAATCTGGCGAGCCAACTGCTCCGCGACAGGATCATTGTTATCTCGAACCTCATAAAACAGGCTGCGCCAATTACGCCCACCGTCATCACTTTTCCGGAACTCTCGCTGGCCGCTTTCCAGTTTCGACTTGGCGTCTGCTGTACCTTGCATGTCTCCTCGTTCCAGGGCTTCTCGTACTGCGCGCCACGCAAACCGCGACTCCCACGGATCTTGGTCTGCCAAGGAGTCGACGGTGAGAGGAGTGGTCTTCGCTGTGCGAACATCGAATGTTTCGATGTCGACCCCTTTTCGGGTGTCATGGATGGTGAAGACGCCGTCCCAATAGCCATTGACGGTGTATAATGGCTTGGTCTCCGCTTCGTCATCGCGGTACACTTTGGCCTTGAAGCTATGTTTCTTGTCCCATGCGGCCATGAACCCCGTGCCTCCAAACTCGATGGACGAGCTGTGTCCACTCGTGCTTGGGATGCGGTATGTCCCGTGAAGCTCTGGGTACAAGGAGCCGGTCAAGATTCCCTTGATCTTGACGTTTGGTAGCGGGATCAGGTACGTTTCATTGTGTCTGGCGAGATGGAATGTTGCATGGCCCATTTGATTGATGTTCATGGTATTAGTGAAGGTGATTTCCTGGCGGGTGTAACCTTCAGCCTACAAGACAAGAAAACTGGGTAAGCATAGTGTTCTCATGGGCGGTGAAGACACGCGGCAGTCTTTCGACACGGGGACGGCCCGTCGGTGAGTTAAGGCTTACCGAGACGCCTTGGTCTTCATTCCAGATTCGACATGCCGTCACTGGCGGATGATGGCTGGGAACGAATACGATATCAGTATACGACCACAAATTCAGCGCGCGGACGCCGGACATCCAGAATGCCACAATTTGATTGCATAATACCGGCAGGTGGCGCGCATCACGAGTCGGTAAAGCCACGAAAATCAAGCACGGGACAGGATGGGACAGAACAGAAGTGGACTAAAAGTCATAACTCACCTGACCTGCTCGCTCACCAGCCTGGTGATCCCGATACTGTTTCCGGTTGCGGCATCATCCTTCCAGCTCGCCAGAAACACTTCCCCTAGAAATGCATTAAGCGGTTTCTTGACGCCCTGGTCCGCCGGCCGACCAGCGTACTGCTGATTGCGAAGAGAAGCAATGAACCACTTCAACACCAGCACCGCGCGTTCCGCCGGATCATCCGACTTTGATGGAGCGACGAAAACGGCAGGCCTCTCGGCCCAATACGCTGGCAGCTCCACCGCCGATTTCGTGTCGAGCACGAACGGCGGCGCGCTGAAGTTGGATGGATCGCCGCGAATTGCTGGGATGGACTAATGGTGTTTTTCAGACGTGTTAGTTTAATAGGTATGCAATCATTGAAATGGGTTCTTGGTCGAATGGAAAACCTCAGGTTGACCATCTTGACAAGGGGCGGACTCAATGAAAGGTGGCGGCGCGGCGAAGACATACTGCAATAAAGTCCTTCCATTGCGAGCGGTTGTTCGCAATGCTCGGAGTCGAGGCTTGCTCTGGCACGGGTTCTGGCATGATCGGGGTATCAGTGATGTAGCACTTCTTTATAATTCAAGACTTTTAAGACAAAGTATGTTGATGAGGGAAACAACAGACAAGCAAACACAAATACGAGTGAGACAGCTACTAAACCTTCGAAGGATTAGACAGTGGTCTTCCTTGACTGAGCGACTACATAACATGCAATGCAATAGTGATTCCATATCCCGTCCTGGGCCTGTATTGTCGGGTGCTATGCTGTGTGCTGTGTATGGCGGACTTGATGATATCATGATATTGGACTATCGATCGGGTTCGCGGCGAGTTTTGAGATGTGCGATATCCCTGAAATATGTATTATCCGTAACTCCGTGTCGAGCAATGATTGTAATCTATTACATTTGAGTCAAGGGATATTCTGTATTGCGCAATATCTGTTCCTCATCATCGTGCGTCAACATTGGTGGGATGGAATTTGCATGAGGTAAGGTGATCAAGCGTCAGCGTCAGCATGCGCATGAAGAGATGGGGAAAAGTAGAGGCCGAGAACCGCAGAACATGGACTGAGTGGAAGGAATTTTTGCACCATCTAACTGGCCCTCTCAACGAAGATGTTGATTGATGGCAGGTTGTATGGTTCGCAGGATAGATGATTAAATAGACCCCGGGAATCAACTTGCAGAAGTGCTCCCACATCACAATGTCCAGAAAGGGGCAATACCTCGACCACAGTGCCCTCTGAACATCTGTCGTAATCAGCTCATCGAGCAGATCCAAGGGTATAAACTGGCCCATTGGATCCGGTGGCCACGTTCAATGTATTCGAATGCACTCAACCGCGCAGCAGCGTTTCATTGTAGGTCCGACGTGAATGCAAATTCTGCCTCTTGACGCAATGCTACGACAAGACTTTTCGCCCGGCTAACTCAAGCACAAGTAACCTGAAGTTCACCATTCCTCGTACAGATCAACAATAGGAGTTGGTATAGCGATGTGAACCGTTGTGACGCCCTCGAAAGTCGACAAACTGAGAAGATGGGCTGATTTGAACACCAGTCGCGACTTGCCGCCTGCCTTCGAAACAGCCTTCAATACCCTTAGGTCTCGAAGAGCTGGAAGTGGTCGCTCCGTGTCGCTTCAATAGAAGACACAGAGTTCGCAAGTATGTCCAAGAACGGCCGCTTCCTACCAGCCGCCGATCGCAGCTAAGAGATGCTTCGGCGGTAGATACAAGGACCCAGAGCAAAGCCAATAGTACTCGCTGAACGCCAAAGGTCCAAAGCGAGTCGACACAAGACTCTCGGAACAAAAGAGAAACAAAGTATCAATCTTGGCGATGAGGTTGTCGTGCGATTCGAGGGCGATCGAGATGTGCGATGTATGCAACGGGATTATCAGGGTCGCTTATTTTGGCAGCCCGTTCGTATATCTCTGTGGCCGAGTGACATGTCTCTGCTAAAGTCCTCAAGCGACAGCACATCTCCTAGGCACCGAGGACTGCGGCATATGCTTTTCCGTTGTGAAGAGAGACCATGGACAGCGGTCAGTGGAGCGCGGGCATCCTGGACCCTCCTCTCCTGCGTATCATCCTCGGTTTCCGAGAGCACGACTCGTTCCTTGCTGAAGGACGTTCCTCCTGCTTGGCTAGACTAGAAAGCGAGACAGGTATCTAGACTCTCGTTCAGCATCGTCAATGTAGCACGGTATTGCAGCCAAATATGCCGCCGTGTGTCTATCGCATAGTCGCTATTCGATCTCCGGAGCCTGCGAGTTATAGTCAATGCTCTGAACCCTCAAGATATATAGTGAATTGGCTTCGGATCGTACATTATTTTGTCCAGCCTCCTATCTCGGAAGAATTTCAGGTGCAGCAAATTCTTGAGTATCTTGTGCTCGTAGCCATTATATGCGCCCGCATTTTGCAGGAAACGTAGCGTATTCTCGATCCGCCGAGGATTGAAGTTTGTGACTGGGGAGGAACGGAACGATTCTCGAAGGATATCTCGAACCTCGTAGCGTGCCGGGCGCGCGTAGCAGACAGCTTTGAGCGCAGTCCGATATAGATGGCGGTAAGCGTGCAACCGGTCTTGGGTGCTCATAGAGAGAATACGACAGGCGCGTGGACGTGAGGTGGCATACAAACACAAGGTAGCAGATGTTCAAGGCCAAAATTTAGGTACTCTGTACAGAGTAGTTTCTGGTGGAGGTGTCAGATTCTCGCCCAGGGCCGCCGCAGTTCAGCCGTACGCAAGGCTGCAGCCTCGCCTTGAGCCTGGGGCACGTAGCTTGCCAATTGCAGTGTGGCGCGTTGATTGCCTCCAACTCATCTGATCAGAACTTTCAGTCAATTTAATGGTGCCTACTATTAATGCCGAGCACATATAGTCGTCTCGATTGTTGTTACACACTTCAACGCCCAGCGGCTTAAAGCTCTGCAATGGCCCTGGCGGCTTACACTGGCAGTCGCAGTGTACCCATCTAGGGTGAAGTATAGATGCCGATTGTGCCGCCAAGCTTTTGGCTGCGGCTACTAGTAGGCCGGTTTCCAGATCCATTCAGGTTTCCTTCCACCACGCGCAGCTGCCCTGCTTCTGTTCTCCCTTCCATCTCTTCATCACAAACACCCATATCCCGCTAATACCTTCGAGACTGACGCGTTTGCTGTCTCTTAAGGCCATTATCGCCTGGATGACTGTGTCCAGCAGGCCATCTTGATCTGGACTGAGATCTGACTGGGATTCAAACGCAGCTCCCTCCGCTGGAGCTGTGGTTCATCTTCCTTCTCCTGCAGTGGCAACTGCCGACAAAGCCCGGATCACCACGCTTTTGTACGAGTTCGCGCCTTGTACTAATCCCCAGTGTCTAGAGGTCTTGATCTTCCTCCCCTTCCATATGTTTCCGTACCTGTGCCCATTTCTCCCTGTGTAGTGTTGATAGACACCCATCATGGCAAGAGTCAAACAAAAGGCAGGAAAGATTGGTGGCGGAGGCGCCTCAACCCGAGGCGGACAGGCTGCAAAGCAAAGAAACAAACACAAAGTGGTTGTGGAAGAGACGTCCAAACAGAACCACAAACTGCGCAGCATGGTAAGGAGGACGAACTGCGGTGCCCGAGATACGACTCACCGGGATTCCCAGGTCACCTTCCGCCCGGATCCCCCTCCAGGCTATACGTTCATACCTGCTGGTAACCCGGAACTTACAGCTGCACTCAAGGAGTTTGCACGTAGGGGCGACAACAAAATCTACGCTGTCACGGTAGGTCTGGTCACCGCTGCGCCACGAATTGCTGCTAACTGTTTAGACTACACCGCATGCTGATCGCCATGAGCTTTCAAGGGAAGTACATCGCGTTGGCTTTCATTTTCCCACCAATGTTGTTGCTCAAGTTTGTGCGCATTATGGCATTCGTCTTACCAGCGGAGGCAAGGTCATCGACGAGTCGAAGGATGACAAACTTTTCATGCAAGTCTACCAAAACGGCCAGCGACCTGTCGAACAAGAAGAAGAAGCAGAAGAAAAGGACCAGATCACAATCAACACGGAGGCCAAACAAACGATCAAAGATTTGTTTCCCAATATCCCCGACAAGGACCTGTTCCAGATCATCAAGACCGCCTTTCAAAAAGGTGACAACAAAGTGGGGACTGCAGACGAGATCCCTCTTGTCCGTAGGGCGCAGCTTTCCGTCGTTGCTCATATTCGACACATGTATACCCAGTATGATAAGCTTTTGAGGAGGGTGCCTTACAACGATGCCCGGCACATGGTTGAACAGGATACCCTCAAGAAGCTGATCGAATGGCGCGCGGACGAAGACACCACGGACGAAGCCACAAAACGAGCAGCAGATGATCTTCTCAGAGAAGTCATAGTTATTTCTGACGAAGAAGACAGCGACGCCGGCTCCGACGATCTCCAGGAAATTCGCCACGACAACGTTCATGTCGAGGAGCTTCCAAGTGCGGCTTACGCCCAAGGTCTTGGCCGACCTCGGTCTCCGCTATCTCAGCCATCTCGTGGGGATGTCAACCATGAATATCCTTACCTACCACGTGTAGTACACCGGTACAAACCCACTGATGATGAGATTGCAGAGCGGGATCGCAGTAGGTACGCTGTCTGGAATCAAGCAAAGCGAGACTACCGTCCTAGGATGCCACAGGAGCCGGTCACCGTTCTGAATCGGATCTATGAGCCCGAACCGCCCACCTCCCGTGTCCTGATCCCGCTTGATCCTCCTGCTCATCCTACTAGATCACAGCATCCACCAGTGACAACAGCGAGGGCTGCCTATGAGGTAAGAACAGCTCTCTACTTCACATTTCCGGAAGTCCTCCGTGGTAGCGAGCAACTCTGACGGACGTCTCATGACTAATCTGATTCTAGCCCCATCCCGTTCGCCATGCAAGTCCTCCAACGTTTATAAGAGGCGCAGACGGAACATTGTACGAACGAGTCAGCACACGATCGAACGATATTATGCCTGACCGGGCGACGCGACACGAGGAGCGCGCTCCACCCACGATGTTACCCCCGCCAACGAGAGTGAGGACTCGGCCTTCCTCTCCTCAAGGCTACCCCTACCGAGATCAACGTCTTGCTGGAAATCCCGAAGTGGGAGATGCTACAGTTCTGCCTTCGATCGAGGGACCTGATGGGGCATACATGTCTCCCCGTTCCCGTCAGAATCCCTTCGACAACCGTATGGAACCACATGAGACTAATCTAGCACGCGAGGACAACCGCAACATCCGTGATGTTGCGTACATTGACCTCACAGGCAGTGGTGATCAGTCGTCGAAGAGACGTCGATTCGCAGAGGTCCCACCGCTGCCAGAATATCGAACCGCCAGACGGGACTCTCCGAATCGGCATCGTGAGCATCATTACGTGCAACAATCTCAACCTGGTGTGTCTCGTGCTGAGACCCGTGTCTTTGACTACGGTGAGCTGCGCTCTAGCCCAAGACTTCGACATCAAGACTCTGCTCTTGAACCACTCCGACACGTTGAGCGCCCGTCTGTCTATGATATTCGTGATCCCCTTCCCGCTAAGGCCACCACCCATCAAACCTCCCTAGCTGTGAATGGCAGGCACGAGATGGCAGCCAGCCAGTCTCGCTATCATTCACAAAACCACTTGTTCAGACGCTCCGATGGGCTGGAGATTAGCACACCGAGGAACGGTGGTCAATACTTTCCAAACCCTGGACAACGTGTGTATGAACCCATCCTGGACTCCCCCAGTTACGAGAATCAGAATGCTCTGGAGCGCAATGGTGCCATTCGTGAGCAGCAGGGAGGCCCCATTCCGCGAGATTCTCGCCCATGGTACACTTATCCTAGTGGGTCTATGGTTACTGAACAGCTGGGTGAGCTACCACGTCAACGCGTGCTTGAATACGATTTTCGCCCAGCAGCGACGGCAGGGCATTATGCTCAAGTCAATCGTTGAACCATGCCCATGTTGCAAGATCTCTTCTCCTCGACTTTCGTCTTTGGGAGGCACCCATAAGAGTATTCATGGATTCTGGTAAGAGTTGAGAAGCATATCCCACGCAATGCTTTCCTTGTATATCATGGTTATGAGAGTACTATGCTGACCTTTACGCAGAGGCCCTATCAAGTCCGGGGGATTGTGGTCCTCGGCATCAACGTCATTTTGTTCTTCGTCGGCATGATATTCATCAGGGAAGTCACTGGGACCCTTGCATTTTCATACGCGGCGCACGCTTGCATTGTTTTTTTCAATGAACAGCATTCGCATGACAAGGAGGCTGAAGTGTGTCTGGACGGTGTTACGATTGCATGGAACGAAAAAGTGCCGTTGAGATACCCATTGAGCGATTACGAACAGCTGGGCTTATGGACATGTCTGAGAATTCGGAGTAATGGTTGCAATGGAAAAGGGCTATTGACGGTCTTCTGTACAGACCTGGGTTGACCTAGAGTTATCTCTCTTGCATGATCTGTACATTCATCAGTTGTACAGATGTGCTCGGGTGGCAAGGACACCAAGGCAATTGAGAGATGATGACCAGAAAGTGAGAATAAGAATGAATGATTCCCACTGCTGCATGCGTATCGTGAAATCTATGTCTGGCTCCGTGGGTATTGCTTGAAACCAAACACCATACGCCTTCCATCAGTAGTAGCAAGCCCTGCAAGTGTACAACCGAGCAGTTGCCCTGTGGCTACAGCCAATTCGTACACGCCATATATGCGTCAAAGCGGTGTTCGCCTGCTTCCCAGCACCAACCCAGCCACGACTCGAGATCCCATCGTCGCTTAAACAGCCATCGGGACGCCATCCGACTCTCCTGAGTTCACCGTCTTGCCAGTCTTTTTTATCTTCTCAAGAACCGTCTGGTAAGAAACGGAGTCTTCGGTCGTGACATCGGCGGTCTGGGTATCCAGTGAGACATTGTACTGCTTGACCCCTATAAAATCGGATTCGTCAGCCATTTGAGAACAGCGTGCCCGATTTGGGGCAGGAACACCACCGATATGTTGAAGACATAGAGGGGACCAAGCCCAGAGATACATACCGTCAAGTTTCTTCAGCACACGCTCGACGGCGCCGGAGCAACCTCCGCAGGTCATCGTGACGTTGAATTTGTAGTGGTGTTCCGCCATCGGGAAACAAGTCTGTTTATAGAGAGGAGAGGGAGAGGGAGGAAACTAAGGCGAAATCTAAGAGATACGTTCTTTGACTGAGTGGGTGCGCGTATGTTGTGACGTGGAGGATGAACGGTGTCCTGTAGTAGGCGTATAACTTTGATGCGGGAATGACGAAGAGGAAGCGGTGCCGAACTCCCTTGTTGTGTGTGGTCCTTTATATGGTTGGAGCCGCGGAGGGGTATATGGGGTCCGGCGTTGAGGCTCTTATGCGTAATCCAAGTGACCTAGCCTTATGGAAACAAGCCAGATTTATATGGAAGGGGACACGGATGGTAATTATAAACAGTGGCGCAGGGGTGATTCTGTAGGACGATAGTATCAAGTGTGAGAGACGGTCCTCGCTTCCAACTTGAAGTGAAACGTGCCCAAGCCGTGATATTATTAGTAATTTGGCGAAATGTGCTCAATTCTCGTACTCGAGTCCACCGAGTCACACCGAGAGACGGCGTGGAGTGTAGTGCAAGTGGTCTACTACCTTAGTACTTGAATCTATCACTACTAGTACTAGGTAGTATTGGTAAGCCAGGCAAGGGCACCGTCGTCCCTATAACGCCGCGGAACAAGTCTCAACTGTCGCAGTCTGGCGGCGAGCGAGACAAAGCCGGATTGCGTGCTGGGTGGAACTTGGAGGGACAAACAGAGCAAACAGAGCAAACAAACTGCGCATCTGCCCACCCGTACCTCTTGCACCCATTCCATCCACCATCAAACATCGTGTTGCTTGACCGTAGGCTACTACAATGTACACGCTCCCTCTTTTGACAAAATGCTATGCAATGGCTGCCAGAGACTGATCCAAGAAGCTGACCAAGGCCTTGGTCTTTCTGAGACTTCTCCCGCGGCGAAAAATGAAGCCACCACCGCTGACTTCGAGGCGGCCCTCCGTGACAATTGCTACCTCTGCACGAGGCTGCGACTCCAACTAGGAGGCTCAAAATGGCAGCATATCCTTTCCGATCTGCCCCTTACCAACCTGATTGCATTTGACAAGTCAGCTCACTGCCATCTTCATACTACGATTCTAGTAAGACTGGGTTGCCGACTGACACCCATCTTGGGGCAAGACCAAGATGGAGAGCCTCTCCTCGGCGGCAGCTACTCATACGGCTACTTGCAAGTGGCTCTTCTGCCTCGATCCTTGAGGTGGGCTATCCTTTCCTTGGGCTGAATTTGGCCCCGTCCACATGATATCTTCATCCCTGGTATCGGATAATGTCTGATAAGAATGACTGTCAAGTCCAAGCCTCCATCCAGCTATTGTTCCTGCGAAAAGCGCATCTTCAACTTCAGACCCTCGTGTGCTTGATCTGGTTCATTCTTGGCTCGAGACTTGCAGCTCCTTGCATACCCATTCCAGATGCAATCGTTATTTACAACCCGCATCATATCCTAGCCGATTAATTGACGTGAGACCCGACAATACAGACGTCGACCACTGGAGACTGGTAGAGGTAGAAGCTGAAGAGCTCACAGGTTCTTACATGACTCTCAGTCATAGATGGGGGGCTGAAACCTTCAAGCTGCAGCAGAGTACCCAAGGAAACATGCTTCGTGGTCTGCCTGTCTCGGTTCTGCCCGGGACTTATCAGGATGCCGTCCGTGTAGCCAGACGTTTCAATGTCCGATATCTCTGGATTGACTCTATATGTACATGTCTTCCTCTGTCTCTCATGTTTCACGCTGCTGATAACTTACCAGGCATCTTCCAGGACGAACGACTTGATATCCAGAACGAGGCGAGCATGATGGCTGAAGTCTTTGGCAATGCCACTTGCAACATTTCAGCCTTGTCCGGTAGACATGATAGCCTTTTCTGCACTCGAGTCCCTGATGTGGTCAACAGCGACTGTGTCCTCTTAGAAGCACAAGCCTGCAATCTGCGTCAGTCATACCTTCTAAACGACCTGCAGTTGTGGCGAGGAGAACTCCTTCACATGCCTCTTACCACACGAGGATGGGTCCTTCAAGAGGAACTACTAGCACCTCGCACCATTTACTTTGGGAACAGACAAGTGCTGTGGGATTGTGCAGGGTTTCGTGCTTGCGAAACATATCCTGTAATGCAGCAAAAGAGGCCTCTCCACGTCCCTCCAGAGTTCAACGACAAAACAAACTTCCTTCACGATGAAGAAATCGGACCGATTGCCTCGGTGCTGCGAGTTGCAAAAGCGTCGGTACAAACACCCTACAGCGAATCTGACGTCCATGAACGGCAGCAAATGCTGTTCGATGTGTGGACGCGACTCGTGGCGCACTATTCCCTCCGCGAGTTGACGTTCCCTACAGACAAGCTCCTCGCCATAGCAGGTGTGTCCAAGCTTTTTGGGACGGTCATGCAAGACCAGTCCGTGGCCGGGCTCTGGCGTCGCCATCTCATGGACAGTCTACTCTGGTACGTACGCGCCAACACCAGCACATCCCGTCCGCTTGAGTACCGCGCTCCATCATGGTCGTGGGCTTCTAATGATGGCTATGTCCTCCATGCCGAACCTTTTAGCATGCCCTGGACAGTGGCTCGGGCGCTGAATGCAGAATGCGAGACAGAGGGAGGGGGCGAATACGGCGTGGTCGTCTCGGCACGGCTCCGACTGCAAGCGGCGCTCTTGTGCATGTCAATTGACCACGATGGCAACTGGACTGCTAGCAATGGTCGCTTCTCCGAAAAGCTCAGTATACGCAAAATGCCGCGGCTGATTGTACGACTTGACACCACGGAGGACTTGTCCCGCCTGACGGGGATGCTGGGTGCCATTATCCGGACTACGGCATACCGGCTGACTGACACTGCATCTGGTTCCGGTGATACGACTGTCAATGGTAAGATCCTTCTTGCGGCCCACGGTATCATTCTTGCACCAGTCAAGGCCGCGGTTCGGGATATTGCAGATGATTGCATATCTCAGTCAAACATGACCTTGGCAGCGGCCACAGAGTTTAGGCGCGTCGGGTATTTCGCTCTCGAGGATCGCAGAAGCGGTAGTCTCACTCCGAAATGGGTGCCGGAAGGGTGCAGGATCTTTCATGGACCCCTGGGTCAAGGGGTCGATGGTCAAGGAAGGCGATTGAAAGAGTTTGACTTCGATGGGCAAAGTCAGTGGTTGAAGGTCGTGGATATTGTTTGAATGTCCTTCAACATGTTGGTATTATTGCCGAAACGGATCCAGACGATGAAGAGTTTGGAATATTCCCAAGGCTTCAAAGCATCGGCAGACATCGCAAGGCGCTGCCAGCATCGTTCTCTCCAAGGGGCTTTCGCTGATGAGATCTTCGGAACGATACTAGTTCGGTCATGGTGCCATATTAGTCTTGCTAGGTTACATCAGCCTTGTTATTTTGGTAAGTTGGTATGCGAGCATGTCTAGATCAGGTTCAGCCCTGCCACTGAGGAGCTCATCTTCAAGCCACTTGCGCTCCTTAGAGATTTGGTAGAAGAGTTGAGGGCGAGGGCGAGGTGCCGCAGTCTCCCGTGCGTGTTCTGCCCGTTGTTCTTCAGTCACCGGGTTTATCCTCACACGTCTTTCTGGCTTCGGCGGCGTGACACATGAGCCAAACAGAAGGATGAAGACTGGGGAACCTGGAGGCCAATGGCTTACGACTGTGTTCTGGTACACGACTCGGATAGTACTTCACCGGACCCCACACCGATGCGGAACACCTTGCTGTTTCGATACTAGCCCCGGCAGCACCCAGCGCTTAGTTGAACTCCAGCGTCCGCTACTATTGCACTCCACACTGCACTCTGTAGTCTCTCCCTTCAACATCCTCTTTCACCTACCTAGACGTGACTATTATTCCACTTAAACCTTACAGCGTTTACAGTTGCTATACTATCATGCGAGATGACCCTTCGCTACCGGTTCTTCCGACCTCGGGTCTTGAGCTTCTCGGGAGTGGAGTCTCGGGCATTGTATACTCGGTGTACTCCCTCGACGAGCACACTGTTGTAAAGATCGCTCCCACATACGACAATGAGTACGCCACCGACGAAAGCCTTGAAGACCTGCAGATCGAGAGGTCCGTGTACCAGAAGCTGGGATCTCATCCTCGAATATGTCAATACATTTCCTCAGTCCAACGAGGAATTGTCTGAGAGAGGTTCGGGGAATTGTCCACGTGTCAACCGAGGCTTCATTGCATGCATGATACAAGCCGAAGGTATTGGGAAAATCCCTGAGGATGGGGATATTCTCTCTCTGAGAAGCCAAGATTGCGTGGCTTCTCGCACATCATGGGGAGCAATCGGTCATTGTACTGTGCTTAGGGTCTGTGGCTGATGGTTGCTCGCAATTCAGCAGAGACAGTAGGCGTCCTCGGCGCCTGATTTACAATTTACCACTTTGCTCAATCGGATTCCGCGCTCTCAGTACGACGTCGGGGGTCGGAAGACCGGAATTGACTTCCAGCATATCCTTCCACACTTCGACCCTGCTTCGACTGCTTCGACTGCAACATTCGCTGAAGCATACCCGCGATGTGAGAAGGACCCTCCGCTTTACAACTCTCGACCTCTCTCTTCAAATCCGCCCACAAGAGCAAAGTTGACGGACTGCGGATCTATGGTCGCTGATGATCTCTCTTCGAAAGGGATTTAACGTGTCGAGGTATCTCTTCCGCGTCAATGTCGTCGGATCAAGGCATCCCTCCTCCTCATGCGGTTTGGCCCACCCACAGTGGAGCTTCAAGTTCGAAGTCATCTGTGTAGAAAGAAGCCAGGACTTTTCCCGGTAGACGGTGCCAACAACATTAAAGTTGTCGTCCGCGAGTACAGTTTATGGATCAAGATCATTATGAAAGAAGACGTTCAGGACTCCCACGCGCTCTGACGAGGCGCCCTTGTCTATCAGCTGCGTGTTCACGTCCTAATAGACCTCGCTTGGTAAAGGTCTCGTCGTCATAGCTGCAGTTAGTTCCTGTTTGTGACCATCCAGGATTGCATCTCTATGGCGGTATCCGGGAAAGGATTAAGGGAGAGATAAGTATCAAAGCACGGTAGGTCGTTTATATCGTTCTTGATTCTGAAAAGTACTAAGTAGTACTTGGCAATGTGTGCTCGAGTCGAGCACCGAGAAGGATGTACCTAGTGAGTACTCTTTGGGGGATCAGATCCACGAGACGTCGAGTCGTCCACAGCAGTCAAAGAAAAAGATTGAATTCATCAAGACAACTGAGTTGTTGACGCGGAATCGTGGAAACGAAGCGAGGAGTTGAGGACGAAAGCTGAAACAACGTTGTCAAAGATACTGCTATTCGGGGATGGTGACTCTAGATTCCACTTGTCTTCAAGACGAAACCTGCTCCTGATTTCCATGGTCCAGAAGTTCAGCTTTGGATTCTGATGAGGTGAGGTATACGAGAAAGGCGACACGAATAAGATGCGAGAGGGTACGAAAGACTACGTCCAAAAAACTGCAGCACAACTCTTCGTGAGTACAGGCGTCCGTCCAGGCGTCCCTGAACCGCCACCTCCAGCCTTTCACGGAGAAACTAGGATATGAAAGAAGAGCATGCATTAAAGATGATGAATTGGATGGCCTTCCTTTTCCTTCGAGTTCGGGGCCTTGGGTTATGTCCGCATACCACAAGAACCCGAGTGAACAATACGTATCTCCGGACTGGGACACAGACAGAGACTGGAATGGACAAATGCCTTTTTTGGACGCCGCCCGACGCCAACCCTTGGTACTTATCCGAAACCAGACCGCCTCGGTGATAGACTGACACAGTAATGATATGATGTGCGCACATTCAGCAGAACAACTCAGTCTGCTTGATTCAAGCCGGAGCAAGTGGCAGCGGAAAACAGTCATGGACCCTGGCAACCATCCATCCATCCATCCTCCTCGGCATCGGCATCGGAGAAGAAATTACACCGATGAAGAGATGTGCCGTGCCGTTGGACAGTCGTGTTCTGCTTTTAACAATGAACTCTGATTCCCGTGGAAGTCTGGAGCTGCGTTCGGCTGGAGACCAGATCTCGTAAGTCTTGACAGCATAAGTTGCTCCGTGAGTACCGTTGGTCGAGATCGTGGAAAATGATATATCGCGCATCGCCCAAGTCCCCAGCGACCCACTCGCTACTGAGCCGAAGGGGGTTTGCCACGGCGACAGAGCGAGGAGCGTCTCCCCCACATCCGAAGCCACAACCACCCTGACATGTTCACTGCATCTCCGCCGTCTCATCCGTACAATGCCTCCAGTAGCCAAATGGGACATGTAGATCTAGATCTTGACATGCCGGCCCTCCCTCTGCACAGTCTTAACAAGACTCTTGTAGGTTTCTTCCCAGTTCTCACCGTCGGCGTCGGCATTCTTGGCTTTGCTGTCCTTGGAGTCCTTGTCCTTGGCCTTCTTGGACACGTCGTGACTGACCATGACCACGCTGGTGGGCCGTTTCGTCTGGCTGGCGATGCCCAGCTCAGCACGGCTTGTGACATAAATGTACGGGATGTTATGGTCCTCGCAAAGCACGGGGATATGGCTGATCACGTCCATTGGGGAGATGTCAGCGGCGAGAATGACGATACCGATCGGCAGAGGCGAGCTGGCGTCTGACAAGGGTGATTTGCGAAGAGCCTTGACGACTTCCTTGACGCCACGTTTGAGCGCGCGTTGAGCGGCGGCTGTACAGAAACTCATGTCAGCACATCTATCTTGTCGAACAATTACAGAATAGTCGGCATTCGTAGAAACCATAGTGACCAGACACATCTTCAAGTCCTCGAGGTGAATACGACGCGCATGATATCTGCTCTTGCCAGAACGGCAGCCAGACAATACGCCACGCCAGATGAATTCTCGCCGAGGACAAATAGAACACCACTCATGGTTGGATAGAAGAGCGTCGAGTGGAGGACAGGTCGTCCCAGCTCTCAGAGCAGGGTCGGAAGCGCAATGGAAAGAAACCGGAGGTAGATGGACAGACATACCTTTCTTGACGCTTTTAAACACCTTCTTCGCGACCTTCTCATCGGCAAGCGGATTGGCAAATGGCACCAACGCGCCGATAGGCCTTGCAGCTTTCTCCAGCTTCTCGTCCTTCTTCACACTCGTCTTGTTCTCGTCGTCGCTGTCCTCCTTCATCTCCTCATCCTCATCCTCGCTCTTTCCAACAGCCACTCCCGCACCGTCTTCCTCGTCGTCGTCATCTTCGCTAGTGTCCTCATTCTTGGCCTTCTTCTCCTTCTTTGGCGTCTGCGACTTTCCGTCTTCTAGCTCATTAAGTGCCTTCTCCGCGAGTGCTTTGCGCTTCTCCTTCTTTTCTTTCTTGTCGCTCTTGACCTTCTTCACGCCCGAGGTCTCGGCCTTTTTGGCTTGTTTCTCGGCCTTGCGAGCGGCCTTGCGCTCTTCTTTGGACACTTTGGCGTCCGTGCTGGATTTTTCCTTGGCCATTGTTGCGGTTCAAGTTCGAGAGGATGTGCGCGTTTGTGGTCTCGACTGGAACTGTTTCTAGGAAATATTTATAACCAAATTGATCGCAAGGACTTGGATAAATCGCCAAGGCACTCCTGGTTCCTCGAATTTATGGGCACGTTCGCTCGCGATTCGTCGGTTGCACGAAGTAGTAATGGTCCTCTCGCCGAGTGTGCCAGGAGCAAGTTTGTTGCTGTGATGAGCGGTGAGGGACTGTGCAGACGGGAGCTCGGCACACAGTACTTAGGTTGAGGGTAAACAGGGAAGTAAAGTAGCTGGCGGAAACTGCACTGAGCGTCCGAAGTCTCACAATTAATTGCTCTCCGCACCAAAAAAAATGATGGTCGTGAAGGTTCGAAATTTTGGTGGAGTACTCTCTGCAAAATGGTACTAACCTGGTACTAGTAATCTTAGTAAGTACTAGTACCCCAGGAAGGTGCTAGTTAGGATAGGGACTACCAGAATAGGCGCCCTCATTTAGAGTTGGTGCGAAAATAGGCTAAAACTCCGGGCTTAGGCTCACATCCGTTCAGCAAAGAATACCTAATTCTTTGATTGGCTGCGCTGATGCGGCAGAAGCGTCTGAGATCTGAGACGACTTCACACCCGTTGACTATTGCAAGAGCCTCAACGCCATGCTGATGCCGTTGACAAGAACTATTCCAAAGTAGTCAAGTTCGTAAAGATATCATAAGCGTTTCATGCTCAAGATTACTCCGGCCGTCTCGGATCCGGGACAGCTTGCCTGCGTTGATTTGAACCCTCACCCGCTGGCCTTTCAGGAACGGTCGACAATGATCCCTCCCGTGGTTTGTCAAACGACCTTCCCCGCGGACCCAATTGATCCTGCGTGAGGGCAACCAGGCTGCTCCGCGATGTGCCTTGTTCACTCCCGGAAGCTGGCGGACTCCTTGCTCTTTCCTTCTCAGCCTGCCTTTCCTCTCTAGTCTGGGCCATCTTGGCCTTCCACTTCCCAAACAGACCCTTCTTCTCAGTCTCCCCACCTTGTTCCTTTGAGATGTCACCTGATTCTTGACTCGACTGTCCAGCAAGTGGGTGTTGGCCGCTCGTCACTGAAGCATCCTGAGAGTCGGCCGTAAAGCTCTTTCTAGGTCGGTGTAAACTACCAAGAGAACTGTTGCTTCCTCCGGCGCCTTGGTTTTGCCCGATAGGAGGCGGAGGTGCCAATGGCGAATTCTCCCCCTTTTTGGCGGAGGACGAAAACCTCCACCTACGCCGTCGCCTTTCCTGGTCGGGTTGCGGCAGCGTGTCATCGACGAGCTCGGCTTCCGAGTGATCGGTAAAGGACGACCGTGAGTGTATAGATCCAGGAGGGCTAGTCCGGGGTCTCAGACCAGCTACGTGGTTGTGTACATTGCTTCGGATGATGGGAGTCGGATACTGATTCGAGGCAGGCATCTCATCGACGGGAGTGGCCCCAGTATTTGTCAAGGTAGGGGCTTGCGGAGTAGCCAGCGGGTCTGGTGCGCTTCCACTGTTGATATCGGGCGATACCAGAGGTGTGTGGAAGCCCTCCTGCTCTTCCCCATGCAACGAGTTCAAAGAGCTCTGCGCGCTCTCATTGGAGCTGCCAGGAATTCTCTGCCTCTTCTGCAGTTTCCTGGGCTGTCTTGCCTGTGGCTCCGAAGGGCCAAAGATAGGCGACTTATGAAGTAAATTCGATATTTTTCGTTCACGAGTGGTCGCAGGAGCTGGCGCAGAGTCCGGAGCCGGAGCTGCAGCCTGAGTGAAGCCTTGGCCGAGATGAGTTCCCATAGACGGCGTGACGGGGGGAGACTGTGTCCGGTGTTGAGATGGCTGAGCAGCCGCCACCACTTTGATGTTGCCAGCATGGGTTAGTATAGAACCTTTATTTCCATTGACTCCGTCTGGGGCAACGACAGATTCAGATTGCGACGACTTGGATTCGGTGGCCTCTCGACTGGCAACCAGGGTCACGGAGCCTCCCAGGGGAGAGCCGCCTGCTGCCAAGGAAGGATCGGAGACATCATTCAATCTCTGGAAGCGGCCAGACTTGATGACGGGCGATCGTTTCGACGGAACTGTGTTGCTTCGTGCGATCCCTCCACCAGAGTTGGCTGCTACAAATGAGCCAACACCTGGGGGTGTACCTGGGCTCGACATCCCTGGACTACCTCTGTCCCTTGACCCCCGCGAGGACACGGAGACGTTGCGCCGGACTCCGTACTTCCGCAAACTGTCCGCACCAGCACTTGCATTTGACGTTGAGCGTCCGATGACCTTGGGGGAGCGTACAGAGGGCGGCCCGCTCTCGACGTCCTTCTGCGTCTTTTCGTCCACAGCTGTTCCAGACATCCCAATGAGAAAATTGTCCTGATTTTCGATCAAGAAGACCAACACGTCTTGACTGAGCCTATACTCCATTGGGGACATGTCGTGCGATGGGTGGGAAATGATACCGGGTTGGAAGATTGCCGCTAGGTTGGCGGCGGGCATGCGGTTGAGGTCTGACTTTGATGCGAATACCGCCAGTAGGTCGAGGATATAAAGGAGTAATTGACGATTCAAAGGAGGAAGTTCGGTAATGAGTTTTTGATAGGCTCGCACGGCTGCATTGTGTTCTTCCATGGTTAGGTCGCGAGGCTGGACGTCACCGTCGGGCCCATAGATCGCATGACTGGCGCGGAGAGGCTCGCGAAACCGTTCATAGAAGTCGAGGGGAATGATAGGTTCAGGTAGTTGATTCAGGTAGCGACGCAAGATGTTGGCCGCATCATGTACTGTGTAGCCAGTCCAGTCCAGGCCTTTTCCATATCTGTCGGGTGAGTCGAACACCGTCTGCAAATCCTTGATCCTTTTGGCAGATCCGCTCAGTCGAAAGATGCCTTCCACATCGGTGGCTAGATCTGTGTAAGCCGAATGCTATGTGGAAAAGGACGACGGCGTTAATGGTCCCTACCTTTCTCTTTCAAAAACACGCCGCACTTTGCAACTACTATAGGCACGTATCCATAAATGAAGCTTTCGCCATTTTCGTTCTGCAATGAGATGGCAACGTTCGCATATCTGATGCTGTCGGCCAGAGGCACACCAAATATTCCAGGTCCAATATCGCCTGCAACGTAGTTAGTGACGAGCCTGAAAATGTAGATGGACAATTCCTCAGAGAATTGATCGGCTGTCTATGTGCGCAGGCTGGTGTGCACTACTAATGGGCGGGCGCGTTTCTCACCTTTGTCATCCGTCTTCTCGGTTGTCTTCCGAAATTTCCTCCACCATGATGCCAATTCTCTTTTCGATGGCGGGGATGCTGAGGCCAAGGGTGTAGTTGTAGGCGCGGGCGCAGGTGTGTTGCGAGGAAGAGGTTGGATGACAGGTTCTGGAGAGCCCGTTGTCCCTGCACCTCCTGTCGCCATCATGCGGCTACAGGCGCAGTGCGCTCTTCACCCGAAATGGACGGGTTAAGACAGTGGCCCGAAATGTAGACGAGATGCGTTGCGGTGCGGTAATAGTAGTATATGATGTAGTTCTTTGCGCCAGACGCCGCCGCAGCCTAGAAGAGGATTCGGTCGGGGCGAGCTTCGCTGTCGCGCTATATTGACAAGGATTCGGAGGAAACCGAGAACAGGGCGCTAGAACGCACAACATGCAAATATGTCCGACGCTTCTGGAGAGGGCAAGAATGAGTAAATTGTATCGATGTCAGAGGTAAGGACTCGGAAGGATCAGCTGAAGGAGAGGCTGGCCAAGTGGCTCCAGGAGGGCGTCGATCACTAGCACGATAGAATGACAAGCGGCGAGGCGCAGGATCTCTGGCACTTGCGACTCCGAATCTGACTTCAGGCTGGGGTCACGATCTCTCCCAGAGTATCCAAGGAGGGACCGAAGCTGGAAGGACAGTGTTGACCCTCGAAAAGGACGAGACTGTTGCAGTAGTATGCCAGAAGGAGGAATGAGATGAGATTTGGACGATTGTTGGTCGAGCGCAGCCTGCCAGTTCAGGTTGTCGGGGGATGGCTACAAATACATACCCGTGTTAATAAATCCTCGCCATCATGGATCCAGCTAATTCTTACGGCTGCAGGACGAGACGAGAGGTAGCAACGGTACAGAATACAGGATGCACAATTCACACCCGCCAGCTCTGCACAGCCTGCAATAAATGAGTCCTGTGACCAAGCTGTATTTGTTGTTGTTGTCCGCCTGTCATTGCTTGCTACCTACTCTACCTGCGGGCCTAAAAGGTACCTATGATTTCTCGATGCGCCCTGCAGGCATGAAGTACTGTACGAGATTGCGTACGCAAGCTACCTACCTCCTCAGGTCGGGTACCCAAGGGTATAACCATCCTATTATTGTTTGTTGCTCCGAGTCTGACCGGTCATCCAAGCTCTGATGAGACGTGAAACGTGCCGGCAGTGCGCCTTTGGCCTTTACAACACCGTGTCCTTGAAGTTGAGTATCTATCTTACTTTAGGTAGTCTTCCTCCCACGCCTCTCGCCCTCTATTCACTGACATACTCTATAACATACTAACGCGGGCGGAGGACGCAGCTTCCAACCACTGATTGCACTGCAGACGAAGGAATAATGTCCAGGACGTGTCATTCCTCTGTGATCTGCGTTTCGCATCGGCGCGTTTTCGACCCCTCCCCTATATATATCCACGGCTCCAAAGGCTACCTACGTGCCGCAAGCCATCCCTGCCAACCTGGTTACACTACTTACTGAGGCACTGCATCAGGCGGTGTCAAGTGTCGACCTTGGGAACGTCTTCTGGCCAACCACGGCATCTAGAATGGTCCTTGGACGGGTCAGGACTACTAGGTCGAGAGAGGGGAAACAGAACTGCCACAAATGGGCACAATGAGAAGGAAACAAGTCAGTTTGCAGCTGATGAGGTGTGTAATTCGATGGATACATTCAAGACTTGCTATGGTATGTCTAGTATGGACCCCAACCACGGCCCCCAATCCTCTCTATAAGTGGCTGAAGGCCGCATTTCCACCATTGCTGCCTGGGGGACCCGGGCCAAACCTGGCTCCGCGGAACCAACAAGAGACCATCAACGCCTTCTCATAAACCTGGTGCTCATGAAACGCAGACTCCACTGGAGGGTCATGCTCGGAGTAGAAACGCCATTCAATGGTGGATTCCGAATCAGTCGTCAAGTAAAATATGACTTTGGGAATCGATCACATTCCCAAAGGGAAACCGTATCCAGGCAATGCGTTCGTATTCGTGATATCGTCGTTATAACATCCTATTGCTCTTGCTGTTGCTTTTTCTCTTCCGCCTCTTCGAAGTCATCCTCGACGATGGCATTGGCAAGCTGAGGCGCACCGCCGCCGATGGTCAGATTCTTCATTTGCTTCTCGAATTCTCGCTTCATGCCAAATTTGACGGCGTCCAGGACATTGTCCACCGTCATTTTGGGCATGTAAGCAGGTCGGGTGCCTTCCTGGAAGACGCCTGTTCTGACCAGGATGGAGAACCATTGGGCAGACGACCTGCCACTTTCGTCGAATTCATTCGTCCCGCGAATGTCGGACTCCGGGGTATCACCCACGAAGTAAACCGTCTCCGGAGGCCGGTCGATGCCGTGGGTATCTTTGCGCCATTGCTGTAGAAGCCGAGTTGCAAATTCGAAGGTGCCCACCTGGGGCTTTCCGAACGCAACCGTCTTCAGTTCCTTGCCGGTGATGGCTTTGAACATGGCCTCGAGAGAAGCCCGCAGAGCCCCCATACCGATTCGAGAGTAGCTGTGAGAAGTGGCCCAGACGACATCGTTGTGCGAGAAAAATACCGGAGGACCCTCGTCGAACGTTTCCGAGCGGGTGCCCAGCCGACCATTCTTACTCATGCAGAGATCGAGAATGATCTGGGAGTCTCCCGCCCAGTCTCTGCTGTCGGCAAAGACGAAGACGGCCTCGATGTTGACCTCTCCGTAGTTGCGTTTCTTCGAGTTTCTCAGCTCCTCCTCGGTCAGCGTACGGAAAGGAGTGGTGTGTTTGTTGTCCTTGATGATATCTCCTGGAGTGATCACATCCTTGAACCCATAGCCCTCGGCGACTTTACGGCACTTTTCGCCTTCACCACCAACGACAAGAACAGTGTGGTATTTCTCCGCCATCTCCCTCATGGGTGTATGGCCACAGATGAACTGTCCAGGTGACACCTCCATCTGCAGCTGCTGTGAAAGCTGAATGCACCGTTCCTCTTCGGTTTTACCGCCGCCGTTGGTCACGAAAATGTAGGGCCTATTGAAGATTGTCAGCAGTTGTTGCCAGGCACAAAATAGAGAGGTTCAGTTGGCTTACACTTTGATGCCGTATTCATTTTGGCCGTTGAGCACCTTCATGGCCTCAATTGCTTCGGGAATGACCTCGCCTCCTCGGATGAGCACACCGTCGATATCGAACGCGAAGGCATACTTGTCAGTCGTCCTGAGGCCCGAGTCATCTGGCGTGGGAGGCCCAGACTCGTTTGGCGTGCTGGTCTCCGAAGATGTGACCAAATGGTGTTTGGCCATCTCCATGGCCTGGGCGGTTTCGTTGGCATTGGTCTTGGATTTCAGATGTGCAGGCGGTGCAACGACTGTCGGTCCTGAGAACAGATCGGCCCGGGTCACACTTTGACTAGACAATCTCCGTGTCTCTCTCCGAGATCGCTTGCCGTTAGGAGTAGGAGAGAGCAGGTTGTTGTCGTTGTCCTGGACGGCACAGGTGTCTGTTTCTTGGGTCGCCATGTTGGCAATTCTAGTGCCTGTACCAGTCAAAGTATAGAGTCGACTTTCAGGATGTTGGCTACAGAATGATAAAAGTGTTTTACAAGAATATACACAGAGAAATGGGTCCGAGCGAAAAGGCTGCTAGTTCTCCCGGGCAGGGGGTCCAGCGCTTATATACCACCTTCAAGTTCTGACCGACAGCCTCCGATTCTTCTGGAGACATACTAAAATATTTAGGGACACGTACCGACGACCACACCGACCACACCGACCACACGTGGATACCTAGAAGAGTGGATTGATAGAAGATAACTGCAACCAAAACAGTGGGTATCACGAAAACAAAGGCGAAGCCCGTCGTTTGAAGACTGGGTCTAAGGCCCCGGAGTTGATATCCACTTGAGGATTTGATACAGGCCAAATGACGTCGACATGATGGAGTCATTCGGCCGAGTGGGCGAATGAGGAAAATGTGCCTATCGACGAAGACTCGGACCGTGATAAAGGCCCAAGCCTCCAAGTAGTGTTGGGGGGAAAATTGGTATAGGTGATAGGTGAGTGGTGATTAAAAGACTCGACCGGTAGCCCGCTAGGGAAGAGTGATGGGCATCAGCTCGTCCCTTTCCCATGTCTTGCCCCGAGCGATTCAATATTTTGCAGACTTTTCATATGGCATTCATGCTCGTGTTGAAAAGAGCCTCCCCTGCCAAAAACAGGCAGCAGGAAAAAGACGCCGGTTCGCTCAACCAAACAGCTCAGCCAGCCGTGCTTTGATGGTCCCGTTATTGGTGGCACATCAGCTTACTGTCCTTTCGCTGCCAGAGACCCTGCTCCCTTCTTTTTGGTCTCTGCCGGTCTTGCCCAAGCTTCTGCAAGGGTTTTCGGTGGATATCGATGGATATCGATGGATCTGGCCTGAAACCCAGTCGTGGACCCTGTTCTACCCGCCATTCGTGTAACCGAACGCCACTTCTGTCATTACCTCCCCTGTCAAATCAGCGGCTTGCCTAGTCAGGAACGCCCAGGGTTGGAATTGAAGTCTGCAAGTGATTTCTTCGGTGTTTGATCAGTCCGTTAGGTAAACTTTCGGTGCCGCAGCATTCGAGGTTACGCTTTCACATGCGCACCATGACACGTTCATTAGTCCCAAGTAACGCTTCCTTGGTAGAGCCCATGCAATCGGTACAGGACAGTCAGCGCTAGACTTTGGTGCTTCACATGGCACACTGAACGCCAGGCACTCGGTAGAAGGATACTCGGAGGTGCCGAGCGGTGTTCAGGCTGACGGCCGGAAGGGATAAGCCGGCTTGTTGCGAATGATCTTCAATTGCTAACCATAACCGTGCTATACAAAACAGACAGAGCAAAGGGGACAGCTTGAGCCACACCTGTCCGGAAATGCGCTGACTACCAAAGTCTCCAACACCTTCGCTAAAAAAGAAGAGCTGAACGCTGAACATGACGCCGCGCTGTCTATTCGAAATTCAAAACACCAAGTCACATGCAGAGCTCAATCTCCAGGTGACGTGCCGATCCGTGTTCAAATGTAAAATTCGTTTTCGAGCCAATGACGGACCACCACCTTTCCCTCCTCAAATGCAGGCCGAGGAGAGCGTACAATGATTGCAGCATGACTGTGACTGCTCTTATGAATATGCACAGGAAACTTGCGGAATCCCACGTCGTCGAGCGCCTTGATCATTGCAAACTGCATGGCAGTTAATGCTAGGGTGGGGAAGTCGGGAGATCTCTCTGATACCGAGATGTCTTTCTTCGTTGTGTCGACGTCTGTCTTTTCAGAAAGCAAGGACTCCGAGGACCCGTTGCCAAGTGTCGACATCGAGGACGAAGGCACTCCGGTGGCCATCTCCTCGGATCCTTGGGGAAGATATTCCTGCTCCTGCGCCGAATTTACGTTCTCAAACGCATCCTCCAGGCCAACTCGCATCTCTCGGACCATGTAAGGGATCCGATACATTCTAAAGCCCACCCCGTGTTTGTCGGTCTCGTGAAGCTGGATACGGCGACGGCTCCGGAGAGTTTGGACACATGAGTTGGCCAGGAATGCCAGGGTCGCCACAGGAATAAGAACAATCAGAGCGAGAAGGATCGGCGCCCGGCGCAGGAAGGTCTGGCTGCTGTGACGCACTCGCTGATAGAAGGATGGCAGCTCCTGATCTGGTATGAGATCGCAAGGATGGTCAGGATCCAATATCACAGGCTCATAACCCTTCAAATAATGGATATTGATCCTGTTGAGCTCGATGAAAGGATCCGTCCTAGAAATTCCCGTGGTATAGAAAACCGCAGACCTGTCGTTGACAATGTTGGCGTAGAGCGATCGGTGTTGAAAACGTGCAAGCGCATGTATGAAGATACTGTCAGGGTCGGCCAAAACACTCAGAATTGGTCTGTCGGTGTTCCTGAACTTGTCAATCATGAACAATTGCCGCCCAGAGGCAGAGAGTGTCCTAGCACCCAGGACATTCCATAAGTGGTTTTGATAGCCCGTCAATGGGGTTCTGACGCCGAGGTGTGGAGTTGCAAACGTGGTGAAGTTGATCGGGCTGATCTTGTCAAAATATCCCTTCGAGTCCAGCAGGCCGACAGCGTAGCGGGCAACCAGGCCACCCAGAGAATACCCAACAATCGAGAACTTTGTGATCTTGTAGCCATCGCGCCCTAGCTCTTGTAGAATGTCCTCGATCTCTTTGGCGATCCGCTCTCCACCCACTTCGATACCATCGTAGGTCAAGGAGGAACCGTTGTTGCGACAGGCGTGTACAATGAGCTCTTCTTCATTGTACCGTTCGCGGAGGGCTTGGGCGAGATAGTTGAGGTGACTCTAGAGCAAGAATTAGCGGTCTCGACTGCGCAAGTGTTTCCATACTATACCGCGTTGCCCCAAAGCCTATGAAAGTGTTAGTCATATTGTGTCCAGCAATGGGTATGCTGTGGCGCGCACCCGTGGACCAATGCAACCAGATGAGAAGCCTTGTTCGGAGTGTAACTTCCTGATTTCCGTGTGGCCTCAGCCATATCCGGCTTGTAAAAGAGTGCTTGTCTGTCGAAGCTGCGCAAGTCGAATGGAAGTGCTGTAGCCATGCTCTTCGAAGGGAGATCTTTGTTGATGCCTCTAGTATATGCCCTGCAGAAGTATGACGACAAGCCCGAAGCAGTAAGCCCACGGACTGGTCAACCTGCTTGGGCTTTAGCTGGTCGTGGAATGGGGTGACGCTAAAGGGCTCCCTAAGGTGTGCCTAAGATATGCCTCTGCTATCCAAGCGTCCGAAGGTGAAGGCTCAGGCTCCTTGACCGCCACTGCAGGCTGCAGCGAAAATGCCACTGACGGAATGATTGGTCCAGAATCCTCTGCTCGCTCGTGATATTTCCTGAGTATCTTGTTGCTATCACAGCTATCTCGCTGCTACCTTCTTCCGCCACTGACGCCGAACGATAATGCCAACTGGAGATTTGGCTGTATTCGTGGTCTCGCACGGTCCGTCCTAAGCCAGTGTGCTCGTCGTCGCACCACGTTGCCACACAGCTGCGACCAGTGGAGGCGGACTACGGTTTCTGGGCGTGTGTAAGAGCCTCCAAGATCCGTAGGCGATGAAAAGAGTGAGCGTCAGAAGCGAGGTGTCACAAGATTTGGTACGCGACTTCTCACAACATACTGCAAACGGCGGGCCCTTGCAGGTATATATTTTCCGCCAGGTTGGTCATAAGAGATACGCCAGGATTAAACAGGCTCAATCATCCCCAGCCGCCACGACCTCGGTCACTCAGTTTCTCTCCTAGTTCCCATCAATCTTGCTATCTGACCATTCGCGGGCGGCCGATAAGAGTTTGGCTGGCTTGGGCAGGTGGACAAAGTGACCTTGGTATCTTTCCACAAGGCTTAGAGTTACTCAATGGGAAAAGCGCGCCGTCCTTGACGACCCTTGCCGTCGGAACGATCGATGATTTCCTAGATTCAACCAATCCCATTTCTTGCAGACATTCAGAAACCGAGAGCCGCTCCCCTGGGGCGCAGTCGGTCTGGCAGATTCACCAACCCAACAAATGTACAGAGTCACATAGTACTTTAGTACTACACCATCATTAACTGTGAGGGAGGCGACCAAGCAACTGGCCAGAGAGGTGGAGAGGATTTCGAAGGTGGAAAGTACAAGCGGTCGGTCTGCCGTCCAGTCTGTCTCCCGCCCTCCTCGATCCTGATAACGTACCACGGGCCGCCGTCATGTTCTCCGCCATTGGCCTGTTCAAGGGAATACCATGTCCTCGGCAACATGAATGTACACTTCCAAGCTGCTTCTTTCTGCATAACCCATCTCCATCATCTGCAAATGCGGAGGCAGTTGCCACAGCGGCCCAGGAATATGATCCGTTCAGTGCAGGGGAGATCAGTGCTCCTCCTCTCAAAAGAAGAAGGCTAGCATCACCACAGCATGCAGGAGAGAAAAATGCCACAGTGCTATTCGACCTGGACACGAATCCGCCAAAGCCTCAAACTCTGACTAAGGCCACACTGGGGGCCACAAACTCGTCCACCAAGAAGGGGAACAATGGCAACAACGGCGAAGCTTCATCGCCAGTTCGGGTTCTCAAGGCACAATCAACGATGAAAACAATACCTCCCTCAATTGCTAGGAAGGTTTCACCACCGCCAACAAGAGAAAACAAGACCCTCGTTGCCCCAGTTGCAAGGAAAGTGGTCAAAGTCGAGTCTCTGACACCCCGGAATGTGGCGAAGGCTCCAGCTGTATGGAAGACGAGGTTGGCAGTCCTACAGAAGTTGCACGAACAGCTCCAAGCTCAGAATGAAAAGCTTGCAGCAACCGGGGAGAAATGGAAGCCCCTGATATTGGACAAGCAGGAGTTGATTACTTTTGCTCTCGATGAGGAGGAGGCCGCCACGAAGCTCGGGGAGAACATTTACAAGAACGCCATGGCTCAAAAAGTACTGAGGATCAAGAAGATGACGACAGAGGAATGGGTCAAGGCCGTGGCAGACTGGACAGGCACGTCTGCGCAAGTTCGCCCACGGCAAAAGTCTGATGGCGACGCCTTGAGACCGTTTCCTCCTAGTCTATCGTCTACAAGGGAACAGATCGCTGTACTCAGGCATCTACGCACTCCACTCGAGGGTCTTGAGCAGTTTGGGTACGTCACGAGCAAGCCCACTGCGAGCGAGATCGCTTCTGCCAAGGCAGCGATAGCAGCCGGGGCGGGCTTCGAGAGCTGCGATCGGTGTGGTACACGATTCCAGGTCTTTCCAGGCCGGGATGATGGTGGTCGTCTTACAAGCAAGGGCAAATGTCGATATCATTGGGCCAGAGCCGGTCGCTCGGCTCCGCAGAAGACTGACAAGATCATGGGGCAATCCGAAGCCATCTACCCGTGTTGCAACAAAGTCCAAGGCAGTGAAGGCTGCTCTGAGGCCGAAACGCATGTTTACAGTGTCAAGGATCCCAAAAGACTCGCCGCGATTCTGCAGTTCGAGCATACTCCAGACAAGCCGGACATACGTGGCTTACCGCCAATTTCCTTCGATTGTGAAATGGGATATACGACACTTGGGATGGAGGTTATTCGGGTGACTGCCGTCTCGTGGCCTGAAGGGAGACTTGTGCTAGACATCTTGGTACGACCATTCGGAGAAATTCTCGATCTGAATACAAGATTCTCGGGTGTGACACAGCAAGCTTTCGCCAATGCGCTGCCATACGAAATTACAGCGTCTGACAAGGGGGAGGCGGCTGAAGGAGTCGGGTCTGAGGAGGCCTTTGGGCTTCACAAAGTCGCATCACCTGCAGTGGCGAGGCAGCTGCTCTTCGACCGCCTGAGTCCAAACACTCCCCTAATCGGCCATGCCATTGAGAATGATCTGAACGTATGTCGAATCATCCACCCATTCATCATCGACACCGCCCTCCTGTACCCCCACCCACGGGGCTTGCCCTTCAAGTATGGGCTCAAAATGCTGAGCCAGAAGCACCTCTCGAGAGGAATACAAACTGGCGGCGAGGCTGGCCATGATTCCAAAGAGGACGCCATTGCGACGGGCGATCTCGTCACCAAGAAAGTGGTGGAGAAGTGGAGCGTTATGCAGCATGAAGGTTGGGCGTTTGTGGATGGGATGTTGATGGCACCAGAGGAAAAGGGGAGGGGTGAGGCAGTCCGGCAGTCCATGCTCTGATCGACTTTGGGGGATGAAGAAGACGCCCCCCTGGAGTTGAAGACCGATATAGCGTACCTGTAACGCACCACTGCACTGCAGGTTAAGGTACCAATGTTCTGTCAGTGTTGAGTGGTGACAACCTTGGAACCGGCACGTGCATTGGAACGGACAGGCTAGTCTTGTATGGACGTTAGCCTGAAAATCGCCCACTGCACTGCACGGAACGACTCGAGCCCCTTTCAAGTTCCCTTGCGGGAGGCAGATGGAGGGACGCTGGGCTACTAGGGGGACGATGGACACGCTGTCACAGGCTCCCCTAGGCTCGCAGCCCGTTATTTGGGACCCGCCTGGAACTGTCGTGGTATCAAACCGCTGCACTGCACTGCGCCTGCGTCCTGCACTGCAGAGGCACGCCGCCATACCTAATTATTTCGTACTACCTGATCAACCAGATTTGCTCCTAAACCCTGATAATGTCTTGTCCTTAACGATCCGCGAATCTCACGAAATTCGGATATCAGCATTGCTCACTCTCCCTATAGCACCTAGTCGCTCGTGCCGTCGGTAAAACGCGAGATTTCCTGCCTCTCTGTTTACTCTGGCGCCCGGACGCCCGCAACTCGTAACAAAGCGACCCCCAGGGTTGATACACGACTTCAATCACCCGGCGCCCCTCGTGTCTCTGCAGACAGGCATTAACACCGGCGGCGACTGGGCAGAGGCTCCAGCCAGTCAAGATGGGCAACCAAATATCCAAGATGATGGGGAAGATCTTCGGCTCGAGAGAAATGCGACTGTTGATGCTGGGACTGGACGCGGCAGGCAAGACAAGTGAGTGATGACGATGACCCCATCTACACTACCGGAATATCGTCCATACTCCTCTACCCGTCGTCGGATCGTTGACCCCGCCTAGCTATCCTCTATAAGCTCAAGCTCAACCAGGATGTTACGACCATCCCTACGGTGGGCTTCAACGTGGAAACCGTGACATACAAGAACGTCAAGTTCAATGTTTGGGATGTGGGAGGGCAAGACAAGATCCGGCCTCTGTGGCGACACTATTTCTCGGGCACCCAAGGCCTCATTTTCGTCATTGACTCCAACGACCGAGCGCGGATAGACGAAGCGCGTCAAGAGCTACATCGAATCATTCTAGACCGAGAGATGAAAGAGGCACTGCTGCTGGTGTTTGCCAACAAACAAGATATTCCGGGCTCTATGACGCCGACGGAAGTGACGGAAAAGTTGAGATTGTCGCAGCTGAAGGATCGCACCTGGTATGTCGTCCCCAGCTGCGCCACGACGGGTGAGGGATTGCTCGAAGGTTTGGTAAGTCGATGAAGATTCTCGTTGGGAAGTCCCGTTTCTGACGGCGTATGTCCAGAGCTGGCTCTCTACGAATGTCAAACAGCAGCCTAGGCCAGCGGGAGCGAGATAGGTGCCCGAATCGCTCCCCCAAAAGGTTGTACGGTGGCATGATGTTTGTTGATTGTTCCCTAAGCTAGGAGCTTCGACAATAAGCCGGCCAGCATTGGCCATGATACCAATTTGCGAGCGTTCTTGGAGGCGATTAGCGAAAGGTACTAGTATTCAGCGCATCGAGTCCGCAAGGCGTTTCCCAGCGGCATGTTGTTCTGTGGTCTTTTCCTCCATGGCTGCAATCAAGCATGGTGCTGCAGCATGAAGCATCATTGAGCTGTGCTATTCTTGGTGCATATTTTTCCAGAATATTTTGAGCGATCCATCCGTGCATTTCGCGGACACGGTATCGTACAGCATGGACACAACGAGCGGTATTCGGGTGAGCGCTCTGGCGCGAGAGGAGTCCAGAACTTAGCAGAACCCGAGCGGGTATTTATTCACTCCACGAGAGAATGGGTCACCCGGCGCACAAGGGAAGATCCTGGACCCATGCTGAAGTGAGATTGTGACGGTTGTGCAACCAGGGCAAGGCAAGGGTCATGGCGGCGGACGATACTATTGAGGCAGACGCCCTCAGGGGGGCAACGATCAAGCATCGGCTGTGCGCATGAAGAAAACTGGTTGTATCGAACATTTTGTATCATTAGTGAACAGTCCTTGAAGAGATATATCTACCTGTACCTTATTAAGCCGGAGAGACTCGGCGCAGAACAGGCGAAGTAACTTGTTCTCTTTCCATGGTCTGTCTATCACATCTGTCTACCATGCCTCCAGCTTACTGGTACGGTGCGTACATCGTTATGGTCGTACACGCACAATCATGCAGCCGCATCTGCTTTACTATGGCATACCTACTAGTATAGGACTACGACTACCTACTACTACTAATAATATGCGCCTCGAACGCCTGTTGTTGCCATCCCAGGCACTAATGCGTGTTCATGCACCCCCTGCACAGGACCTGCATACACGGTTCGGATGGCAACGAACCCCTGGGCCCAGATGAGGGAACACACGGATTGTCAGAAAACAAGGTACGGCAAACACCAGCACACGTCCGGGGGGCTGCGAGATGATCCTAAAGTTGACCTCACCATTGGCTGATGGGGCTCCAGACTCGTGGGTGCTCTTTAGTTATGACAGCGCAAGCATCGGTGAAGAGCATACCCTGACCAGCCTGTTGATCAGAGGCAAAACAGAAATGCTCTAGGCAGAAGACTTGACTTAAGTCATATCATAATAATATCTGAGCCCTGGACAGCATGGCGCCATCTGGCTGCTGGCTGTTGGCTGCTGGCACCTGCCATTCGGGCCGTGCCACTTTACCAACTTCAAACGGGGCCAGGAACCACTGGCACTGGCACTGGCATTGGCACTTACAGTCTGCACTTTTCTACCTGTAACATTTCGTCCATCCTTGAATTCCTCCTCAGCAGCTACCTCTATTTAGATAGGTACCTTACAGCATGTGCCACTCTCCCAAGAAGAAGAAACGGAGGATTGCAGTGGTGCAGTGCACTAGTCCATCTACACGAACGCCCCTGCCTACCATCCAATCCAAGAGATCTTAACAGGGGTCTCTCCTTCTCCTATCTCGCGTTCCTGTCGACTATCCACCCCCTCGGTCTCCTCCCATTCCCCTCCACTGCTACCTGGCCAGCAACTGCTTCCCCTCCAGCTCGAGGTTGCCCTCACTCCTCTGGCATGTTGGCAGGAGGTACGCTGTCTGGCACACGGGGGTCGTCGGCGTTTGTCCTCGTTACTGCGCTCTCTTCTTGCTATATCCCTTCGGCCCTGCTGCGAATACTGGGCCGCCTTGCTTGTACGGATTCCTCATGGCAGACAGTGGTCAACCTACCGTCGCCAATGGCACCCGCAAACCCTCTGTCCTGATAGTGGGAGGCCTTGGTGGGTGGAAGTTCCCAGATGGACGTCTCCGAGTCACTAACATCGCCAGGATATATTGGGCGCTTCCTGGCAAAGTACATACATTCGCGAAATCTTGCATCTTCCATTCGTATTGTCGATAAAGTCCTTCCTCAGCTAGCACATCTTGCTCCAGAATTCACTGAAGCATGTTCCTCCGATATCTTTATACAAGCCGATGCTTCGAGAGAGCTGTCCATGTCCCGCATCTTCGATCATCCTGACGGCCCCGACGCAAAATGGGACTACGTCTTTAATCTTGCCGGTGAAACGGCCTGGTCACAGGCGCCCGAGATATACAGACTAAGATCCTGGCAAGTCAGTGTCACCCTCGCAAAAGAGGCAGCCAAACGTGGGGTGAAAGCCTTTGTCGAGGCCAGCACGGGCATGGTCTACGCTCCCAATCGCACCCCCCGCACCGAACAAGACAAATTGAAGCCATGGCTGAAACTGGCCAAAGTCAAGCTGGAGGCCGAACAAGAGCTGTCGCGGATCCCCGGGCTCAATCTGGTCATCCTGCGCATGGCACATGTCTATGGAGAGTATGACTCAAACTTCATCGCCAAAGCTCTGTGCCTGGCGCGTGTCTACCAAGAACAGCAGAAAGAATTGAAGTGGTTGTGGACAGAAGACCTGAGGATCAACACCGTTCACGTGGAAGACGTTGCAAGGGCTCTGTGGGCAGCAGCGCAATGGAGATCTACCAACTCGACCATACCGTCGGTGTCACCCACGAGCAGCAGGAGACCAACATTGGGTTCCAAAGGCGAAGAGGCGCCGATAGGCAATGTGCCTATATTCAACATTGTCGACCATGGACAAACAAGTCAGGGCATCCTGGCGGACATCGTGTCCAAAGTTTTCAACATCAAGACTGGTTTCCAAGGTTCGCTGATATCCCAATTCGCCAAGATGAATCTTGAGCGCGTCGTTGATGACCTGAACGAAGATGTTCTTCAACCATGGGCGGATATGCTCGAACAAAAAGCCATCACCAAGCCGGGTCCGCTTACTCCGTTCCTGGAGAAGGAGTTGCTCAAGGATACGGACTTGAGCTTGGATGGTGGTCTTTTTGAAAAAACCGTGGGCTTTCACTATGAGCGTGGAGAAGGTCTAACGGTAGAGCGTGTCAAAGAAATGATTGCCAGTTATGAAAGGATGGGATGGTGGCCGTAATACGGGCATTCGAACTATTGTTGGACTTCGTATGAAGCTATAGTTTGTCTTCGATTCCCTTCTCTCCACGAACCTGCACCAGCCAAAGTGATAGGAGTGAGCATCATTTCAGAGAGCAGTCTGCTGCAAGACTTGAGCTTTTCAGCATTGTTCGCATTTTGCATTGTTCGGCGGCGCGGTACTAGCCGCTACGGAATGGTTGCATTGAGCGAGTTCGTATGAGCAGCAGACCACCTACCCAGGAAGGCATACTAGTAGGCGGTGAATGAGAGGAAAGGCGACCATTGTGAGAGTGCTTCGCTGTGCCGTGCGGCTCCTCGGTGCTGTACTTTGCTTTCAAACCTTTCCGGAGGAGAAGGGCTGTCTCTCTGAAGCCTGTCGACAGGGCATTTATTCGGCTTGAAGATTGACATCAGCACGGGTGTCAAGACATCTCCGGCGGCCTAGCCTGTCTCTATTCTGGCATCGAGAATGGGTTTCCAACTGTCGTCCCTTTCCTACGACACATGTGCACGATGAGGAAGCATGGCTCGAGGGTGTTCGGCCGAACTAAAGGTATGGGCATAAGCCAGCCCAGAGATCAGAGACCATACAGAGTCCACAGAATACTGTACTGTACCTACAATAGGTAGTCAGGTACAGAATGAAATCGATTAGAGTGAGCTTGGAGGTGCTCTTCGTGGCCCTCGAGATTTTGATACCAGCGAGAATTATATATAGCGGAGTGGATCTACTCCTGCCGGCCTTACTGTTCCCTCGTCCTTCTGCTGCTTGGACAAATCAATCACCTTCGCCGTCGTGTTTGACCTCTACCGCCTTTCGACGTCTCACTTCCCATCATCGCAGCCAGAGCATCCATGCCGCGAGTCACTCCTTTGCTCGGCGGTGCGGCTGCCGAGCCAGGCTGTTGATATTGATGTTGATGGTTGTGATTGTGGTTTAAATTTTGGCCTTGGCCTTTACCGTTGCTGTTGGGTTTGCCCCTGCTTCTGCTCGTGCTACCTTGCGAAAAGCCCGAGTTTGATCTTGATTTTGATTTCGAGTTCGAGTTTGAGTTTGCATTCTTGGACCGCGGGTCTAGGCCGGCCATTGCGTCCAAGGCGTCCATTCCGCGCATGACTCCTTTCCCGGGCAAAGCGGACGGATCCCTTCCATGACCATGACGAGAGACAGGTTTACGACTTTGTTGACTCTGTTGATAGGGATGAGACCGTGACCCTGCGTGACCTGAATGCATGGCCTCGGATGATGGAGGGGTGGTCCGAGCGGCCCTTTCGTCGGTATATGTGGGTGTGGGTGAGGTTGATGGTGTCCTTGGCCTCGTGGGCGTCCTCGATGGGAGATCATCGGACCACATTCGCGAGGATGCAGAGTCCCAGTCTGACGAGGGAGGGTTGTATGTATTTGCAATGTTCTTGTTACCTCTTCTGTCTGATGACGAAGATGATGAAGGGCTTTCGGCTTCAGCTAGCCAGTCGCTAAGCAGGGAGCTGGGGCTGCTGCGACTGCCGCTTCTCCTTTTGTTGGAGGAAGACGTCGTGTCTTCGTCTGGGGTTAGGGACGGGAAGATCTTTGCTCTTGCTCCTTTTGAGTCCGGCCCACGTTGAGTTCCCGTGGAAGAGGCTGGGGAACTCGAGTTGAGAATTTCGCGCAGGAAGTCTTCGACGCTGAGGCTGGTTCCTGGAGCCGGGGCCGGAGATGAAGAGGTTGACTCTGAGGTTTCTGGAGGCTCGCTTTCGGAAGCGTTTTGTTCGGCTTCGACCCGTACGGAATCTTCCTGTCCACCGTTCTCATTTACAGAGACTTCCTGCCCAACGTCCTCTTCCGGTACAGGTACAAGCAGCACTCGATCCTCGGCCGGCATTTTCTTCAACACGCCATGAGATTCTGCTTTTTGCATTGCATACGTGTCGAGACCAGCAGCGCGCAACACTGCCCATTGCAGATTCGGGACTCCGAAGGCGGATCTCTTGGTGACAATTTTCGCCGACTCTTTGGTCGTCATGCCATTCAGGAACCCTGTCGCAATGATCTCGCCCAGGCCCAGACTATCGTCCACGTCCAGAAGAGCTTGGGCCCTAATCTGCATCAAGGCCGCTCGCGCCTCTTTGTTAAAGGCAAATCTATCACATTTCGTGGCGACGATCTGGTAGGGAATAGCGGACGAGTTCAAGATATTGAAGATGTCCAGGTCGCGGCCCATCACACCATGAAGCACGTCGATGAGCACAAACGCTCTCCTAATATTCCTCCGTTTGGCCAAATACTCGACGATCGAGTTGCCCCATTCCGTCTGACTCCCGTGTCCGTACCCCGGCATATCGACCAGGGTGAGTTTGGGGCTGACGTCGCCATCCCATCCTTTTATCGCTCCGCCGTCTGGCGTCCGCGCCGCCAGTGTCCAGGCGGCCATGGCCTTCGTCGCTCCAGGTACGGCGCTGACGCGGTTGATGTCGGTCGAGGTCAGCGCGTTGATCACCGAGGATTTGCCCACGTTCGACCGCCCGAGGAAGATGACTTCGGGGAGGTCCTGCGAATCATTTTGTCGGTTCCGCCAGCCTTCGCCCGTCCAGATCCGCGTGGGGATGTTGTGTTTGAAGAAATGCTCCGCGGCGGCTAGGTTCTGTCGCGTCGGCGGACGGGTCTGCCAGTACCAGGAGTCTGCTGCCCGAGGCTGCGATTGAGACTGCGGTTGAGACTGCGATTGCGGCTGTGGTTGAGATGGTGGTTGCGCTTCTTCATGCGCTCGGCTGTTGTGGAATTTGCGTCGGCCGTTCTGAAGCTCGATCAGACGCTGGTGGAAACGGGAGCGAGATAGCAGACGGCATGAGGTGCATGGAGAGCCTTGCATCGAATTCAAGTTTGTAAGGAGAGGGAGCCAAAGGTAGGTAGGTATGTGCGGAAAAGTCGAGTATCGGTTCTAATACGATAGGATCGTGTATAGAGAGCTTGACCACGATCTGTTCTGGTAGTGTTTGATACCTTCAAGTTGGGTACTTCAAATTTCTTTGGTTTGTTAGATGGGACAAAATATGTCATGAAGTTTGCATTTTGCTTTTTTCGCGGCATGTGGTTCTAGTTTGGAGTTGGAGTTGGAGTTGCTCATCACTGGTAGGCTGCGCCTAAGGAGCCCATCGCTGGGGTCCTAAGGGGATGTCGTTACCCGAAACTAAGCCTGAGCCTCCCTAGCCTCAGCCTGAACGTGAGTGTCGTTCGATTTGAACCCCACAACCGGCGGGTTCGCTTTCAACTTGACCATCCCGTCGTCTGTCTTTCGTGTTCCTACGCCCATACTACCTAGGATGGATGTATATAAAACCAAAACACCTACATGAGTTGCTGTTGATACCACCCTCATATTGTGGCCTTCTTTCTCCTTCCCCCTTCGTCGCGATGATCAACGCTGTTCTTGTGTTCAATAACAATGGCCAACCCAGGTTAACCAAGTTCTATTCCCAGCTGGTAATACACACACGCTTCATTCGTTCGTGCTCCAGTCTAACCTCATGCCGCAGGACACAGCAACGCAGCAGTCATTGCTCTCCCAGATATTCACTCTTGTATCGGCTCGACCGGCCTCTGCCTGCAATTTCCTCCCTCTTCCTCCTCTACTGGCCCCGGCAGCCAGCAGTGCCTCTCCCGATGCTCCGACTCAGATCACCTACCGCCATTACGCGACCTTGTACTTCATTCTGATCTCGACCTCCACAGAGTCGCCGTTGGCCCTGCTCGATTTCATCCAAGTCTTTGTCGAGGCGCTTGACAGGCTCTTCGAGAACGTGTGTGAGTTGGACCTGATTTTCGGCTTCGAGACCCTCCATGCAGTTCTGAGCGAGATGGTCGTCGGAGGCGTCGTGGTCGAAACAAGCCTCGAAAAGATTGTCGATGGAGTCAAGACGAGCGAAGGCACGAAAGTCAAACGGAGGGCTGTCAATTCGCGCGACTCGGGGAGCTCTATTGGCAGAGGCACCGGTTTCGCTGGCTTGGGTTGGGCTACTGGCACAGGAAGCAGCTGGAGATGATAGTCCGGCACGAAATCGAACACATTGCCCTCCAATTGCCAACGGGAAGAACTCGATTGGGTCCATGCCTGAGGCTTCAGCTCGCCATGCTCTACGGAGTCTCCCAACCTGCAGGTTGATGAGCAGTGAGCGCGATGTCGACCTCTAGGCATTCAGCCGCAACCCTACGATGTTGAGATTACATCCACGTCAACACCGCCTGCCAGGCCAGTCCAAAGGTCAGGCAATTGGTGCAGACATGCGGCTGAAAGGGATATAACTTGGCCGAGATGATTGAGGGCTTGCGAGTCTGGCGACCACTCATATCCAATGCCCGCACAGTACAGTACGTACGTACGTACCAACACACCTGTGGCCACAGCCAGTGGCCGGGTGATACTTTCATTGCGATCAGCCCTGGATGCCAACTACTAGCATAGCCTAAGGCTCGGTGCCAAAAGAGATGGCGGTCCCCTCAGAACCACCCGAGCCTTAGCCGAAGCATTATGGCCAATCTGTGGTCACCTGGCTTACAGGCTGAACATCAAATGGGGCCCAAACAATTGCTATCCTGGCCAGATTGCCTACCATCATCATGTACCAACAAAGTATCGGCCCCATCATCTGCACTCATTTGCAGCCGTATCTATTATTGTCAAGGGGCAGCTCGGCGTGGAATGTTGCCAAAAGAACAATGCTACCATGCTAACCTGTCGCCCCATGCCATCCTGTTCGGCTTTATCCACCTTTTGGACGTTTCAGCTCGTCTAGCCGATGATACATAGATAAGCCACGCCGGCCCAATTCTCAAGCAAACACCTGCACTGTGTTCGTCTTTCTTGGTCGCGTCTTGCTGGTGCCCGACACAATGTCAGTAAAAGAGGATGACTATGATCTCCGGGAGCATGGGACAAGGCTTGCCGGTCCTTCGCAACCACGACCAGTGGCGACGCCAATCTGCTTCAAGGCAAGGCTCAAACCCCTGAAGAGGTGCTTTCGCAACTCAGATTGAAGCGTCATGCGGACGACGAGAAAAGGGCAGAGTATGGGGTATTGAAACTAGTACTTCGGAGAACACTTGTTCTAGTCCAGAATCTAGGAGGTATGGCGGCCTCGGCTGCGAGTATGGTACGAACCCTAGGGTGTCCGAGGAATCATTTATCGATATAGAAAAATCCTAACACCCGATACAGGTCTATGGTCCTAGTAGTCTCTGCTTCAATGCTATCTCTTATTTGATCAGTGCAGGGCAGAGCTACAGAAACATCTTTACCAGTCTGACGCAGCTCTTCGAGGATGTCTCGGACGTCCTTGAGAGATTCGTTGTCTACCTGAAGATGAAACAAGTGGACGAGCCTCTCCGGAAGATCATGCACAAGATCCTCTTATCATTTGTCACTATCTGCGAGCTGTCTGTGCATGTCCTCCAGGGCAACAAGTTGCTGAAGTTTCTCAAGGTATTGGCCTTCAAGGAAGATGATGAGGTTGGTGGTGCCATTGCCAGTCTGAGAGATCTTGTCGAACGAGAGTCCCAAATGAAAACCACTCTTACCTATCAACTTGTCAAAGACGGGTTTGGCGAAACTCAAGATGCCATACTTGGAGTGAAAGCATCCGTGGACAGAATGTTGACGGACAGCTTGGAACGAAAGCAAGTTGAGCTGATCAAGGCCAAACTTGGCGTGCACAAGGAGGCTGATGAACAAGTCAAATCATACCAGCGCCTCTTTTCCGAAGGTATCCTGGGCAGTGGAAGCTGGATACATAAGAACAGACATTTCATCGAGTGGAACGATCAAACCGCCACATGGGACAGGCTCTTGCTCTTGTCGGCAAATGAAGGGTATGGAAAGTCCTTCCTCGTCACCACTATTATTCATGACCTTGAGAAACGCTATGCACGGTCTACCTCCGCCTCGTCACGAACGATCATCGCATATTATTATGTGGAGCAGCAAGGTCTCGGTCCCGGAAGAGAGCCTCTCAGTGATCAAGGTATGAAATCCCTCATCAGGGCGCTCAAGACGATAGCAATACAGCTAGTCCAGGACCCGATTTATCGGAAGGGCCTTGCTGCCATCTGCGACAAGTGGATTGAGCCTGATAGCCCGGAAGAACTCTTCGCAAGGCTGTTCGAGCCATGCTTGCGCAGCAGCGAGACTTTCTATGTCATACTGGACGGTGTGGAACCATTGGGAGAAAAGAGTGTGAAGACGCTACGTGGTCTTCTGGAGACCATGCAGGCACGGCACGCCCCGGATCGGTTGAGTCACCTTAGAGTACTGCTCGCAGGTCGATCATCAGTCCTGAAAGCCTTCACGGATGCTGTCCATCTTAGGACCGTGGACATCGACGTTGCCAGCAATAATGGCCCAGACGTAGAGCGCTTCATCGCTGATAGACTGGAGCGAATGGATTTTCTGCATGGCAAGTCGGAGCAGGTCCAGAGTCTCCGCAAGGAAGTGTACACCAGTCTCTGTGAAGGTGCCTACGGCGACTTTATCAACGTTGAGCTCCTCCTGAAAGAGATAAGCACAAAACGCTGGCCGGCGGAAATTCGAGAGGTCCTCGCGAACAAATCTCAGAGATCCGATACGATAGCTCGAGAAGTGAAACGGTGCAATCAAAGCTTTCAGGCTCGAGATATCCATGACCTCAGTGCCCTTCTTACCTGGGTAATGTGTGCCAAAAGAACACTGACTGTTGAAGAACTGGAAGCTGTCCTTTTCCTGAGGAACAAGGAAGCTTCTCTGCGGTCGCTGTACGACCAGTTGCGGGATCGATACTCGGCATTCTTTATCGTTGAGAAGCCTGACTACATGGAGCCGAACAAAGGTTCGGTCACATTGGTATCTGTTTCGATTCGAGACTACTTTCGCCGCCTCCCTCAATCGGAGCAAGAAGAGGAGAGCAATCAGAAAAGCAAAATTCATCCCAGTGAGGTCAGAATTCTTCGACACTTTTTGGACAGCGTGTGTGACGAAGACTTGTATGCAAAGTTTGGCTTCGAGCAATTCTTTGACCGGAAGTTGTCTTCGAATACTGCAGTGGTCCATGTCGACCTGGAAAATGCTCACCTGACTGTACTCTTGGATTGCTTGCAGACAATACCTCAGTCTAGCGAAGTCGGACTGAAGGCCTTGTACCACTATGCTTGCCGGTTCTTCGTGGCACATTTGCAAGAGATTGATTTGACTACGGTGAGGCTCAGTGATAAAGCGCAGATCGGGCAGTGTCTGGTCGACATGTTCAGTGATCAGGGCATCATCGCCAAGTGGTGGAACAAGAATCAGATAGAGTCTCTTGCGCCGGAATGGTTTTTTGCGGACAGCAATGTTGACCTAGTGCTTGGTTGGCTGAAAGATTCTGCTACGACCAAAAGATGCACCCAAGTAGGGCAAGGCTGGGTCAAGACCTTGACATCAAACGCCTCTCCCGAAGCCGACCTTATGGAACATATCTCTCCACCTACATTGCGGATTGGATCTTCTGCAGATCATGGGAGCTTGGAGGCAACCCGGTGCTTCTCGTGCGCATGCTTGATGCCTTTCTCCTCAAGGTACGTCTTCATGTTTTCCCCCGAAGGGTTTGTGATTGGATTGGCGTCTCCTGGCACCAGAACGGCGGACAGAAATGTAGAAATTGTGTTCTGAACATATGGAACGGTGGAAGGTCTCGTGTTGCAAGATTGCAAGATTGCAAGGTTTAGTTGGAGCTGGCGACAACAAGGCTGACATTGCACAGCTCCAGCGACGAAAGGACCCATCGGCGCGCGCAGCCAAGCTCAACATGGCGATCAGGGATATAACAGTCGAAGAAATCGACACCATGTCGAGCTGGGCTGCAGAGCGCCTACATGTTGACAAGCCTGACTTTGAGTGGACCCGATCTGTTGCCCAGACGTATCGACAGTTCGGGCACCACGATGAAGCTATCCAAGCCTATGGGAGGGCAACTGAGTTGCAGCAAGACCACTGGTCCATCGACTATGGGGTTGGCTACCACCTACTCTGAAGCTGGGAGAATGGTCAAAAACAGCTGAGCTGCTTGAGAATATCATTCGACGAGTTGAAGCAAGCGAGGATAAAGGATCTTCTCCTGCAGAAGTCATCACTAAGATTCGTTTTTGGCTTGCGTGGGCCTGGGTACAAGTGGACCAGCACGAGAAGGCCATTGCAGTGTACGATGGACTTTTAGCAACAAACCCTGGCGATTACGCTTCGATATTGAGAAAGATAGTTGCGCTACGACGGCAAGAAAGGTATGAAGACATCATCGAATTCTTGCAACAGCTACAACGAGACAAGGATCCTGCATACGGCATCAGTCGACTGAGCATGACATTCCACAGCAACGTCTATGCGATGGCGCTACATAACGGGGTCGTGCTCGCCGGCAAGAAGACAGGTAACCTTCCGTTTGTGCAGGCGGCTTATCGAAGTGCAATAGAGCAAGCCATGGATCAGGAATACTTGCCCATGGAGCCGCACACAAAGGCACGATATCGGGTCGCGTTAACCAGTGAGCTGGCAGACATCCTTTACAAATACCCGCAGGATCCAGAGGACCAAGAGGAAGCCTTGGAATTGTGGGAGACTTGCTTGGCCGATGCCGATGACATTGGCCTGGCCCCCGCCCGCCTCTCCATTGCAAAGTCTCTCTCGACTGTGTACGCTGAGCAACTGCATCAGGTTGGCTCCGATACCAAGCAGACCGACGAGATTCTCGATAGACTTTTGCAATTGTCTGGGGAAACGACTGCGGACCTGGCTGCGGACTTCGGTGGTGCGTTCGTTAGTACCGTCGACACCCGGCTGCTCGTGGGGCGCTACTACAGTAAGGTCGGGATGAAGAAGGAGGCTGAAGATTGTCTCCGTAGTCACATCAGAATCGGCATTGACCTATTGTCAGACGATGATCCAAGCAATGACTGGCAAGGGTATCTACGGCTGGCCAGCACTCTGATGTACTACGGGGATAAAGAAAATGCGCTCGCGGCGTGGTCGCTGATCGGACCAAACGAGTTCAATAAGCGGAAGGACGTTGATGGACTCGACAAGGCCAATGATTCTACCGGTGGCAATGCGTCTGGACGGAAACAGGAAGACGACGATATCACCCTGAAGCAGGAAATGAACAAGGGGGTGTCCTCCGATGGACAGCAAGAGCCCGATCAACCCTCTCCTCTTGCTCGAGCGAACAAGACCTTGCGAAGGATCAAAGGCCCACTGCCGCCCTACGGTTGTGACGGTGGGAGCTGTGAGCACTGGTGGACGTATGCAAACGACATCTACGTCTGCATGGATTGTCTAGACATGATGTTTGCGAAACCGTGTTATGAACTGCTTCTCAAAGATGCCCTCGAGCTCAGGACCTGCAACCCGACGCACGACTTTCTTCACATCCCTTCATGGGACGAACACGAGGCGGAGCAGAGAGGTCCGAAACATGTGCGTCAAGCGGGAAAGATAATACCTGTCGACGAACGGATCAAGGAAATTCGGAGAGACTGGCAGCTGGAGGGTGATCAGACAAGGTGATGGCCCGGCTGAATCACGTTTCTCGACGAGAACGGTGATGATGCATTTCTAGTCCACATCGTCGCAACCACACGGTCACCGGCCTTGGGAGGCAGACGCGAGGAGGGAAGGATGCAGGCAAGCAAGGGCGTCTAAACCAGTGCTATAAGACGACCTATGTCACGGAACAAATAAGCCATCACTCTCACCCCCCAAACAGACATTGGGTGTTTTCCAGGTGTGATGAATGCTCGCTTGGGTCGAGTCCGAGTCGAGTCGAGGGAGCGACGGGCCGCCCAAGAGGGTGTTCAGAAAGTGCGGCGCACAAGGGACACAGTGCTGGAGACATCTAATGTTAGCATTGGCGGCGAGAAGTAACGGCACATGTTCCGAGGATGGGATTGGGATGGATGCCGTGGTTACGGATCGAGGGTCTGGCCATGCAGGGATTCGGGTCACTGTGATATTGTGTGGAGAGAGAGAATGAAAGCTGGTTCGATAGTGCAGACAAAGATAGTCGTCCTCCTTATCCCTGGTGAAAGGCCTGGGTGACTCTGATATTCCGGGCGGTTAAGATAGAACGATGAATGGCGGACAGAGTGCGTGATAGAGGCGAGTTGGATGCAGTGGAAGCGATTGAACGCAGCCAGCGGAGAGTTTGCTGCTGGTCTTGACCGAGTGCAGTTAGATCAGAGGTGCAACCAGCCCCCCGCGGCAACTCAGGGAGCCTAAGGAGCCTAACAGACGCCTAAGAAGCCTAGGGTGTCCAGGGAGGCTTACAGGATACAGCCTACATGGCCAGGCACCGCCAGCGACAACTCTTCCAACCAGCTAAGGAAGCCAACTTCTCTCTTCCCCCTGTTCGCCCTCTTCATTCGTTGTCTATCTTGCTTCATGCAGTCGGGATGCTCCTCTTTCACCTCTGAGTGTGTTCCAATCACCGTCGTCACGGCCGCGCTCGTCTTCCTACAGCAATCATGTCCAGGTACATCTACCGCCAGAGCGCCCGTTGCGTGCAACAAGCTGCTTCATGTCCTCTCGGTAAGGGGTCCAGCAGTTTCAGGCAGCGCATGCTGCGATATGCTGAGGATCTGATCTGCCTACAAAGATGAAGTGTTGCTCTTCCTGCTCGACTGTGACCTCCTTCATCTTCGCCTTTGTCTTCATCTTCATCTTCCACGGCTTGCCCGTCACTGCTCAACCTCACAGTATCTGGAACGTTGACATTCTAACGAGCCCGGGTCCTCCGCCCGACGAAGGCCCTCCCCTCTCCGCCGGTGCTCTGAGAGACAAGTCGAAACTCAAGTACGAGGCTGTTGGCATTGCTGGTGCCTACATTGCCTGGCTATTGCTGACTTTCATTCTCCTTCTTTTCGTGGGCAAGAGGCTACGTCGCAAGACGCAGACTTCCAACCAAAGTCTGAGCATGGAGATCCTCAAGCCTGCTCCGCTTGTCAATCAGACCAAGATGGGCCTCGAGCCGCCGTTGAAGAGTCCCAGCAAGATGGCAAGCCTGAGATCATGGGCGTCAGGGGGCAAATCCCATACGCGGATCCCGTCCAATATGAGCGCCTCTACCGTCGACGAGCGAATCCTTGAGGCAGACAAAGCCCGAAATCTGGATGAGATGACCAAACTGTATGCTGCTGTCATGGCACACGACGAGCAATCCCAGAAGGCCAGAAGCAGTGGCCAGATGTCCCCGAGGTCACCTCATTTTGCATCGCAGGACCATGCACTTCCAACGCCTCGATCACCCACCCGTCCTCTTACACCAAAGTCTCCTTATCATCAAGTCCGGTATGGGCCCGGCTCACCACGGTCCCTCATGGATCCCGTGGAACTACAGCACCTGCGAAAGCCGACTCCAGAAGCCGAGATCCACGATGTTGGATCAACGGCAGGCCCTCTTTTCCATCCTCTGGCGCCTACTCCCGCGGAAGATTTTGAATCGCCCAAAGCGGCGTCTCGAAGCAGCAGCCGTCGGACCAGGATGTCCGCCCTGTCCATTCTTCCTGGCCGATCTGATTCCGGTGACAGGGTTAAGAAGCGGCCCAGCGCCATTTCGGTCCGTGGACAGCCCATCTCGCAGCCACTTGGCTCGGCCACACTTAGCGATGCTTCGATCTACTCGGTGGCCACCACCATGTCCCCACGGCTGTACAACCCGGGCCCTCCTCCGCCCACGCCAGGCCAGAAGTCGGCCATAGGCTCCGTGCAGGAGATGGCGAGGAGCCCTGCCGCGGCAACAGCAGCAGGATCCGTGCGTAGCGCAGCAGCTTCGAACAGTTCCCACAGCCTGCCCTTCCGACAGTTTTACAACGAGCCGACGAAGAGTGCGCCGGCGACCAAGACCACATTTGTGGATCGCCGCGAAAGCGTGTTAGGCACATATCCCAAGACGGGGGTCCCGCAGACGCCGTACAGTCCTTACATGCCGTTTACGCCGATGACGCCGGTCACGCCGCGCACGCTGATCTCGAAGAAGGAGATGAAGAAGAACCGGAAGAAGGAAGGGCTGAAGGTGTTGAGCGAGGACGACATGGTTTTGAGTGACGAGGACATGTGGGGAGAAATGAAATGATGGTCCTCACGTTTCTTCCATCTGCTCCATTTTCAAGTTTCCCTTTCCAATACGCCGACTTGGTTTCAGGTGTCTGCGTGTGAACGACGGGATATATGTTGTACATTAGTGCCGCGACTGTGGCAGTTCTAGATACCCTTTCCATACCAAATCAATCAGACAGATATAAACACACCATTCTCTTGTGCTGGAACCTGTATGTGTATGTACTCTGTATGTATCTGGACATACCTAGGTAGTCGTTGCGCCAAGTCTCCAGAAGTTCAAGTTGAAGTCCAAGAAACTCCCAAGCCTTTCCGTTGATGTGCGGAACCAATCAACGTGGTTTGGTTGGAGTTGATTAATGAACGTCTCGCCACTCAAATGGCAGTGTCTTGTCTGACTGATATCTAAGCGACGCTGGGCGAGAGAGTGAATTGAACTGAACTGAACTGAACTGAACATAAACACTGAAGCTTCCAGAGTGGTTTCATGATAGCCACAATTACATTGCAGGTGCATGGTAGCAGTGTGAGCGTGAGAACACCGAATCCTCATCCTCATCCTCGTCTTCATCCTCCTTCAACCAGCAACCAGCAGCTTGAAAACGGCAAGTGGCAGCTTTTCAACAACTGGCACCGCAACCGACTCCCGCTCTGCCCGTGGAGCTGAGGCTTAACCACGACTCAACACTCCTTTCCCCTATATTCTAGACGGACGTGGATAAGGTATCCTATTCATACTACGAGACAGCATTGAGAGTACGACCTGCTTATCCAAGAGTTGCCGTATTCACTCCATTCGAAAATGCCTCTCACCGTCCTGACGGACACAGAGGTGCGGCAAATCCTTCTATCGCTCACCAAAGAAGATGCAGAAGGCCTCCAACAAAGCCTGGCGGAAGCTCTACACTCATACTCTACCGGCGACACGAATTCGCCATGCAGTTCATCCTTCCAGCCGGCGCGCACAGTGATCAAGAAAAACGGCGTCACCACACTCTTCATGCCCGGGTCTACTGGAACCACGGTCGGCATGAAGATTGTGTCCCTCGAACAGCCCGACGTGCCGGCCAGCAGCGGCAGCAAACAGTCGTCCGTCTCGTCGGCGCATTCAAACAGCCACCCGACCACGCCGGGCAGCGCGTCAGGCGCCAAGTCACCGATCTCCGAGTTCAGCAACTTGACGCTGACGCCAGCGTCGACGACGTCGGTGAGCAGCCGGGATTCGATCGACGGGGCCACCTTCGAGGCTCCGGCGTCGATGGCCAATTTGCAGAGCAGCACGCCGCGCGGATCCGTGACGCTGCTCGACTCGACGGGGTACCCGGTGGGGATCGTCAACGCGGAGGAGCTGACGGCGTTCCGCACGGCGCTGGCGTCGACGATCATGCTCCGGCGACGGGCGCACGTGCACACGATCACGGTGTTCGGGGCGGGCAAGCAGGCGTACTGGCACATCCGGCTGGCGCTGCTGTTCAAGGGCCACCAGATCCGACACGTCAACATCATCAACCGGCGGTTCGAGAGCTGCATCGCGCTGATGAAGGCGTTCCAGATCTCGGACGAGTCGCACGAGGAATGGCGCAGCCAGATCAAGTTCTCCGCCATGAGCCCCGAGTTCGGCGAGTACGGCCGCCTGCTCAAGGAGGAGGTGCGCAAGGCCGACGCCATCTTCTGCTGCACGCCGTCCGTCGACCCGTTGTTTCCCGCCGAGTTCCTGACCTCGCGCGAGGGCGAGCGCAAGGGCCGCTACATCTCGTGCATCGGCTCCTATGCGCCGCACATGTGCGAAATCCACCCGGACGTCTTTCGCCGCGCCGTCGAGCCGCACTGGGGCCATCGCCATCACCACAAACACGCCAAGCAGGGCGGCGTCATCATCGTCGATAGTCTCGAGTCGTGTCTCAAGGAGGCCGGCGAGATCATCAAGGCTAAACTCAAGCCCGAACATCTCGTCGAGGTCGGCGAGCTGATGATGATCAAGAAGGCCGCCAGCAAGGAACTGGAGCTGGGCGGGCCCGGCGAACAGGGCCTCGTCGAGTGGTTGTCTCGCGGCACCGTCATCTATAAGAGTGTCGGTATGGGTTTGATGGATCTGGTTGTCGCGGACGATCTGATTCGCATTGCGAGAGAAAGAGGTGTCGGCACCACCATTCCGGATTTCTAGACTGCGTTCTGCATTCTGGTTTCTTTTTCTGGTGCTTGACTTGATGGGGGTTGTTCCCATCTTGGGAACTTGTTCTCACCTTGGGAAGTCGTTCTCACCTTGCCAGAGGGTACGGGGCTACGATGCTACGGGGCTACGATGCTACGATGCTTATGGGTTTGTGTTGTGTTGTGTTGTGTTGTGTTGGAGATGTGATCGTGTCAGAGGAACGAGTTGATGATCCCTCCGGGCGGCGGTCGATGTCGTTGTCGTTATCGTTTACTATGGCATCATGTTGGCTTTAGCCCTTGCACAGCGTCTGTTCCTCTCATGTTCTGTGTGACGCGCAAGCAAGCCCTTACTCGGTTTTCCTTTTGACCCCGCCACTTGGTGTAGTACAAGAGCGCCTGGATTTTGTAATCTTCAACGAATTGATCCCAGGCGGGATGGTCCTCAGAGTCACACCAACTGTTCGATCGTATGACTCGAGATGGATTTGTTCGTGTACAGAGTCAGATGGTGATAATGGAAGAAGGTTCTCATCCCATTGTCTACCGCTTCACAGTACCTTGTTATATCTTTGTTATATAGGTAACACAGGTACTAGGGTAAGAACTACTAGGCTTGTCGTTCACGACCTGGATGGGCAGCAGTGAGACTAGGTACTGTGCTATGTAGCACAACCAACCGTACAAGTGGGGAGAAGCTCAGATCATGCACTGGCAGTGTACTACATGTAGTACCTACCTAGTAAGTAGAAGTTAGAAGTGGGCTTTGACCATGCTCGCCAGCGTGGTGGACTGACCTCGAGACGTGATACGATCACTGTTACCATCTTGATCGCGTGTTTACGAGGAGCGGTTCGATCGAGACAAAGACAAGACATAGTAGTACTAGGTAGCTGACACTTGCTTTTTGTGGGATAGACGCATGAACATATTACACACAAACCCATTGACAAGAGACCAGAGCCTGGCCAACTCAGGGAATATCAATCACCTACTACTAGTACAGCTATTTCATCATTATCATCCATTGTTTTGAGTTCCTCGCTAGTTGTAACTAAACTTTGAAGATCGTCTCCATTCAGTCTTCAATCATTGACAATCGACAATCCTCCCCACGCCAACATCGATCGAACCTTGACATTGTTCTTCAACCCCAGGCACGCATATATACATATACCCTAATCTTCTGTGGCTGATCGTACTTCTACCAACGGAGTGTTGGGCTTTATCTTTACAGCACGGCAAGAAAGATATGTGACGACTGGAGAACTCGAGATTCACAGTGTAAATAAATACCCGGACGACTCTACCCTCCGCCATTTCATCCGACTCTACCTCCCTCTCTCTCTCTGGCTGTCGCGTTCACGACCGAATCGTTTCGAATCCGAATTGCCTTCTGTTCGAGTTGCCTTCTATCAGAACTGCCTTCTATCAGAACTGCCTTCTATTAGAACTGCCTTCTATCCGAATTTTTGTCTCTTGTCAGAGTTGCCTGGTGTTCTGCGCCCAAATCCAGCGACCGCAATGCGTTGAACAGTTCAAAGCCGACCCCCCTCTCCGTCATGGTCCAGCTGGCTTACTTGCCCAACGGGCAATCCTACACGGTCACACCCGTCTTTGGCGGCTTCACTTTCAAATCGACCAATCTCGATCTACACAAGTCTCCCATGCCGCCCGGATGGACTGTCATCATACAGACGGAGGATGAGGTGGAAGATGTGCTGGAGGCCAGGAAGAGTAGAGTCTCTTTGGTCCAACAGCCAGAACAACCGCAGAGCGAAGAGGGAAGAAAGAGTAAAGTCTCTTTAGCCCAACAGCCAGAACAACCGCGAAATGAAGAGGGAACAAAAGTCAAACTCTCATTGCAACAACCATCGCCAGACCAAGACGCAAGAAAGAGTAAAGTTGGTTTACCACAACCTCAAGAAGAAGCGGGCCAGAAACATATCGTGGCACATCGATTTACCAAGCCAACTATTCGGAGCGACTCGTTGTTCATATCTTCCATATCTATGCCTGCGAGCTCCGACTTCAAGAACACCGCTTCACCCACAAGACATATCGCCATGATGCTCTGGGCGACATTATGCTGGTACTTCCACAAGGAACCACCCAATCCCCACGCCTACACCGACGCCTGTGCGTTGACGCCGGAAAGCGGGCGCCCCAAACTCGAATGGCGCGTCCGAATAAAACGAGAAGGCATCTTCAAAGGCAAGAACACCATCCAAAAACTCGAACGCATGGGTATCATCTCCAGTGAGGAGTCATGCGTAGGTATAGACACCGATGTCCGGATGCCTACAGGGTGGACGGACATGTTCGTGAGCAGGAGGTCATTCTGGCAGATTGATCCTCGAGTCTTTCTATACACCATGGCCCCCTTACAACAATCGCCTTTCCCATCCGCCTCACCACACCCGTCCCGTCCCGCTTCGCCCGAGAGGCCGAAAGGAGAGCGTGGTTCTCCCCACCGTGCAGACCACATGGTAGCGGTGACGGGTGCTATGATCGATGGCGTGTCAGCAGGCATTGCCTCGCCCGGAGGGCCTTTCAGCTCCGGCAGCCATTTACCCACATACTTTCCTCCCCCACCGACCCAGTTCACCTTTACCAACCATATCCGGCACCCGATCCGGCCCAAACCGCCTCGACAAGGGGAGACGTTCTACAGTCGATACATTCCCAGTCTGGGACAATGGCTCTCTTTCCGCGTCCCGACCTTGTCTCCGAAGCCGTGTCCGCATCCCCATTTCGGTCCGGTGGGAGGCCCCATGCCCGCAACGATGCCAACCCATGGAGGAGGTGTGTCGGTGGCGACGTTGCCGACACTGGCCAACTTTGCAGAACGGCCGTCCGATTTGGATCTTTTGCACAAGTGGATGAATGATCCTCGAGTGAATCTGGCATGGGGCGCCGCAGGACCCGAGTCTACCCAAAGAAAATTCCTCGAAGACGGCCTCAACAGTCGACATTCCTTCCCCGTCTATGGCTGCTGGGATGGCAGGCCTTTTGGATATTTCGAAATCTACTGGGTCAAAGAAGACCGCTTGGGCCGCCTGCTCGGAGGAGATGTCGGCAACTATACCAGAGGTCTACATGTCCTGGTGGGCGAGCCCGAGTTCCGAGGTCCCCATCGAGTCAAGGTCTGGCTGTCCGCCTTGGTGCACCATTGCCTGCTGGCCGACTATCGAACCGAAACTGTCATGTTGGAGCCGAGGGTCGATAATACAAAGTAAGTCGATTTTGGACAAGACGAACCGAAGCTGAAACGAATTGTTGTATTGACGTGTCTGACACAGGTTTATTCGATATTTAAATGATGCTGGCTTTTACAAGCAGGGCGAAGTCTCGTTCCCTCATAAACAGTCGGCCATTATGAAACTCGACCGGGAATCTTGGGAAGCGCCGGAAACTTAGGCTACGAGAAAGCCGGATAGCATCCTATGGCGGACACCATCATATGGCTCGAGGCCAACTGGATGTCATTGTACAGCTATCGACTGGATATGGAGAGAGATTTGGGGTTCGACCTCTGTCATGACATTGGAGATATTTATGAATGAGATACAACCCCCCCGGACATACCATGCTGGATGCATTGCAAATATATGAAGACTTGGAAGCTTCCTTTCATTCGAATCCTGCTCCTGACAGCCGTGCAGCGATTACTTCCTAGCAACCCTTGTGTTTGAGGACTGGGCAGACTGCTGTGGTAGATGTCGCATGTCTGTCTGTTTGATCAGCTTTGTGGTAGACGGGAGTCTAACAAATCCAGCACTGGTTTCTGGCGAGGCTGGGCACTAGTGTAGCTTGTGGTAGTAAACACTCCAATCACCTCGTCAGGCTGGACACAATTCAATTGTCTGACAAAATCTTTATGGTATCGTTATCTACACGTGACAAGGCTGCCCGCCGATTTGCGCCCGCAAAAGCGGTGGAACGAATAATTCTGAACATGATTTATTGCCCGCCTTGAAACTCTTCTACTAGAGTCACAACCCAGTTCACTCTTACATAAACCCCGTCCAGTCGCTGGAACTGGGCAAGAAACATTCTGAACGCCATCATGGCGACCCAAATCCCTGTGGACCCGACTGTCAGTTCGGCCAACACTCTCAAGCTCGAAAATGTATGTGTCTCGCACCTTGACTCGTTCAAGCCTTTTGTCCACTGACCAACCTTCTCTAGACGCATAACCGAGATGTCCTCATTGCGATCGAGAAGAAATATCAGAAAGAATGGCAGAAGAACAAAGTGTTCGAGTCCGACGCTCCTACAACCGACGAAATCCCCTTCAACTCGGTCCCCGCCGCCGACATTCGAGACAAGCACCCCAAGTACTTTGGCACCTTCGCATACCCATACATGAACGGCACATTACACGCGGGCCACAGTTTCACCATCAGCAAAGTCGAGTATACTGCCGGGTTCAACCGGCTCCTCGGGAAGCGTGTGTTGTTCCCTCTAGGATTCCACTGTACGGGAATGCCGATCAAGGCTTGCGCAGACAAACTCGTGGAGGACGTGAAACGATTCGGCAAGAACTTTGAGAACTACCATGAAGAGGATGAGCAAACGACCGCAGATTCGAATGGCGTGGCCGTCGCGCCAACACAAGGCGTCAATGTCAAGGACGACATCACGAAGTTCAAAAGCAAGAAAGGCAAACAAGCCGCAAAGACGGTCAAAGCCAACTACCAGTTTCAGACAATGTTGGCCATGGGGATCCCCAAGGAGGAAATCCACAAGTTTGCCGACGCCAACTACTGGCTCGAGTACTTCCCACCTCTGTGTGAACAGGACTTGATCGACTTCGGAGCCAGGATAGACTGGAGGAGGAAGTTCGTCACGACCGACGCCAATCCGTTCTACGACGCCTTCGTGCGATGGCAAATGAACCGCTTGCATGAAATGAACAAGATCTTGTATGGCAAGAGATACACCATTTACAGTCCCAAAGATGGCCAGCCGTGTATGGACCACGACCGGACCAAGGGTGAGGGAGTCGGTCCGACCGAATACACCGCCCTGAAATTAAAGGTCAAGGAGTGGTCGGCCGAGGCTGCGAAGGAGATCGAATCGAAGATCCCGAAGGACGCAAATGTCTACTTCGTGCCCGCGACCCTGAGGCCAGAAACCATGTACGGCCAAACGTGCTGTTTTGTCGGTCCGAAGATCAACTACGGTGTTTTCAAAGTTTCAGACAAGGAATACTTCGTCGTCACTAAGCGAGCCGCGTGGAACATGGCTTTCCAGGGCAGATTCTTCGACGAAGACAACTTTCCCCGCGATCAGAGCGAGTTGCAGCCCGTGGTGGAATTGCCTGGGTCGGTGTTCGTGGGCACGTTGGTGGATGCACCTTTGTCGGTACACACCGAGGGCGTCCGGATCCTTCCCATGGAGACGGTCTCTGCGACGAAAGGCACTGGTGTCGTCACTTGCGTGCCGTCGGACAGTCCAGACGACTACGCGACAGTGAGGGATCTCGCGAAGAAGGCCGAGTTCTACGGGATCAAGAAGGAATGGGCGGAGCTAGAGATCATCCCTCTGATTGAGACGCCAGCGTACGGCAATCTTGCGGCGAAATTCTTGGTCGAGTCGAAGAAGATCCAATCACCCAAAGACACGACTTTGCTGGCCGAAGCCAAGGACCTGGCGTACAAGGAGGGCTTCTACAACGGCACGATGCTGGTGGGCGAGTTCAAGGGCGAAAAGGTGACGGAAGCCAAGGACAAAGTGCGAAGTGCGCTCATCAAATCCGGCGATGCTTTCCCTTTTGCAGACCCCTCGGCGGAAGTCATCAGTCGAAGTGCAGACGAGTGTGTAGTGGCCTACGTGCCGCAATGGTTCCTGAACTACGGCCCCAACGACAAGGAATGGCAACAGACGGTGCTCAACTACGTCAAAGACGAGAACGGTCTGAAGACATACACCCAAGAAACCGAGAACCAATTCGTCGCCAACCTCGAATGGCTCAATCAATGGGCGTGTGCGCGAACGTACGGCCTGGGCTCCAAATTGCCGTGGGATCCCAAGTTTTTGGTCGAAAGTCTCAGCGACAGCACCATCTACATGTCATACTACACGATCGCGCATTTCCTGCATGGCGACAAATTCGGCAAGACGCCCGGCCTGCTCAACATCACGCCCGACCAGATGACCGACGACGTGTGGGACTATGTCTTCACGCGCACCAACGACGTCGAGAGCGTTTCGCAGTCCTCCAAGATCCCTGTCCAAGACCTCCAGACCATGCGACGCTCCTTCGAGTACTGGTATCCTCTCGACCTGCGGTCTTCGGGCAAAGACTTGATTCCCAACCATTTGACGTTCTTCCTGTACATCCATCTCGCCCTCTTCCCGCGCGAATACTGGCCCAAGTCGGTCCGGTCGAACGGCCATCTCTTGCTGAATGGCGACAAGATGAGCAAGTCGACCGGCAACTTCTTGACTCTGAGTCAAGCGGTCAAGAAGTTCGGCGCCGATGCCACGAGGATAGCGCTCGCCGACGCCGGTGACGGTATGGAAGATGCCAACTTCGAGGAGAAGGGCGCCAACGCCGCCATCATGCGCATGTATACTCTGAAAGAGTGGATCGAGGATACCATGAACGACAAGAATCTGCGTGACTCCGAGGGCGAGGTCATTTGGGATAAGTTGTTTGATGACGAGATGAATATGTTGGTACATGAGGCATACCAGCATTACTCGGAGTAAGTTTGCCGTCGATTGCTCCCTGTTCTCTTTTTGGCATGCACGCCTATCGTTGTTCTCCCCATATGTTTCTTTGCTTGTTACGCCTGTCTGTCATTGTTTTTGCCGCGTGTTATTCCTTTGAGTCTATACATCTATCCTTGATCACATATGGGTCTATCATCTCCTTCTGCCACCTCTTTCAATTTCTTGAATCTCTACCACCTCTCCTTCCAAAAGTCTGAATCTCTATCACCTCTTCTTCAACTATCATAATCTCCGAGAAAGAGAAAGAAAAAGAGTTTACTAATTTTCTCCCGTCTCCAGCACAAACTACAAACTGGCCCTGAAATCCGCTCTCTACGACTTCCAATCCGCGCGCGACTTCTACCGCGAAGCTTGCAATTCCAGCGGCACACCCATGTCGCGCGCCCTGATCCACCGCTACGTCGAACTACAAGCCCTATTGATCGTCACCATCGCCCCACACTGGGCGGAACACATCTGGCTGGAAGTGCTGCACAAGCCGCAATCGATCCAACTGGCGCGCTGGCCCGAGGTGCCGGCGGCGGACGCCGTGCTCGGCGCGGCGCGCGAATACGTGCGCGTCACGTCGAGCAACATCACGTCGGCCGAGGCGCAGGCGGCCAAGAAAATGGCCAAGGGCAAGACCGCGGCCTTTGACCCGCGCAAGCCGAAACGCATCACCATCTTCGTCGCCACCGCGTTCCCGGCGTGGCAGGACAAGTATGTCGATCTGGTGCGCCAGGCGTTCGAGAAGTCGTCGCTGCAGGACGACAGGGCGTTGAACGGCCAGGTCGCCAAACTGGGGATGGGCAAGGGCCAGGAAATGAAGAAGGCCATGCCGTTCGTCCAGGCGCTCAAGAAACGCCTCGTCGTCAACCACGAGACTCCGGCGGTCGTGTTTGAGCGGAAACTGCCTTTTGATGAGGTCGATATTCTGAATCGGATGAAGAAGGGCCTCATGAAGACGACTGGTTGTCGGGAGGTTGTTGTGGTTACGGTTACAGAGGATAATAAGGCTGGGTTGCCGCCCTTGGCGGAACAGGCTGTGCCGGGGTCGCCGTCGTTTTTGTTTGAGAATGTAGAAGTTTAGAGAGATGTGGACATGGACATGGAGATGAACATGGACATGGAGATGGACATGGATATGGAGATGGACATGGACATGGAGATGGACATTGAGATGAGTAGTGGTCAGTCAGTTTGAAAAGCATCGATCGAATGTCTAGAAGTGGAGTTCTGTGTTGCTTGAGAGTCAGAAGTCGATCGGATGCCTACCTAGCTAGGTACATATGATATGACGTTCCTGAGGACTGAGGATTTCTGGTCGATATTCTTGAGCTGGATAGCAGAGTAGTCAATGTGAATGTGAATGTGAATGTGAATGTCCATGTCCATGTCATGCCTGGAGTTGTATGGACGGGTTTGTGATTCGAACAACACAGATTGAATCGTCTGGGACTTCTCAGCTCTCGTAGCACAGGACACACTAGTGAATCGCTGGAGAACACTGGAGAAAGGAGAACAAGAGGGTTCTGTTCTATTCCGCTTCCGCTTCCGCTTCCGCTTCCGCTTCCGCGTCAGACCTGCTCCCTATTGAGGCAAATGGGAAATGCTTCTCGCAGGTAAAAAGATCAACTCAACAAGGTATGTGCCCGATGGATGTTGGATGTTCCTTTGCACGGGACTGGGACATAGGAAAGTAAAGTCAGGATGGAGAGGGAGAGGCAGAAGAATCAGAAGAATCTCGATTATACAATATGACTGGATGACTAGATGTATGTATATATGTTCTACATTAGCTGGACAGGACAAAAGAGCCCATACTCACAGACTTCTCTTCGTAGGGACATCAATGATCGTCACGAGTTCGCTTCAAGGCCATCCTACGCTGGATCCCTAATGAAGCCGAAGCAGGTTGATGACAAGTTATACCACACCACACCACAACATACCATGTAGTAGGTAGTAGGTAGTGAGAACCGCGGCATGAGGGCCGAGATGATCGGGATATGGTGTTTGTGTTCTTATAGTATTTCTTTCCCGGAAGATCTTGTCCGGCTCAGAAAAGAAAGTGTTACAGGACAATCATATCTGATAGAAGATACACAAAGAAGCCCAGCATCAGTAGCCAGGTCTTCCATTCATTGCCTTTTCAATTACCCAGTATCTCATCTTGTTTGGACTGGATAGCAAGTCTCTTGTTGAGGGCCGATCTTGTTCATTGCCGCTCGGGTCGTAGAGCGTTTCCGAATACACTGCAGTATCTAGAAACAAACAGCATGGCTGACCCATGGTTCAAGCCGAGTCTGGCGACTGCCTCCAAGACCCGGCAAGGCTGAGTTGTTGTTATGGCATGCTTGTATGCGAATCGATCGCTTCCCAGCGATACGATTGGATCGTACGCGACGCTGTCTCTTTCGTACGTTTCAGCCAATATCATCCCTCGGCCACAGCATCTCCGACTTCACTCCGCTTCCGACGAGTCTGATGCTTTTGGCGGCACTCGAAGTACAAATCCCTAAGGATATCGGAATCTTGAATCTCCTACATCGGGATCTTCGACCCCTCTATCCCAATCGCAGAGAGAACCCAGCACCATGCTCCTCGTCGGCTCGACCGGCAAATATGCCGGCAAACTCCTGCTCATCCAAACGAGGCGCGTCGCCACGCTCGGGAGCTTGAGGAGTCGCTCTGCGCCGGCGCTTCTCTTGGCCGGCCTTGCTGGGAAACGTGGGGAACAGCTCCTTCGCTTTCGGGCGCGGATCTTCCCTGAAATAAGGATGGACGAGGATCTCAGTTGCTGACGGCCGGGAGATGGGGTTCAGAGCCAACAAAGACGAAAGGAGCCGTAGACCTGCGTTGGTTATATATGGAAACTTGGACGCCGACAGGGTTGGAAGTGACTCTTTGGAGCTTGACAGGACCGGGTGAAGGGCTTTCGCATTCGGGAGCGATCGAAAGCCCGGCCACGTGTCGTTTGTGGGCGTGCCCAGCAACGCGAAAATCCTGGACAGCTGGTCGACTTCATTTTTGCCTTGGAAGATGGGTTCTTTGGTCAACAGCTCGGCGAAGATACAACCGAGACTCCAGACGTCAATCTCGAAGCCGTACTCTTCGGCACCGAGCAGTAGTTCCGGAGCTCGGTACCACAGCGTGACCACGAGCTGGGTCAGTTTCGGCGGCGGGTTGCCGGTATACCGCGCCATGCCGAAGTCGGCCAACTTGATTTCGCCACGGTTGTTGAGCAGCAGATTCGATGTCTTCAAGTCTCGATGCATGATCCAGTTGGAGTGGAGATACTCGGTGCCCGCGACGATCTGGAGCATCAGCGTCTTGGTTTCCGACGGCAGAAACGGCTCCGCCATGTCTTCCATGAGGGTCTTGAGGTCGTGCTCGAGGAACTCCATGACGAGATAGACACTGTTCGCGAGAGAGGTCCATGCCCCCTAATGGTTAACAACGTCTGGTATCGGCGCTTTCCAGGGAGCAAGCAGAAAAGAAATCCACTTGCTGTTAAGGGGGTTCAGACTTACTCTTTCAGACTGTCCCCCATCACCACCTCGAGCAGTTTGACCACGTTCGCGTGCCGGCTCGCCATCAGTGTTTGGATCTCCCGGAGTCCCGTCACGGGGAATCCGTCGTTGGTGTGTTCCATCTTCAAGCGCTTCAACGCGACGATCTCGCCTGAGGACTGTGTCCGTGCGCGCGACACCAGCCCGTAAGACCCTTCTTCGATGTTGTTGAGCAGTTCGAACTGGTCGACGTGGCCGCAGGCGCCGAACTGTCGGCTGGGAAAGTGTAATAAATGTGCCCCTTCTACGAGGGTTGATGATGCTGCTCCGTTCTCTTCGTCTGGCGACGTTCTCTGTCGTTTCGCGGCGCGTTCATTGTCGTCCGCATGAGCAGATGGAGAAGTAGACTTTGCTGTTGCTGCTTTGCGAGCCTTTTCTTCCTTCAACCGTCTTTTCTCTTCCTTCTCCTTTTTGCGTTGTGCGACGGCTGCGGCCGATTCTTCGTCATCGTCGACCGCCCATTTCGACGTGGATTTCGAGGTCATAATTGACTTGCGTCGGCTGGCGCGCGATCACTCGAGCGTCCCGAGCATGAACTGGCCACAAGAATGTCGGCGCTGAATTGTCGTCTCGTGCGGAGTCGAGCAGTCCTGCCATCGACTGTCGGGGGATGTAATGGCCAGACTCTTCAACAACATGCGTAGTGCAGCGAGTATACTAGAGTACACACTAAGGTACTTTTACAGTGATTTGGACGGTACTAGACGCTTAAGGTACTAAAGATACCTAGACAGCTACTAGTAACTTAGGCGCTGCTCACGTGCTCGCGCGCCAAAGCCGTGCGGGCCTTCGATCTTCCGATTTCTCGGGGAATCATTCATCTTCTATCTTCCATGGCCGGCATTACAAAGCATTCATCAAGTTCAAGTTCCGTTCTTCAGCACCTTTACAGTTCCAATTCTCAATTGACCAGCAGAACACCATTATTGTCTAGAATTGTATCTTGACGCCCGGATATAGTACTGCATCATCTACCCTGACATATACAATACCACGTCAATATGGGAAGCCTGGGTATTCAACCATTTCAAGTCAGTCATCCACCTCCACTGGTCTTGGGTCACCACTGACATGACAATAGACCACCTTTGCGGTGCCGCTTCATTGCGATGGCTGTGTAAAGGATGTCTCTGGAGCCTTGAATCGAGTAGAGGGTAGGGACTCTCGCACCTGATTGATTTGTGGGGGTATGACAGTCACTGACATCCAACCCTTCAGGCATTACCAAGTTTGAAGCCAATCTTAAAGACCAACTCGTTTATATCGAAGGGACGGCACCTCCTTCATCAATTGTGTCAGCCATTGAATCTACTGGCCGAGATGCCATCTTACGCGGTAGCGGGAAGTCGAATTCCGCCGGCGTTTGCATTTTAGAGACTCACGCAAAAGGCGTGCCAGATCCCGTCCGGGGTCTTGCACGAATGGTCCAAGTTTCCGACAACCATACGCTGGTCGACCTGACCATCCGTGGTGTATCACCCGGTACATACCATGCTACTGTCCGTGAAACCGGAGATATCTCGCGCGGCGCGGTCTCCACGGGCGGGATCTGGGAAGCCATCAAAAGTCTGGGTGGCTTCGGTCAGCCTCGAGGGTTGTTTGGTACGATAGTGGTGGGGAAAGACGGCCGGGGAAACGCATTCTTGGATCGACCCGTGTCGATTTGGGAGATCATCGGTCGCAGCATGGTGGTGTCGAAACAACCAGAGGGAGCGTTTCAAACCGATGACCCAGAAACCCTAGTTGGAGTTATTGCTCGCTCCGCCGGAGTCTGGGACAACGACAAAACAGTATGTAGTTGCTCGGGAAAGACGGTTTGGGAGGAACGCAAGGAGCAGGTCGGAAAAGGAATGTTATAACCCATTACGTAGGGAGCAGTGAGATATCCATAAGATAATGAACATTGTCTTTTGATCAAGAAGCTTGCAGGTTGTATCCGATGGATTCTGATTTGGACTCGGACTTGACAGCATGTCAGACGATGCAAGCTTTTGGCGCACCCCTGTTTTGGTCATTACTGGAAACGAAAATCCCGGTTGTACGGACCGACGGCTGCGACAGACTTTGTCGACTGGTCCAACATGCTGGTTGGCCTCCCAGTCATCCTTCTGAAACGAAACTTGCCCATAACGTCGCCGTATCGCATCGCATCGCATCGGGATCCACTGCCTAGGTCAGAGAGTCTCAGACCCGTCGAGGGACGGATCGAAGAGGAACAGTCGCAGGTCGTGGCTGGAAGAAGTGGCAGGCTGCGGGAAACTCAGGTGATAGACTCAGTCCACTTGTTGACGGGGCCCAAATGGGATCATGTAAAGGGAGGTCTTCTTGGTCACAGTGGTCACATCCTGGACGAGTGAGGTCGGACTCCGAAACGCAGCCGAGGCAGGATGGATGTGAGATAACACGCATTTGCACCGACTACTGCCGTTGATGAGGTCGACGAGAACGCACGCCACCAATGAAGGGATCACGGTTCGTTTGGAGCACGCCCTTTGCTGGTTCTGTCACACAGAGTCGACGACTACGACTACGTAGGTGGTTGTGCCAGCGTGGACATCACAGGATTGCAGTAATCGGCACCTGGAGACATTCGTAGCCTGCAACTTGAACACATGCATCATGTCGGGGGTGACAGGTCCCGACCTGGAAGCTCTTGCATGATACATCACTGCAGCACAAACCAGCCTCTCTCGGGCTCCAATAGGCACCTCTCTCTGCTAAGGGACCTGTCCTTAGCCTGGAACCTCGCCTACTGAGCCCTTAGACCTGAGACCATGGTCTGGCCCTTGCCGTTGTCCCCACCAAGCATGCACTCGATTCTCGTCCCAAACTCCCTTTTCGCTGCTGGGCGAAAACACCACACAATAATGAATGCCAGTGTGAGTGTGCAACTGAAACTGCCAAACCATCATCAAGCTCTCCTCCTTCGACTCACAACTGTTTCCTCTTCTTCCATCTATCTTGCTGAACGCTTTCTCTTCTGTATACGCTCTTTTGCTTCAATTCTTGTCCCCGACACTATATTGCAATCCTTTCCACTGTCGCGGGTCGTCACTACGTAATTTGTTCTCGTCAACTTGACACCGTCTACCATTGGCGCCAACTCTTGGGACGCATTGGCGCCGAAGACGAGCCCCTAAAGCACACCACCATTACCACTATTGACCAGTGGGCGCTTAATCCCTGGATCTCAAGGTCTCTGCGGCAGGGCCGGCCCTCGCAGCCTTCGAGAAATCCCATCCATTGAACTCCACTAGGACAAGCGAGTCTGTGACCCGACCACCATTTCAATATCGTCTCCCTGCTCGCTTCTCGCGCGGCCGACCCTCTACCTCCTGCAACCATACCTCGCATTGCATATCTCGCCTGAACCGACGTTGGTCTCGAGGACTTCAATCTTGACTCTTTTCGGCGCGGCGCCATGTCGCTCAAGCAGGTGGGTAGAACCAATCGATTGAGAAGCTCTTCTAACGTTGAGCAGGAGATAGAGACATGGGTCGAAGCCCTGACTCACTACGACAACCAGGAGTTTGAGGAGGCCTTGACGACGTTCGATGCGATTGCAGACACATCCAAAATCCTCTTCAATTGTGGTGTCATTCATGCCACCATTGGCGAGCATGATCGAGCGGTGGGTTCGGGGCGCAAAGAAGGGGGAACAACCCAGGCTGACCGATGCAGGTGGAATGCTATCAACGTGCGATCAAGCTCGACCAGTACTTGGCTGTGGCATATTTCCAACAAGGCGTATCCAACTTCCTCGTGGGCGATTTTGAAGAAGCCTTGGCCAATTTCAACGACACTCTGTTGTACCTGAGAGGGAATACATATATCGATTATGAACAATTGGGATTGAAGTTCAAGCTGTACTCTTGTGAGGTACTGTTCAACCGAGGACTTTGCTATATGTATCTCCAGCAGGTGGACGCCGGTTTGCAGGATTTTGGCTTCGCGCAGAAGGAGAAGATGACCTCTGATCACGATGTGATAGATGATGCCATCAAGGAGAAAGCAGCGGTGAGTTTTTCGCCATCTTTTGTCCAAGACGCATCTGACATTTTATAGGGTTATGTTGTGTTCAGCATGTGAGTTCATAAGTTCTCCATTTGCAGCCCCGGACAGCAGAACCGTCTACCATCACTCTCCGGTTGTAGTCGCTAACATCTTTCCCAGTCCTGTCGGTTGCGTGTACAGACCGAACGAAGCTAAAGTCAAGAACCTCAAGGCGAAAGACTATCTGGGCAAGGCTCGACTTATAGCCACCTCGAATAGCCAGAACACCGGGACAGGTTTCCAAGGCATTGAACGAAGACAAGCCATAGCTACCCAAATGGCAGCCAAGGACGATCGGCCACCCGAGAACATCAGTTTCGCCGCCACCAACCTTGTGCAACGCAATCTGTCGAGCAGGCTGCCCAGAGATCAGAGTGCTCCTCCTGTTATGAACAGAAACGTTTTTCCTCCCACGCCGCCTCCAGAGACGGAGAAGCCCAGGGTGACGAGCGGCGGATCCATGACCCTGCCACTGCGGACTGCCTCCCTGCGCAATCAAAGGAACGTGGGCTATCCGAAACAAGGGCTTGACCAGCCCAGACCCGGCGTTCTCGGCCGCTCCGCGACATTTGACGTTGGCGGAAATGTTCCCCCTGCTAGAAGCCGAATGGCACCACCGGCGCAACGGGAGAACTCATGGTCAGAAGAGCCTGTGATGGTGGAGCGGCCCATGCCACAGATGGACAGATCGCGGTATGGATCCCAAAGGACCGCATCGGAACCACGTGGCCCATCGTCACGGCGTCAAATGATGGATAGGTCTCTTTCTCAGAGAGCCCCAGCCCCATTGTTCCGAGAGACCACGGAATCCCGATATGACGAGCCAAATGATGCTGTTGAAGATGTCTACCGCATGTACGCTAGCCCGCGAAGACGCCCAGGCCGGCCCGAGCAGCAGGCGTACATCGACGAGGAAGACGAGTTTATCGACGAAGAGTACGTGAGCGAAGGCATGAGCGGCTTTGAACCTGTCCGACGACCCACGTCAAGATCTGCCCGAGGCAGTAACCGACCCGAAATGCGTAAGGTTCGAGTCAAATGTCATTTCAACGACGATACGAGATATCTTATGACCGGCGCAGTGATAGATTTTGGTGATTTCGAAAGCAAGATTCGCGAGAAGTTTGGGATTAAAGAGCAAATGAAGATTCGTATGCAAGATGATGGGGACATGATCACCATGGGTGACCAGGACGATCTGGAGATGTTATTGAGTAGCGTGCGCAAACAGGCGAGAAAGGAGAAGAACGAGATGGGCAAGATGGAGGTCTGGATCTCTACCCCCACGTAGTCCTCTTCATGGGTTATGGGGTGGTGAATCTGTCTTCTCCTGATACGGCAGGACCTCATTAGGGGCAGGACATGCAGTGCAATGAGGACGGACCCCTCGCACGTACATGGAAGAACTACGCCTTGAGACGAATCGGAAACGAACAACGCGATATCGCACATGTTGAAACATTGAAACATTGAAGTTCTATTTGAGCGAGGAGTTGGACCCGACCTTTGTGAGCGCTGGGGATATGTAACATGCAGGGTTTGTTTTTGGGATCTCACACTACAATTCTGCACTTCTCGACGCCAGTCACAGATGCTGTAGCCATGGCATTGTCAGGAACGAGGCACGAGGCACGAATATGCCGGATGTTTATGAAACAGTTGCCCTGGAATGTCAGGTCGTTTACTGCAGCGGCCGTCGCCTTCCTCTGCCTGTGATCACGGAGATGAGGACATGGTTTCATTTAGCAAAGCAATCTTGTTTCCTCTGACTCTGGGTTCTGTTTCTTGTTACACAGGACAGTCGATCCTATGAGGCGATGACAAAGACTGTCGAGAGCCTTGGTTACAGCTGCAAATGGCACCTTCTGGGGGATTTCTCGTAGTTTGCTGGATGGTTCTCTTCCCGAAGAGGACGGAACAGAACGGCTGGGTGGGCTGATATTTAATGTTCACAGTATCGCTAGCTATGATATACATACCGCCTTACTGGCTACTGGTATGTAAGATACTTTCCTGTCGATTGATGTATATCAGTAGAGCTCGCGTCGAATATACCGTAGGTAATTATTTCACATACATATATATGTGCCCGTATGTATATATGTGCCCGTATGTATATATGTGATCGTATGTATATATGTGCCCGTGTATATATACATATATATGTACACTACGTCCACTTGACACGAAGCCTGGAGTTATACATACAGAGTTATACGTCCTTTTTATGATGTGATGTGATCATAATGCACGAAAGAGCCGAAATGGGAAAAGAAACACCGCTGATCTTGACGAATACCTAACCTAACTAAGCTCGATTTGTCTAACATGCAGTGGCAGAGCAGTAGAGTCAGTCTATCGATGGACCCTCTACCTCCGGCTCCAACGCCGGTACCGTTGACATCCTCACTGCAGGCGTTCTTGTCTCTGTTCCTTTTCCTTTTTCAGTCTCTTCGTCAGCCTCGTCTCGGGGGATATAGTACGGTAGGATTGAAAGTGGTCCTCTCACTCTCACACACTCTTACACACACAAACACACTCTCTCTTTCTAAGTCCAAAGCCATACCAACAGTGAATAACACACACACACACACACACACACACACACACACACACACACACACACTACCCTACCCTACCCTACCCTACCCAAATCACTTCATTTGACAAAAAACCCGAGATCCTTCATCCGCTGCTCGATCCAGCCCTTACTCGCCCGCACGCCAGGATACTCCGTCTCCAAGAGGATGGCGATGGTCGTGGCGTCTTCGCCGTTCCGGGCGTGACGGCGGATGAAGGCGTCGTGTTCGGGAAGCCAGGGTTTAGGCCGGACGAGAGGTATGCTGGGGTTGGGATTGGGGTTGGGTCGGGTTGATGAAGATCCCGATCCAGCCATGGCGTTGATATTGACTTTGACCTGAGATGAGATGACCTGAGATGACTGGTGTCTTATCTTCCCTTCCCTGTTGGTGGTTTGGTTAGGACAGTAGAATAGACTCTTGTTGAGTGTACCTCTTATTCTCAGTCGGATATCGGCTGTTGGATGTAGGAGGTTGATCGTTGGATGTTGATCGTTGGTAGCTCCTCCGAGTACAGTACCCAAGTCCTTTGGAATCAAGAAGGGTTAGGTGATTAGTGGCTGGCTGGCTGGCTGGCAGGCTTGTTTGTTTGGACTCAGACACCGACCAGTGAGGCTATCCCGACGGGCAATGCGTGAATACTGGAGACTTGGTGCGTTTTGTTCGGCTTCGTTGATCGGTTGGTCGGTTGATGAGTTGATCAGGTGATTTGGTTGGAGGAGGATGCAACAGGTGTGGAAGAAGGCTGAACTGGTGACTCCTTTGCCGTGGTCTGGCGAAACGAGGACTGAAGGTCAAACCAAAGTGGTATCCTTGATTGTGTCCTTGATTGTATCGTTGATTGTAGGTATCGTTGATTGTAGATATCCTTGATTGTAGGTATCCTTGATTGTAGGTATCCTTGATTGTAGGTATCCTTGATAGCAGGTATCCTTGATTATGCTTTGGTTGAAGATCGGACGTATGACTGACTGACTATTCGAGTGATGGTTTGATTGGCTTGAAGGTGATGAATGGATGGATGCAAAGACGAGACGAGACGAGACGAGATGTTGCGGTGTTGTGCCGTAGAGAGCCGAGGATGAGAACGACCACAGCGAGTTCTGACTGAGTATTGGAAGTTCAGCACGAACACAAACACCCGACTGAGATGCTACCGCGGTAATGATGCTCTCTTCGCCCCAAGGAGGCTCTGCTCAATTGTTTCGAACCGATCTTCGCGTGCCCACGGTCCAATGGCAAACGGTTGAGGCAGTTGTGGATTGTTTCTCAAGCTCTGGAGGGATAGAAACTGGAACTCAAGGAAGGGCCAAAGAGAAGAGAAGAGGAAGACTGGCTTTCGATGCTCGATGATGGGCACAGAAAGATAAAGGGAGCACAAGATGGGGGCTTTTGTACTTCTTGACCTTCACTGTGTTTTCTGAGTCAAGGAGGCGAAAACAACCTCCTTTGCAACAAGGAGGGCTGGCGACAGGTGGATCGTCAAACCGGTGTCCAAAGCGCAAGCCGGCCGGCGGGGGAGTGACAACCGGGACAGCAGTGACAAAACAAAAACTTGTAGAGATGGCAAATTCGATCAGTCATGTCTCCGATATCTCAAATCAAATGCAAGGCAGCGTGTTTTGACCGTGACCCGGCCGGCTAGCCGGTCATTGATGCTTTTGACTTCTGCACCACCCAGATTTCAAAGCGAAAGAAGCAGGTCAGTATTGATTGCACGCCGGGGAAGAGACGCCATCGAAAAACGAGTAGAAGGATTCCGGACAAAAACAGAAAACAGAAATCATCCTGAGCAGCAAAGCCTGCAAAGGATAGCCAACATCGCAATCATCAACTTGCCAGCGTGTTTGCACGAGTCTCACCTGCACTGTACTGCTGTCGCAGATTCCGGCGAGGGCTTGGGAATTGCAGCTGCCATGTTGTCATTGTCGATAACAAGAGTAAATATTTCCCATCCACTCTGTGCTAGTATCTCCAGACGAAGCCCGCCGCCAATGAATCCCGGATGGAAACGCTTTTCTTCCTTGCCGTGGAAACAATCGTGCAGTGGTCGTCTCTTTTGCATTCCAAATGCTGGCATGCCAGGATGCGCCTATCCTCTTCCCCGGCCGAAAAATATGTACGTTGCCGACAGATTACCGCGGAGCCCATCCGCTTGACCGTCCCCCAATGCACAAACACCAAAAAGAAATACAATTTTCCAAGGTCGCTATGCTGTATACAACTCGGGTCGTCAAGATTTGTCATCCGATTGGTCTTTCGTGAGATATGAAATAGATGTGAATATATAGGTAATGCGACCGGGACGGGGACGCGGCTCATGAAAAGACCCCAAACCCGGAGGCAAACCAGGTAAACGACATGATGGTGATTGCTGCAGTCATCAACACAACACCCATGGCTTGCTTTTCATGGATAGAGAGTGCGCCACTACAGGTTGCGCACTTGAACTCGTTCAGCGGAGTATAGGGTTGTCTGCCACCAGGTTAGCAAGCAACGCATGTCTCGGGAGAAATTACGATCCACACTTACCCGGTATACATCCCAAAGACATACTGCTGGTATGCGCCCAAGTAGCCGGCGGATGGCACATCCGTGATATCTTTGCTCGCGTCGTGTACGATCAAGGTATAACTTGCCACTGGGAAAGGGTTTGTGGCCGTGGCTTGATAGTCGCCAGTATCCCAAGTCACAGCCCCTGTCTCTTCCACAGACATATTCGCCGCAATGGTATATGTGGCCGAGTTCATAGAGCAGGATGCTAGGACATCGATGGCCGAAGGCGTGACGGAAAGAGACGTGTAGTTCCACTTGAATGTAACATATTCGCCCACTTTATAGTACTGAACACCGTCGATTGCCGCAGGTGTGATCATAGAGATGCCGCCCGGAGGCAGACGAGGGTCGATGGCTGTTGTTTTGGTGCTGGTTGTTTTTGTCCCGCTCTTGGATTTTGAGGTAGTCTTTTTCTCTGATTTCGATTCAGAAGCCGAAGCCGATGCTGAGGCAGAGGCTGACCCCGAGGCGGACGCGGATGCGGATGCCGATGCAGAGGCCGAAGCAGAAGCAGACGCAGAAGCAGACGCAGACGCAGACGCAGCAGCAGTTCCTGATGCTGAAGCAGCCGCCGTTGAGGCAGCCGCAGTGTCTGACTGTCTTTGCCCTTGTCGCCGCAGAATCAACGCATCAACCTCATGATTGCCAAAAGACCCTGGCCATGGCCAAGCCGACGAAAAGGCTATACAGAAAAGGAGAAAGGATGAGAAGATGGAGAAGAGGCCGGAGCCCTTCATGGTCGGATCTCGGAGTGCTCGGCTTCTGGTTTGCGGAGGCCGTTGATTCAATCCACTGCAAAGTAGGTTGTTCAGGAGGAAGTCCTAGGGTCGAAATAACGAGCGAAAGGGTAGCGAGAGGATGCACAGCGGCAGATACAGGATCAAAGAATACCGAGAAACGAAGAAATGTGTTCAGAGGATGGGGTGCGCAGGAAGAATTCACGGGAAAAAGAGTGATGATGGATACCAACAGTGAGTGTGAGTGTGAGTGAGTGTCAATTGTCTGAGTGTCTCACCCTGGCGACGGTCCCGAGCCACAACAAAAAGACGCCGCCCTCAGCCTCTTTCTCCATTGGGCTGCCAGGCCGCAAACTAACCATATGAGGAATAGTCATGTCTTATTTTGGGTCTCACTCTCGATGCTTCATGCTGTGCCTGTGGGGATTCAAAACATCACCGCATCTATCATGCTGCCATGCTTCAGGTTGCCGTTATCATGTCATGTTCATGTATCTCTGTGTAGGCAACTAGCTTATGAGCTGGAGGATCTTTTTCGATCTCATCCTTTGCTCATGCGCCTCGCAGCTACATGCCGTCAACGGAAGGACATGTGCTCGTCATACAGCATTTCGGAGCAAATCCTCCATATTCAGCATTCGCTGCTGGCTGGTACGAAACCGAGTACAAACCGAGTACTCAACGCAGCCTCTTCAATAACCTGGTATTGCCGTCCACAGCTGGTCTGGGCCGTACAGCCTTCGCGATGAGAGTAGGACTGTATTTGCCTCACAGCCTCGTCCTCATCTTTCCTGCTCAACCTCACCGTATGACCTGCTCTTCCCAGTCCATCATGTTGAGATTGGCATTGAAATAACATAGTTGTTTGACCTCCTTCTGTTCTTGCTCCAATTGCCGTGCTCCTCCCACCGCCCTGTGCAACTCTTTCCAGTGCTCACATGCTTCAATGACCGCGATTTGTCGTCGCAAGGTGTCGATCTCCATCCGCAGGCTGACCTTGGCTGATCTTTCACTGCTGGCTGGCTGCGACAGCACACGTTGTGGTTTAGTCTTGGTCCAGATTTTGTCGCGATTGATGCCTTCCTCTGGCCGTCGCTCGTCTTGAGGTTGTCTTTGCTTTGATTGTTTGGCAACTAGACCACATGTAGTTTGCGGCTTTGTCAATGACTGGTTGTGGACTGTGAAGTGGCTGTTCCACCCATGCCAGGGCTGTTGTCGTACATAAGTCTGTTCAAAATCTGTTTGCGGGTTGCTAGTATTGTTTCCTGTGCCCATCTGGCACCGAAGAGCATCTGCGACAACTTCGCTGTTCGTCGATTCATGTTGGAGCGACATCGCGCTGTTGACTTAAACGGATATCTGCGGTGTTTGCCTGTGCGAGGTAATCTGACTAGGTGGCTGTTGATCTTCGTAGGGGGTGGTGAGTATTGTGTCTTTACTTTGATATCATATAGGAGGATCTTAGATCAGTCTCCTCTCACCTGAGAAGACTGAGGCAATCCTCAAACGCTTTACCTCTTTGGGCGGGAGTTTTTGTCTGAGTTCACATTCTCTTGAGGTTCGCCAAGATACACAGCTCTGCAAAGACCACTGCCTGACGAACTCAACACATAGTCTTGCTGACACTGCGCCGAAGCTCAAGCAAAAGTAGAAGTTGAGTATCGTGCAAGGTCCATGAGGCGTGCGATGGCTTCCAGGGCTCTTCCAGAGCTCTTCAATCTCACTTCCCGATGATACCGGCCGACCTCTTCAATACCACCAGACGGAGCTTCAGATTGTACCCAGCTCTGACCCGTAGTTGTGAGGCCCCATCAGCTGGCCGCTGTCGAGGATATCGAGAGCAGTACCGGTCTGGTGAGGGTCTGGGCTGCTGAACCATCGCCAAGAGCGACAAATGACGCTTGAGAGTGTTGAGCTGCCCGAGGGACTCTGTCTGACCAGCTGTCAACCCGGTACGATCGCGTCATCAAATGGCGGTATTCTCCACAGAAATCCTCGTTCTGCAGGGGCCGCTTGTCGCCGAGAACGACGGCCAGAAAGCGAAGCCGGACAAACTTGAATGCCTCCGAAACCATGTTGAAAATCTTTCGGGTGTTGAGTCTCCAGGCTATGCACAGTCACTGTGAAGGGCGATGAATTGTGTCTCCTCTTTGGCCCCTACCTTTGGCCGCCGGATCAACGGCAACTGCAATTTAGTGCCGCTGACAAGCTTATGGCATTTATCACAAGGCCTCGTTTTGATGTCATGGAACGCGGCGAGCATGTCCTGCATAAGTTCAGTTTCGCAGACCAAGGTTGATACGGGGGGCTTTCTCACCAGCAGACCAGCAAGACTGGGGGCGCTCTCGCCAGCACGTATCGCCTTGACGATGTCATCTCGGAGCACGGATGGCTCAGTATCGGGGTGCCCTCTGACTGCGTACTGTCCATTTGCCGTTGGGTCTTGGTCGATGCGAAAGTTTAAGTGGGCAACAGTGATATCAATTGGCAGAACATTAACTTCATCGGCCACGTTGACGGCCAGCTCTGGATGCTTGGTTCGAAAGTCGCTGACGATCTTCGCAACATCGGCCGGGGCAGGGGGCTGAACCTGATCGCCAGCGGCATTCATGCTGGTCGTATCGTCCTGTTTCCCACCAGCTTTGCGGCTCAGGAGCTCATAGTCGACAATCCAGGCATCTCGCCCTTGGGGAAGCTCATTGATATTGACATTGTGCCAGATTTCCCGCACTGTGTCACTGTGCCAATCCCGTTTAAACTTGGAGACGTCTCGACTGCCCGTCTGGGCCGCATCTTGAAGGAAAGCGGCCAACTTCTCGGGATCGTATCCTTCGGGATTGTCCAAAGCGAAGCGGGTTGGATTGATCAATTTCTCCGGCAGCAAAGTCCGAAGAGAACCAATCTTCACGAAGGTCAGCATGTAATTGTCCCCCGCGTTTTCTACGGCAGTAATGGTCGCGCGACATTCCAAGGACGTGCGAGACTGACCTGTTGGTACATGTTCTGCAACTTGGCCAACTTCTCCACAAGCTGACGGTCTTCAGGATGCACAATTTCTGCGTTGCTTGCGGCAGACATGGTTGTTGCAGCAGACGTTTCAGTGTTCAAGGACAGGCTTGCATCAGGAATGGATAGATGGAAATGATGGATGGGACATGTTATCAAACCATGATCTTAATAAGCAGGATCTGTAAAGGAGAAAGATGCTGACTCCGATTGATGAGTCCAGGCGGCCCGTTTGAACAATGAATGGAGTCAGGGGCGACAAGTTGACACTGCAGCGGAGGGCAACTTCAACAGATAACGGTGAAGAATGACAAACATGCCAAACTTGAACAAATGCATCCAAGCAATTATGACTTGGCAGTTCTAACCAGAACAAGTTAGAACAAGTCACATATTCTACGGCGCCGCAGCGGCGCTTCACTGGCAGGTATGAAGATAAGGTATCACTGCACTGGCACTCTGTACTGCTCGAGCATTCGAGGCAAACATCACAATCACTGTCAACTACCGAGTAGAGTGCCTCCATTCTCTTGAGGTTACCACACGATGCCCATTTCATACCCACTGCACTGCATGATCAGACCTTCTCTTCCACACGAAGATTGACCTCAGATACGTCAGTACCTGTATCCACGCCCTGCAGCTCCTCGACACCAATATTTGCCAGACTCTCGAACGACATGGTCTTTTCCTCGCTAGCGTAATTCCCGACAAATGACAAGGCAAAATAGAGGACACTGCTGATCGTACATGTGTAAAACCAACTGAAGGCATACAGGTGAGTCCAGCCGATTGCTACGTTGCTGCCAAAGGTTCCCGCAAACCCGGGAAGCTGTGATGTCGTCTCTGATTAGCACACGTACCACCCATCGAAAGCGTTGGACAGTATTCTGGGGCATACCATGAAAGCAATAGAGACAATCCATGTCACAATCGGCCTCCAGGCCACGCCGTGGAAGTACCAATACCTGCCCCCGACTAGGTACAGATCCTTCACGAAGACATTGCCCTTGCGAACCACAAGGTAGTCGGTCAAGGCCATTCCGAGAAACGGTCCCAGGAAAATGCTGTACCCGTTCAAGAACTTGAGAAATCCTTGAGCTGTCGCCAAGATCTGCCATGGACAAATGCAAATTCCGAGGATGTAGGCCATCCACATGCCTCGTTTGATGTTGAGCCATCTAGGGAATAGGGACATGAAGTCCGCTCCAAAGGGAATGACATTTGCTCCCAGCTCGGTCAGAGCGTTTCCGAAGATGAAGCAAAGGTTGATGATGCAGACCCCGGCCCGGTTCGCGTGGCTGAAATTGTGGTCGAGCATGTCGTGGTTCAGAGTCCACGGATTCCAGTCCATATTGCCCCATATATTGAAGATGCTCTGGGTGGCGTATATACCCATGGCTGCGCAGACGGTACTGGCTATGGGAAACATGAACATCTGGGACCAGATCGGAGTGATCCTGCTGCGCGCATAACGTGCGATGTCAGGTTGGTTGACCATGAGGGTGGTTGATTTGGCCAACCCCGAGTTGACGGCCGTAAGCTGCCGAAGTTTCAGTCAACATTTTGTCCCGCCTTGCACAACCAACGTTTCTTCTTACCATTGCCCACGACAGCGCCGCGCCATGCTTTCGGTCCACGTCGTACATGTCCTTGTGTGGATATCCTCGTCCCTTGACCATACAAAATCCGAAAAGACCTATGCATGAAGCCATCAGCAAGCCGTTTCGTCGACCCTTTCCCGATCATGACGACGTACCAATGATCACGGCAGGCAGAACGACCATTTGAACCTCATATGCTCGCCGGAGCTTAGGGATGGGGATATTGAGTGTCCAGCAAGTCAAGACCCAATACACAAGCATTCCTGTGGCATAGAACGAATCAGTCAGCTTCAGTCGAGTACCAAGGGAGTAAGATCTTCGGAAAGACGGACCTATGAGCTGCTGCACTGTGATATTCGAGCTCTTTGGGATGTGACTGGGCATGTTCCAGTAGCCATTGCCAAAGATGCATCGTATCACGATCGCCGTGAAGTATCCGCCCTGCGCGATGCTGACGCCGCCCCAGATGAGTGCACACAGGGCACGGATCACGACAGGAAAGTATCCGCCACGAAGACCCCAAACAATCCGGGTCTCGACTGGAAAGCCGAAGTGGTAAACCGCTGCAGCTCGCGAATGCATGACGATCCCGACCGAACCAAAGAAGAATCCAAGGAACAGACATCCCAACGATTGACCTGGAGTCAACCCGATCGCAAGCAGCGCCGCTCCAAGATACCAACACCCTGGTGAGAAGCCATACGACCACCAGAAAGCGGAATAGTCATACCAACTCCATGTTTGATGGCTCTTCGGGCTCACGTCGAGGTCTTCGTTCGTCCATTTGTTGCGGGTCTCGCCCGCTTCGTGGACAGCGTCAGGGTTGGTCTCCAGGTAAGTCACAAAGGCATCTTTGCTGGTAAAAGCATGTCGGAATTCCTGAACGTTGCCTCGAACACGCTCTTGAAGCTTGGTATGGAGACCCATCGCGCGAGAAGTGAAGTTGATCCTTGTCTACGGATGCCACCCAAAGTCGCATTTGGATCTGGGGTGAAATATACGTGCTCGACCGACCGTATATGGCATATAAGTAATACTCTTATCGTATTGGCCGAGCCTGAACGTGTCAGGATAACGCTGGTGCGATACGCCAACCAACCTCTGTCCATCAGGCGTCCCATCTCGGGCAGTATAGAGGCTCCCTAGGCCTCCCTAGTCCCTCACGACCTTATCTACCTATACGCGGGAAACTCCAGAGAAACCATCGGCCGGGATTTCGGCCGGGACCTTGGGGCCGCAATCCTGCGGATGACAGCCTTGCCTGCAGACAGCCTATTGCGACCAATGGCATACATGCATGGTGCGGCGAATCCCATGAGAGTCGGCCGAGCTGCTTATGCTCTCGCAGCAAGGGTGACTGCACGATAATACCTACCTGTCTCACGGAGGGTCCCGATTATTATTGGAGAGATATCAATGGTCCCAAACCTACGTGGCTATCGCCAGAGGTCGAACACGTACCGTATACCATAGACAAAGCAAGGGTCGAAGCAACGCAGGACCGATAGTCGACAAAGGTGATAGGCATCTCAATCTCAGTTGACGCGTGCACCCCGCCCCCACCAGCAAACCACCTGGACCTGGACCTGGACAAATCTTCATCATGGGGTCGATGGGAAGACAAACCAGACTTCCGCCCGTCCTCGACTTCTCTGGTAAGTTAGCAGGACCTCTTGATCAGAGGGGATAGGAGCATCGGGTTGACCATCATCTGGCTAGCTTTCCGAGGAGAAGATGGGCCAGCGAAAGCCGAGTTTCTGCAAAGACTCGGGCAAGCGTGTCGAGACAAAGGATTCTTCCAACTGATCAACCATGGCGTCGAGCCTGAGCTGCAACAAAAGATCTTCGCTGCGGCCAAAGAGCTCTTCGACCTCCCCATGGAAGAAAAGCTGAAAGCGAGACTGACGCCCGCGACCAAGGGGCGAGGCTACGAAACGATCGGAGACCAAATGCTAGAACCGGGCTCAGCACCCGACACCAAAGAAGGCATCTATCTAGGCGACGACCTTCCCGCCGACGACCCGCGCGTCTTGAAGGGCGAGTACGGCTGTGGTTCCAACATCTACCCGGCGTGCCTGGGGCCGCAATGGCACGCCACCTGCATAGAATACTTGCAAACCCTGAAAACCCTGGCCCGAGACGTGATGCGCGCTCTCGCCGCCGCACTCGCCATCGGCGACGACTATTTCGACCAATTCACCGAAACCGACCCTGTCGCGACGCTCCGGTTGATCCACTACCCGCCCACGCCCACGACGTCGGACAAGGAGCGTGGCTGTGGCGCCCATCGCGACTTCGGCTGCATCACCCTGCTTCTGCAAGACCAGGTGGGCGGCCTTCAGGTCCAGGACGAAGAGACGGGCGAGTTTCTCGACATCGACCCCGTCCCGGGTGCGTACGTGGTCAATCTGGGAAACCTGATGGCCCGCTGGACCAACCACCATTACACGTCCAACACGCACCGCGTGCTGAATTACTCGCCAACCGACCGCTACTCGATTCCTTTCTTCTACAGCGGCAATGCCAACCACGTGTTGGATACCATTCCGGGCTTGGAGCAGAGGCCGCAGTCTGTCGTGGCGAGAAAATACGGTCCAGCCATCCCCCGGGAGCCTTACGGCCCGGTTTCCGTCACCGACTTCTTACGCGACCAGTTTGTTCGGTCATACGCGCGGGCCCAAGAATACAGACCAAAGGCGGTTGAGGTCTAGTTGGATTTGGTTCAGTCCCATCTCACCTCGCCCAACATGGTTGGCTGGAATCGATTCGAATCTCAGTGCAAAGATTCGAGACCTGTCCTTCGAGGAGTTGTGCTATGAAATATACATCATGCGGCTCGGCAGCCGGTCACTGAGCACTGCCAGCCGCAATCAAGGCTCTGGAGAACAGATGGCATAAGGCGGTGGAAGACTCGATTTTGGTTTAGCGATGTACTTTGCCTTCTTTCTTCCGTTTTCTTTTTGCGAGGAGTCAGAGCATCAGACGTCTTCAAGGTCTCAGAGTTGCAACGTTCCCGGAGGTGTCCCGAGGGCACGTTTCAATCATGACTCCTGATCACTTCCTTCGTCACGAAAAGCCCAGCATCTGCAGACTTCCACCTTGAACCGTCCAACAAGCGTCAAAGTGTCCACATTGTTTGAAGCAGGATGGTTGAGATACGTTGCACTTCGCGCGATGACCCCAACCAACCCGGGCGCAGCTGGAATCACATGGCGTGAGTCAAGATTCAAGTTCAACCACTGTAGTCTGTGACTCTGTCGGTGCTGTAGGCTAAGGCTACTCAAGTCCAGAATCCCTGAAACATGAGATACTAAACTCTTTAGGGTTACATATTGGACTGCAATACTAGCTACGATCAAAAATTGACAAGAAATTGTCACAGAACTCAGGCTTAGGCTTGAACTCAGGCTTAGGCTTGATCATATATCATCATAATCCCACAAAAGTACATCCTATCATATCTCCTCTTATACCTTCCCCTTCGGAGCGGCAATCCATATATCATCCATGCAAAGGTAACCTTCCACCTTCCTCTCACAGCAGTCAGAACTCAGGAAACAGAAGGAATAGGCACAGGTCCCACAGGCCCTCTACTAGCCCCGATGTTCGCCTGGTGCATGGTCCTCGGACCATACTTCTCCAGCGGGTAATCCACGGCGGAATGGAATGTGCCGTAGTTATCCCACATGACGATGTCGCCTTCCCCGACCTCCGGCAGCCAGATATACTCGGGCCGAAGGATGCGCGACTGGATGTCGAGGATGAAGGCGCGGATCTCGTTGACGTCCTCGACGACTTTGGGTTGCTCGTCGACCGAGGAGCGGAGGAAGAGTTTTCGCACGGCCAGACCGTGGACTTGGAATGCTTTTTCGCCGGTGACAGGGTTGATCCAGGCGCAGGGATACTAGAGTTTGTCAAACATGTCAGTAATCCAACACGAAAGCTAATACGCACCGGGGATGGATCTGGGAAGTTGAACTGAAATGAAACAGAACAAAAGAATGCGACTTACTCTCTTGATAGCCCTCTCGTCATAATCACCCAGTTCCTCTATCGTATGTTCCTTGCCCTCCGATTTAAGTCCCAGTCCATTCGACGGCGCCTTGCAGTTCTCAATCCACATGTACGGATGCGGCGCATACTCGACCCAGCTGTGGTCGACCAGCTGCTGTTCCTCGGCGGAGAGCAGGCCGTACAGCTGCGACGTGCTGAAGAACGCGGTCAACCCGGGCGGCGATTGCATGCTCAAGCCGGACCCGTCGTCCCAGCGGATTGTCACGTCGGGGCCCGAGGGCAGCTTGACGGCGCGCAGGGTCGTGAACCATGCCGGGTCGCGCGCGTACAGGGGCGCGTCGATGTGCCATCTCTGGAAACGGGTGAAGCCTTGCTGGAACTCGTCTTCGTTGGGTGGGTCGGCGTGGAAGTTGTTGGAGAGGCCTTTGACGGTGACGTTCTTGAGTCCGTAGTGATCATCGCCTGTATCCCGTTAGAGACAGACAGACAAACAGACAGACAAATAGGACGATAAGATGGGGAATTCAAGACGTGGTTACACAAGAATCAATCAGACTCTAACTCACCTTGATATCCTTTGCCGATCAAACGCACGTTCTCGGCTCCAGGGATGCCATAGACATCGCGAGACTTGGAGAGGAGGCCGCCTTTGGCTTGAAACGTTTTAATACTTCCGTGGCTGTGCACTTGCGAGGCGGCCGGGTCGAAGCGCGTCACCAGTTCCCAGTGTTTCTGGGGAGTCAGGTCTTTCTGGCCCTTGACGATGATGACCTTGTGCGTCCAGATTGTGTCCTTGAGATTCTTGACATCGTCGTCTTTGAAGTCACAGTTAGTTTGTTCTGTTCTGTTCTGTTCTGTTCTGACGGTCTATGACTGAATGGACGGATCCCTACCGGAAATGTTGTTCAGGTCTAGTCCTTCCACTATCGCCCCGAAGTTGAATTTCTGATCTTTGCGCTTGATGACTGGCCGGACCTGAAAGGTTGGTTCGGGGGTGAGAGCGGCTGGCGACATTGTTCTTTTCTCTCGGTGTCTTGAGGATGGTGTACCTGTCTCTCTGTTTCTCTGTGACTCTGTGACTCTGTTTCTCTGCTCAGGTCCTGCTATCAGAGTCGGAAAGTATGATTGTTCTGCTGTGTGTCGAACTCCACGGTTTGAATTCAATTCGGCGGGGATGGTTTATGAAGCCATGCAAACATTCGATTGTCGTACACGGTGCTAGATAGCCATCCATGAGCATGTCTGAGATGGTATCAGACTGACCAGTGCATGATCGGGTCCTCGGCCGAGCTGATACGTTCGTTATCGGCCGGCAGCTAGAAAGTATCTAGTCGTGAGTCTTGTGGGTTGTGCGACTTATCGCAGACATTGGATCTCGGCCGAATCAACAACAACTAGAGTTCTGGAGACCGATTAGTATTGATAGTGATTGATCCCTATCTATCACAGTCCACTGCTGGTAATGCATCCATATAGATTGGAGTATCTCGGACGAATACGAAATGATACGAGGATACTAGCAGCGGGCGTCCTTCAAGCTTTGTTGTTTATGGCAACCGTTTCAAGTTGTGATACTGTACATCGACAGCGAGCGAGTCCTCCACCTCCACCACCGGCAGCAGCAGCGGCAGCGGCTGAGCCTGAACCCGAGTCTGAGCTTCGACCTCGCGGGGACAAATTGTGACTTTGGAAAAAGCGTCCAGGTTCAACCTCACCTACTGCAACAACGCTCCACCACTATGGTGCCATCGTCGTACAATGTCCGCTGCTCCACGAAAGCGACTTGCCTGTCGACTATGCACGCGGCGCAAGGTCAAGTGCGACAAGCAGATCCCATGTAGCAATTGTGTCAAGAGAGGAACTGCAGCAGCATGCGAGCGCGATGATCCCGACGAGCTGAATGCTCCCAGCAGCAGCTCCAGCGTCTGGCCCCAGGCTCGGCCAGATGGCCCTTCCACATCGGCGTCTGCGTCTGCCATCACGGCTCTTCGGTCTCGTATAGCGGAACTCGAATCGGCTTTACAGCACAAAATAGCAGAGGGCAACAATGCTGATGCTCATGCTGATGCGGCGCAATCTCCCACCGCCACGCCAGCAACAGACCGCGCAGACAGGACGCCTGTGCCGGCGCAACTGGAATCGCGGTCCTCGTCCTCATCGCCAACAAGTCAGGGATGTGAATCGGAAATCCAAGACGCCGTCACCGTGCTCGAGTTTCTGGCCTGGGGCCGGATGAAGGATCCCGACCATGCGATGCTGTCGCCGGAAGCGCTGCGCGTGTCGGAGACCGTGAACGACGAAGGCACAGGCATCAGTCCAGCCGAGGAGCTGGACTGCGCACTGGATCCGGCGGGCGCGAACATTGTTCCGTGGCTCCAGATCCTGCTCCCGTCGCGACGCCAGGTCTACCAACTGGTCGAGTATCACAACATCTGTCTGCTGTGGTTCTACGGCTCGTATTTCGCACCCACCTTCTCCGAGGAGCTGGAGTCATTCTACACCGACCACCACGGCAAGCTGGACTCGAAGGGCCTCTCGCTGCAATGGGTCGCGCTGCTGTTCTCGGTCATGGCGGGCACCATCACCTCTGCGCCCGCGCACGAGGCGCGCAAATGGGGATTCGACGAGTCCGAGGCCCGGCTGCTGTCGCAGAAATGGTACAAGGCCATCTCGGTCGCCTTGAACGCCGCCCACTTCACGGCCCGCCACTCGCTGCATGCCGTGCAAGCCATCGCGACGGCCACAAACACCGCCCACATGCTGGGCCATTCAAACACGCAGTCGGTGATGCTGGCGTCCGCGGTCCGCATCGCCCAAAGCCTGGGTCTGCACCGACTCGACGAAGATGCTCCGGGGACGCCGGTGGAGCTGGAAACCGGTCGTCGTGTCTGGCAGGAGCTGTGCACCCAGGACTGGTTCAGCACGGCCTTTTCCGAGTCTTACTCGATCAACCCGCTGCATTCGACCTCTGTGGCACCGCAAAACTGCGACGACAACATGAATGTCCTGCCCGAGTCCGAGCCCACCATCACCAGCTTCTGCAGGTTCCTGGCCAAGATCGCCGCCATTATGCCCGCCCTGCAGGATGCCATGGCCCTGTCCAACACGCTCTACACCAAACACGAGGCCGTGCTGGTCCACGACAGAAAGATGCGCTCCTTGGCCACGGGCAGACCGCCGTTCCTGGCAAACACAGCCTTCGATGCCAATTGGCCGTGCTACATTCCATGGGCGCGCCGCGCCATTGCGATGAGTTCCGCACACAAGATCATTATGATCCACAGGTATGTTTGTCTGTATGCAGCAAGAAGAACCCCTCTCTGGTTGTCTGTATTCAGCAAGAACAATTCCTCTGGTTGGAAGAAACACGTCTGTGTCTGTGTCTGTGAAATACTAGTATGTCATCCGCTAACCCCGTGGTCTCGCGGTATTCTAGGAAATTCCTCGGTCTGAGTTTCACCAACCCAGTCTTCGCATTCACGCGGCGAACCTGCCTGGCCGCCTCGAAAACGATCCTGAAAGAATACCTGGCCAGCAGCAAGGATGAATCCAGCCCCATGCTGTGGACCCACCAGGCCTTCTCCGTGGCCGCCTGCATCGTCATCTATTTTGACATGCTTCATTCTTCTCCCTCCGCGTCTCCATCCACGTCCAACCCCAATTACCATTCTTCTTCTGCGTCTCCGTCCAACCCCAATTCCCATTTCGCTTCAGACCAGTCGCAGCTGGTCGAGGAAACCGTCGAGCATCTACAGCTCTGCCAGCAGAAGAGCATGATCGCTGCCCGAGGCGTCAAGGTGCTGAATGCCTTGCAGAAGCAGATCGCCAACCGGGCGGACGGTCAAGGTCGAAGTGGACCGTCAAAGAGGCCAAGGTCACTCGATGCTGCTACTGCTACAGCTGGAACTGGAGACGTGCCGTCGAGGAAAAGACGGCGAGGCTTCGACGCGGCCGAATTCGCTCGGTCGTTCTGTGATGCGTCTACTGATGCTCAGCGGCGCCGGCATGGTCATGGTCCCTCACGCCAGTGCCAGAACCAAGGCATCGCAGAGCGTCAGACACCCGCTGAACATCTGGACCTGGGCCAGCGGCGGATCGAGGATAACACGCAAATCATCGGCGTCGACGATCCAGTGGCTTTTCAGGGAGACTTGAATTGGTTGTGGAATATGCCGTTGAATGATGAAGATGGCACTCATACATTCGATAGCTTGCTGTCCTTTGCAAATCAGGGTCTTGGGCTCTAACATGAAGGATTACTAGGTGACTGAGCGAAAGGGGGTTAAAGGTTTCCAATGCCTGATCGGTGTCACTTCCTTTTTCTTTTTTGATATGATAGCGCTATTTTTGAGCCTGGACTTTTCCAAGATGCAAAATCTTCCTATATGGAACTTTATATATGAATCATGAAACCTCTCTTTATAACTGGCGCTTCAGATGCATCAAGATAGTTATATCGCCCTTGATCCTTCGGTGACCGTGACTGGCCACACACTAGAGGCGCCGTCCATCGCCGTCCATCGCCGTCCGTCACTGCAATCAACTTAACCTGAAGGATGGTCCGATGCTGCAATGTTACACTGATGCATGATCCTTGGTCCATAGGACTCGGGGAATTCGGTCTTTGAATGTCGGATTAGTAGAATTCTCATGCAGACGCGAAGGCCTGGGCGGGTCAACTTACAATGCTGTGCCACAACGCACGGTTGTACCAGAGGACGACATCTTGCTCTTGGTGGCGGTGTGCATAGATGTTCTCGGGCGAGATGGCTGGCCGCATGATTCTGTGGTACAGTACAGTCAGCCCCTGCGAATTCCACCAAGATGGCGACTTCGCATCAACTATAAAGTTGAAAGGGTATACATACCTATGCATAAAGTCTCGGACCTCTTTCAAATCGTCGACGATCTTCTCTTCCCCATCTGGACTGCTCCTAAGGTACAACTTGACCGCTCCTTGTCCATGGACCTGCAAGGACTTCTCGCCCGTCTTCGGGTTGGTCCACACCATCGGATAGATGCAGATTTTTGTCTCGTCAACAGGCGGGAGCTTCTCGCGAGGCAGCTCGAGGCCTTCGGTTTCCAGGATATGACCCAGTCTCGCGCTATGGGCGGTCGACATCCACTTGAAGGCGTGCGGGGCATACTCGATGCGAGAATGCAGAACGATCTGTCTGGTTTCTTCGTCGAGGACTTCCAGAGCTCTCGACCCAGCCACATAGGCGGTGGCGCCGGGCGGGATTTTCATTTCTGTCCCCGTCCCGTCGTCCCAGCGCACAGTGACGTCGGGGCCCTTTGGTGTTTTGACGGCCAGGAGACAGCCCACTCGCGGAGGCGGGATGTTGTACAAGGCTCCGTCCCAGTGCCACTGGTAGAACCGGCTGGCTCCTTTCTCGCGCTCCTCTTTCGGAATGTGCGGCGGCAGATGGAACGCGTGGTGGTCGATCCCCTTGACCTTGAACCCCGGAGGGAACTGGTAGTGGTTTTCGGGAACTTCGCCCCGTCCGAGGATATGGACCTGTGGTTGAACGGGGATCGCGGGTCTGCTCTGGATGCCGTAGATGTTGACGCCGCCATGCGAGGTCAGGAATGGATCGGCCCCGTGCGCGAAGCCTCCTGTCGTCTCGTCGGGGTCGAAATTGGCCGTCAGCAGATACTGTTGCTGTGGTTGGAGCATCTCCGGCTGTTCCTTGAATATCAAGACTTTGTGCTTGTGGAGGGCGTCGGAGATGAGTTGGAAATCCGCATCGGTGAGTCTGTTCAGGTCGATTCCGTAGACTTCGGCGCCAAAGTCCACCTTGCTTTCCGCTGCGTGCTGCACGGGGACTACTCGTCCATTGGTCTGTTCCGCGTGTGGAAGTGTGATGTCTGTTGACTTGGTTGCGATCAGTCTCGCTTTGACGCCTTCTGGCGCGATGACTTCCGTGAGCGCTTCGACAACCATTGTAGGAGAGCTGGTCTTGTCGATGGCTGGAAAGGGTGGTAGAAGGTATCTGGTATCTGATCTACCTGTAATATGCTTTGACACTTTTGAACCCCAGAATCGAATACCTTTTCAACCTCCGACGTTCGGTCCAGAAGTTCTAGGCTATTCCTAATCCTAACCCTCGGCGATTCAGGACGGGAGTCTCATCTCGGCCACGACCAACCGGCCGAGTATCTTGCCGCATAAAAAGCTTCGTGGGGCGTGGAAGGTGATGTCCAAGATAGATAGATAGTCAAGGTTGCGAGACGGGGGTGTCCTCGGCCGAGCCCGGCCGAGGTTCGGGTCCACCAAAACCACTCCTTTTGGATCTTGTAGAAGGAAGCATGCATACGCTGTTGGTCCCTATATGTTCCTGGGACACAGGGACCTATTTGGAACCTCCAATATCTGCAAATATGCTAGCGCCTTCACTCCAAAAACACCTCACGGTTGATGGGACGGACGTCCACTATATCTCGTCCGGCAACCAGCATGGTCGTCTGGCAGTCTTGCTTCATGGGCTCGGAGGATCAACGAACACATTTCAAGACCTGCTCCCGTCCATACCGCCCAGCTATCACGCCATCAGTGTAGACATTGAAGGCTTCGGAGACACACCACTCAACCAGGGAAAGTCTCTTTCGTTTGCACGCTATGTCTCCGACTTACACGATCTCATCACACATCTCCAAGAACCTCCTTCAGCCTCAACAGCAGAAACAAGTAACGGGGTCAGCAGCAGCAGCAGCAGCAGTAACACTGAAGCAGTCCTCCTCGTCGGTCACTCGCTCGGCGGCATCATCAGCTTACACTATGCCGCCCAGTACCCCACCCAAGTGGCGGGACTTTTACTTCTGGGACCAGGGCGCTCTGTGAGAGGTATTCCGCCGGCACAGCAGCGGATGCGAGATCTCGCAAAGACGGCGCGAGAAAACGGCATGAAGGCGGTGGGGGCGATCGCACTTAAGACGAATTTCCCGGCGGATCGGGACAACGATGCCGCGCACGAACAAGAGGTGTATGAGGCCGTGACTTCTTGTTCTGCCGAGGCGTATGCGGCCACAGCAGAGCTGATCGCCGGCGACGACCATTATGATCCAGACTACAGTCTGATCCAATGCCCCGTAGTGTTCGTGGCTGGTGACAAGGACACGATCAGCCCACCGCAGAGGTCGAGGGATATCAGCGCTCTGCTCGGAGGGCCTTCGGAAGTGGTGGTGGTCCAAAGCGGTCATCAGATGATCCTGCAGGACATCCAAGGTGTGAAGAAGGCGCTCGACAAGTTGCTCGCAACGGTATGAGCGGGAGTGTCTTCTGCTGAGTGACATCTTCCGAGTATTCATCTGGGAATTCTCAAGAGGCTTGACAGTCATAGGACCGAATTCTCCTGCAGAACAGTCGGAAAAAATTTGACCCTGAGAGGATGTCCCATCCTTGAGAATGGGCAGTCTATCATTTCATTAGTCTGAGTCTCTGCAAACGGGATGTAGAACAAAAATGCCATGGCCCTGCTCCGCGCAGAAAAGTAATCTAGGTTTAACATATCCTGCACCTTGTCCCAAACCGATGAATCGCATTGATCATATCCGACATAGTAGTTGCCATAGAGGGTCTTCTCCATTGATCTCAGTCGTTGGTTCCCCAGCATCATCCCAACCTCATTCATTGCTGCTTTCTATTGCCCATTGCTCGTCGCTTGGTCCGTTCCATTTCATTTTGTGTTCCGTACCTCTAGCTCTATTCAACCTGTACTCCCAAATCCCCCAGCTCCCCTAACACTCTCCTCGAGACTCTCGACTTCCACAATCTCAGGTGTGTAGATCCTCTCCAAAACCAACTGTGCAATCCTATCGCCTTTCTTGACCTCGAAATCTACTTCCGAGTGATTGAACAGCAACACCTTGACTTCGCCGCGGTAGTCAGCATCGATAACCCCCGCGCCCGTATCGATGAAATGTTTCGACGCGAGGCCCGAGCGAGGCGCTACTCGGCCATACGTCCCCTCTGGCGTGGCAATCGCCAAGTCCGTCGACACCAGAGCTTTGCCCCGTGACGGTATCGTGATGGGTTTGGACGCGTATAGATCGTAGCCAGCGGCAAAGGCGGAGCCACGGGTCGGTGTGGTGGCATCGGGGGAGAGCTTTTTGATTAGCAAGGGAGGATGGGCTGAGAGTTGAGGAACTGCCGTAGAGTCGGCGGCCGAAGACATGTTGATGGTAGATGGGCCAGAAGGGGAGAGTGTATGACTCGAGGTGTTTGAGCCGTTGGTGTCGCTTTTAACCCGTTTGGCTGCGGGTGAAGTGGGCAGCGAGGGTGGATGATGGTCTGCGGTTGCTTTTGAGGGTTGAGATGGTGGTGGAGGAGTAGATGCTCTGGTCATGTCTCGTGGGGACTACAAAAGATAGAAAAGATTGGTGGTGCGCAAGGAGAAGTGGTGATTGATATGTGTACACTTTTTTAAAGTCGGGGAACACTACAACGCGTCGACGCGTAAAGTGCCGGTTAAGGATTGGAGTTCGCGTCTTGCGCTTCGGCACTTAATGATGCGCATTTCCGCTTTCCTGGGGGCTTATTGTGCTCCGCAGCATATCCATCCGGGGGTTTTGAGCGGGCGGCCAATTGCGGTGTGTGGTTGGCTGTCGACTAAATCCTTGGACCGAGGTTATTCTTGATGATGTTCGGGAATCGACTTCCTCGGACGCATGAAGAGGTTGACCATCATAGCAGCCTCCGTTGTCGATGGATGGCAGACCCATGACTTGAATTCTATGGCCGCCGCTGCTTTCCTGCGGTCTACATATCTATATCGTTCTATATGAGTTGATCAAGGAAGCAGAAGACGACGACGGAGAAGATGGCCGGGCCCGTACGACAACCCATCGACCTGGCCTCGTTTGAGAGGTACGTCGACAACAATGTTCCGCAGATCAAGACCCCTCTGGAATTGAAACAGGTATGGCGTTCTCTCTACACGCTCCCTCATTGTACAGCTCTGTTGCTGACGTTGTTCTCCTTTGCAGTTCGGCTTCGGCCAGTCGAACCCTACATACCAAATCATCGACGCAACCGGAGCGAAATATGTCATGCGTAAGAAACCTCCTGGGAAATTACTGTCGAAGACCGCACACCAGGTGGATCGAGAATATAGAATTATCAAGGCACTCGGACAAACCGACGTCCCCGTACCCAAAGCGTACTGTTTATGTGAAGATGACAGTGTCATCGGCACGGCATTCTACATCATGGAGTTTCTGGACGGAAGAATGGTCACGGAGCCGCATTTCCCTGGGTTCAGCGCGCAAGAGAGGATGGAAATGTGAGTTGCACGAATGGCAAAGTTAAGAACACATGGCTGACTTCCTCGGGATAGGTGGCGCGATGCTGTCCGAACGCTGGCGAAGTTCCACCGGGTGGACTTCCACAAGGTCGGCCTTGCAGACTTTGGTCGACATGGCGGATTCTATGATCGTCAGTTGAAGACGTTCGGCACGTTATCGAAGGCCCAGGCTGCGGCCGAGGACGTCGACACTAAGATCCCTGTTGGGGACATTCCGCATTTCGATGAGATGGTCGACTTCTTCAAGCAGAAGTCGACACAACCCAAGGATCGCGCAACGTTGATCCATGGAGACTACAAGATCGACAACCTGGTCTTTCACAAAACCGAGCCACGTGTCATTGGCATTCTTGACTGGGAGATGGCAACGATCGGACATCCTTTATCGGATTTCGTCAATCTTACGGCTCCATGGGCCTGGGTTGGAAGACAGACCGGATCAGCCGATTCGGATAGAGCGAACGAAGCGTTTCGGTCTGGGGTTACTCCTGGCTTACCTTCGTTAGAACAGGCCGTGAAGTGGTATGCGGAGGAGTCAGGATACGACCCCTCCCCCGAGCTTGCTTGGGGCACCGCATTTGGAGGATTTAGAGGGGCTATCATCATGCAAGGGATTGCGGCAAGATATGCTCGCCGGCAAGCAAGTGGCACAACTGCCAGACAGTACGCGGCCCAAATGGGCCCGTATGGAGAGTGGACATACGGACTGGTGAAGCGGTTGAAGGATTCTTTGGAAGGAAAAGCAAAGCTGTAGAATTGGCAGGGCTCAGACGGACTGATAATTAAAACCCGGGAAGACCTGCAGACACACGCGGGTGTCTCTCTGTTCTGGCCGTGATATGGTCGACTGTTCTGGGAGCCGTTGTAAATCTGAAATCGATGACTGCCTGTAAAAGCAGATTACGACTGGGTGATATCAATGACCGTCGGAGGGCGCATAGACACAGAAGCCAGGAGCCAACTAGTTCGGGGGGAGACGACGACTCCTCTGCCTCTTGGTTCCCGGTGGCTGAACAGGTCGCCGGGCTTGCCTGGTAACGGTAGAGCGGCCGAGAGGCCATAGTCACAATCAGCAAGGCTTGCGAGGGCTGAAAGAGACACAGCTCCGATTTGGTCAAGTCCACCTTGATCCGCCGATCCCGTGGCTGTGAACAGTGCTAGACCTAGGTGTTCTCTCGGCGGTGTGGTCAGCTGCTGATGAACGTATGACGTTGTTGTATCGTTTCTATCGACTCGGCTTCGAAATTGGCATGTTACACCATACAAGATGCAAATTCCCATGGTAGGCGCTTACTGGCTTCCTTGATGGGCGCACCGCTGGCCGTTCGTTTGAACGAGCAGCATCATTTGAATTGGGCTTCCGGACCATCCGCCTGGCAACGACGTATGCCGATCCTGGGACTGTAAGTTCTCTCCAACTGGGTTCAGCGTATCTCATGATCAAAAGGCGCCACAGCCCAAAATTGAAGCACGTCTGAGCCAGTCTTACTTTCCGCCTCCAGTAAAACGTCATGGAAACGAGTGGCGTTACTCAGAAACTCCTGGAGCATTAGGCATCGGCGACTGACGTGCGGCATGCGCAGTGGGAAAAGCAGAATGAGACAAACCCCTGTGCCGGGTATAACCACATTGGTTCGCGAGTTACCGATATTGTTCATCATCCCCTTCAGCAGAACAATCCGGCAAACGATTGCCAGGCGCCAGTGTCACCCACGATCAAGAACGTATGCCGCATCGAGCCATTGGCAAACCGACGAAAGGTAGAAGGACAGAGCAATCGCCGGGAGGGAGGTGTACAGTAGTTCTGCTACTCTGTGCTCAGCTTCAAAGAAACCATGACGCTCTCATTGAGCAGGCAGTCGAATTCTTCGCAATGACAAGCTCTGAACTCTGAACTCGGAGATAGAGTGCAGTGTCAGCCGATATAGTGGTCGTTTGTGTTTGTTCTCGAACAGATTAGAGAATACGAGGCCCGTGGAAATGGAAAGCTGTCAATCCATCAGATCGGAGGGGCCGGAGCTGGGTGCCTGGTCCCGCGTGCATTTGTCACAACCTTCGATATGGCGTAGGACATACCCCGGTATGATAGGGGTCTGAGGTTGACTCGATGAAGATTCATGGAGAGAAGGAGAATCGTGAGCAAGCAAACCGCAGGACAGGTGCCCAGCGCCGGAAACGTGTTGGGTTCAAGTTCAAGTTGGGGCGAAGGAAGCGGGGATCAAGGTTGCCTGCGCTCCGTTTCATCGCAGGCACAAGCCTGAGGTACTGTACTCAATTAGTACCTACTACCTACCTACCCAACACCTACCGTCATAACCATACAGCAATAGCAGGTACAATCACATCCAGAATCGCTGCGATGCATCTCTCCTAGGTGAGTTTACCATCATGGTGCGCCTTCGAGAGGCTCATTGACCGGGAAAGGATGCAGAAGTAGCTATGCACCATTTGAATTCAGCCCTCGCATGAAACAAGTTCTCTCGCTTGGGACCTCGAGAACAGGCCTCCTCCTGATCCTAGGCCCGCTAGGCCTAAAGCCCTCACCATCAACGAACGAGGCTATTGAGCGTGACCAGCAGCATCATCGACTGGAGAATTCCGGGCTCACAGGCTCACAGGCACAGGCTTTCTTATCAACTTGCGATGTAACATCACACCCACCGCGCGTGCCATCTTTTTGTCCTTTTGGCAGCGCCATGATATCTATCCATACATGATAGGGCGCGTCGAGGAAGCAACTTGCAGCGACTCGTCGGTTACACGTTCAATAGTACAGATACTTGACATTCAGCTCCTCGCTTGTTCTGCATGTTTGGAGACAAGGACCCTGGCTCACCGGTCCAACATTGATTAGCTGTGGACTGACGATACCCGGAACATACAGCCACCACTCCTCCCGGAGACATTCCCCGGGCCATCAGTGTAACCAACACGGCTCACCCCTTCCAGATCAGAGAAGAGAATGAAGATCCTCTCAGCTTGATACCAGGAGAATATCAAACTCGCGGTCGAAACCCCAGCTTGACACCATGCAACAGTGAAAGCCGCTAAGAGGAGTACCTAACATAAGCAGTGCTCGTGACTGTTGTCGAACAGTCTGCGTGCATGATGATCGTCGACAGCTTACGAGCAGCTCAGCCGCCTGGATATCGCAAAGAATAGTGCATTATGCACAGTTGTGGGGGTTGCACCATATTGAAACAACCCCCCTGGTCTTCCCTCCCAACCTGAATGTCTCATGCATTCAACCTCTGTCAACTCGCAATGCCCACAGCACAAGCAGGCAACTGCCAATGCTCCCGTTCATCATCGCTGCATACGATGTTTCCATTTCCCGGGCTACTCTTCAAGCCAGCAGGCATGGTCACCAGGACTAGAGTTCGACCAGGGATGCTGCACATCTGTCCCGTGTCTGCAACGGCCCATAGCTGATTGATTTCTATGTCCTGGCGACGGGACTAAACGAACCCGCTCTTTTTAAAGGAAACTATCCCGGCTAACGAAGCCACCCCTGGGAGTTCAGGCTTACGTATCCGCGTCCGTCAATTTCGTGGCCCAGACAACAACGGACACTCCATGCTTACGAAAGCATCTGGTGTCTTGGAAGTTCTACTGCCCACGTTGACCCCATGACTCTCTATGCTACTGGATGGGTAGGTGCGGGAGTACACCTCTCTGGTCCAACGCGATGAACGGAGAGTTGCGACGGGCAGAATACCAAGCAGCCGGGCCGTTTCCTCAAGGATACCCGCTTTCCAGAAGTACACAGTTCAGATACATGGTGTACGAAAATGCCGCCACGCTATATGTGCCTACTCCATGTGGCCCCCTCCCACTCTGGCAGGGTTTGTACCTGCGGCAGGGCCGAAAGCGAGGCAAGGATACTAGGAGTAAGTTCATAACAACGAACGTCGACGACACAGCCTCGAAGAATGTCAATTCTATGAATGTTACATTGCATTGCATGCGTTGTCGTCCTTCTTCTCCCCTCACCCATCGGACGAACAGGTTCAGCAACGATCGGCTTTCGCATCGCAAAGCACCGCCAGCTTACTATTATCCCAAGCCACCCCTGACACCAAGCATCATATGATGGCATTGCCTTGATCAGCATCCCCTGGTTACCTTTTGACCTCTTTCGTTACCCAGCTCGCCAGGATTGGGTATTTTAGGTCAAGGGGCTCTTTCCCATGGTCCATGGAGATAGCAGATAATCCCACCCGGCCGTATCGGCGCCAACGACGGACCCGAACACCAGCTTTCCCTACCCGTCGTATCAAGGGAAAACTTTAAAAAGCTATTCTACCTCTCAAAAGGCCCCGGTCAAGAGAAGGGTTCAGTCAGATCAACACGTGTCATGATTGTCAAATGCGATGTTTACCGCCACCACTGGGGCCAAACCTTCCTAGCCCCGGCCCTAGCCCCTCGGCCCCAAGCCCCTGGGTCAGCGCAACTTGAAACTCCAACTCTTTCGCAAGCTCGAAATCCGGACGGGGATGTTCGCATTTTTGGTTCCAGGGCGCCTCTCGCAGATATGGCCCGAAAAGGATATTCATACGAGCAGCAAGCTTGCTTACCACCTGCCTACGTATTCTGTTGTAGGTACTGTACTACCTACCATGCTCACTTGTTGTAGGTAGATACCTAGCCAGGGGCCAGGACGTCGATCTTCAACTTCATCGAGTTGATTCTTGTTCCTTCAGCCTTCTCTCTGCGCCACATGTTCGTCTCCCTCTTCATCGAAGTGCTGGACTGCCTGCTGACGCTATTTTCGGAGTTGAGTAGAGACCCAGTCACCCAGATACTCGTCCGACGTATGCTACTCCCAAACGGAGGTAAGAAAGCTACCTAGTAAGTCCCTACTTGATCCAGATATGTGTTCTGTGATCTGTCATGATCTTCTCGGCCGACAAACAACCCCAAATGGTCCACACCGTTCGTATAGATCGCAGTGGCAATGCCGGAACCCCATGATGCTGGTGCTGGTACTGGTGCTGACCCCGACGGACCGGGGGGACGGACGAAACTTGGAGTCCGGGGACCAGGTACCGACTGCAGACTGGACTTTCTGGCCAGGATTGAGCATACGGTCCAAGAGTGATATTGATTACGAATATCGAGGATATGCATATGCATATGGGATTCGGATTGGGATTTGTGATCAGTCCATCCCGATCTAGATTCTCATGCTTGCGGCAGTATCAGGTAGGGCAGTATCTAGGTCTGGTTGATGCTTGTCCGATTATATGATTCCTTTCTTGCTGTCTAAGGTAGGTACCTAACCCCTACCCTATCTTACCTTACGGTTACCTTCCCTTGATTAGATACCTAGACGGCATAACTATTGGGGGGTCAATGCAGGTTCCCAATTCGGTACATTGTAGAAACAACTGAATACAATATTTAAAGCTTGTGAGCAATGAACAACCACTGTATCTCGAGGTATGATCTGCCCAGTATAGCCTCAGGTAAACACGTTACACGCCCAAATATTGGTTCCAGTATCCATAGTAGCCTCAAGTAAATACGCCCAAACAGATTTCCAGTAATATAATATACCATCTCAAGAGAATCAGAAAAAATATGTATGTCCAAGGTTGATCATCATTGATGGCTTTTAGGAACCGAACGTTTCAAGTTATAGCGTTAGATTGGTCTTTTTCATTACAATTTACGTAAACCGCTCAGACTGTGAGCACTGAGCAGTAATAGGGTTCAGATTCAGATTCACCTTCAACAAGTTCCAACTTCCGTTCCTGGCCTGAACAAGCCACCTTTGGACACAGTTGGAGGAATGGAATAGATAGTAGAATAGAGTGGTTGGTGGGATAAATATCATTTCAATTGTTGCTCCATTCATTCAATGGCTCGCTGGCTGTCTCCGTTTTGCACGGGCACCCGAAAGGAAAGAAGGCCTCCTCATGCAAGGGAAAAGGGGCTTTCAGAACTTCAACTTTCATCCTGCACTGCTCTGCTCGTACGTGAGCACGAAAACTGGTTTCTTTTCTTTCTTCTCTCCTATCTGTCACCTGCTCGAATTTCGAATACTCGAACGGACTCCAGTCTCCGCGGATGTAGCCACTGGCCAGCCATGCCTCACACATGCATGGGGAATCGTTCAAACTTTGCGCAATACAGGTTTGTGGATGCTGGTAATTGCATCTTGGACAGAAAGGGAGAGGGCCGGGATAGTTTGAATCTAGGAGATTTCTCTTTTCTTCTCTTTCCTCTTCTCCTCTCCTTTCCTCTGTCACCCTCTGTGGTGTTCTGTTCTGTGCCGTTCTGTTCTGTTTTACATGAACCTCATGGCATTTATTTCCGACTTGAACCCGAGCCCTGGCTTGCCTTTTGATGCTGCTGCTGGGCTTGTTGGTTCTGGTTCTGGTTCAGGGCTTTATTGTGGATCCGTCTAACATGATCCTTCATGTTATCCATGCGCGAGAAGACGCGGGTGCATTCCTCGCCATCAGGCCCGCGCCATTCGCACCTGATGCCGGGGTTATGTTTGGCTTCGTGGCGGGCGCGGTCTTTCTTGGAACTGAACCCGCCGGTCAGAGGCTGGTCGTTGGACTGTGCACGCGCCGCGGCGGCGGCTTCACTTTGCGGACACCCTTCCACGCGACAGAACAGATGCTTGCTGTGTCGGTTGTAGTGCTTCCGCAGATCACAGCCGCGCTGGAACGTCGCGCGGGAAGTGCAGCCGGGATAGGCGCATCGCCAGGATCGAACCACGCCGTTGGCTGCTGGGTTGGCTGCTGATGAAGTCGGCGAGAATGATGATGCGCCGCCTGCCATGGGTTGAGGTTCGGTCACCGGATGGCCATATGTGTGCAGAGAAGCGCTGGATGAGGTGGATTCCGATCGTAGAGGAGGAGCGCGATGAAGCGCGGATGACTCTCTTGAAAGAGCTCTGCCGGCCGCCGTTTCGTGCAGGGATGCTACCGGACTGCATGATCGTGACAGGGACGGCAGGCTGCTTCGATGGCTCCGAGAGCTCTGAGAGAATGCCGGCGACGCAATTAGGTTGTGGTTGGAGGCGTAAGTGGTGCCCACCGGTGGTGTGTTGAAGTCGAAGATTGTGTTTGAGTTGTCTCGCGGCGTGGGAGGAATGATGTTGGCTAGGCCATGTTGTGTCGGTTGATGCGGGAAGCTGGTGAAGGGGGTCGAAGGGTCCGGGTCGTACGGCAGCAATGGCATGGGTTGGGGATAGTTGGAGTACGTATACCATTGATTCTGGTCATATCTGTTATATGAGGTGTCGGTCGAAGTGGTGGCTGGATAGGCGATGAAGGACGGATCCGTGACGGGCGGCACGGCGAAGAAGGAGGTCGACTCGGACGAGGTGGCCTCGAAAGATAGATGGTTTAGGTCGTGACTCTGCGGGTCGGAAGACATTGGGACTTCTGGTAAGATGTTGTATATCGTATCAGACGACACTGAGGAAACGTGGCCGTGGTGAGATGGTGTAGGAGAAGGGTAAGTGAAGCCGGAGAATGAGGGCGAGCAGGCCAGCAAGGTGCCTTTCTCGAACTCGTCTAATTCGCTGGACGGCGGGGTCATGGACAAGATGGCAATTGGGGGATCAACATCCATCATTGTCGCGAGTCGCGACAGGCGGCTATCTTTCTGTGTTGTCACGCTCTTCAAGGACCGAGTGGTGTTCAACGTGGACGCGGTCGCTGGGGCATATATCATATATGTCTTGCTGCTGTTGAGCGGTTGGTGGTGCTCATTGGAATTGGAAATCAAGAGAGTTGCGAATCCGATTCCGAAAATCGACGAGGGTCAGTGTCAGATCGAGCAGGTGTAAAGGAAACGTGGAAAACCAAAAACTTCTCATCTATGGGGGCGAAGCCGGACATATGAATAGCATGCTAGGTCGACCAAAGCTAGGAGTGGTGCAGTGTGGTGCCTGTCTCGACCGACCGTTCGCTTTAAGGGCGGACGCAACCTCGTAGGGCTACGACGACCCTTGCTGGTTTGCTGACAGCATCGCGAGGCCCTGGTCGATCGCTGGACTAATTGATTGCACCGCTCACAAAGCATGGTTCGAGTATGGCGCAGGTGTGGGGTCGTCGCAACAGACCGCAGAATAGAGTAAGAGGTACGAGCGCGGAAATGGGACCTTTGCAAGCACCGGTGGAGACTGGGTCAGTCAGGCCAAGCAGAAGCCGTTCTTCAGATGTCAGGGCTCTGGAGATGAAAGGCTTGACTGGGTCCTGCCGGTAGGCTGATACAGACGCAGACGGGGATACTGGCGTGCTGGGCCAGCGAAGCGGTCATCTTGTGCGGTGAGGTGTCGGGTAATACAGGTAAACAGTATCGACCTTGTTCTGCCACCTGGAGCGTCGTTTACTAGCGCAGGATTCTGGCCTGCGCCCTGCCCACATCGTGCGTTCGCTCGCTCGAGCTCACCGTACACAACGGCACAGAGACGGGGTACAGCGGGTGCGACTGTACCACAAAGGGTAGTCGGCCAGCGGTGTCGCCAGTGCAGTAGCGCACACGCCAGGGCGCGGGTAGGGCTAAATTTGAAAGGGGCCCCTGTTCGTCAGCCATCCGGTCCAAGTGGGTGTCGGTTGGAGTGGGTGAAGAAGAAGGCTGGCCGTTGATTGGAATACTTGGTCAGCCACCCATCCGCATCAGATGTCGATGTCTGCCGGTTTCCAAAAAAGCTGCCTGGGTACCACCCACATGGGCCATGATACGTCGTTTGTGGGTTGGTTTTCGACCCAGCAACTTACCTATATCCATGTCGTTTGTCAGTCGTAAACGAAGATTTCATCTGTGAAGGATATCCCCGACCGCTGGAAACTGGTGGGCAGGGGCAGTGGGAACACGGGCTGGTTGTCAACTCCTCTTCTCCTCGCGGGAAACTCTGTTTGCCTCGTTTCTCTCCGGATGGAAGAATCTTCAAGGTTCGGTTCCAAACAGAAGCGCTCCAAGCCACTGAACCCTGTCACCTTCAGAGTTTCTCTGGTCGTCTGAGCCTTGTGCGATCGACACTGCCAGAGCCCTGGAGAATACGAGTGCGATATTGTGCGTGAACGTCACGCTCGGGCTTTACTTGGTCCGTCCGGGCTTTGCAAAAGTCCAGCACTGCAGGTCATGCCGAGTCGGAGACAAAACGATTCTAATAATGTCGCCGTCCCCGATCGTCGCGCGTCGGGTTTCGAGAGAGCTGATTCGTCGTGACCCCAGCGCTGAGATGATTTGCTGATCAACATGCTTATCTCGCGGCTCTTGCTATAACAAGAGAGTCATGTTCGTACGTACGTACAAGTCGTACAAAGCATGGACCCGATCTCCCCACGTCGCTATCGACTATGGCCATTAGTCAGTGTTTGCGAGTGTTTTTCAAGTTGTCTGTCATCTCATGAAAACTGGAGTGACTCACATCATTCTCATCGCTCCGCTCAGCTTGATGGAGAATCGGTTGGGTTACTAGTAATGTAGGCTCGTAGACTAGTAGGTGACGCGTCGTATTGCAAATGGGGTGCCACAAGAAAAGAAGACCTTAGGTACCTGGTCATCTCCGAACAAGCCAATCTTGTGGTGGATTTCAGGCTGTGGGTTGAAACTCATGGGTTTACATAATCGCAAAGAGAGCAAGCTGTGATGTATAATTACGGCGAGAGATCGAGGCTCAACTTCACAAAAATGGCGGGACCCATCCACCGTTACAGGACTGTGTACTGCCGTCCTAACGCCCTCTACTTCCGCCTTGAGTGGGAAATGGGAAGTTTTCTTCCATTCTCTACATCCTGCAGCTCTGTCATATCTGGAACCCCCGTCGTCTACAGGTTCCTCGAGCTAAGTTGATAGAATGAAGCATGAAGGCCAGCACCGAGACCTTCGTCCCGGGCGTTATCCAAATCGTCGGCACCACCATACACTTGCTGGGACCGGAGCCGTAGCCAGGGTGTCGTATAGTCAGGAATGCCAAATACCCCTCGGGCGTGTTGGCGGCCAGAGAAGGATTGATCTCCATTTCTCCTGTGAAATCTTTCGATCCATCAGCCGAGCTCTAGCTGAATGTGAAGTCTTCCGCCCAAGATATAGCCTCGACGTTCGTGTATTTCCAACTTGTTTATCACACTTCCAGTGGCTCAGCCTTGTATCTCTCCTCCGGATGAACCAGGTCCTTCGCGTTCCTGACGACCCTGACCTCTGCGGCCTTGGTCTCGGCCAAATACCTCCTCTTACTCTCACTGTCATTACCGTCATTGCCCTGACCCTCGACACCACCGACACTAGCGCCAGGGCTCTGGCCAAAGCGGCGCATCTCCTCGTCTCTCGCGACCAAAGTCTTCTCCAGCACCATCTGCATACTACTAAGGACCTTTTCGACGGCCTTTGCGAGCGGCAGATCCACACCTTGGACATCGTCGTCCGGCATCCACGAGGCCCGGTCGAGCAGGTTCATGGCCGCACAGGCCTCGCGTAGCCTAGCGACCAGTAGTCCCGCGAACATATCGCCCGTGCCGCTGAAGAAGCAGTCGAGTTGAGAGACCTTGATCTTGAATAGTCTAGGGCTGCCGTCTTTCGTCTTGCTGCTGCCCACGACCGTCAATGCTTCGGGAGTTGTAGATTCATCGCCGCTGGTTGTCGCCGCTGCATCAGGGACTCTCACACTCGTCACAATAACATGACTAGTCCCATATGTCTTGTGGATCGACCTGACGGCGTTCGCCACGCCCGCGAGACTCGAGATACCCACTCCGCTGAGCAGCTCGGCCTCGAACTGGTTGGGGACCACGAGATCGGCCTCGCGGATCAGCTGTTTGTACGCCGGCACAATATCCTCTGCGACATATAATCGACCTTGGTCGCCCATAACGGGATCCAAAACCCAGAAGAACCGGCCGGGCTTGACCGTTGCGCGGTACCGAAGGTCGCGCGCAATCTGGCCGACCACTTCGACGACATCGGCGCTCGGTGCATATCCGGACAGCAAGACGTCGAAGTCGGTCAGGTAGGATTGTTTCAGACCTTCGTAGAGCTCGCGGATCTCGGGCGCGGGCGTTCGGCGGCCCTTGACTTGTCGATAGCCTGTGTGATTACCTGCAAAGATGAGGGAAAGGAAGTCGCCTGTTAGAATATGTACACATCCATGAATACACCATGGACGGGAAGCCTTGTGTGATTGCAGCTCGACAGAGTGAACATAGGTAAAAACTTTAATTTTGCAGGCAAGTTCCATCAGAGGAATCCGCGGCTGATGAGAAATCTTGTAGTGTCTCCCCACAACAGGAGATTCAAAGGTGAGAAGGTAGAGGAAAGTATTAGTTGACCACTCACTGAACTGGACGGTATTGATGGCTCCGACATCGCATCCGAGCGTCTCCATGACAAACGTGGCCATGGTATTGCCGACATATCTACCACAAACAGCTTGTCAACCGCCGTCTCTCCCAATGAGTTGGACGCACGGAATCAAACAGCTTCCAGTGAGCGCATAGTTGAGACCACTTACCCATAAACGACCTGTAGATATGGGTGTATATGTCAGCTGAATTGCCATGGACAGAAAAGAAACCGAGATCGTGTTATTCAGGGACGAAAGGCGCGTACATGACTGGCAATTGCTAGCACTTTGGTTTCAGGTATCGACATCTCGTGAGACGCCATCTTGACAAGGCAGGCATAGATCAGGAAGAAAGTCTAGACTAAGACAGGACACAGAGAGCCACAATTGATGGATGCCTTGAATTGCTTATCCTAGAGCAGTTGTGGTTCAATGGAAAAAGACAGAACTGCGCAACACAATGCGATGAGGAGGTTGTTAGGGCGATAAGCCACCATTGGAGACGACGCCACAATCCAGCCACAATCCAGCCACGTTGAGTTCGCGATAAGGCTGCGCTTATAACCATCCGCAGAGTCAAGCCACACTCCTTTGAAAGCTCATCTCCTATCACTGGCAGCACAAGCCCAGCGCACAAGCTCATGTTGATCTTGCATTAGCATCGTCCTGCGCAACTAAGCGTAGTCGACGGGTCGAACTCGATCTGGATCTCCACGCCCATCTACTACCCTGGATCGCATTACATGCCCATCAGCCATGAATCCCATGTTGTAATCGTGGTCGTAGCAAGGCGCGTCAAGTGTCACGTTTATTCATCATCGCCAATCTGTGAAACAGTCAATAACCCATCGGGTGTCCTCGTTTTCTCGAACATGACATACCTTGGGAGCCAAGTAGAACCGTAGATACGAGCTACCCGACAGACCGTACTCCACCAACAGCGGCACCTCCTGGGACAGACACAACTTGACTCGTGACGACAGACCGCTAGCTTTGCAGAAGTTGACGAGGTATTTGAGCGAGAAGGTCAACGACACAGGTTCGGAGAGATTGATGGTGACGTCCTGGTCCGGCTTGTCGATATTCTTGTGCTGGCGGAGCGTGACGCTACCGCTTCCAATGTCGCCCTGACACGCGAACCGGACGCCATCCTTGCTTGCCTCGATGGACACTAAAGCGGATAAAGTCAGCACCGCCAGTCCTTCTTATTCCCAAGTGGCTATTATTGCTCTTGCCTACCTGACTCGGACATGGCCATCAAGTCGCGGCAAATGCGCTGGAACTCGGCACTGGGCATCTCAATGGTGGCCGCGTATTCGGTATCCGGGATTCCCAAGTGCTCTTGGTCAATGTCCATCAGTTTGATGTCATATTCGCTGAGTCGGTCCGTCTCGCTGCTCTCAAACACCAGATTCACCACGTCCGGGGCGTCTTCGGCCTTGAGGGTGAGGATGTCTTCGTTCTGCGCCGCGCGGAGGACTTTGGTCAACGAGTTCAGGTTGATGCCGAGGGCAATGTTGCGGTCGCATCGGTAGGGAGAGAACATCTCTGCCTTGAGCATCATGGAAACGAGAGCGACGTGGGAGTTGTCCATGGCTTGGAGGGCCACGCCGGAGTCATTGCAGTCGAAATTACAATCTTGGACGAGGTCTTTGATGGCATCGACGACCTGATATTAGTTGTCAGCTCCGATTCATCGCCCTCAACGCCCCAAAGACTGCATATACCTTCTTCAACATAGATGCTTGCTCGAGGCGTGCTTCCAGCACTGGGAAAGGGTCAGCACCAAATTTGGTATATCTTTGACCGCATGCCGACTTACTTTTGGCGGTGGATTGAAGAGATACCTCGAACTGGAGTGATGATGGTTGAGAGGGCTTAGAGTCTGGAAAGGATTGATTTCGACGACTGCGATGCTGATTGTTCAAAATCGTGATTTTGGACTACACAAGAAACACGGTCTGCAGAAGGGGAGCGCGAGCGCGAGCGCGTCAACACTAGCCGCTTTGGGTTTAATTGATTTCTTGGCATTTGGTATTAGCCGGTATCACGTGACTGCGATTACTGCTGCCAAAAGTCCACTTTTTGCGCGGTTAAACTCGGGGACAACTTCAACTCATTTCATCAGTCATCAACTTCATGACCTCTGCCGTCGCACCCGTTGATGAATTCTAGACGACCCTCCATCCTTCTTGTCAATTCTCGTGCTTCTGAAAGACTTCCCCGTATCTCCAGGTACTGGACGCCTGGCGATGCGCAACGGTTTGCTTGTCACGCGCAGCTGCCTGGACAGTACTGGTGGTTGGTATGGGCCAGGCAGCAATCAAGAGCCCCTGTCTCGACCTCAGCCTCGTACGCTTAGGCCTCCTCCGACTCCTATTTTCCGCCACCACTCCTCTGGCTTCTGACTTCTCTTGTCCGCGTATTTGTTTTATTAGTGCGTGTACCATGCTCGTTGATGCCGGCTCTGCGAAAGGATGCGGGTCCTGGGGGCTGTGGTCTTGGTTGCTGCAGAAAGCACGGTTTTTAGCCTTGACCCTCTCAACCTTAACGAATAACAGGGTCGCCACCTGAAGTATGCATAGGTTTAGCGAAGAACGACAACGACTGCCCTCGTAAAACGCTAGTCAATGGAATTGAAAAGACGGAGGGAGAACTAGACGCGGCGTATGGGGTGATCGTAGACAACGGTGGCGGAGTAAGAGAGTGGCCCATGGTTGCTGTTTGCGATCTGGGACTACGCGCTCTGAGACCGCCATAATGACTTCAAGACGAAAACGCGTTTCCTGCTCGCTCGTTGGGCAACCAAGAGCACATCGCTAGGCTGCTGCCAACGAGACTCGGTGAGACTCTCCAGAAACCCGGCACATATTGTAAGAGCCGTGACAGCAGAGAAGTCCAATGAGCTGAGGAAGAAGAGGAAGCTGGAAAGATATATATGATGGACCAGATAACGAAGAGAATTCCATTTGCCAGTCCCTACCAAACGGAATCTGGATTGTCCTGCCGATAAACTAGGGGAGCCCTGAGCGCCGACGCTGCGGTTGAAAGGAGACCTCGCTGAAATTTCGCTGCCAACAGTCGCCCTGTGATATTTTCGACTGTCAGTCAACAAACCTGCCGTAATCATCAAGATATCTGTTCGTAGAGTCAGTCCAAGAACCTGCTCACAAGGTGCAAGTATGGCATACCGCTGTAAGTAGGGCGATAAGTGATATCCTGGAATCCGTGACGCTGTACGTAAGTACCGAACGGCTCGCTGGAAATGCTGCTCATTTTGATGAGAATAGGAAACATTGCCCAGACTCATACTGGCTTCCGCCGCCTACAGATTATAGTCAGTCCTGAAGCACGTTCGCGCGTGGAATACATGCTTACCTCTGAGAGTAGCTCGCCAGATAGCCTTCCGTATCTTACAGCAACATCAATAGCCCTGGTGAAATAGTCGACCGCAGCAATAAGCATCCCGCGAGCTTCCACATAATCCGCGGTGTGTGCTCTGACATCTGCCTCGGCTGTTGCTCTTTCCGCTTCTTGGGCGTCTTCCACTGAGGAGTAGGAGAACCTGTCGCTGGAATTTCGTGGTCTTCCACTACTTCCGCTGGAAGAACTCCCTTCGAGACGGTGGATGCGAGCAAGAACGCTCTGGGAGCGAGCTACCCATGCTTGACCCAAGCCTGCAGTTCTGTAAGTATGGAGGACCTTGATGAGTTGCTTTCAACTGACCTCTGAGGGCCGCGAGGTCTTCAGCATCTCTTTGGAGCATAGCAAGCCATTGACTTGTGCACCACTCTGCAACGTCGGTGATGCCACCACTGTCCGCATCCTGGTAAGCTAGCCTTTGTAGCGAAGTGACTATCGCTCTGCGGTCTTGAGAGGGATTGCGCGACTGCATAAACCCCGTTCTTTCCAGTCTTGCAATGGCCAGCCTTGCAATGCTGGCCCGCTGGTCCCATGACTCTGGTGAGGATGAAGGATTTTCGGCTATGCGGTGGACATCATGGAGAGTTGCCTCAATATCAGGTTCCTCCATGTGATCCGATCTGTCCTGCATATTGGACCCCCGGTTCTGGCTGGTCGCTCTGTACTGGTTATAATTAATGGTGTTTTCGGATATTTCTGAGGGTGCTCGTTGAACTGACCGTTTTGCGAGAAGCATAGAAGACTGGTGGGGACGACGAGTAGACATACATATCAGGTTTGTAGTCGGTAGAGGACAAAGCCATGTGAAGATTTCTCGTTGTATCCACTGGCAAAGTAGGTTCAGCTCAGCAGACTTGCACGCCTAATGGTTAGGGTATACTTGCTGTGTTCCGAGCAGGCAGAACGGTTGTTCGAACACACTGTGGGCGAAACAGGACCGAACCATGGAATATGTCAGAAGGTCAAAGGACCTTTCCCATGATATTAGAGCCGAGGGTCAAGAATGATTGAGCTGTTGCAACGCTATGGCTCGCGCTATGGGCTCACGAAGACCGGATCTTGCAGCTGGCGTGTGGCAAATGCACTTGTTCGACTGAAGCGACAGGGGCGATGGTCGAGGGGAAGTATTATATCTAGGCACACAATGGCTGACGGCGCCTACCGGCGGAGGCCTTGCCGTTGAAGACGTCTTGAAATGCTGGATGCGGGAAAGCGCATCCCCACGTTACAGCCTTGGACTGACCAGACGGGTAGCAATACGACGTCCATAGCAGAGCCTTTGCCTTAAAGGTGCGTGGCGAACTGGGCCAGCGGGCCACTGCTAGACGAAAGTAGGAGCAGTCAGGGTAGGCGGCAGGCAGATTACAGTATCAACCCCGAGAGTCTTGTCTCGAAAGCCGCGCACGGGACGTTGGAGCCGCCAATACCCTGGCTGCCAGTGCCGAGCATTTTGCAATATGCCGGGAGTCCGGATCCACAATCCCGCGAGGCTGTGAGGGAAAGGAATGGCATGTCGCGGAAGGCTGTTGGTAACTCACGGAGCATGGCAGGCCGGACATGAGCCATGACAACGGGAGCGCCAATCGCAAAGCCTCGGCAAAAGGATCGACAGCACGACAGTAGTCAAGCGCGGGATAGAGTGCGAGATGAGGCTTTTAGGATGGGATGAGCGATTCCGGTCGGAGAGTCCATGGTCATTCATACCTAGGTAGGTAGTAGTGATTTGTGGTCGAGGGATGGACATGAGTAATCCCAGAGGGACCGAGATGTCGTTGAGGAAGCGCCATTTCCGCCGTTGACTAAGCGGACAGCGACCACTAACGCGCTATTCTGGGACTAGCATCACGCGGAGCAGCAAAAAGAAGTCGAGACCGGGCCGAACAAGCGACATGGCAGCCATGACGTAGGACAGAGGTATATACTACTAGTAGTACCACAACACCACAGCACCACTGCATAGCGCGGCCCGTCTGTGTGTCTCTACACATCCGCGCCGTTGAATTGGCGGCGGAACCGGAGCATGACGTTTTGGCGCCGGAACAACGTCATGCTCCTGTTCCGCGGATGAGAAAGCGCTCGAGGCGGGCATAGTCAGAGCTGCCACTCCTAAATGACAAGAACAGAGTCGAAGTGCAAGGATCTTCGCGTTCTTTTTCCGAGTGTTTGGGCGTATGAGGGTACGGAGGTAGTATATCAGGCATCTCTCATTGTTATCGCAAGCGGCGCTCATTGAAGGATGTGAGAAGTATGTTCAACTTATCAATAAACCTGATAAAGCTCTCTCGCAACAACACATTGCAGGTTCACGCAAGAGTATCTATAGTGCGAAAAGCCCCGACAACCATCGACTTAAACCAGCCTTTCAATGCAACAGTCTGCAGGCGGAAAGAATAGAAAGTCGCTTTTGGACCCCTTTGTGCGCTCAGTGGACTGTAGCACGGTCCCCTCGACGCCCTGAATCTAAATGCTTCCAACATTAGTCTCAGAAATCGCTCATTCGCTCGGCCGTCCTTTCAAGTTGTCCCCAAACTCCTGTTGTGTGCTTCGTGAATCATGCCTAACCTTCAGAAGCCAAAATCCTCGCGTTGTAGACCTGGGCGCGTGGGGTTTGCTTGGCTTCTCGATCGATCGTTCAGATTGAAGTAACCCGCATGTCGGATCGCGCCGCATGGGGACGATGTTTGATGACCATCTGCAGCTCCCGCAACATATTGGTCGTGTCCTCTGCATGCTCCAGCAAGGTTGCCCGCTTCTTTCTGTCCTCCCGCATTTTGCTGAGCTTTTCTTCGCGACTCATGTGCGCCCAGGATTCTCGTTTGCGCGGCGTAGCCACCGCTTCAAAAATCTCCTCGTCCAATACTGCTATGTCAGAAGCTCTTCGCTCTTCGCCACTCAGCAACCTGAAGGCTTCCGCAGGACTTCCATCCACGACCGTCATGCCTCCAAGGCTACTCGGGGAAGGCGAAGCAGGCAACCGAGTGTCGTTCGACATGCCAGAGAAGCGCTTGTTGTCTTGGTCGCCACCCATACTCAGGAACATGGTGTTGCGCCCCTTTTCCCACTCCATGAGTAGGTGCCGTATTTCGGCGCCTAGACTTTCGTAGTGGCGAGAAATGTTTGAGCTAAATTCGACGACATCGTGGTTGGATGATGACTGGTCGATATCTTCTCTCACAAGACGGACCTTGGCATTCAGGCCGCGGATGGAGTTGGCCACGGCTTCAAAGCGACGCATTTGTGCTTTGACATGTTGCTTCTGGGGCGTTGTTGCTTCAGTGCCATGCTCAACACAATGATCGGCCTCCTCAGAAGTTGTAACGTGGGGTCGCTCGCCAAATTCTTCCCTGACGACCGCGGTACGAAGATCTTGACATGCTCGAGAAATGGACACGCTGACATCTTGCAAGAGATGCAGGATAGTTCGCCACTGGGTTATATTGTACCATGCCGAACCGGAATGGAGTGCCAATAGATCGCAGAGAAAGACCTTCCTGGCCATCAAGTGCAGCCGAAAGAGGAGACGAAGCTCCCGCAGCAATGGGCAAGCATCGCTATCAGTTGTGTTGGCGAGGGTGACAGAATCGATGTAGTCTTGCATTGAAATATCGTATATGTCATGGTACCCTTGCAAATCAGAGCCTCTGACAAATGACTGCATTGCATTGTGGCCTTCAACGCTACGGCTGATGGCAGCAGTCAGAGCGTTACGAAGCGAGGCTCGTAGTTCTCGGCAAACGCTCGCTGGTACTCTGTCTTCGAGCCTGCTTATAGGAGGCAAAGGCTGACAACTGTACAAAGGTTAGCGGAAAAGTCACCTTTCAGGATTGAGCCCTTACATTTCATAGCCTCGTGAGACGACCTCAACCTCCTGCACAAAGCGAAGTGCTTCGCTAGCAGCGGTGTCAAAACTATGCCAATGCGACAGCGCCTTTCCCAGAGCTGCGCCAGCAGACCGACGGATAAAGTCGAGGCACTGGCGACGGACGAAGTAAGCTAAGAGTGCAGAGCCTCCCAGTAAAAGTAATGTGTAGGCCAAAATGTCCGTCCACCCAAGAGACTGCGGGATCTTGTAACGCCGCGGCAGCAAGTGCAAAACAAGGGCGATGGAAAAAGAGATCCCAGCAGTTATGACAGCCCCTTTTATTGAATATGGATGAGTGTCACTCGTCTCTTCATCTTGCGAATACCTTCTCGGCTTGGGATCGTCATACAAAAGCTGTGACGCGACTATCGTGTAGCGGAAACGCTCCAAGAATCGTTCATTTGCGACATCGGTAACGGAGGCAGCAGTCTCGCGAATGGTCTGTAGTCTCTGGCGTAACTTTGGCAGACCTCGTGGTGCAAAGGTCTGGGTAGAAGGCGTCGGAGAAGGAGGAACTGCGAAATCGAAGGGAACGGCATCTGCCTCTAGATATTCGGCAATAGGGGATTCATTGTAAATTAGAGCTTCCATGACATGATCGGTGATATCTGAACAAAGGGAATGAGGGAATGAAAGAAGAAAAAGACGCAGCAGTCGTGCAAGTCCTGGGAACTTGGTTTGGATGAATCGAGGAGGCAGGAGAGGCGCGTGCGTCTTGACAGAATCCTGGAATCCTGGTGGAAGCGATTCGTGTCAGAAGCACAAGCCACGGGGCGGACCGTAACAAACAAGTTCAATTTGGTTCCTGGAGTCGGTCACCACTGCACTGCATGGGGTCGGAGATCCAAGGGCTGTTGTGGCTGGTGGATATGACTATGGCTGATCGACCAGTATCACCACGTGATCAAAAGTGCTGACATAATCAGGGGTGTCGTTCTCCGGCTATAGCTCGGCTTATGTCGCCATCTAAATTGGACGGCATCCTTCGAGGTTGCAGGTTCAGCCTTGCAAGGATTTGCTATACAACGGACTCGGACTTTGCTTTGATGACTGGAGAAAGTTCAGGCTACAACAGAAACCCTCAGAATGGCTTGGGGCTACGGACAAAGACGGCGAAGACCCAACCAGGGACAATGGCATGGCCGATTCACAGGTGGATAGGATCGCAGTGAAGAGCCCTCGAACCACAATGAACATGTGCAGTGCTGCGCTGTTGGGAGCACGCCCTATATGGATATTCACGATGGAACAGATACAGCAAGGCGCGACTGCGTGCAGCAGAATCATCATAACAACTGCGTTGCAACCTCTCCATGTTTGTCTTCTCACTTCAGTATCGCGCGAACCTCACAGCAGTTTCACAACTCCCACCCACTTCTCTTTACCCTTCAAACCAAAGCTATCGCGCACTCTTACTATCTCTGACAAGCAAGTAACCATCGCGAGCCATGGATCCAGAAGCTCGCGCGCTGCTTTCGTCTGAGATAATGACGCTGCAGGCGGCTTTGATTCATGGACTGACAGAAGCGCCTCAAGTCAACCCTACTCACAAATCGACCATCCAGTCTGCAAGTCCAGGTGCACCAGAAGAACCTAACGCGACAGCAACAGGTCTCACCACGAATGACGAAGGGTCAGATGCTGTGAAATATGACGGTGCATCAGTCGCTCCAAACCCGTGGCCACCAATCCCAGATCTTACCGACATCCCAGGTGCTGAGCTGCGCAAGCTCCCTGAGGGGGATATCAAAGAGAACGAGATCTATGGCCAAGTGTACTCGAACACCTTTCGCGAGCTGCAGATCGGGAACGACCAGCATGAGAGATTCTACGATGGTGTCATACGCGTCATTCGCAACAAGCACCCTGAGGAGATCAAACGTGGTACAGAGGCCAGCTTGAAGCAACTGACCGATCTGACTCTCCGTGGTTTTGGCTACATCGTCTGGAAAGAAGGCTCGACTTGGCTCATTCCCGCCGATGAACTGGATGAGGACGAAGTGAGACTGGTGCATGTGAGGGGCGCTGGCATAGAGAACGCAGACAATGCACGGTAAGCAACGTGATCCCAAGACAATGGTTGACTACGTCGGCGTCTGCCTTTGACTGAAGCAGTAGCCGCGCCAACAAACAACCAGCCGCAACAAATGCACCAAGCCCTCAAGTGCTGACTTTTTTATTTCTCCTTCTTCTAGATTCTATCCACTCTTCCGTGACCTCTGGATTTTGATGCGAAACCTCATGTTCGAGCACCGTGGTCCTCCAAGACGCCAAAGACGAGCAACACAGCGACCACGAGCTCGCAGACAGACCCGCCGTGAGCGTGAAGAATCTCCCTACCTTGCCGACGCCGACTCAGACTTTTCTCCTCCACCACCAGCTCCAAAGATGAGTGACTCTCAGCGCAATCAAGTCAAGTCCGCTCGCCGACAGGACAATCTGGAGGACATGATCGGAACCGCGCTTGCAGAGAACCGCATGTTGACAGCTGAAGAGACTGGAAAAGCAATCCTCGATCTGACTGTCCGTCTGTCCAAGATTCGAACCCGAAGCGATCCAGACTCCTTCGCTACATTGTGGGAAGAGCATATCATGCGAATTGAAGAGATTGATGCAGCAGTCGAGGCCAATGGCCAAGCCTACACCACAGGTACAATACCCTCGATCTACCGCAGTTTGATCACCTGCCCACTCCCAATCTCTGCCTCCCGTTATCGCTCTCCAGCGCTTCCCACTCATCATCTCTGCTCGTATTTGGTTCAAGCATACTCCCCAGACAGATTCGAACGGTATACTAACCTACCGTGATATACAGAGGCGGAGGCACCCATTTTCAATGGTGGTGTTGCTCCCACCCAGTTCGGTTCCTCCCAAGCCAACGAGCCATGGAACGGCAACGGCAATCCTCTTGGGCCCGTCTTCCCGGATGCCAACATGGTGCAACCCGTCCGCCCGGCCGAGATGTCGGTATACATCACGGTCCAACACCTGTCGTCGCTCGCTTTGCTGCCGGAGAACCTCAATGCCATGTTCAATCCGACGGCCGCCGCCTCGCGCCCAGCGCAACAGGCATACCACTGGCCCGATGCTCCGGTGGAAGAACTCGAGATTACGAGATTCTTTGCGGGCGTCAATCGCCGCATCAACGACAAGACCGACAAGATCCTCGGCTACATCTTCAGCTACGGCTGGAATGATACCTTGCGCTTCGTCTCCACTGGTCGGTTCGAGTGCCGTGCCCTTGCCAAGGAAGACGAGAACGGGTCGCCAGATGCCATGGACGTCAACGGCTTCCCGATCTACAAGAAGACCAAACGTCCGAGACCCCAGGCCAAGAAGCCAAATGGTTCTGGTTTGGTCGACTTCCATGAGGCGCAGTATGAGTTCCTGGGCATGGGCTGGCGTCAACTTCAGGAAGACTTGGATTATGCGGCGAGGAACGGCGTGCGAGTCTACAGAATGAAGGTTGGCGTTGTAGCTCTGGCACCGACTCCCAACACTTAGGGTTTGGAAATGGATGCCTATCCCAACCACGTCTCTGAGTTGCAAGGCTGGCAGATTGGAGTGAAGGGAGGTGATGATTGTCATGAGGACAGGTCCCAAGGTCTCGATGGAGGAGACCCTATTCGGTAACTGCTGCTGAGAGTGCACAGTGCAAAAGGCAAGCATAAACTTGCTCCCTAGGGGAACCGTTGTGTATGTTACATGCATGTTGAGAGCTGCGCAAAGACAGAAACCAATGAGAACCAAGACGTGGTATCAATGAAGATAATCATTGAAGAGCGGCGTGTCCGCAATCGAAACTTGCTAAGCTACTAAAAACGATTCCCCTTTTTGCTCTGCAAGTCAATGGATGCGACGTCTTGCCCTTTCATGATGAGCACTCTGTGGTGGCTTGTGGGCCAGCCCTTAATCGATGGACTGTGGAACTATACCAGCTCGCCCCCTGTGATAGGTTGAATATCATTCTGCGGTGATGATTCGTAGTAGTGTTGGTAACGTCTGCATCGTCCCTATTCTGATGGAAGATTGTCCAGGCATCAGCGCACCACGAAAAGGCTCAGTCAAGGTCCCCTGGAAGCTCATCAAGCAACCCTTCAAGATCCCCATCGCCGACCTTGTACGGCGTATCATCGAAACTCGATCTGGTTGGTTCAGGACTAGTACCATCCTTCCAGCCCATCATGCCACCGCCTCCCCATTCATACTCGTCTTCAATGGTGAATTCTGCGCCCTCTCTAGCACAACCATTTCCTCCCTGAGCAATTACATCCAGATCGCGCAACTGTCGCAGGTCGAATTGAAACCCGAAATCGCGAGGAATAGGCATGATTTGAGGATCCTCATCTCTTGGTCGCTGACTGGAATCCACACCTGGATACAGTGTGGCAGGAACTTTCAGCGGCGCGACATCCGTCACGGTTTGTTGGTCGACGTTGGATTGCTCTTCCTTCAAGGGGCCACTATCCGGAGACTGGGACCCTTCTTCATCTTCGCGTTGTACCAGACTTGGCTCATTATGCCGTGGACTTTCTATATTTAGCTGTTCTCGAGCAGGAGGTTGCCTGTTCAATTCAGAAGGCTGGACGGGTACAAGAGCAGGGCCATCATCCATAGTGTCTGGTTCTTCATCGTTGCTCTGCTGGTAGAAGCGTGAATTTGTTCCAGCATCACTCCCAGATGCACTCGCTGGTCTGGTGAAGAAAGCCAGACGCTGTTGTCGAATGAACTCTGCATCTGTCATGCCAGGTTTTCTCAGCACCGCAGTTGCGGGACTTGCTGCATCGGTTTCATAAGACCCTAGGACAGGAGCTGCAAAAGACTGTCCATCCTGTACAATAGGCAAATCTGGTGCAGCCCGAATGCCGTGTACACTATTGGCGTGTCTTGTGGAAGCTTCATCCTGGAAAGAAACATCCTCACTGTACGCTGTTGCCGACTGCGTCATGCTGAGCTCCGGCACCCGAGCTCCGTCACTGAGGATTGATGGCTCTGTGATGGCATCATCGAGCGCAAGGTCCGGGCATATTCTTTTTCGAGATAAGGTGTACATGTAATATGTACGTAACAACTCGTTCTTGCGGCCAAGCTCATCGCGCCACATATCGGGATCATAGGGGAAGGCGTTGTCCAATTCAGTAAATTTAGATCGCCGGTGATATTCCCATGCCCCTCGACGAATACGGCTGTCGCGGTAAAGAAGAAACCGTCCTCCGCGTGTTGCGCTGTCCCAGTCAATCTTTTCGCCAACGGAGTAATTTTGAGGTAGCTTTGGTTGAATGTTTTGAGGACTGCTGGGCACCACTCCGTCTTCGGAAGACCCAGAGGATCCGGACAAAGACACAACCTTGACGCTGCTCTCTGTATCTTGCTTCGGTGCGGGCTTACTCACTATGGAGATATTGGAGCCGTTCGCAGGCCATGGCGGACGTTCCATCTGTAATTGCTCGAAACGATTCGTGTAAGGGTTGTCAATATGTGGAATTGGCCTATCGGGGTCGAACGGGCACTGATCATCGAGTTCACGCATTGTGGGATTGGTAAACTGGCGGTAGGTCCCCTGTTTGATTTTGTTGTCCCTCCACTGCAGCCAGCGCCCATCTTGGGTGGTCATATCCCATGCTACAGGGTTTCCAAAGTGATCAAAGCCGTTGGCAAGAAGTACCTCACTGGGGGAACAGAGGCCCCCACTGGGCTTGGGCGTCTGCTGCTGCTGTCCTAGCGTGACTGATACATCTTCCTCCAGATTGGTATCTTTCTCCATACCACGATGCGGCTCACAACTAGTCGCATCATCGCCGACATGGCCGTGTTCATCGTCACTGTCAGCCTCGACTTTCCTATGACGCCAGCTCTTGGACGGCTGGCGCTTGTTCTTGCCCTGGTACGAGGTCGTCGATGTCAGCATCGAACTTGGGGATCGGTTGCGGATTCGCATGGAAGAGCCAGAATGCAGGTTTGCATGGTCAGAAATTCCCGACGTACCATCAGTGTGACTATCAGGATTCTCGGTCCCCAATGTCTTTGCCTGATCGAGCAGGTTCTTCTCTTTGGCCTCGAGTTCCAGTTTCATCAACTTTTGTTTCTGTCTGTGAAACTCCAGGTCCTTCCTCAGAGTATCGGCACGGTCTGTGACAGGTTCAAGGAATTCATCAATAGAAACCGTTTCACCTGCACCAATCCTTTCCATGATTGACCAGGCGCGGCGAAATTCGTCCCGGATTGCAACGAGGCCGTGATGACCAACAGTTCGCGCAATGTTATGATCGACTTCGAAAGGATCTTCAATGGCGAGCAGGTAACGCAGACGCACGTTGTTGTCTCCCTTTTGCGCCCATTTGGCCTCAGTCCATCCTTTCTCTTGTTTGGACAAAATGCCCCCCTTGTGTCTGATGGAAATGACATCCCGAGTCCAGTGGAAGCCTTCACGAGTTCCGTAGTATCGGAAGAATCCTCTTAGTAGTTGACCGGCAGACTCGTGATTCTTGTTGGCTGACATGTCTCGACGCAGCTGGTCGATGTCCTTTGGGTCTTGTAGGAACCGAACATCGAATCCTTCGAACAGCTCTATTTTCTTGCCCGGATTCCAATCGTCCTCAACCTTGGCCAGATGCTGCAGGTTGGGGATGATAGGTGGAGACGCGACGTTCATCAGATAGTGGAGGACCATCAGGATATAGCCGTAGCTCGACAAGGTGCCACGATAGGGAGTGTTGATGTCTCTCGTCTTTGCCCATATCTTGACGAAGACACCGATATCCGCCACGCGTTGATCGAAGCCGTGGTAGAGCTTGAGTAAAGCTGAGTTGTGTAGGGCGACAAAGTTGGTAAAATTAATGTCACATTGAATACCGCAATCCCCGGTGAACTCCAAGCCAGTGTTGCCGCGTGGTGTTGACGGTCGGGGAGCAGTGTTGTCCACTTTCAAGTCAGCAAGAGCTTGTTCGACGGAATCGACATCAGCAGGAATCTCTTGGCCATCTGCAGGCGAAGGACTGACATCGGCAGCCGGTGTCTCGAACGAAGACTTCTCCCAAGCAGCACGATTCTCGCGCAGATTCTTGAGCAGGTCGGAACTCGGGCTTTGACAAATACGCAAGATGGGGACACGAGTGTTGGTGAGAAGTCTGGCTCCGTATCCCTCATCCAGATATGCCTTCTCGAGTACACGCCGGATTTCCATGTTGAAAGCACGTTCCTCATCTTCTTCGTCGAACGCAGACTCCTGCTGCGGATCCGTTTGAGCACTGACAGTGGCGGGATCTCTCTGCCTTGACCAACTCGGCAACGACAGCAGCAGATCCATGTCACAACCGGCCAGAGCGAACCCGTTCGCAAGGCTCCCGTAGCATTTCAACCTTACATTTTGAATGTCGAAATCGGGATATTTTGCTTTGAGAGCGTCCCTTGCGACCTGCTCAAGCTCTCTGCGAAAGTTTTCCTTTGCCAAGCTCTCTTCCCTACTCAGCTGATGCACGGCGTGGGCCTTCCTGCCGACACTGTTGAGATAGTCGGACTGCTTCATGATAAGTTGCCTCATATTGCGTTGCTGTTCAGCAGAGCCGTAACCCATGCCCCCATTTGGGTTGAAGAGATTGCCATTACGGTGTGGAGGGCGTCCATAGGTGGAATACTGCTGCTGGTTGATGTTTTGAGCTGCAGGATAGAGGTGCTGCTGAGTGCCGAAATGGCCGGAACGACCGCGAAGACCACCTCTGGCACGGTCTTGATACTCTCTAGGAGTACCGTGGCGAGTGTCGTGGAATTGTTGAGAATAAGTTGGTGGCTGATATTGAGTCGGAAGTGAGACATTGTTCAGAGCCGGCAATCTATTCGTTCCTAGCGGTGGGAACATCTCTTCGCTGCTTGGTTGTGGCGCCACTTGTTGATTCTGAAATGAAGCAACCTCGTTCTGAGCAGCGTAGCGGCGCTGCTGAGGACGATGCTGATAAGATGAAGATGCCGGCCCCCTACTTTGACCACGACCGCGACGGTTGCCTCGGTTTTGTTGCGCCACCTGATTTGAGCTTTGTTGGAGTTGATCCCAGACATGAGGCGAGAAGCCAGGAGGATTCTGGGGTGCAGCCATGGTGCGTCTGAATATCTCTAGTGACCTAAGAGTGAGGTTATAAGAGCTGGGCAAGGTTGGGCAAGGTGTTGCTCAAGTGTTTAACCTGCCACGACATGAGGAAGGCAAAGTTGAAGTTGAAAGGAATCTCTCGCGCAAGGAACAGTGTGTTTAAATAGAAGCTGATGCGCCAGTGAACCAACAACGCTAGAAAGCAAGCAGTGAGTGAGAGGTTCGAGTGATGAGGACCTTTTGATGTGAAGGTTTGCAAGGTTGGACGGTTCAAGATGTTTGTGTCACTCACTGGCCGTGACGGAAGTTAGCAATTGGTACATAGTCACGTGACAGTCATGTGACTTCGATCTCAGATGGAAGCCGGAATAATAGATAATCCGGTGTCTTGGCATCAGATCCGCCGACGTTGCAACTGCGATTCCTCTGTAAGAGGCAGTGCCAGTGGTGGAAGAGACTCGCCATTGCCATCGATGGTGCCAGCGACATCCTACTAGGTACCTAACAAACCCACCAGGTATATTCCAACCTCGAGCTCCTCTCCATCGATCTACCGACCACGAATCCTTCAATCTACACTAGGCCCTTGGGTGTCGTAAACCTATCGGTTGCCCGTGATCTCTGTCCTCTATGCCCTCATCATAGGCAGCATGAACCCAGGCTCCGTCCCCGTAGGCGGGCCTGCGAATCGACCACCAGGCACCATTCCTGTGGTGCGCCGCAAGAAGACTCAATCTGATCCATTCTTCAAAGGCCCTCGGAAGAATCCAGCCGGCATTACTGGCATCAAACAAGTAAACGGTCATGCAACTCCCCCAGTCAATGGCCAACCTCCTCCTAAACGAATCCCTGTGCCAAATGGCCCGCGAACCGCCTCGCTCTCCCAACCCGCCCTTCCTGATCAAGAGCGTGTAAGCGGCTTCAGTGATCCGCGACTCACTGCGGAGGGAATCCCTTACAAAGACTACAAGCTTGTAACATCGAAGAAGGACCTCCTGAATGGCCTGCGATACCACCTCCTGCAGCTAGCGGGTGAGAAGGCTATAGATATTCGGAATGAGGCCGAATTCCCGAAGCCCGCACGTCTTCATCGACGCGATCCTAGAGCACCGCCTCCCGGTCAACAGCACCAGCAGCAGCAACACAAAGAAGAAGACGCCCCGCCCGAGCCCAAAGATGGCTTGAATGCTGCAGAGCGAGAAGAGGTGAACAAGAGGAAAGAGGCTCGGCAAAAGGAGCGGGAGGCGAACCTTGCTCAGATTGCCCCGTCGCAAGGCTCGGGACGAAAGGTAAATTTCAAGAAGAAGACTCAACAGGTATTCAGACCAGATTTCTCTGCCGAAGATAAGCGTCGAATTCAAACCAACTACGAAGAGAAGCTACCGTGGCACCTCGAGGACTTTGACGGTAAACATTGTCTCATTGGTCACCACCAGATGGGATCGATGGGAACTACCGTTGCTTTCGTCTACGAGCCTGGGACAGACTCTCCCAGATTCCGGTTGGTCCCCGTCGAGAAAGTCTACCAATTCAAACCGAAGCGCGAACTTGCCCAGCAGATGTCGATCGAAGAAGTCGAGGCAGCCATGAAAAAACGTGGCACTGATCCTGAATGGCTGATCCGACAAAGAGAAGCTCGCATTGCGGAGGCGTCGCGCGAGCTAGCTGCAAGGCAGAGCAGGGGCCTTTTCTCGGGCGCTGCCAAGACAGAAACCTTTGCCGGCAGGACAGGCGAAGATGCAGACTTGGACTTCGAGGATGATTTCGCCGACGACGAGGAGGGTGATCTTTTCGTTGACAAGGATGAGGACGAGAAGTTCGCTGAGAAACGAATCAAAGAAGATCAGTTACAAGCCAATTTCCTCGACTTCAAAGACCTTAAGGAATACGATGAGGCCGAAGAACGAGAGCGACGGGAGGCAGAAGCTCGAAAGAAGAATTTCCGCGAGCTGAGGAAGGCTCTCGAACGGAGAGAGCGCAACTTTAATCATGCTAGCGACTCTGAATACGAGTCATCGGTGAGTTTGTTCCTCTTTCTGCTCATATAACCCTGCTGATCCATTTACAGACCGATTCCGAAGAAGAGCGAGAGCGCTTAGAGCGTGAGCGAATTGCCAATCTCAAGAAGGAGGAAGAAGACGCCGACGGTAAAAAGTCTGCCCTTCCATCGTCAGGTGGAAACACACCCTCCGGCCGCAAGGAGAAGCACGCCGGCACAGCAAGCGATCGCGAAGGAGGAATTAAGAAGTCCTCCTCTTCGAAGTCCCTGAAACGTCCAGGCTCACCAAATCTGTCCGAAGCTTCAGGGACAGACGCCTCGACCAGAAAGAAATTGAAGTCACGGCACGTAGCATCCACACAACCGACCCCCGGTCAGTCTCGGCCAATGTCACCAGCAAACGCTCTCGACGCTTCAGCAGCGCTGAAGGCACGCAGACGTGCTGCAGGCAGTGGCGCAGGATCCGACACGGACACCATGCTCAGCGACCGCGATGGCGGCGCCATGTCGGACGCCAGCAGAACCAGGCGCCTCAAATTGAAGATGTCAGTCTCACCCCCTGCCACTGGAACATCCACGCCGCAGCCGTCGTCGCGCGGAGGCTCGCCTGCACGCTCACCGGTTCAACAACCCATGAGCCCCACTGCTTTCCCTTCGGTGCAGGATATCAAGAACGCTATTCCCCCTCATGGCATCGCCATCAAGGACTTGATGAAAGTCGTGGCACATCCGAAGGATCGACGGGCGGATTTTGTAGCCTTGGTCAGAGAGGTCGCGCGCATGGACAAGGAAAGAGGTGTTTTGATGTTGAAATGAATGAGAGCATGGATTGCATCGGTCAGGCATGTTACGACAGGGGACATGCCTTATGTATGAGGGAAAAAGGCCGGATGTTTTGCGAGTTAACATTGATGCCTACGAGCTGAGACTGGTGATCTTCGATTGTCTTAAGCTGTGGTTCCCGCGTAGAGAGGCGCAGAATCTGGCCTGTTGGGATGTTAAGTCATGAGTCCTCTATCAATCCGTTCTGGAACCAGTGTTAGCTGCCACTGCAGGGCTGATAGCGACCAAGTGTACAACGCGACATCCAGCTCTTGTGCCTCAGGCTCTATTGGTTGCTGGGGGTGTTTATGGACACGAAGTTGAAACCTCTGAATAGTAGATTGATGAATTGATTGCAGAACTATCTAAGATGAAGAGGCTGAAGACCTTGAAGTAGGTCCAGAACAATGAGCAGTAACCACTGCTTCTGTGAATAATGAGGAACATCCACTGAAAGACAGTGCCAATGGAACCTGAAGTGAAGGTTCCAACTCACGACAGTATATATCCTTTCTTCAAGGAAGCAGTCGTGGAGGGAGATTGTGTACCTTAGTCTGTCCACCCGTGTCTCCTCCACTCCCCCAGTCACTGATAAAGATGATAAGGATGATAAGGATGATAAGGATAGGGCCCCTAGGCCTTAGCAGCCGTACTACATTGTTACTGCCTCATCAGCTTCCGTCATCCCCAATCCTGGTAGCCTTCAATCCCGATTGATTCCTTATGCACTGAGCTCCAGGGTCAAGACTATAACCATACGACATGTGCACGGTCTTGCCAATGACTCAGAACGTTGCTGGCGATGCCTAAGCCTCTCATCATTCACCAGGCTGTGGTACCAAGAAGAAAAGCTTCCCCGCCCTCAGAAACACGAAGAGTCAACCGGGCCTGTACCGAGTGCACAAAGCGCAAGATCCGATGTGATGGTCTTGTTCCTTGCCAAAACTGCCGCAACCGCTGTGTCGAGAACAAATGTACATATAGGAAACGGAGTCGGAGGACAAACGCTTCTTGGAGGTAAGTCCGATGGCGTTTGCGATCAGCGCTATTCATCTCGGGGTCTAATCAGGCGACACCCAGATCTATAAGTCAATTGTCCAAAGCCTTGGACGTCCGCAATCAGATACTCCGGCAAATTTTGCCTGCGATTGATTTTGAACGGTGCCCCGGGGTATCGAGAGAATATATCACGCGGCTCATAAGCGACGAACAGGACGACAAGTCGATTTCGCCAGCAGACGACGGTGAAGACGGCTACGATGCTATCCAAGTGCCGGACGTGATCGAAGAAGCCGACGAGGCTCTGCACGAATGGAACGAAGTACCTCCGGAAGATAATCCTACTCCGCCTGTCGGCGACGACGTTAATGGGTTGGCCCAAGAGCAAACCCCGCGGCCTCGTCCAGTTTGCTCGCCAACCGGCGCCGCCTTGAGAGCTCTGTTTGCCGCCTGCCCTCCTGCGAAACAGAACTTCTTGCGGCTTGGACGATCGTTCTTGCACGACCAGAAGTCCAAGACAAATTCAAGCCCCATGGGAAGCAATGACAAGCCGACCACGATCTCCAATACGACATCTCTACCTCTATTCACGACACAGCAAGGAGCTGTTGATGCATATTTCGAACAGGTCCATGCCATCTTTCCTATGATCGACGAAGTGTGGTTCAGGAGTGTCTTCTCGAGTCAATCGCGAACGGATGATGCCTGGAAAGCGCTGTCCAACATGGTTCTCGCTTTAGGATCCATTGCAGCCGGAGACGACACCTCACATTTCTCCTACCACAGCCAGGTGCGGCAAGTGATTGGTTACAACACTTTCGGATCTGGAAACCTGGAGACCCTCCAGGCTCTGATCCTTCTAGGAGGCCTATATCTATACTATGTCAATTCACCGAACACTGCGTATCTGGTCATGGGGACGGCATTCCGAATGGCCATAGCCATGCTGCTACATCGGGAGTCATCGGCGGCGCCACAGACCCAGGCAGGATCCTCCACACATCCGCCCAGGTCCATGTCTCGAGCCGAGATCCGGAGGAGGACCTGGTGGTGTCTAGTCTGCGCCGATTCCTGGATCGGGATATTGTCGAGCCGTCCAAAACCCGACCGGTGGGATCCGCTCACCATGGACACAGCCTTGCCTAGTACCCATATCGCTCCTGCTCTTGCTGCTGCTCAAGCTGTGCCTGGTCTTGGCCCTGGAGCCACCGGACCGGAGACAAGAGACTGGTTTGGCACGTCGCTTTGGCTCAGTGCGGACTTTTCCAAGGTCTGTACTAAGCTCGGACATAGAATGGCCCAAGGGACTCGCATGACGGCCCAAGAGGTCTTATCCTTCGATGACCAGCTCCAGGTATGGAGCAAGTCTCGTGCCTTGCGAGTCCAATTGGGGAGCACATGTCCCAAGTCTGTCCGAAATAACCTGGGCTTCTTGATATGCCAATTGCAGGTCGCCCGCCTGGTCATATCACAACCGCATGTATTGCGATTGGCAGAAGACAGACAGGCCTACGACGCCTTTTCCAACGAGGACTGGCAGGTGGTTTCAATGTGTCATAACGCCGCCCACGAAATCATTGACGCCATCTGCTCCAAACCTGGCTTGGACAGGATATCAGTTTGGAATTCGACATTCGTGCTCTTCCAGGCCTGTGTGACGCTCCTTCTGTCAATCGCCATGAGCCAAAAGAATGGGAAATTCCCCGACGATGCCGTCAATGACTGGCGACGGAGTGTCGAGCGGGCCATGCTTGTCTTCAAGGATATGGCGCCATTCACGCGACCAGCGGACAGATATGGTGATGTTGTTCAAGCGCTCTATGACGGGCTAACCGCTCTCAATGATAACGGACAGAACCAGGCTTCGTACGGGGACTCGGAGGGAGACACGAGTCACCTTGCCACTCTCGGGGTGGTACCGCCGGACGACACAATGTCCCTTGACCAATACGACATGACGATGCTAGAACCGTTCCCGAATTGGCTCGGATATGATTTCTTGTTCGAAGACGAAGTTGTCAACTGGTATCCTCTCCCTGATGCCTAGGATTCTTTTCGCGTGGACATGAACGGCCACAATTTAACTACCAAGCAAGTCACGCCTTGTTTTGCATGGATGCCGCCCCACCTGATACACATTCTCTCCTCGACGCATTATCGCATGATAGACCGGCAGCTAGAGTCTCGACCATTCAGAGAGTGGCGAGCAGCGATGCGGTTATACAGCAGCCCAGATGCTATACTGCTGCGGAGGCCAAGTCATGGCTCTCGTTGGGCGAAGTTTATTTTCAGCACCATCGTAGGACGGAGTTGATAGTGCTGCCACGCAGTGTGCGAGCGGCACATCCGTACCTGGTGCGTGTGGACATTATGGGGCAACAACAGAGTCGGTCGGGGTAGCGTCGACCTGTCAACCTACGTTCGAGTCATCCATCACCACGCTCGTATGGGCATGATCGTGCCGTTCGTTGTGTGATGTTGTGGGCGAGGTTTGAGATGACCTCGATGGCCTTAATGTTTCTCAAAACGGGTATACAGATACTGTGGTACGTACTATGAAGTTGAAAAGGGAACAAGTTCAATTTGTTCCCTGTACCATGGACTCCGGATGTACGCCAGTGCCATTTTGGGAAATCCGCGGAAAGATGTATTCCCGTCGGCAAGCTGAACGCATCCGACTGGCTGGAAATATGTATTTACGGCGCCAGAATGGAGATTCTCCACCGATTGAGGTTCGTTGATTCAACCTCATTGCTTTTCTGGGGTCTTCATCTCCATCCAAAGTGGGATTCAACGCCAGAGAATGGCCGACGGCCCGCCATATCAGCTTGACCCTAGGGAATAAGATGAAATGGCGTGGAGAGAAACTCCGTGATTCTCCCACCTCCTCCTTGCCATACCTGCTGGATTCGTCGCTTTGTCTTTCTTAATATCCAACTTCACTCGTTCCTGTGTTTGGATGACATTTGATTCTTCCAACTGAAAATCCGCACATATTCGAACCCCCAAAATGGCAATCAAGCAACGACAGGACCTCAACACAGGCTGGAAATGGCGACTCGCCAACGCCAACGGCGAGGCCAAAGCCGACGAATCTCTGAAAAGCTGGACGCCGGTTCAGTCTTTCCCGTCTGTGATCCAGATGGAGCTCCTGGCGCATAAAATCATTCCGGACCCCAACGTCGGAGAGAATGAACGACAGATTCAATGGGCTGGCCGTGCCGATTGGGAGTATTCTTGCACATTCCCAACTCCCGAAGGCTCGACATTCAATGATTTGGTGCTGGAGGGACTCGACACATTTGCCACGGTGACACTCAATGGCCGAGAGATCCTAAAGAGTGACAACATGTTCATTCCGCACCGGGTAGAGGTCACGTCTTTCTTGAAGCCGGTCAAGCAAGACAATGAACTGTCCATAGTCTTTGAAAGCGCCTGGAAGAAAGGAACCGAGCTCGAGGCGAAGTTTGGTCCGCGGAAGACCTGGATGCGCGATAGGAGGAGAATGCATACGCGCAAGGCTCAGGTACGTGCTCAAAGTCTATGATACTAGTAATGTCCATTATCTCATGTCATTGTCCATCCAGTATCACTTTGGCTGGGATTGGGGCCCGACTGTCTTGACGTCTGGACCGTACATGCCCGTCTATCTGGAGACGTATTCGGCAAGAATCGACAATGTGCATGTCACCTCTGACCTGGCGGAGGACCACTCGACGGCTACAGTTTCGATTGCCGTAACCGCTGCTGGACCCTCGGCAAAGACGGTGCGTGTCAAGATCCTTGATTCGGCCTCGTCAGCAGTGTGCAGCAACCTCGACATTCCGCTGGACGAGTCGAAAAATGGTTCGGCCACAGTTGAAATCCGCAACCCGCAGCTCTGGTGGCCCAATGGCCAAGGCGCGCAACATCTGTACACCCTTTCGGCATCTCTTCTGGATGAATCGTCGTCGGAACTCGACAGCTCTACCACCCGATTCGGCATCCGCACCATCAAAGTGATCCAGCGGCCTCTGGACAATGCGCCGGGCAAGACGTTCATGTTCAACGTCAATGGCCGCGACATCTTCGCACAAGGCGGCAATTGGATCCCAACAGACATGTTGCTCCCGACGGTCACGCGAGAGCGATACTTCAGCTGGATCCGACTGGCCAAACTGCACCACTTGAACATGATCCGGGTCTGGGGCGGCGGGATCTACGAGACGGACGACTTCCTGGACGCCTGCGACGAGATGGGCCTCCTCGTGTGGCACGACTATGCACTCGCGTGTGGCGACTACCCCGTATACCAAGACTTCCTCGACAGCATGCAGGCGGAGGCGGAGGCGCAGACGGTGCGCATGCGCAACCACGCCTCGCTGGCGCTGCTGTGCGGGAGCAACGAGGATTTCATGTTCTTCGACTTCTTCGGCAGTCCCTACGACTTTTCGGACCACGACGGACCCTTTCCCGACGACGGCCCGTTCCCTCAGCGGAAGATCTATCTACAGTTACTGCCGGACGTGTGCAAGAAGCTGTGTCCGGAGATCCAATACTGGCCGTCCTCGCCCTGGGGCGATTCCGGCGCCGGCCGCTCCAATGACGTGACGGTCGGCGACATACACCAGTGGGAAGTCTGGCATGGCGAGCAGAAGCCGTACCAGGAATACGGGGCTCTCTCCGGCCGCTTCGTGTCGGAGTTCGGCATGCATGGGTTCCCCATCATGCGCACCGTCGACGTGTTTGCGCCCGAGCCCAAGGACCGGTTCCCGCAGTCGCGCGTGATCGATTGTCACAACAAAGGCCACGGCGCGGAAACCCGGATCGCGCGGTACATGGCGCAGAACTTCCGCTATGACATGGACTTCGAGAACTATATCTACTGCTCGTACCTGTTGCAGAGTGAGGCGCTCGGGTATGCGCTGCGCGACTGGAAGCGCAAGTTCGGCGGCAAGGGCAAGGAAGAGTGCGCCGGCGCCCTGATCTGGCAGTTCAACGACGTCTATCCGTGCACGAGCTGGGCGTATGTCGACTACTTCCTCCGTCCGAAGCCCGCGTTCTACTCGATCCGGCGCAACTTTGCGCCCATCAGTGTCGGCCTGGAGCGGACGCCGAACACGAGATGGATCGATGAGGACAACCCGCGAGACTCGGAGATTCCGCGCTTCACGGTCTTCGCTCATAACACGACTGCACAAGAGGTGCAGTGTGCTTTGCAGCTTAAGGCGTATGATTTCTATACAGGAGCGTGGACGGAGGTCAACCTGGAAGGAATCGCTTCCGAGGCGGTCTTACTTGCAGGCCAGAATACTGAGTTGGGGGCAGTGAGTCCGCATCCGTCTTGGACTGAGGACAGTTTGATTATCTTGGAGGCGAGTCTACTTGATACAACGACCGGGAAGGTGTTGGCGAGGTTTGTCGACTGGCCTGAGCCGTATCGCTACTTGCTCTGGCCGGCAGATACTACCGTCACTATCTCGGTCGAGGGGGTTGCTGGGAACCAAAATAGTGGGGCGGCGGCGGATGGGGACGATGATCAATTCGAACATCTCGTCACAGTCGTTGCGAACAGGCCGGTCAAGGGGTGCTGGCTGGAGCCGGTATATGACGGCACCGAGACAGAAGACGAGCCGGAGCCGTTCTGGGAGGACAACATGTTTGATTTGCTACCTGGGCAGGAGTTCAAGGTTGGTGTCAATGGTCTGAGAGGGAGGAAGGTCAAAGCACGCTTCTTGGGAGACTGGGAGGTGAAGAACCCAATAGTAGCGAAGTAGAGATCTGAGGTACTCTGCCACGGTCCCACGTGGGAAATGTCACATCTGGCGCCGACCGGATCAAGTGAAAGATTGGCCATGATCCCAGGAAAAAGCCAGCAGTGGAGACAAGGAGAAGAACCGACACAAAGGTTTTGGTTGCGTGCTAGAGCTTGGGAGCTGAATCTAGCACGGAGATGCTTCTCAAACCGTAGGCGATCATCGAAACCTCCCGCTCGACTATTGCCATGTGGAAAAGTCTAAATCCGGGTTGACGTGGAAAGTTGGAGGATGATGGATGGTGGATGTTGCTTCCAGGATAAGGCTGCATTTGAGTATTGCAGTATCGCAAGGAGAAGGAACTATGTCTTTACCAGCGACTCTGGCGAAGAGAGGGAGGTAGATGTCCAAGTCATCCTCAACTTCGGAGAAATGACGAACCAAGACACGAACCTGAATGACTTGAGGCTGGTAAGCACTCCAGCCCCTTTGTGCCTTTGTGGCTACCTACCATTACGCCATACTACGTAGTAGAGATAGGCGAAGAGACGTTCCCGCGATATCTACATGGAATTATCACAGCGTATGCCGTTCATTCGCCAGAGTTTGAGAAACGAGAGAAGCGAAAAAAGAGGCTGGCAAGTCACTGTGAATATTACATCAGCGGCTGTGAGCCGACGACTTGAAGTACCAGGTACTTACTCTGTACAGAGTAAAGCGCAGAGGCAGGTCGGTCAAGGCACTTGAAGTGTAACAAGCCCCGGCCGCCAGCCATAGCACACGGCACGGCATCAGACACCAACTTCAAGGAAACCCACTGATAGGCAAGCTTTTAGAGGCCCGGCGACGTCGGTGTAGGCGCCCAGATAGCCGGAGAGCGCCTATTCCGCTGTTGGGTTACAAGTGATTCAACGCCTGGACCAGAGGTCGGCCTCTGTCCCAGCGCCAGGGTGCCGGGCGAGGGACTTAGGGGCGCCAAAACCCCTCCTAAGGATCCCTTACCCCCAGCCTCCAAAGTCCGTCCGTCCCTAAGCCTCCTAAGCCTGCCGGATCTTGCAAGTGGTCAAACTGGTCGGCAAAGCCTCACTAAACAGCCGGAACATCTCCATCTCTCGGGACGCACATCTCCCACATATCTCCTCCCACATATCTCCTCCCCCTCCTGCTCATCCACCCGCTCGACCTCTCTCACAATCTTGTATTTACTGCGAGCGCCACGTCGTGTTCCTGTTCTCTATCTTTGTTGTCTTCTCGCACACTCTTCTTTGTGGTTCGTTGGTCCTCGACGTTCCCGGCTAGTACGGTACTTTGAGACAGCCGCAGCTTCGAGGAACAACACCCACTGTCAGCCACTTTTCGCCTGCTTCTGCACCATTCGTTGACCTTCCAAGTCCGCCTCGGGACGATTGAATCTACAAGTACAGGCCTTTTTTACGCCTGAGCATCGTCCGGCGCCCATTGCTGCATTTTCTGCCCATTGCATCACCAACACAGTACCATGGACTCCAGCATACCCCTCAGTCAAGATGTTGACATGACCCTCACCACCGACGAGAACCAAACACCCGCCGAACCGCCAGCCCGGCTTGCTGCGCGCTTCTACCGCAAGTCGAGCGTTCGCCGCAAGTCCTCCGCCAGTTCCTCCCGTCGCAGCTCTTTGTCTTCCATCCATTCCCATTCCTCCACTCTCTCGAGCCATGGAGGGCCCAACAGCACTCACATTGCCCAACATCTCCGACGAGCCTCCATCATCGAGAGCCGGAAAGCCCGTCTGGCAGACCGAGCCGCACATGCAGAGCAGGTCCGTCGGCGCGCCGCTGCTGCGAAAGCATCCCAACGGGTGTCTTATAGCGAAGAAAAGGCTTTGGCAGCGCAGGCGGCGAGAGAGAAGCTGCTTGCAGAGATCGCCGCCCGATGTGAGGAAGAGGTCAGGCGCGCCAAAAAGATTGCCGAAGAAACCAAAGAGAAGAAGGCGGCCGAGCTAGCCAGGCTCAAGGACGAACTGGCCGAGAAGTTTGCCGAGGCGGCGAGGCGCAAGTCCATGTATCAACAGGGTCTGAGAAGACACCGGACAACTTCCTTGCCAGCCGTCGAGGAGAAGCGGGTTGCGCCCGCAGTGCTGCATCGGCCCAACCGGAACTATGCGGCCAAAATCATTCAGCGAGCGTGGCGGAGGTACTACAGCCGCAAAGTGATGCAGCAATTCACTGCACTTCAGCTCGACTTGAATCGTGCTAGCGACCTTTCATTCGAGGCACTGACACGTTTACTATCCGAGGAACGTACGTTGGCTGCCACCGCTACGGTCCTGCGGCATCTCGGCATCGTTGAAGACCCCAACGAAGATTCAGGAGCGGTCCGTGTCTTCCTCAGCGCCTACATCATTTTGGCCCATCCCATGCAAGCTTTCAGCCATGGCGGCAATGTGCCTCAAGAACAGGAACTGGTGGCGAAGGCTGGCGCTCTGATCCGGGCCTTTGAGTCCCACTCGCAGACTTTGGCGGCCTCGACAAGCAATACCATATCGGCGACAAGCAAGGATGCTCTACTCTTTGCATTCAACGACTTCACCTCTACATTCCATGCCTGGAAGAGTCAGGACTTGGGTGTCCTGATTGATATCATGGTCAATTCATTCGTCAATCTAGACCTGATCTTACAGGCAACCAAACACGACCATGAGGGTCACGTCGCACAAGACTATTTGGACGCTGTGCGACAAGAACAGGTCAAATTGCTCGCAAGACTGAAGCGACTCGCCGGTCCCGAACAGGCACTCGCCAAAGTCAGGTCGGCCGTTAGGAAGGCTCGAAAACAACGAGCTGCCGAACAACCACAAAGCAGTGAACAACGGGTGCCGCGCGCATCGACTCCAGTAAATGACAGTCTGACCTCAGCTCAAGCGGCTCCCCTGACACCTCCGGCTACTCCACAACCTTACCGAGGGGAAGTGGAGGCCAAGGAAGGCTCGTACGCTGAAAGTCTCGGTCAGATCATGACCGTCTTACCCACAAACCGGGAGATCGCCCATGAGATCCTGATCAACGGTAGCTTCGAGGTGCAACAACGACCATGGACCGATTCCCGAAAGGATTTGATGGAGTCTCTGCGTTCGAGCATGCGCGCTAGCATGCTGGATGGGAGCACCGAAGTCATTGCCCGGTGGACGCATGCCATGGCCGTGCTGATTCGTGAAAAGCTGATGAACCTGGTCAGCAAGCGGCACCCGCTATATGACAGGATTGACGGCTTTCTGGATCCTGCATTGATCGGCCAACAGTGCCGCAACGGCATGTTCTCGTATGACACATTCTTCGAGACCATGTCAGGACTCATCGCGCAGATCTGCTCGCCTGGCCGCGATGAAATCGTGAAGGCGTTTGTTGCAAAGACCACCAGCGATACCATTGACCGGCTTTTCGAGTTGATCAACATCATCGATCTCATGACCTTGGATCACATCAACTTTCAATTCAAATTGGCGGCTCAATCTGTTCTCGAGCGAGGCCATGAACACGAGATTGCTTCATTCGAACGAGACCTTCACGACGGAGTACATGCTCTGGAGCGAACGAAGCAGTGGTGGGCCGATGCGCGGTCAAACACCACCTCATCCGGCCAAACCGGCAGGGTCATCTACGCCAAAGGCTTGACTGATCTGGTGTTGCGCAACTCGCATCTCTGGCCACGCGAAGTCCCGGAGACGCTGCAACTCGACTACATCCGTCTGCTGAAGTTGAGGGCACGCGTCTTCCACATGATCGCGACGGCTTCTGTCCTGCTCACCACCAAGATCCGGCTCCGGCGGAACCGAGAGTCCCTGTGGACCAAGGACGCCGAACGGTTGATGTCTTTGGATCTGTTGACCAGCGACGCCCACCGGGTTGTGTCGCTACTGGAATCGTCGCATATGATGCCCGACTCGACGAAAGAAGGCTTGTTCAATTTCGTCGGCCGCGTGCTGCCTCCAGCCGTTGTCGCCGCCCGCAACGCCGACACCGCCGAGCAGGACCGGCAAGATGCGATGCAGATGCACAGCCAGTCCGCCTACGATCCGTGCTCGATGGACGACGGGAAAATGGATACCACGGACGTCTTCACCGAACAGATTGCCAGCTTCATGTTGAAGTCGTTGCGCGAACACGTCTTTGCCAGATTATCCGCCAGCGGCACGGCCGAGAGAGTGCGCACTGCCACGGGTGCCGCCGAGGCTCTGGCGCGTGTCGGCATGCCCGAGTTCGTCGAGGAGGTCAATCGTCTCGTGGATGAGATGGAGAGGATCCGCGCCGTGGATCTCAAGTCTCATGGCAAATGGTACGATCAGATCGCCGCTGAGACGTCTTGATTAAGCTTAGTCTTGGGTTGGTTTGGTTTGATTCGGGGTTGATGGATTGATGGATGGAGACGCTTGATGATCATGCCATTCAGCATCGGTACTATGGTATATGGCGCATCATCGCATTGGTTTTGATTTTTGGCGACTATATTTTGTTTCTCAATTGACCGGAGTGGCGGTGGGAGGAGGGAAGCGAAGCAATGAGAATGGAAGAGAAGAGATTGCTTTTGACGATTGACCTGTCGTTTTCTACCTACTTACTTATGATGACCGTTGACGAATCCCTGGACCACTGCAGTACATACATCTCACATATCTCATGCACTCACTCTCTTCATCATGAAGAGAGAGCAAAATGATGTTGATGACCTTTCTAGTGATGACTCAATGGCACCTTGTATCTGAAATGTGTTATGACTGACATTGGCTTTGACTGACATTGGCTTTGACTTTGACTTTGCACCCGTTCCTTTGACAACTCGTATACGCAGCTACTTGTATACGTATACGCATCGCCATCGCATCTACTTGTCGTGACACGGTCTGTTCGTTCTGTCTGGAGACAATTTGCCGTGTTATCAATCTTAGCTATCAAGATGATATAGCTACGGCATGGCATGGCATGCTCAACATTCTTGACGCCCCGCCGCAACGAGCATGGTAGGTAGGCAAGGTAGATTACCCTTAGCATGTCCTGTCCGTCCCGAGCAGCAGAAACTACCTACCTAGGTACCTACCTCGTCGACGCCAGAGATCGGCCGTACTGTACTGTGCTTGAAGAGAGGGAGAGAGAGAGAGAAAACAATCGGTGTTCCGGTGTTCCGTGGAAATTGTCTTCGCCACGAATGAAGACAGAATATTTCCTTTCGGCCGTGAACCTACGATCTGGGAAGACGTTCCGAAGTGTGAAGTGTGAAGACGAACTGTGAGGTATGAAGCAATGGGGACTGCTCTCGAGACACCGGATGTCCTGAGTCCTAAGGACGGCGATAGGACCTCGAACGGGAATGTCGATGCGACTCCGGCTCTGGCTCTGGCTATGGCTGCAGAGAGCGCACAGATACGTACCTTAGATTGGTCTTTTCCTTTTTCCGGTCCACGATCTTTCAGATTCTCTGATATGCAGCGCCTTGCCAGTGAGTGGTCCATGCGCTGCACATAAGCAACCAACTACCGACATACAGTGGTAGGTATCTGGATTCTGCAGTGCGGGAAAGATGGATCAGGGATCAGGGATGAGGGAAGATGGATGATGGATGATGGATGAGCCCGGATGCCGAGTCCCAACAAGTCAACCAGACAGTCGATCACAACTTTTATTGTCCGAAATCGTCAGTGTCCTTGACGCTTTGGGACACGCTCTTACGCTTCAGCACCCTTTTTCGGACAGATCCATTGATTTGTCATGCAGTGGCCGAATCCAAAACACTGCAGTCAGTTCTCTTTCCAGCACTGCAGTAACATTTCTCGAACCCTTTTGTTGCTTCTAGAATATCTTGTCTTGTCATTTCGCTTGGTGCACAGACATGCCCTTTTGTATCCAGTGATCGGGCGTCGCTTGTTTGCTCGTTATTATTGCCAGTGTCACTACTAGCCATGCAGTGCTCGCCATCTAGGCCTACGAAGCCCTAGCCCAAGCCCTGGCCTGCCCTTCGCTTGTCTTCGATTCGGCATTGACCACTCACTGACAGACTGTCCTCGCTTACGGTAGTAGAATGACGTGTTTCATTTGTCCTTTTCTCTCGCTTGGAAAGACAGGCTATCTACCTACTCGGTACCTACCGTCCATGCACTGGCAGTGTGCACGGCTGTATCTCCTATGTGAGGTCTAGATCTACCACCATCTCGCGAGGTCTAGATCTAGATCTCATCTGCAGTGGTGCACTGGCTTTTCCCGTTCCTGATTCGTTCTTTCTCAAGTCAAGCCTGATATTGATCTCGGATTCGGATCATCCCTTGCGCGCGCATCAACATTTCCGGTGCCTTTGAGCCATTTGAGCCATTTGAACCCTATGCTAGACTCGTTCAGTGCAGAGCAGAGTACGTACCAAGATCGGAATGGGCTGAAGCGAGATCCGCGCCGCCGCCACACGTGGCTTGCTGTCATGTCCCACAAATTACAGATCGGGACTGGTTGTGTCTCATTTCAATCAATCAAGGGAAGTTCCCTGGTAGCGGGAAGCCTAAGGTTGGACTTTCGCTACATCTTCCTCTTCCTCCCGCGTCGTTTCGGTTGACATCGGTAGTGTGTCCTTGTGTCACCCGAAGATGCTGGACATACTGGCCTAGTATCTACCCTTTGGGTCTGAGGTGACACGACTTTCTCCATGTTGAAACAAGGAACGTCGATCTTTCAATTCATCCCGTCTGACTCGTCGGGTTTCAAATGCTTGCATTCGAAGCAGAATGGCACATAACGATCCAGCAGCTGGTTTGGGGGTCCAAGATGAAGAGGTAAGTCGAGTTGAACTCAGATATATCTGTCCGGTCTTTTGTTAGTGTTTTCTTTATTGGAGGTGGTTGTGGTTGTGGTGGAAGTCGTGGTGGTTGTTGGAGTCAATCAACGTTCTAACCGGCTTTGTCCTGCTCGATGATATAGTACGAGACCGAAGACTCCGGATTCTACGAAGACATCTCTCTCCTGACCGAATCCGTCCGCTCGTCCATCTACGCGTACCGCTACGAAAACGGCCGCCGCTATCACGCCTACAAGGAAGGCGCGTATTACATGCCCAACGACGAGCCGGAACAAGAGCGCCTGAACTTGCAGCACCACGCGGGACATCTGGCGCTGGGGAAACGCGACTTTCTGGCGCCGCTGGCCGATCCGCGCAAGGTCCTTGATCTGGGGACTGGCACGGGCATCTGGGCCATCGACATGGGCGACCGGTTCCCTGGCGCGGAGATCCTCGGCGTTGATTTGTCTCCGATCCAACCCAATGCCGTGCCGCCGAATGTCAAGTTCGAGGTCGATGATGTCGAGGATAATTGGACGTTTCGGGAGGATTGGTTCGACTTGATCTTCTCCAAGGATATGTTGGCGGGGAGTATTGCCGATTTTCGGAAGTATTTTGAACAGGCATATAAGTGAGTGGGAATGATCCGAGTCAGCACAGCGATCCCCATTTTCGCATTTACTGGACTTCTATCTTCATGGAATGCTCGCATTGTGTCCGTCGCTGGCTATTGCGGAGTAGACCCCCATCCGTTGTCATTCGTCGCGTTGAAGGGAGCGCGTTAAAGTGGTCCTGGCGATCTGATTGAATATGACTGACTGAATGATGGCGATTTGATGATCAACCAACTAACATCTCCATGCACAGGCACTGCAGACCAGGCGGCTACTTTGAGCTCCACGAACTCAACACAAACATCCACAGCGACCACTATACCATCCCGGAAGACAGCAGTATCAAGCAGTGGGGCGCGCTCATGAGGCAGGGCATCCAGGTCATGGGACGCCATCTCGACCTTAACTTTGATGAACTCGCCAACCTGCTGCGCGACGTCGGGTTTCAAGATGTCACGGTAACGCCGTACAAACAGCCTATCGGGCAATGGCCATCCGATCCGGTCATGAGACAGTCCGGAGCAATCCAGCTCGTAGCCTTGCTCGAGGGCATGGAGAGTATGAGTCTCGCCGTGTTTTCTCGATGCCTGCATTGGTCCAAGCCAGATGTCGACGCGTTGCTCGAGAAAACGAAGCGGGAATTCACCTTGCGCAGAGCTTGCTACTATTGGCCGGGGTGAGTCTTGCGGAATCTTCAAGCGTTCATCGACGCGGTCAAAGCCCTGGGCTCATGCTGATGCTGATTAGGGTCGTCATCTATGCGCGTAAACCGGAACCCTCGCCGCCACCGCCATGATCGCACTCGAAGTGTGGTCCATTTTCAGACGAAGTTCGGTATTCAATCAGGACGGCAATGAAACGTCCCTGACATGGGTTGAAGCCCTTCACTTTCCACTGCTATGGGTTGCTTGGCTGCCATTCGGTCAAGCGGATCAATTGCCACTGGAGACTTGTCACACCAAAGAAATTAGCAGAAGACGAGTCGAAGTCTTATAGCTGTGCACCGGGCTGCTACAGAGTTTGACTGCTTCACCTCGCCGTTGATCTTGGAGGGAGTCCGGCTCAGCATGAGCGAAGTTGTGCTTGTTCCTCCACCCGTGGACATGATCCAAGATCAGGCGCGGTGAATTGGACATTTCCACGTAGCAGATTCGAGGTTCGCGATCAAAGCCTGCTTCTGGCAGAGAATATCGCTAGGGGAGAGAATATCTCTATCCATTTTGGTTCAAGCGTCCACGTCCTGGTTAAGCCAGCCCCACAGAGCAACAGATGGACGGCGAGGCTCGCTCCGTCCACCAACATTGGGACGTGCGGATTGCATACTGGTCGCTTCCATTCTGAACAGCCTCTGGCGTCTTGGGGGCATTTCTGCAGTTCAGCCATTCCGCGCGCTGAAACGAGGGATTCCACGCTTCAAGAGCTCAATATGGCGACATTGATCATTGACACGAGGAGGGATGACGAATCAGGTAGACGACCGCAGAAAGGGGCTCGCAAGGCTGTGCATCAGCTTGCAAGATCTTGTCTGATCTATTTTACAAAAATACTGTGAATCTGGCCGGATTCGAACCGACAATCTCTTGATTCGTAGTCAAGCGCGATACCATTTCGCCACAGATCCGCTACGTCACCACATTTTGTGCGTCGCTGATTGGCTGGTGCAATCCAGTACAAAATTTGGGAGAAATAATATATAGTAATGAAATAAGTTCCGCTAAAGTAACTGTTCGGAAAGTGTCTAGCCTCACTAGAGGCCGTCATGACACGAGGGAAAACCCCCCAGATCCGGGATCACGGCGAAAAGTGACTTTTTAGCAAGTGCAGGCACCAACCAGCAGGGTGACCAAAAGGTACTTTACGGTTGGACCACCCGTAGACCAGCCACGTGACCACGTTTGAAGCGGCGTGTAGCCTTGGCATTTGGAGACAACTCCGAGCCTCAAGTCCGAGACAGCAAGCAAACCTGCGCCATTCTTCCATTCCCTTCTCATACTATCGTACATCTATCTACCTTCACCCTTTTTACTTGGAAACTTCATCGTCGGTCTTGTCCTCTCGTCTCCTCTGACATCTCCAAACCCGAATCCTCATTTCAAAATGCCTCGCCAACGTGGTCCCGCCCGATCTGCCCCGTCCAGACCGACGGCACCAGCTCCAGCACCTCGGTCTGTAGCGCCACAGCAACAGCACCGACCGATGTCGACTGCAGCTGCGCCCGTCCAGCAACATGCTGCTCACCCGCCGCCTGCCCAGGCCCAAGCATCCCAGGGACCAGGACTCTTCGGCCAGATGGCCAGCACAGCTGCGTAAGTACCCTACTGCCTTATTTTGACGACCGGGGTCTTGCTGGGAGGACAGTCACCCGCATGGGAACTCATGCCCGCGGACTTGGGAGAATCAATGATCCCTGGACAGTCCGATCAGTGCAGAGCGGCGCACTGTATCATCTAAAATGGGATGATCGATGCTGACTTTTGGCGAACAGTGGCGTCGCAGTCGGCTCTTCCATCGGCCATGCCATCGGCGGTTTCTTCGGTGGTGGCTCCTCTTCCGCACCGGTCGAGCAGCAACAGCAACAGCAGCTTCCTACCGACGCCTACTCCCAAACCGGCCAGGCAATGGACAACGCTTTGTACACTCAATCCTCCTCGACCGAAGCTTCGGGTCCTTGCGCCGCCGACATCAAGAGCTTCACCGACTGCATGAACCAGAACCAGGGCAACTTGTCCATCTGCGGTTGGTATATGGAGCAACTGAAGGCTTGCCAACAAGCTGCTAGACAATACTAAGCCCAGCAATGCCCAGCAATGCCCAGCAATGTTGCATTGTCGTTCTCCTCAACTTCGTCAGGATCGACGATCATGTGGTGGATATGCAATGGTGATGAAAAAGTCCTTCAAGACATGTGTAAATAGCCAATACAGAGGCACTGCGGTCGATAGAGTGATGATTCTGTCGTCTGGCGCTCAGAAATGCATGGCATTGCAAGGCGCGTATCGTACTGCAAGAGTCAAAAAGAATAAAAAGAATAATACTTCGCCTCTCACTGGAATATATATGCTCCTGATGCTCAACGGAGTCAGAAAATCGTTGTTGGCGGTACTTGACACAGTTTTGTTTGTGGTCTTCATATCTTCTAACCTTACTCTTGTCCAGCCCGCTCTGAAGCCTGATCTTACTGATAATCATGAGACAGCCTTCACCATGGATCACGGGCGGTCTCTGCGGAAAAAGTTGCTGCCGTCGAAGAGACGAGCATGCTCATGAAGCTAGCTGATCAGTTTTGCTTCCTCAGTTCAAGTGCGAGTTGACGGGTCTCAGGTCCTTACCGAATGGCGATGACTTGGCCACATCTGTCGAGCCAAGTGCGGACGAGGAGGCCCCATGCACCGTAACAAACGGAGGTCGACGGCTCTGGCTCCAGACCATGGCTATTGTGTTGGTCAAGCAGACAAGAAGTCAGAGTCTGCGGATCCGCGACTCTTGATCCATATCCTTCTCGAGCAGAAGGTTGTCGTGGCTGGTCCGCCTACAAGTTGTGCTGGTCCGCAGACAACATTTCACATCCCCGTTAATCGGTCCCAGCACTTCTCTCGAGTCTACATACTACCTCTTCCCACAGTCCCGTCAACTCTGCACGCGTCTGGGTTCTGTGCTTACCCCCAGGGGGGTAATAACTTCAAGAAATACATCTGCGACAGTGGGTCAAGAATCAAGAGAAGATGTTAGCCGGGATTCCATGGTCCCGGTAATGCAATACGTGTGAGCAGTGAGCATGTTTTGCTTTCAAGCTGTTCTTTTCATTCTGTCGCCATTACTTGGAGTCGGCTCATGTACAGCAAGGCATCCAGCAACGCAGCTCGTGCGTGTGGCGGTTTCCAGGGATCATGTCCACCTTGAGCAGCTGGATCAGATGAAAATTATGGACAGTGTGCCGTGTTTTGCTATGGCTTACCCCGTATTCGTCGTTCAGATCTGCATTCACTTCGGGTTCTTGGAGCGAGAGTGGAACAGTTGGAAACGCAGCTGGCCATGTTGAAGAGGGGCCTTGCCGATATTCGACGATACCAAAGTGGCCTGGTCATTGGTCTTGGTCGGTTGTGGTCGAGGGTCCACCCTGGGGTAGAGGTATTGCAGGTAAGGCGGACAGCAGGTGTCAGATCTTTGGTAGTGGAACCGAGGTCAGGAGAGGAATTAGGGCGTGGATTTGATACAGCATTCGAGCAGACAAGGGCGTCCAATTTCCTAGGGGGCTAACAGCTGATGAACCATCAATGCTCACAATCGAAGCGAAGCATCCTTCGGGTCCGAAACACGGGATTCTAGCTCATGGGCTTCTATGGAGGTCTACTGGTCCCGGCTATGTGGTATCGCATATTTGCATTTCTTATACCAGGGTTCAAATGGCTTGTGAACTCTGCTGATATGAGGATCCGCATGTCGGCCTCACTGGAGCAGGTGGCCTCCAGACGCGTGTCAACGACAGGTCGAGGAACAAAAGATTGGATGTGTGAGCATTCCGACAGGGCATATTTCCAGGAACACAAGTCTGCCGGTCGTCGAGAGGGTTGATTCTTGGAGCAACAAATCCGAGCCTTGGTCAGAGCTGAAAGGGGCATGAGATGTCGTTCTGGGATCGACGATGGCTGTATCAAGTCCACAGTCCACCCATCACGAACCGTGGTCAGCAAAGCTCTCGAGAATACATGCTTCCCTTCTCTGATTGGTGTTCCGGCGTCTGATTGCCACCACTTTCATGATACAAGGTTGTTTTGGAACTCCACTGCTGAGGGTCGTGAGTTGAGTTGAGTCAGTTTTCGGATTGCTCGATTCTGTGGTCTTGTGCTTCCGCAATGCCGAGCCGTCATGTATGGTGTGGGTCAGAGAAAGACGCTGGAAATGCGAAGTCGCATGTTCAATGTTCTGAAGCCTCGACGAAAACGCGTGGCCTATACTGAGATATACCATCCTTGTCGTCGGGCCGTCACCTTGACTCGGCTAACCGCTGGTCACATGCAAAGGGGACCGGGTTTCCAGGATGATACGACGAAGAGCCAGGGCGATATAGTAAGCAGTGGGATGGGAATGGAAATGACTGTTCCCTGAGGCCTGGCCCACAACAACGGCACAGGTGTGATGGCGAACAGTACCTAGGTACTTGAAGCATGGGTCACTCTGGCTTCTTTCTGTCTGATGGTACCGTTTAGACTTCTGGTTGGTTGGTCGACAGCCACGTAAGCGTCTAGACTTAGATTCCCAAGGCTACAGTATCAGCATGAAACGTTCAGTTGTTTCCCGGTGACATTCCGCGAAGGAGTACAAGTTGAAGTTCATGGGACCTGCTTTTAGGTACAGGACTCAGCGTCGGGGGTTGTAAGGTGAATCCGTTGGATGACAGGGCTGTATGGTGAGCCCCTTGGATCACATCACTTAGTATAATGGCTGCTGCAGTGCAGTGGTGCTCAGAACGGTATCATTCCGGAGACGACGGGTTGATTGGTCCGAAGGAAATATCATATATGGAGAGATGAGTCAGACTCGTTGTGAATCTGGCGAATGGGTAGAGAGATGCGCTGCCAGTGCACCATTCGAGGAAGAGGAAGAGGAAGAGGAAGAGCAAAAAGTCTCCAGGGTTTAGAATATGGATCCTATTGGGTTCCCCCCAACTGAAGGATTGGCTTGATTGGTGTCGAGTACCGTGGTCCGTCTTGGACCATATCACTCTCATATTAGAAGTTGAAAGCAAGTCGACTCGGCCAAGAGACTGACTTGTTCACAGACCAGAACTTGAACGTGACATGTAGTAGGAAAGAGATTCGCAACCTACCTAGGACATTGACTCATGCAGGACTAGTACCTACTACCCGGTCTCCAGAGTATCTGTCGTTGTCTACCTGTACCTTTTATCACCATCGCCACAACGCCAAATCAGGACCCAAGACTCGAAGCGATAGCCTCATGAGGGACGTACTTGGCGAGCACCAGGCACCCGGCGGGATGGCCATTTGAAACGTGGAGGATGCGATGCGCTGCAATGTTCTGCAAGTTGGTAGCTGGGAGACGCTCGAACTGACTGCAGCACAGCTCGGGTCCCTTCCCTTGCTGCAGACATGGCCCCCTCCATGATACAACAGGGGAGCAGGATCTCAGGGGTGGTGGTGGTGACCGAAAACTGCAGTGGGTGCCTTGTCTTGTCGCAAAAGTACAAAACAGAGTACGTACTCTGTAAGGGAGGGTTACACCGATCTTCTTGTCTGACTACCAGTGTGGATCGTGGCAGGGCTGCGGCTGTGAGTGAGCATCCCCAGTCAAGTTAGCGAGGGAGGGGCAGCAGACGACGCTAGAAGGAGAGGTGACTCGGACTTTGTTCACCCTTGTCCTTCGAGAAGAATGCCGCATTGGGAAGGGCCACGCTGGGTTGTTAAGGAACTAAGTTAGTACGTGGTAGTACTAGTGATAGTAAGCAAAGCTGAGGAGCCTGAAATACTTATCGTCTAGTACTATCATGTACTAGTAGACGTCGCCTCAAGGCATCAGCCATTCCAGCCATACGAGTTCCACATTCGTGCAGCCTTCCCGATTGGGATGGCTTTGCGAGCTGTGATCCTCAGCTCCTCGCGTTTCAGCAGCAAAGCCACGATCTCGGTCTGCATTCTGACCTTCGTACTTGTGGGTGGCCCGCATCGTCCTAGCTTGTGCACTGCCAGGTGGATGAATGAATTGTTGTGGGACCCTTAAATGAGGACTCTGTATACTAGCATTGGACTGCTGCTGGGAGAAACTGACAGCTGGCGGTGGGCTGAAATGAATTACCACGAAGAGCCTCGCGTGTCCGCGTATCCTCTGCTAGATTTTGCTAGATTCTAGGCTCTCGCATTCGGTACTGAGGGTCCGATTTCTGATTGGTTTCCCGATGTAAGTGTCCCGGAAACCGGTCGCCGGCGTCGCACGAACGTTCCATGGACCATCCGGGACCGGAAATCTCGCTCCTTGGTCCTGGGGCTTCCATGGCCGCTTGGAAGCCTCTGGGTTAGTATTATTCGAACTCCTCCAAACTGGCTTACCTAGGTACCTGGCAACGGTCAAGCCGGTGCGGCAATATTGTGCGAGACAGAATAAATGTTTCCGGAAACCTCGGCGACGGTAAGGTCACGAGTGCCTCTCGACCACCACTAAGAGGAAGCGGGCGGAAGTGGCCAACTTGAACGTCGAACTCGTACAACCAGAGTCTCTGGTCACGAGGATTTCGCAGAGAGCAACTCAGTTGCATGTTCATGCTGAATATTCAATATTGAAATTGCGGGGAGTCTGCAAGGTTTTTCGGCCGCCTCAGAGGGAAAGTTTTCAAACTCCGAGAGCGGCGGAGTTTCGGACGAAGCAGAGATTCCAGGTCCGCACAATGCAGAAACGCATACCACTGCAGTGGCACTTCCCGTACTGGCACAATAATGTACGGTCGCCCAATGCGGGGGTTCAGCTGACCCGAGCATAATTAATGTCACAATTGCCGTTTCAGGATGCATACCTAGTAAGAGAGCATAACTCAAACTCTGTGGTTTGTCTGCGGAGGCCGGAGGGTTTCTAGGCGCCGAGTCGTCGACTCTTTGGTCCGTCTCCAGTAGTCCTGGGCCGCCGCGTCCAATCATATCGCCAGTTCCCCTGGATGCCTGCCCCGAGGACAACAAACTCAAGCCACCACGGACAGCGCAGGCTCTCGAATGGCAATACGAGGATACGCTCTCGGCCTTGCTGTAGGCCAAAGGAATACGAAAGGTGGTGCCAGTGAATACTAATCTCCATGGAGTCCACGGAGACAGACAAGCCTCGTGCAGCTTGCGTATTCATCCTTGGACAATCCAGTGGACAGACGGTCAGGAGAGATTGCAGTACGTACCTAGGCATGAACAATGGAGCTTTCACTTCAGGCAGCCGTGGATCTGCATGAAGCACTGCACAGCACAGTATAGCACTGAGCGAGCACAAACCCACTGGAACACTTCGCATCTTCCACTGAAGCGGGAAGGGATAAACGAGGGTGCCTATTCAAATCATACTCTGATAGCTGGCGCCTTGAAAGTAACGGTAGATAACATTATTAATGTTCAAGGGCTGAGTTAGTCGCTTACTGCCAATAGGTAGGTAGATACTCAGAAGGTAGTATTCAGCCATTAGATTCCCAGGTGCCAGGTGCCAGGTGCCAGGTGCCAGGTGCCTGGGGGTTGTAGGCGGGGTGATAAGCGATAAAGAGCGTTTGTCAGGGCACCCTGGGCGTTGCACGACCCCCATGGAATTTGCCGATGAGGGCTTGGGGGGCCGTATCCAGGCTTCGACCAAGGCCTATGAGCCCGGGGAACATCGTTCGTACATGGGCATAGCAGTAAGTGGTGAAAGCCAGCCCAGGCGGAGTCACCGAGCACTGTGGTTGAAGCGCCAACACCAGCACAGGACACCTTGCAGTCGAAGCAGTGCCTCATGTTAGCGTGACATCGACCGATTTATCATTATTGCGTGCAAGGAGCCATGATTTGTGTCAAATCGGAACTGCCTCTAGTGCTGGTAAACTTGAAGCCTAGAACGTGAGTTCATGTTGCGTTCCAGATTGGACAGTTCAAAGCGAGGCCAGTGGGATGGAATGCGAGGTCAGGAATGTGTATACTCATGGGGAAGGCATAAGGATGAATTTGCTTACGGGAGCAGTGACACTCTGACCAATCTGGTCGTCAAATTGGAAGTAGCAACATGTGTTAGAGTTCAACTGGTAATGTTGCAACGACGCATGGCTTACCAACCTTACAAGAAGCCCAGTCATCCAACTTGAGGGGGGCCATCGAATAATCATTGATACAAGCTGTGTCATCACGATTATTGGTGGATTGGCGGGGAAGAGATGGAACCTTGTAGGTGTTCTTTGTGTATTTCTCAGCAAGAATCACAGAAAGCTTCTGGCTGAGGATAGAGTCATGCTTAGAACAGTTGACGATCGTGCTTTGGCTGACACTGACCATAACCCTGATCGTGACAACGACCGGTATCAGTTGTAGCATGGGGATCATCGTTGTAAGGTTTGGATCATGACCAAACCGACACGTCTCATGGAGATAGGAATAACAGTCAGGGGAGAATGAGATCAGATCAGTAAGGCAGTGTTGTAGCAAAACATGTCGAGACACCTAAGCAACCTGGTAGAACAGTTAGAACACCCTTGAATCAACCTTTCTCGGGGCCATCATGCGAGCCGACTCAACCATGCGGGACAGATGCGGACGTAACGAAGGCTCCGACCGTCAAGCCTCAGGCAGCCGAATTCTAGAAACGGGGTATCTTAGAAAGCACACGGCCGAAACGACGGCAGGGCGTACTGTGTCAAGCGGGAGCGTTGTTACGGACAAGGACCAGCCAGCGAGCCAGGTCCAGGTGGTCAGCGTCATCAGCGATTTCTCAGCCTGCCAGTGCGAGACCGGGCGGCTGTCACTGTACTGACCGACCGATGACACTGCAGGCACCGATGACTCGAACCGCACGTAGGGCGGAGAGATGGTAAACCCGAGAAGTTGAAGCGGGCGTGTCTTTTTTCCTCAGCCCCGTACACCGGAGACAAGCTGTACGATGAGCCCAGGGAGCTAGGCCCTGCAGAGTTAGTAGGGCGAGGAGGGCGAAGGGCATGCTCGCATCTCACTCTTTCTCACGCTCACCCTCGCACACCCACCCTGGTCCGGATTCGGGTCCCACACCTCCCTTCCTCCTCCCTCTCGGCCTTTACGCATGGCCCCGGCTCCATAACTCGCTTCTCGCGTTCGTTTCTTACTCAGGCACCTCCGTTTTCTGTAATGGTCATCAGAACGTGAACGCGGATGGATACTTTCTGACCCATCCACCCTTCCGCTTAACTCCATCCACCGTGCGTTTACAAAAGAACCCGCATACCCTCCTCTTAAGCAGTCACTCTTCTTCTTCCATCATCCAACAACAGTGCAACCAACAAAGTCAACAGTATACATCCATGAACCCATAGTACACTTTGACTGGAAGCCTTCATCTGGAAGCCACTTCAACAACAAAACATCAACAAAACACCAACAACAACATTCACCCGCCAATCCACCAAAATGCCGTCCTCAATCAGCTTTTCCGCTGGAACCTCCACCAACACATCCAACAACTCCATCTACGCCCGTCCACAGAAGAAACAGAAGATGAGCATCACCCAGACCTACTTCCTCGCCCACAGTGCCCGCGGCAAGCTCTCGAAAGAGGCTTCCCGGCCTGACCATGACCTTCGATTGCTTGTTGGACACGCCAACATGCTCGACTCCCTGATGCTCGACCTGGCCAATGCCGAGCGAGAACAAGAACAATGGTTCAACAACATCGTCTCCGGCTCTTCCGGCGCCGAGGAACAAGAGGAGAAGAGTCGAAATGGACACATTGAAACCATTGTCGAGGAGCCCGAGTCCGATTGGAAGGTCGAAGATGCAGAGTCCACCGACGACGAGTCCGAGGACGAGTATGAGAAGCCCATCACCAACATCACATCTGTCGAAGTAGACTCCGATATGGAGGATGACGACGAGACCGAGGAAGACCTGACACTCACTCGAACGGCCTCTCGACATTCACCGCCCGAGCTCAGCCTCGACACCGACTCGTCGGACTCAGACGACGAGCAAATGCCTCCCTCACCTCCGGCAACCACCATGGAGGTGATGAGTGAAAAGCAACGACAGGCCATAGCCACCACCTCGTACTATGACGCCAAAGACAACACGTCGCTATCACCCGCCGAATCCGAAACCCTGGAACAACAGGGTTTCTATGTACCGTCAAGGCAACAGCCGACCATAATCGCTGCCTATTAGAGCAGGTTGATTGACCGTCCCTTGATGACCGTTTCAGCGAAGTGATACCCGAGCGTTTTTGAGCGAATCTGGCATCTCGACAATGTCTTTACGAGCATGGTGTTGTGGGCTTCATGTTTACATTTTGGAGAAAAAACACGATTGGGAGCAATCCAAGGAAATCACTCCGGTGTCTCAAGCATCCAAACCCCGAAGCATCCTCCTCCAGACTTCACTGCGGACCTGGTAGTCGTGGCATCAAGCCAGCACAGGAAAGCATTGGAGCTCTCGTGGTTGATGTCGTTGGGTTTGGACGGTTGTAGCTACGGGGGGATGAATTCTACAAAATCCTGACTCTACTCTTATGTACCATTGCAGATAGTTCTCCCTCTCATCTGTTTGAGGTTGAGATTGAAAATCATATTGATCTGATACAAAACAAAAAACACTCTTCTGCTCTTCTATCTTCATACCTTGCGTATCCAGTCGTTCCGGCCATGGTGTTTGGTCCTTGTTCGTGTTTACTGTCTTCTGTTCTGTTCAGCTGTGCTAACCTCTGTCCCTACCAAAATCCCCACATGACACACGATGGGGCATCCTGCCTGCCACTAGGCTGAAGTTGAGTCACGGCTGATCACTAAACCAGCCCTAACCGCTCCTAGTAAATTTCGCAAGGGTCTTGAGGCGGCCCCGGTGCAAAAAATCCCATCGTCCGTCGCTCGGATTTGCGGCTTTTGTGGCAGCCGGGCCAGCCGTACGGCCGAACAAGCTGGAATTCAGCTGGACTCTCCCAGAAGATCCGTGGCCCCAGCAACTTAAGCTGTAGCCGGTTAGGTCTAAGTCTCGATCCAAATTCAATCAATCATTTTTCTTCAAAAGGGCCAGGGTCGAGACTCTCGGAGACAAACTAGTCCAATCGCATTATTGAAACGCTCAGGGCAACCACTGGCAGTGGCAGCTGCGGCCAGGCGCTGGTTAGGGCGGCGCGGCAGGGCAGGCCAGCTTTCAGGCGGCCGATTGCTGATTTTCGGGCCCGAACGACTCTTTTGCTTAGGTCCGTTGTGTCTGATCTGATCTGATCTGATCTGATTTTGATCGTTGCATGGCAGGTGAACGTTCATCCCTTTATCAATTATCGATTATTGATTGTCATCCACACAACTTGTCACATCAGTGATTAAGAGTTACGGCCTGAGCGATTTCAACTCTGCTGTTTCGATGCACTAACATATCGACTTTGTCGAGGCTGGTCACCTGGACTACTGAGGTCCTCCAGCCTCGGCTCTCGGCGATGTTAGTGAACACCAAGGGCGGAAACAAAGGGTCCTCCCAGCGACCAGAAGACCTTGTGGACTGTGAAAATCTTAGGTGGAGTTTCCCTGGAAGTGGAATCCCGCTGGCTGGGTGAGGGTTTTGTGCAAATTTCAAGTACGAAACGAACGAGTGAAAAAAAAAGTATCTCTTCCAGCCGCGCTTGCGGGGCTGGCGTTTACGTTTCGTTTATTCCCGTTACCGCCCTTCCGCGCAAAAAAAATTGACTTGTTCTCTTCTGTACGGAGCCTTTGCTTTTCGTCCGGTCATGAGGAAACAGAACTGCGCTGTGGGGACACTTGAAGAGTACCTAGGTATCGATGGCGACGGACACTATTGCTATGGATGTGGGCAATAGGAAACAGGAAATAGGAAATCAAAAGGTGTGAGTTGCTTACGGTGAGCACCTGGTACGAGGACAGGGTGTCTACACGTTTGTCTCAAGCATTTCCTACCTGCCTACCTAGGTACCTACCTATTACCATTGATGAGTTGATTGGCTTACTGTCTCGGATCCGCGGTTGGCGGCAAACTGCAGGTGGTAAGGCGCGCTTGGGCGGTCGAAGGAGAGTAGCAAAATCGACTGTCATTATTATCGGGCTGATGACTGATCATGGTCGGGGTTAACGGGCTTGACGGCTTAATAATAATAATAATAAATGACATCCCCACCACTGCAGCATGTCAAGTTCTCCATTTCATCATCTTAAAAATCAGGGATGTTGCACTGTGGTTTAAGTTGGGCTGAGACTTGCTCGCATAAGCACCTGTGAAAGTCTGCATTTTGATTTCCAATTCTCTTGGGGTCCCCAGTCTCTTCTCTTTGTTTGCTTTGCTTGCTTGCTCTGGAATATGCAGGATGGCACTCACTTCCTGGAAACCCACCGATCATGCCAACCGACTCCCGTGGAAAGCCTCGTCTGTGCAAATCTAGCGACCTTTCCTGCACATACTTTCATAGGATTGCAATGTTCTTTGTTTGCAAAATCTAAGGTTTAGCATGTGCTCGATCTCGGTGTCTTTTATCATATGCAGCTCGACAACGTAGGTATGTTCAAGGGTTGTAATCATTCATGCTGTTTGCACCGTTTCACCTTTGTCTTTGTGATACAGGATTTACCCGCGTCAGTCAACTCCAGGCGTACTTCTCGGGTCAGGCATACACTACGCATCATCCAATCCCATGTGGAATGTCTAGACGGCCCATACGAGGCCTCATATCTGCAATCAACTCCATGATCATGTGGCTGTCAGGCGCACCGTCTGCCCAACAATGGTTGTGGTAAGTGTGCTGGATCTGTGCCCCGTGTGTGCTGTCGAATCATGGACCAGCGATTGGCAGGCATATGGAACTACCATACTCTCAGGCCCTTCTCGTCAGGCCCAGCTCCGTTCGCTCTTTAGTGGTCGACCCGATTTCCGTTCACTTGGTCATCGGTGAGATGGTTTACGCTTATAGGGCCTCACTGTTTGGGCTCCAAACGCTGTTGAGCCTGGCAGCTTCGGCATCTGAAATCTGAGCTTGGGGCTAAAAGACAAAGAAAGGGGATCCATTTGCGTTGTTGAGGCGATGATTGCTGTGTCTGCACACAGCATGCGATAGGAGCAGGATCCTCAAGGCAGTGGATTTTCTCGGTCGTCATAATGCTCCATGTTGGGAGAAGAGCACACTATGTCAAGATGACGGACGACCAAAGTTGGAGAACTTCTTTAGCTAGGTGAGAGATCTCTCGTACATGCTTGGGTTGTCGTTCAAGCAACTGCTCGCCGCGCTCTTTCGTCTGAGAGGATGCTGTTGTCGGTCGCTTAATCGTGGCAGGGCCCCGGGACTGTCCAGACTAGCTCTTCAACCCGATCAAGCCAGCAGACCAACGCAAGCCGCGTTCCATCATCACTGCTTGACCACATTGCCCTGACCCTCCACACCACGAATGGTGTCCGCCGATCCTGCTCGGTTGTCCGGCAAAGGGGGCATCGTCGGGCAACGAGAACCAACAATCCTTCAGGACATTTGTCCACCAGGATTTGGGACCCTATTGGCCATTGGCTTGACAACCAGGTAGGGTGGGAGGAAATGCCTCTCGCACACACATTGGTCCCTTCTGGTCACCGGGCGAGCAACCGTCATCGCGTGTGTGTTCAGCGACCTCAGCGAGATTTGCAGAAGCACCCCGACTATCCGCACCGTTGCTGTCTGCACCACCCCACTATACCGGGGTTGAAAGGCGGCTCGAAAGCGGTCCACAGCTCGTTGCCGCTGAAACGAACCCGTGACCTTAATCACTCTTCCGACGGGAGCCGGTCGAAACCTGAAACTCGTCCCTCGTGACCTTGGGGTCAGGTCACGTGCAACCTCGCTCTTCCTCGGCCCCGTTGAGCCTTTTGAATGTACGATGGATCTCTTCCGTTAGGGAGTTATGATGTCGTAGTCTCCTCCCATATCCAGTTTGCCCATCGACTCTTCCTATGAACCCTCCCGAGTCTCTGCTATGTGCTACTTGAGTCTTTTTCGTCGGTCGGTCCCACCGGTATGACCTCACTGAGCTTCACAGGCCGCAATGGAGCCAGACTCTCATATCTTCTCCATCGACGGTGACTTGCACCCCATACTCCCAGAAGCCGTTGCTTGACGACCGACTCGAACCAACGGCACCAGATAGTGTCCACTGTGGTACTGATGGCTGGGTGGCTCATGTCATGGTCACGAAAATCATATGCAGAACTGGAAGGAGAATGTCGCCACCTGGCTGTGCCTCCTGACACCACAATCCTGAGGTGGGGGTTCCGACCAAGCTGTCCCTCGACTCGGCCTTCTCGCGTCAATACCAGTTCATCAAGAAAAAGGCAGGCGACCCGTGGCAATCAGGGCGAGGAAAACGCGTACGATCTTGTGCGCGCCTGTAACCCGTTCACCCGAATCATATATCTTGCGGTCTCCGATGAATGTGGGCGGCAAGCAGTGCTTCCTCGATAGGACCAGTCTTATCAGTCGCTGTCCCGTGGAAGGGTATGGTCCTTCGCTAAGAGCTCAGCAGCGCATCACAAGGGAGCAGACATCATCGCTGACTGAGCTGCCTATCATGCACCTTCTGTGGGCGAAAGGGGGAGCTGCTGGCGAAGCCGTTGTTGCATCAACTCTCCATGCATATTGCATCAGGTTTCTTGTGGATTACATGTAAGTTATGTCTCTTGATGACCAATGCCTGGGCTTATCCAACCGCTTCCCGAAAACGGAATATGCCTAAGCTACCATGGCTGGAGTTTGTCGTGGCAGCCCCGGTCCCAGGTCCACGGCAAGTGTATGCAGCATGCAACAGTCGTTGTAACTTCAATGGGAGTGCTCCGGAAACACACGATGTTGTGGTCCGCAGACGGAGATGTCACGATCATGCATCGTACATCGAGCACCATATACCATGCACAAGCACGTCGCTTGGTAAGTGTTAAGCTACTGCAGCATCATCTCCAACTTAGCATATCGTCCATTTCGTCGGTGGCACGTAAGTTGTTTCTTTTCACATTCTTCCCATGTGCATGATGGAATTCTCAGCATCTGCACCAGAGCTGTACCTCCGTGGACAAAGTGGACAAAGTGGACAAAACATATTACCTCGTAGTCAGCCTTACGTGTGCAGACATTAATGACTTACAAACTGGGCAATCGATACAGCCGTGATCAGTCTCAACAGCCAGACTCTTTGTCAGGCCTTCAACTTCAGCCAACGGTCCTGGAGCAGCTCTCCTGCTCTTCTCCACATTCTTCAGAGAGCCACCTGAGCATTGATCGTAGGAGGCTGCGGAACAGCTACCTATACTTTTCTTGTCCCCAATGACGTATTTCTTCATCATGCACTGCAGACTTACTGTGAAGCCGGTATCTTGGCAAATTGTCCAGAACCAGTTTCCTAAGTATGCGGTGTGAGCGAGCTGGCAAGAGAGACAGGGGAAGTGATTGAGCAATCGACACTGCTTACCACCAGCGTCAGGTCCAACCGATTGTTCGCTGACCTCACTCCTCCCGCAGACACAGTTTTCCTTGGAAGAAAGTCCGATCAGGCTGACCATTTGGGAAAGATGCAAGAATGGGTCATGATGTCTATTGCTGTCGAAGATATCGCCGAAGAGGAGAGAAGAGACGCTTGCCCTCGAAAAGATACTCAACCTATCCCGATGGCAAGACCGCTTGTTTCAACTGCGTCAAACCCAAGAGTCGGGTATGTGTATGTTCATCAAGCCAGCGAGGTTCCAAATTCCGACCGAGGATTCCCCAAGCCATCTTCGAAGATGAACACCAGGGCTAGATAGAGATGTGGCTGAACGAAACGTCAACTAGCTATATATGCATGGCCCTGTCATCTGCTCTTTTAACATCATGTCAAACATGATAGTTCACACTGGACGCAACAAAGAAAACACCTCTTCGGATTCGGCAGGTGGAGCCGACTTGGAACCCAGATGCAGTGCCGAGTATCAAAGACTCTCTGCGATGCCACCCTGTCCTTCTTGTATCAGTCACTCACGCTCAGGTTGCCGGACAAGGGAGGTTTAGAGGATATTGACATCAAACCGGGTCTGCCAGGCAGGGATCAAGGCTTTCTTCGTCTTGTTCACGACACAAGCATATAGAACCATTCGCTCGCTGACGCTACGTTCCTGTCCCGATTATGATCATTGAAGGGCTGCTCCACCATCTGACCCACTGTGTTTCCTGTCAGAAGTCAAAAGGACGCCAGATTGTCAATGCCCATCATGGATCTTCCAGATGTTTATGATATATAGGTCTTTATGATGAAATCGCGGAACCCCTATACTAGTAGGTACAAGCAATGCTCTTCTCAATGCGAGATCTGCCTTGAACCCTCCTCAAAGCCCCATCTCCTTGTGATCCTTTTGATCTTGAAAATCGGATTCATATCTCCTCAATCGGTAGTCGCTTGGGACGTGGTCTGACTTCAATTATTTCTATGAGAATGACTTGGTTCAACTTTCAAGCGTGGTCGATAGGCGACGGCCCAACGCCAAGATCGATCGTATAGACATACAGAGGCTTCTGGATCCAGCTCGATCCGTTGTTGAATGGCGTGCCACGGTTCAACTGGGCAGCTGGCATCCATAGTTTGCCATCGGTGTCGATCCACATGGCATCTACCCACAACAACCGGGAGTCTTGAACCACTAGAGAATAGTTAGTGTGTATACACCATCAGCGACCATACTATCAGTCTATCACATCAAGGGGGAACTCTGAATGAGGGAGTCGTACATGTAGTCCATGTGCCGTTCGGCGCTATCTTGATGATCGCCTGTCTGTTAGTGTCGCTGTTGTAGATGTTTCCTTCGGCGTCGATGTCGGTGCCGCCGGTAGACGGGGTCAGGGCATACGGTTCGGGATACTGGGCAAGCACGCTGGCGAGGGAGGAGTTGTAGAAAGCCTCGTTGGTGGGGTCGTTCTCGAGAACACGTCTGGCTTGGCTGCTGTCCAGGTCGAGCACAATCAGCGCTGGGGCGCCGGCGTCGGTGATGTAGGCGAGGCCCACTGCTGGGTTGAACCGCACGTCGTCAATAAGGATGGTTGCGAGAGTGACGTCTGCATTGGTCTTGGGTCAGCGACTCAGCGGGTTGTTATGTTTACACAAAACAGGCTAGAGAATGGACTAGAAAACAGTCTTTCTCTTGCCCTCGTGTAGGTAGCACTTTTCGATCCTGCAAAAAGGGATTCTTCTCAAGAATGCAATGGTATGATCAACGACGTACTGCCGAGATTGTAGACTCTAGTCACACTGTCCGTGGTCAGATTCACTTGCACCAGTTTCGGTCCGTCTGGTAGAATGACCGGCTCTCCGAACCCCGGAGACCCGGTATCGACAAGCCACAATGTCCCGTCCGGTCCGATGCGCTGCGAGTTGGTGCGGACCAGGTGCGTTGCTGGATCTTTGCCGCCTGCGTACGAGTTCCATTCTTGGTTGGGATATGGCGTGGGACTGCTACCGTTGTGCCACTCGGCAACTTGGGGCCCTGTTGAACCGTCGACGCGAGCATATAGGACGAATAGACGGCCGTCTGGCGTCGTGCTCACACCATTCACCGGATGCTGGAGAGTGAGCGCCACCTGCACGCGCGGGTTTTGTGCTGCCAGCGCGGTAGAGGTCAGACTCGGCTGGAGGAGCAAGGAGATGGACCAGAACATCGCAATCACCTTCATTTTTGCGTATTTCGAGATATGGTGTGCCCCAACGGTGTGCAAAGAGTTCCGCTGGTGGTTCAGGTTAATAGATTATCCAGCGCAATACTGGCACCCAACGAGTCCGGCACACGAAGTGTTCAATCGATGTTAGATAAAGTACCTCCATGTCCGAGGGCTTCATGCATCAATCTGATGACGTTCCCAGTCCCGCGAAACCCCTCACAACGCGGAGTCGGTAGCACGACGAAGCGGAGTGCATTGCATGCTATTAGCCGGCATTCAACTCATATTGCTTGTGAAGGTCCGTAGTGCTTGCGGGCATTGATTGATCAGTTCAGGAGTTTGTCCGGATGGAGATGATCGACAGGCCGGTTTGACATGCATAGACGGCGCTCGCTGAGTGCGGAGTGCCGATCAAAACCCGTCGAGACTTGAGAGCAAACGACAGCCTTGCACTATGGGGACTGGGGTCTGACACCGAGGTGCCCTGGATCATGCTGCAAATTTGAAGTCAATCTGACCACGGTGAGATACTTGCACAAGGGTGTTGCATTTGAAGCGAGAGTAACGGGAAGAGGTAATTCACATCGTCATCCGAGAATGGTGAAAGGATTCCAGACACGAGGAAGACTGACCAAAGTCTCCAAAGAACGTCAATTTAAGTCTTTAAGACTGGCCGCTACTGACGCCCCTCAATCTCCTTCAGTTGACTTTGCCGCGAGGCTGTGCCCCCTATACTGCGATAACTAGTATTATGTAATAAGCCGCATCTCCAGTGGCTACCTTAGAACGATATGCGAATCTATCCGCCTTAATAATGGCCATCTTCAGACTAGTATATGTTCGCTGCTCAAAGGTTTGTACATACATGTATAGGCAGGTGTGCCACGCTGAGTCTCCCTAGGGAAGGTCGAAGTCTCGCCCAGACAGAATCAACAAGGTCCTTACCAGGTATGCTTCTCCGTATCTGCGCATCGATGACCCAAGTTGGAAGCGATATGTCTTTCGCGGTTGAGAGCCTGCTCCTGTCCCTGTGCGACCAGCCAATGTGTCATCGTCTCCGGCTGAATTGGCTTGCCATCTATCGTCTCGGCCATGTCGTTTTCTCATTAACGTAATTTCATTTCTTCGTGCACTCATGGTTTCATTCATGGCAAGTTAGTCGTTATCACGTCAATTAACATCCATTTTTCGTCGTCTCGTCAAAGAGGGGGAAGCGCAAGATCATTTTTTAGCTCCATGCTCGCAGTGACAGTCCAGCTGGAAAAAGCATGGAAATTCAAACGGGCTCTTTCGGACTTGGGCTTCCCGAGATCGACCCCCGCGGCGATGACTGTAATTGCAACTGCGGGAATCGCTCGGTAAGACGTCTGAATAGGGACACCCCTCCGGTGTCTCCAGGACTGACACTGCGCGAGCTATGGGTCCTCGTGTCAACCGGGACCGTTAGTCTAGCCCCCGGCCTCAGAGTATCCGCTCCGTTCGAGACGCTGGTCGGTGGACTTGTGCTCGGCGAAACTGGCGAAGCGTTAGAGCTGGACTTGTAGTTATTGTGAATCGTCGTTCCGTTCGACTCTTCCGTTCGCCATTGTGTCGACCAGTCTTGCCGGTGCTCCTCTGCTTCGTCTATTCGCCACCTCGTTGGACTGTAGAGCGGCTCCTCGAATTTGATGGTGCTGGACCGAAGACGTTGACGGTTGAGCTCGCCCATCTCTTCAGAGTAGGTCGGCAGTCTCGTCGTCGCTTCCGCATGCATGGCAGCATGAGAGGCACGTCTGGCCGCGCCGGGAAGATGACTGCTGAGCGTTTGAGACATGCGCCGGCTGGTGTCATGAAGAAATCCCTGTGGTTCTTGAAGGGATGTCTCAGCGCTCAGATCGTGAGATAGCCGAGTTTCAAGACTGGCGAAAGTGGCCGCCTTGCGAATAATGGGTCTTCTTTCCGTTGGGGGCGCAACCCTCCGCTTCAAGATCTTTTCCTTCAATCTCTCGGACCTTTTTGGTGCGGCCCGCGAGGTGAGTCGCGTGATGAAAAGACCTAGCGCAGTAAGCATCATCTTGAGTCCCTCGCGGCTGTTGACGACCAATATGAGCAGGTACGTAGGGATGCATATCCCAACTGTCGTGACAGCAAAGGGAAGATAAGAGTCCTCGGGAGGCATGTTCGTCATCCCTGTTGAATAATCGGTTAGCATAGGATCCTCATCTTCTCGAGGGCGAGGATTACCATAAATTGATGTCACAAAGGTCAGCGGAAGGAAGAACAAGGTCACCAATGTCAGAATGCGGATGTTGTAACCTTGGTCGACGGTGATCTTGGCCATACTGACAGCCTCTCGACTCTCCAGGACGGATGTACCACTGAACAGCCATTCGCGAAGCCCTCTGATCTCTTTCTGCTGCTGTTGAAACGTCCTCAGTACTTCCTCTAGCTGAGCGATTTCTTTTTCGAATTGCCTCCGAGTATGGCACAATTTCCGCCTCCAGTTACTGTAGCGGGATGACTGATCTTTTGTGCCTGGGAATAGCGTTTTATGCTCTCCTGACCAAACTTCGTCTGTGAATGTTTCCTTGTATGCAGCGATCATGGCCTTGATCTCATTACTGAGAAGTCCAAGGGTTTGAGATGCCCAGAAATAACGCCGTGAGTAGGTGTACTGGTCGTTCTCGAACAGAAGTTCATCTCGTAACGCACTGTCGAAGATAGACCGCTTGGGTGGAGTGGCGAGCAGCTGAATCTTTGAATGAACCTCTTTAAATCTTCTCACGCCGTCTCGATATTCGGATAGTAGGGAGGAGAGGAAGGCATCGGGCCCATTGACATAGTGATGGTTGTGTTCGTGTATATCGACACTGGAGTTCCAATCTGGAAAACACTGCAAAGAAAGTACATGCCAGGGCGCGAATGGATCGTAAATGTGCCCAACAATGGCTTTTCTCTTGCGAGAATTACGCCGTAGAGTGTGACTTGGCCTGCCCGCTAGTGATAGGGCAACCACTGACGAGCATGTTGACAAAGGAATATGTCCTTCCTGTGGTTCCAGATTGTCATCGTGACTCTGCCAGGGGAGGGGAGAGCGTCCTTCTCCTACAATCGTGTGATACTTGAACACAAAGACGATGGATCTCTGCCGGCGCGTGTCCTTTTCGAGATATCCTTTGGTGATGGCTTTGGTGTGAGTGTGGTCGTCGATGAGCATACGATAGATCGAGTCCATATCGAAATGCTCCTGCATTGTGAGGTGCAATGCGGCAAATAAAATTGATGGGGGTTCCCGAACGATGATAATGCGGCCCACGGCTTGCCTCCGGTTCGCATCACAATTGATACTCTTCAAAGCTTCCCAAGTAGCCAGCGGGCCTTCATCTGAATCACCTCTGCTGAATCGCAAGGGGGCACCATCAGCACCAACATGATAAATGTCTGCATGCTGATGGTTAGCATCTGTCTGATGATGTCTGTCCTTTAGGAAGATCCCATTGGATAGTAGCCCAATGTTTCGCAGGAGATCTCGGAGGAGGTATTTGCTGTAGATGTCCCACGGGTGTGCCTTGAGGTGCTCGATCACATCGTCCTCGGTAAAACCCCTGGGCGGAAGCGTGTCTTGTACAAAGAAGGACTCGTCGTCTTCGCTATCCGAACTTCCATCTCCCGTTAAGATGGAATCCTTGGGCAGAGGCGTGTTCGGGTGATGCTCTTGCTCTAGGATATAAGTGCTGGGTGCTGTTTGATGACTGGATACACTGGGCGATATCCTGGGGGACGGCCATTGACCGGAAGCCTGTAAATGCAGTCCGTGAGGGGGAGATACCAAAGGACGGGTCGTGAAAGTAGGCACAGAAGCGGGCCTACTAGGCTGAGAACCAAGAGCCTGACTCAGTGTCTCGTGCACCTTTTCGAAAGTTGCAAGATATGCAGTTCGATCAGCCTCGAGTTGTTCGATCAATCGGAGAATTGTCTCGTTGTCGACGGCCATCTGCGGCTCAGGTTGTTCAGGAAAGCAGCCATCGACAGAGCATGGCGACGGAGGACTCGAGGGAAACAGAGGGTCGTCGGGGGTCATCTTATAGTGGGCAGGATAGGCAGCACGAGGCTGGACAATTCCGCACCATGATGCAGCCAAGGACCGGACTCAGACGCCGGGGAAGTAAGGGGAGGCCCCGAGTGGGGGACGTAAGGCAATCCAGCACCGGCGTGATGCTTTTAGATGCACAACAATGGGTCTGGAAGGAGTCATGATAACGCATCTGCTGGTTCAAATACAGAGGACTAGCAAAGAAGCCCTGGAATTGGTAGGTCTGGTGGATCGGACTGGGTTAGAGGCGAACTAACGGTGGTATCGCGGCTGACGGTCCGTTTCTCATGCCATCAAGCGGATAAGTGAGGTCTTGGAGAGCCGCACAACATTCATAGAAAGGCTCCAAGCCCTGCAGTGGTTGACTGATAGGTGTGGTCTGGAGATCAGAGAAGCTAGGAACGAGATTCGACTGCAGTGAAAGCGTGAAGCGTGAACAGTAGAAAAGCCGAAAGAAGAATCAATTAAAAGTGCGGAGGAAGCGATGTCGCTGCCTACTAGTACCACGAAGTACCACGTAGTACTATATTCGTCAAGCTCGTCCACTGCAGAGACCGGCAACTCTTCCTTCGCCCACTCACTGATCCTTGACCCGCTGCACTGCGCTGTCTCCAATTCCCTCCACCGAGTCATTCCTCGCCTCGAACTCAACTCGGAAGACACCCTAGCGATACGCCTGCTAATTGCTGGGTCGGTGGACCCTGCATATCCTCTGCGCCATCTTCAGAGTCGACCTCATGGTGCTGACCCGTGGGGCAAAAGTCTTTGTTGTCAGCGCGAGGACACAGCGGGATCACAATGCAGCCAACGTTGGAGTGGCCGAGGTCATTGCCCGTCAAGAGCCTACCGAAGCTTTACAAGATACGCGCACTGGAGAGGGCGGGTATCTATATTTCCATGTCCTTAGCTATGCCTATAACTCCAGCTCCATATATGCGTCTATACAATGTAGGCAACGTTCCCTTCCCCACCCGATTCAGAAGGTGTTGGGCCGTCTATCTCTTCTGTGATTGCAGACCAATGTTGGCTGTCATCTCTTCGTCACCGCCGTCACCTTGCCCAAAGACATCTTCGTCATCAGTCGGCTCATCATGGTATTCCAATCGCTCGGGAGGAGCATCGTCGAAATAGTCCATCGCGTCATCGTCTTGGGCCAACGTGTTCGCAGCCACTTGTGCTTCAGGATCGTCGCTAAACTCGGCTGGAATATGGCCGGTCCTTCGCGTGCTATCCCGTATGCTGGCCGCTTCTTCCGCTTCCAGTTCCCTTGCTCGAGCCATTGTTTGCCTGTAGATGTACAAGCCCACGCCAATGCCCACGACGGCACCTATCCCAATGCTGCTGTAGTTGACAGCGCGATCCGCGAGGGTCATTTTCTCCCTGGTTCGTGCAATCACCGCCAACCGACTACCAATAAAGACATGGATGAGCAACTTGGGCGTCACCATTGCCGTAGCCAAGGCGTACATCCCAGGGTGGACGGTGGGGAATGTTGACATTGCTCCGTTCGACAAGGAATAGGGGAGAGGGCAGAGTCGGATCATGCACAGCAGTTTCAACCCATCATGCTTCAGGATCAGGGTAAATGCCGCGAACCGTTTGTCGTGCGCCACCATCCTCTCCACCCATTTGCGCAGCAGCGTCCTAGAAACCAGAAAGGAACAGAGTGAACCCACGATTGTGGCCGTGGCCAGAATCAACCATCCTTCCCAGACTCCATACACGAACCCAGCGGTGGTGCCGCATGTCGAGTAGCCAATGATGGGCGGAAATGCGGTGAGAAATGTCAACGACCATAAAATCGTCCATCCTCCAGGAGTATGCTTCCAGCGTTCTGCGACAGGCTCCAGCAGGCCGAAGATGCGTTCATTAAATATCAGGAACAGGATGAGAAGGACGTGGATGACGACGAAGCCAACACATGCCAGCACCCGCTGCACGGGGGTCATCTTGCGCCAAACGGCTTGTACACGACGCCGTATCTTCTCTGCATTGTTGATCAACTCGTCCCGCCACGCTGTTGTTCGACTCGGCACAAACGGCGAACTTCTTCCTGTCGACAGCGACCCTCGGGGAGGTCTCCAAGGAGTAAGGAGAGAGGCGCGAGGAGAATCATCGTCAGACTCTGGCAGGGCGACCTGAGTCGGCGGGGTTTTGTCGTCCGACGAACTGCGAGGGAGAGCTAGAGGCATGATCGTAGAAAGGGAAAGCTGAGTAGGAGGGCTCGGAGCATGCGGATTCTAGGGCAAGAGATGGTCGAACATAGTCGATGGACGGAGAGAGCGGCGCAGACTGATGAAGTGACGGTCTCGATCTGGAAACCGAGGATAGACTCGGCGAGTAGACAGCACAGGCAGATGTGAAAAGGAAACAGTAGCAGTCTTGGACGGAGTTATGACACGATTAGTGCTTTGTACAAGAATGTCAGCATTGAGCCCAGCATGAGACAGGCGGGCGAAACGGTGGATCAAAGCGTCGCCTGTAATTCCGGGTCCGTCCTGCAGTGGTAACAAACACATCAGATCATGACAGTCTTGACACCGATAATACAAGGTACGCATTGAGGTTGTCGAGTTCAAGTTTGCCATCTGGGAGCAAGTCCACTACTTATTATGCTGCACTACCAGTTCACTCAGGAAGGCACTCGGCCGTGGACACTTGCACCGGCAAGATGCGACCTTCTGAGCGCCTGTGACAGTGTGGCTGATACTTCTGCGTGCCTAAGGTACTACCTAGTAGGTACCTACTAGCACCTCGCTACCCACCTGTGTAGACTTATCTAAGATATCTTGCCTGTAGAACAGAGAGAGCGTTCTTTACGTCATCCAAAGTCAAGCCTGGCTTGCCTAGGTAAACATAACGCACCTTAGGACGTAGAAAGTACCAGGTAGCAGATAGCTGTAGACGACGTGAAGTGTCAACACACACGGGTTTGCAGACGCGCCGACAGCCTGAGATGCAGAACACCCTGGTAGATACCTAGTATGGTAGGCTGAGAAGCGTGGGTGAAGACTATTCATTATTGAGATGATCTCTCTGCTGAGTGAGCTAGTAGTAGTAGTCCGCTGTAACATGCGAGCCTCCCGCGCCGCCGCCCCCGTATAATAGCAGTACCTTACGTATGTTGCTAGTTTTAGGTATCGCTCCCTCATTCCCTCCTCGTTTCCCCCCTTTTGCCCACTTGCCCTTGCTCATTGCTGCAGCATCCTGGCCGGCGCATATGCGCGGTTCAGTATTCGTCTTGCTTCACTCGGCCTGCGAACTGTTGCACCCTCTGGTCATCTTGTACCTACCCATCCTAGGGACCTATTGACACACTGCTCGATAACCGGACCTCAGCAGCCTTACCTCCGTTCGTATCTCCCTCTACGCCGGTGCTCCTCTCTACCATCGAACTCGTGTCCAGGTACTCCGTACTTGTTTGATGAGCCTTACCATATGCTGGCGCACGCAACTCCGGCGCTGTGATAACCAGAGCATTGCCGCTGGAGTCCATTCCATTGCTTTCGGCTTGGTCCCAATCCAAATCCCACGGAAGCATGGTCGAGAGGACTGATATAGCCGCACACCGAGCCTCCGCGATTTCGCTTGCCTGCGTACGATCCGATGTTGGCGTTGAGTCGCTGTCACGCCCTCCACATCTTGATCGCCTTCCTCTGTCAACACATTAGACTCCGATAACGACCGAGATGATCTCTGACGAACAGTACGGCCTCTGTCGTTCTATATTAGACGACCCCGCAATAGAAGAAGAAGATAAAACAGAGCGCCTGGAGGAGTTGCTGAGCAAGGAGGCCGGGCTGAGCGGACATGCCCTGGAAAATGCAGTCCTGGATGCCCTATGGAAACATCGAAATGCCCAGCGTGGAGAGAGTTCAGAAGCTCCATTGCGACACCATGTCATTCGAAAGTCTTCTCCGGCTCCATGGCAGGTGAATAGGGCTCCTACACCATTGGGATCTCCTCCTCCTCTGTCCTCCAGTCCTGCTCTCTCAGTTGGATTCCCAGCCTCGCGCCCCAGCTTTTCCCGCCAGCGGTCCAGTGTCCACTCGCCCTTCGTTTCGCCTCGACCTTCACCACGCCTCGCCTTAGCCCAACCTATACCACATAGTCCCAACTTGAACGCTTATGAATTTTCCGATGCTAGCCCTGCACCGGACATTTACGGCGATTACGGCCATGAGAACGTGGATTGGCTGCTGGGCGATGAGACCGGGAGCAATGCTTCTTCCACAGGTACAGGACATCTGAGTGCTGCGGCTCCGGAATGGGTGCCTCAGCCTGACATGAGCCCTTATGACATTATACGATCTGTGTTGGGCGATCGCAAGACTGATGATGAAATTGAAGACGCTCTAAACAAGCATTCCTACGATTTGGGTTCCACGATTGCTGCGTTGCTGGGAACAGACACGACCGAGGCCCAATACACTGGGGTGCCGAACCATGAGGCAAAGGTCCTGGTAGGCAAGTCTATGACGGTCAACCAGGCTCGTCCTTCTACTCCGAGCACGGGAAAGAGTTCGATTGTCTGCAAATACTGGTTGGCCTCTGGCTCGTGTCTCCGTGCAGATTGCCGATTTGCTCACGACACGAGCGGTTATATTTGCAAGTAAGCGCCATCCATCACACATCATTTCCGACGACTGACACATTTTTAGGTACTGGATGAATGGCAACTGTCTAGCAGGCGATGCATGTCAATTCTCGCATGATCCAACGCTTTTGATCAACCACCTCTCCGTTGCCGACGCTGCTCCTACTCAGAGCCTCCCACTGTCAGACCAGAATGATCAATTTCCCAGCCTCTCCAGCCCAAACGTCAGGAGTGCTCTTCAGGCTGGTCTTGCAGCAGGGAATACTTTCGTGCCCTCCAATCAGAGGAGCCGAAGTGCTCTGGGCAACCTTACTCCCGGTTCTCGGCCTCATTCCAGACCCAACTCGCGGCATCAGAATCGTCCAGAGATGCCCTCCTCATTATCGATGGACGATCCAGAAGCCTTTCCAAGTCTTGGGTCTCTGAGTTCCAAGCGAGGCGCAAAGCTCTTTGGTCAACGGTCCAGGCATGGCCCCGGGAGTATGGAGAAGGAGGTCCCGTCTTCGCTGGCAGACGTTGTGCGGATGTCGCCGTCTCCGAGTCCTGCACAAATGCGGAAACCAGACCTCATGCGCAAAATCAGAACTTACGGAGGATCCGAGGGTACGGCCGCACGTAGAATACCAGAACCCCAGCATATTCCATGGTTGGAGACAGGTGCTCGGGCGAACCAGCAATACATGAAATACCGGCAGGAAGCCATCAAACATGGAAGCATACGCAACAAATTCCTCCAGAGGTGAGTATTAACCAAGTTTCGGGCGTTTAGTCATAGCTAATTTGTGCCACAAAGTGCCGCCCAAGCCTGGAATCGGAATGACGCACGTGCGGCAAAAGCGTTGTCACTGCGCGGACAAGCCGAGAACGATGCCATGAGGAAAGCCCACCGAGAAGCAGCCAAGGCATTGTACGACGAGCGGAATCAACACCTCTCGGCGCCGATGGACGAAGACGAAGAGATGTACATAGATCTTCACGGTCTTCATCCGGAGGAAGCCGTTGAGTATCTGGAAAACATTCTAGTGGCCCAATCGAAGCGTGGAAGGAGGATCATATATGCTATCACAGGCACCGGCCATCACAGCAAGAACGGCAAAGACAAAGTCGGCAAAGGCGTGCGCAATTGGTTGAATGAGTGGGGATACACGTTCCGCGAGTTCAGCGTGCCTGGTGAGCGAGGTGGTTACATTGGTGGTGTGCTCGGCATTGATATCACGAGCCATAGACGGCAGCCCGTCTCGGCAGAAGGCTCAAAAGGAGAAGAGGAGACGTCGCCGACCCCAGTCGTTGCTACAGCGGTTGGCAGCAAGATTCAGGTGCTCAAGCGCGAAGAAGTACCCGCGTGAGATGGTATTTGACATGTAATTATTACGCTGCTCGTTCTGTGCTTCGGTCAGGCCGGGGTCACTGAAGGCACGGACAAGACAGCAAGAAGCAATCGAGATCGCTCTTATGGCAGCTGCGACAATATTGTTTCGGCTTAGATACGGACATTGCCAGGCCTTTCTCGATTCTTGTTGACGTCAATGTAGTTGGCCAAAGCTCAATGCCGTTTGTAAGATAGCAAGGGAAGACCTCTGGCGTTCATTCACATTCAGGCAGGCCAGCCCTCCCCTCAAGGGTGTGCTGCTACCGCCACTGCACGCCAAACATCTTGCCGACTTTCCCCTTGACGCCCCTTTCAGCGTCCTTGTTCTCCAAATACACCGTCTCGTGGCCCTTGACGGTCAAACTGAGCAGCTGATATTCCAACCGGTCCGCGTCTTTAGGTTTGGTCATATGCACACTCACCACGCCCTTGCCCTCGGGGCCCTCGACGTTGAAATGCATGCGGAAGTGCGTTGCGCCGAAGCGGTCCACTTCGGCACCATGAGCCAACGGCCTGGCGCGCGCCCACTTGCTCGACGTTGGTTCGCCGTACGCTCTGATCTGGGATGCTGGGCCGAGCAGCTCGCGGCACTCGGGTGACGCTTTGATGCGGTTGACGGCGGCGTTGAACTGGATCGTGGCGCTGTCTGGGGCGAAGAGCTCCGTGTAGAGGAGATAGGATATCGTGATCTATCACGGCAGAAGAAATCGTGTTAGTCACAGTGTCTTGCCAATCTTGTCTCTGGAGAATGTGATTCGAGCGCATTTCGTAGTATAACACAACTCATACGATCTCTGAATATCTGCATATGTGAAGGACTCCAGGGGTATCGTGTCTTGCGAAACTTGTTGTTGCGAAGAAATGAACTTGAACTTACAGTGCCCACAAGTCCTAGCGCTACCAGCAGGAAATTGAACGTCTGTTGTGTCCCCCGCGCCGCCTTTTCCCCTGTGCTCAGCTCAGACCAGTTATACCGTCCGTCGTCGCTTGTCACGGTGATCGCCCGTCTGCTCGGGCCTGTGACTGGACCGCTGCCGGTGCTGGTACTGGTGCTGGCATGCCGCTGACCAGGTCTGCCGCGGTGCGCAGGGTGGCTACCGCAGGGACAGGGTTTCTTCGATGCAGAAGAGGATAAAATACGACTCCGGTTGGTTTGCTGGGAGGCGAAGCATCTCGTGCTGTGGAAACCCAGCGTCGAAGAGGCGGGATTGGGAACGTTCTGAAGAGCGAGGTGATCGAGTCTTGGGCTTGGCTGCATCCGAATGCGGCATGCTTGTTGGAAGGCGTGGGCTTTGCTGGCCATGGTTTGGACGTTGTATGGGGGAAGAATGTCCGGCCAGTACGTAGTGTGTTACCGCGCGGAGCTGAAGAATGCTCTGAATCGTGTGGTGTCGTGCAATGAGGCTCGTCTTTTGCAGATTGTGTTTGCAACCTTCGAATTGCGGCTCCCCGCAAAACCCTGAGAACAGAAAAGAGGTGCATCTAAAATGGTAAGTGAGCCGAGGAAGCACTAGCTACTAGCTTGGGCCTCACTCTGCCTGTTCGGACGACATTCAAGGGTCATTATGCCTTTCTTCTGACCGCTTCGACTCCAGACACTATGTCAGTCCTCTATCAACTCTCGAGCAAGGCAATAAAAGAGGTGGAACCAATCGAGCCGGCTCGGCCTCCTTGTTGACGATACGACGTTCGCTTTCGTCGGTACACGCACATCGGCGGGTGCAGAAACATGGACGCAATGGGACACTCGAACGGACCGAGTTCAATGCCGAGTTCCAAAATGAAATGAAGTGCCGGCAGTTTTGCGTACCAGTGTCAAAGGAGTCCAAGCAAGTTTTGGATGCGTCGATCTCTTTATAGCGTTGTGTTTCCGGTCTGGTATCGACATCATGACTACAAAATGGTATGTCGGGACACAAGGCTGGCGTCTAGGGGGTTCGCCACTTGAAGTGCTTTACTCGGGAGTATTTCCGACCACAGCACAGCAGCATAGGCCCCAGTATGTCTAGGAATTGATGCACAACTCATTATCATGCCCGGCAACGAGGCTGTGGGCATTGGACGCCTACTAATGCTAAAGCATATCGCATCTTTGGTCGTCTGGGAAGGCGCCTTTGAAGTCATTTCAAGACACCGACCAACGATGCGAGCCGTGACGATTCATTACTATCTATCTATGCATACGTCTCAATGACGCTCCGCGGCTTGGTATACTCGCCGATAGGCACATACTCAATCTCGTCGAAGCCCATGGATCCTGGTCCACCCAGTTCCAGCCCGCGTGGAGTATCTGTCCATCTAGGTGACGCCGCGATGGCTATGATGGTCACCTTCAAGCCATACTTATACTCCGGGGTGCCCAGACCAGAGCCAGTCTCAGAGTCCAAGACAGCAATAAGATCCGGGACGGCAGCCAAGATGGACTTCCTGCCATCAGCAGCCGTGGCCTCGACGAAGGCATTCTCGTTCTTGAACGGGATGCTGACCGTCGCTTTGGAGCCGTCGCTGAGGACCCCGTCGACTTCCACCACACCGTAAGTATGGCCGGTCTTCAAAACACGCTCGACACTGGTGATCTTGCCCTCGGCCAGGATCTTTGCGCTCGCAGATCCGCCAACTGCGTCGACGATCCGCTTGGCCTTGTCCGTGACATTCTTCTCCAGCGCGATGGATCGGCCTATCCACCAGGCCAGAGATACAGTGTTGATCACGGCCTGTTCTTGGACGACTTTGGCCGGCTTCGGCGGTGCGGCTTTTCCAGAACGACATCCCATTTCCACGACAGCAGCGCGCAGGGCCCGGTCTACCAGCTTATCTGTCCTGCTGCCGGTCATGGTCATGAACGATCCATCTCCACTGGCGAGCGTCGCCGGCACTAACGCGGCGCCGTTGGCAGTGCCGTAGACATTGATCGTGGTCTGCCAGTATGTGGGATACGCGCGGCCCATGTAGTCTGCATCGACGCATGGCACACCGTGGGCGGCTGCGACTTCGAGATTGACCACGCCGTTTCCACCGCCGATCTCCAACGCCATAAATGCATCGACTGGAGGAAGGCCCATGACCCGCGTCAACTCATCGTGTGCCTTGTTGCACTCGTCGGCTTCCATTCGCTCCATGCTCACTTCGGGGCTTCCCATGCAGCCAGTCCATCCGACCGTAGCGGTCTCGGGAAGATCGCTCGGTGACACCACCTTGATGCTGCCAGGTGACCGCTCCAGCAGTGCTCGGATCTTGAGATATTGCTGGTAGGGGTCGCCTCCTCCTCCGCAGCCGAGCACCTTGCAGCCCTCCGCGATCCATTCGAGGTCCGTGATTGATATTACCCATCGCTTGTTTTCGACCTTGGGTTTGTATGTTTGGATGTCGATAATCTCCTCTGGCGCGTCCACCACGTCGCCGTTGAGGCATTGCTTCTGCGGATTTGGTTGCTGTTCGGGCAGTTCCGGCAAGACGATCTCCTTCCTGAACGTCGTTGCTCCTTGCTTGGCCTGTTTGACGGCGTCCAGAGCTCCCACGGCCCTGATGTTGATTCGTGCCTTGGCATCGACGTACTGGATGGGCAGGATGGTGACTTCGGCGATCTGCACGGTGTCTCGCTGGGCACCGTTGGCGACGGCGGCATCAATTGCCTGCTTGGCCACCACTTCCTGAGCCTCTTTGAGGGTCTGATGTGACGTGTCTACCACGGTATCCACGACTCCTGAGACTCGTGAAATCGCGGCGCCGACGGCATTGGCCACTTCTCCGCCTTTGACTTTGCGCACGGCGCGCACGCCTGCAAGAGGCTCATCGACATCGATGACAATGGCGCCTCCGCCGACGATCAAGACGTCCACGTCTCCCTTTTGCACTTTGGTCCGATCGACCAGCTCTTCTATGATCTTGCGCATCTTCGCCTTCGCATTCTTGATGAGCTCGGGCGTGACGTCGTTCAGGTTATTGGGATCGCCCATCCCTTCCAATGGGTTGTGTCCCGTGGGTGAGCGCAACTCTGATGCAGCCACGATATCAGTTGAAGTCAGGACGTCACCGCCAAAGAGACGGGCCTTCTGCAGTAGCTCGAGAGCGACACTGTCCGGCCCAACCGTCACATCGTCGCCGGAGACCCTCACAATACTTCCACCACCCAGGCCGACGCTTTCGACTGCAGGCAGGGCGAAGTTGGTGCGCACGCCCCCAACCAGACTCATCACGGAGCTCATCCGCGGTAGTCCATTGGGAAGCAACAGGCCACTATCTGATGTAGTCCCACCAATATCGATGACCACGAGTGCATCCTGGCGCTCCGCGTGTGTCTCGCCCGCCCCAGTGCTGGCAGCGTTCCAGAGGAAATCCCCACCTCGGATCGAATTGGTCGGCCCGGAATTGAATGTTCGGATCGGCAAGTCGATGGCATCCGGAGCACTCAGCACGCTTCCATCGTTTTGTGTCAGATACAATGCACACGGCACACCATGGAAGATATCATGCATGGCCTTCTGAAATCCAAGGATAGTCTTTTCAGCTAGCGGTCTCAGCGTGGCGTTGAGGATGGCGGCATTTTCCCTTGCCAGAAACCCGAGCGACGAAATCTGGTGCGAAAGAGTGACTCTGGGTCGAACGGATGGGGGGAGGCCGCGCGCCTTGGCCACTTGTTGCATTTTCCGGATCAAGATATCGCCTGCTCTGAACTCATGTTCCGAATTTAGAGGCGAATAGACTGCCGAGACGACGACGTTGAAGATGCCATCGTCGACCAGTTTCTCCGCTATCTCGGCCAATTCACTCTCGTCGATCGGTGAGATTTCAGACCCTGAGATCTGGTAGCCGCCCTGGCAGAAATAGGGCTTGGTTGAGATGAGTCGCCGTAGATCTCTGGGGAAGTCGATGAACGGCGGCACACCGAGGCCGAATCCATCCTTGCTTCCTCCACACAGTCGAACCACACCAACACGTTGCAGCAATGATGAACGCTGGACTACAGCATTGACGAAGTGCGTCGTGCCGATGATCACGCAGCTGATGGCGTCAAGGGGAACATTGCTCGTCCGGATCACCGTCCGCACGGCGTTTGTGATACCGGTCGTGACATCGGGCGTCGTGGGTGCTTTGTGTGAGGCGACAATCTCGGTTGGTGAGAGCGATATAAGAACAGCATCCGTGTTGGTTCCTGTGAAGAAAGAATGGGAGGTTAGTCATATACAGCCACTTGGCACTAGTTGTAGAAAAGCCAGCTGGGACTGTTACAAATGTAACAGTTCAATGATCAATCACGCTGTCATCGTTCATGGTGATGGTGGTGCTGAAACTGATGATGACGCTCATGGTACGTACCTCCTACATCAACACCAATGCGATATCGGTCAGGCTGAGGCAGGCTGTCCCTCCCATCGACAGCGATACTGCCCATGATTGATCCTCACAGTGTCTTGTCGTGTATCGCCTGACTGACTGACGACTTCAGCTTGCCTGCCGAAATGGACTTATCTTGAGGCTTGCCTAGCGAGATAACTGCGAGCGTCGCTTGCTTTGACGTTGAAGTGGATTGCGTGGATTGTAGTCAGGCCCCGCTGGATTGATACCAACGCAAAGTCGACTTTCCGCGATCACTCGATTAGCCGATCTCGGGTTTGGGCGGGAGAGCACCAGGCCCTATGGACTAGGATGGTGAAGAGAGGGTCAGGGATGGCGAGGAGATGGCCGCTCGAAGGCTTCGTGGTTGATGGACTGTGTAGACTCTGGACGGTGGACCTGCTATCGCATCTCATGAAAGTCTGTAGGATACTTGTCGGCCTGTATCAGACCATAACAATCATATATACTGTTTAAGAAAAAGATAGAATCGTGTTGACGGACAGTCATATATAGGTATTCTCATGAGTTGGAAGAAAAGCCCAATCAATTACCATTCTCCACTGTCGTGGTGCCCGCCATAGATAGGTTGCGGAGTATTGCGATAGGCTTTATGTACCTTATTACTTGCCGAGGAATCATGGGGTTTGTGTCTTTCAGCATCTTCAGTCGAGTCGAGACTCGTGCGTCGAGGAGATCGTTTATGTGGCAGCAGCTGGTTTGAATGGTCGGCAAACTGGCAAGGCTGGTGGCTACTACTCCATCCTCATGAGTTCAAGTTGAGAATAGAATATCAACCGAGATCTGGACATCCGAAGTCGACCCAGGGTCATCCACACGAGTTCGCCGGAAGTTACTACTGTCGCCAGTAACTGCCATTCTCGAATCTGTTTGAGATTATATGAAACCGCTTCTGATACACCCGATACAGCCTCGCGCATTTCTCAGGGTTCAGGGACACTTGAAAATCGGAATGCGTCCGGAGAGTTTGTTTGATACCGTATACGTACTTCTTTCCTATTATCAACGGTGGGCCGCTATCGATGTTTACCTATCTTTCTGTATCCACCGTCCCCCAGTGTGCCTATCAAGCCGTTACATAACCCAGGCGGCCTCATTCAACGACGGGGCGGCTCAGACAACAAAACACCCTTCCTATGGACGGTCAACGACAAAGGAGAGGCGCGTCAGGTTTAGTCTTTTCCCCGGAAAAGCATCCTAGTCGATCCCCTCGCCACAAGCCGACCTCTGGGCTCAATCGTAACTGCTCCTAGGGTCTTTCGATCGGGGAACTCGACAATTGGCTATGTACAGTACCGACATGTCAGCATCAGGCAACACGCTGCACTGCGGTGGTACTGTGTTCAACCCTGTACCTCGTGAGTGGTCTGGACGCTTACAGTCCTCGGCGATATAGGAACTTCCCACCTCTTGGATCTAGATATGCCGTGGGCTTTTACTCCACAATATCGAGTTCATGCATGCGCCGGATGATCGGTCAAGTTGGCTTCTGACCGAATATCGAATATCGAATATCAAGGGGGTCCATCAGGTTCCCATCCCAGATTATCAACAATCAATCTTACCAAATACAACGTCTCAAGTTTCAACATCCAGATCCTGATTTACATTGTCATACGATACACAGGGCGACCCTTCTCATCCGAGAGGCTCAACAGCGTTATCATATCAACGAGGAGAGCGCTGCTGTTCTGTCAGTGTCGGCCGATCTCAGCGCACATCACACACGGTCGTCACCAGTCTTGAATGAACGACATCTGAACCATTGGTACCAAACAGACTGGGATAAGAAAGTCTGAATCACGAGCACTGTTTGGGGTCTGCAGAGTTTCTGGTCCATCGCCTTACTCGAGTCTATCTACACGACAAGCCCGAGACGAACAAAGTGTTTGACCGGAGAGGACAGTGGCCACTATAACTTCAATCAACGGTCTCTGTACATATACGGGTATCACCACAGACACTTAAAGCCGAATTCAGACAAACACACATCGACTCATTATGGCGATTCAACCCGTCCAGCCAGAACAACTTGCCATTCCCATCATTGACCTTGAGCCAGTGCGGAAAGGCACGCCCGAAGAGGCGCGGGAGACTGGAAAGAAAGTCTACGAGGCTTTCCGAGATGTAGGCTTCGCATACATCAAGAACCATGGCTTGCCTCAAGAACTACAAGACCAAGCATTTGAATGGGTGAGTAGTCCAGTATCTGGCATCATCCAGCAAGCCGGCCAATAATGCTTCCACCCATGCACTCATTCCGCTGCTCACTCTTGCCCGTGCCACTCTGCTTCTGCTTCTGCTCCTACTTCTTCTCTCTCTGACCTTTCCGCATCTATCTGTCCCGTTGTCCCGCTACACTTTCTTCTGCCTATCTTTGTTGTCGCACAACCCTCTCCCCTTGTCCGACATGAACACGACACACTAACGCAGTGACCCCAGAGTTCGAAATTCTTCTCCCTCCCGCAATCCGACAAAGACAAAGCCCCGCACCCACCATATGGCTGGTGGCACCGCGGCTACTCGGGCGTGGGCCGCGAAAAGGTGGTGCAGATGGTCTTCGACCCAGCGTCGATCGAGAAACTGCGGCAGTGCCCGGACTTCAAAGAATCGTTCGAGCTGGGCCGCGAAGACGACGAGCGCACGCCCAACATCTGGTTCCCGGAAGAAGTGCTCCCGGGGTTCCGCGAGTTCATGACCTCGTACTTCAACACGTGCTACGGCGTCGAGCTGGACCTGCTGCGCGCCATCGCGCTCGGCATGGGTCTGCCCGAGCACTTCTTCCAGGAATACCACACCAAAAAGGACAACCAGCTGCGTCTGCTGCATTACCCGCCCGTCGAGGCCGAACTGCTGCGCGACGGCTGCATGGAGCGCATCGCCGCCCACTCCGACTTCGGCACCATGACGCTCCTGCTCCAGGACGAGGTGGGAGGCCTGGAGGTCGAGGATATCCATGAAAAGGGGAAGTTCAACCCGGCGCCCTATATCCCCGGCACGCTGGTCGTCAATATCGGCGATTTCTTGCAGAGGTGGAGCAACGATACTTTGAAGTCCACGCTGCATCGCGTGCGCGCCCCGCCCTTGGTCAAGGGCATCACCAAGGCCAGATATTCCATTCCTTATTTCGTCACTGCCGATCGCGACAAGACTATTGATTGCATCCCGGGCTGTTATAGCGAGGACAAACCCAAGAAGTATGAGCCCATCAATGCGAGGGCGTATATCGAGATGAGGTTGAATGCCACTTATTAGCCATGCGGGAAGCGATCAAGGGGGAGTGTGAAATGGACGAGGACGGGGGAAGAAGGAACGGGAGCCTACACTGTCCGAGGGTGCGCTTGCTAGGGGGTCCGTCAGGTATCTCTGTGTAAATGCGATGGCAACTTGGTGGCGTTATGATTGTATGTTCGCTCTCTCCGTGTGGAATTGTCGGTGTACTAGTAGCTATGAGTGATGGGAAGACCTGGGTAGCTGCGTTTTCCAATGACATTCCGTATGATGCATGCTTAAGTCACCGCTGTGCATTGTTTGTCAACGGAAACTCTTGCTGACGTTTGATATATTGTTCTGTCCAAGTCCGAGCAGATTCGATACTTGATATCGAAAACACCATTCCTGTGGGTAACCGCCAACCTTGTGATGGTGCTGCAAACTTGCGTATCTGCAGCTCGCCGATTTCTATCTCTTGTGGCATGAAATGTAGTCGTGGTCCATACCTGGGACAGCACCAGAGCGGGTGTTCTGGAAGTCTGTACAGATTTCATGCCGAGATCTCCGTATACTGGTCTTGCTCTGATCGACCTTGAACTTCAAGTCGCCTTTGTAACTGAAGATCGTCTCAGACATCGAACCATGGTTACGAAACTATAATGTGGATGAAAGCTAAACGTGTAGTCAAGGGGTGTGAATATCATGATTCATGTGTTTGTAGGTCGTGGTGTATGGTGTATCGTGAATCGTGACGGTCCCAACGTGCGATTCCGAAATTGCTGTGCTCGCAAGTTGCAAGACCGCCCCTGACTCAATGGTATGATTCTAAAAGAATGTCAAGGACACTCTCCGAGTCTCCCGCCCTCGGGGACTTCAACAGAATGCCTCCCGAAAGCAAACACCTCTATGCCTTCCCCATCCCCCGAAATTGTATTCTCTATCCGGACGAATTCAGACGGCACCAGCCGGTCCTATACACAACTGCTAAGCAGACACTGTGGCTTGGGCAGCATGTTTGTCTGCAATCGGTGCGGGCTTCTCGGTGCCATGCTCCGAACTCTCTTCGCCGAGTCCGTATAGAACGTCGTCATCGACGAAAGGAGCCTCTTCCCCAAGTCCAGGAGGTGGAGAGATAACATTCAGAACCCAGAACACGGAGAAGCTGATGGCCAGCCCGACGATGAAGGTGAGATTGTAGAGACGGATCCAGCCGACAAAAGAAGCATCGGGGACGCTGTTGACAGTTCCGACAAGACCAGCTGTTGGGAGAGGAGATTGAGTCAGTCTCGTTGACGCAATCTATGCTGTTAAACGGCAGCAAACTTACGCAGTAGTGGCCAAACTCCACTGAAGAATGCCACAATGGCCCGCCAGTTTACACCTTTATTGAACCAGTAGATCGACGAGCTGTTCCCGGTGTAGAGATCGTTGAGCTTCAATTTGCGGCGGCGGATGATGTGATAGTCTGACAACAAAACCCCACTAGAAAACAGCAGAAGAGGTCAGTTTGTTGGTTCGACAGTATCCCAAACCAACGTTCGAGAGAAGAGACTTACGTCGCGGGCGCCATGAAGACACCGAAGCCGCTAAGGACCTTGAGGAATCGGTCCGCAGTGTTCACAAGCTGCCATGGCTGAGTTGCAATGCCGACGACCGCCATGATATAGCTGCCTCGGATTATGTTGATATACTTTGGGCAGAGGCCAGCCAGATCCATGCCGGTGGAGACCGAGTTCAAGACGACCGAGATCTAAGTCATGAGCGGTCAGTGGTGCTTCCTAAATGACAAGGCGCGTGGAACTCACTGCAAGCTGTGAAGTGACCAATCCCACGCTGGCAAAGAACACGCCTGCCCGCGCCCTAGAGCTGGAATGGTACTCCTCCTGAATGTCGGAGAGCAGATAGATTGGATTCCAGATGACATCTCCGCCCAGAATATCCCTCGAGGCGCTTGTGACAATGATTCCGATAATGGCAGTGACGGCAATCGTGACTGGAGCGGCAACCAGCTGGGAAAGAGTGGGAGCGAACTTGCGGTTGGCGTAACGGGTCCAGTCAGACTGGCCCAGTGTTCCGGAACCCCAAGATCCAAGGATGGCTGTGATACCGAACATGAACGCCCAACCGGTGTTAGGTGCGCTGCCAGGCTCGTTGAACATGCTGCCGGCTCCGCCAGCATTCTTGACCGCCCTGAACCGTCTGTCAGCAAGCTGGCACATTCTGGAACGATGAGGGTTTCCGCCTCTTACCAGATGAGCAGGCCGATGCAAGAGCCCGCGAAGAAAACGAATGAGATGGCGAAGGGAAGTTGTAGTCGCTCAGGTGGCACCAGCACAAGTGGAATGAATGCGCACATCCAGATGATGAGCCCGATGAAGTCATTCGTCAACAGGTGAGAGCTCTCGGCGAAATAGTTCTTCATATGTGCGAAACCTTCATTGTTTCTGTCAGCATAACAGCCTACACTGGCGATCCGAAATATCATACCTGGAATGATCGCACCCCACATAACACGCGTTGCTTGTCCTCCCCAGTATGCTTGCATGCCTACATAATTCGTTAGCAAGATTGTTTTGCAAGCCTGGACGCTGATTCAAGTACCAAACCACATGCACGCCACGAATACACGCAGGATGACGGGGAAATAACTTCCTCGCATCCCCCATGAAAATCGAGACGAGACTGTGAAACCGATGTGGTGATTTTCTCCGGGCCATCCACACGCCACAGCCAGAAGACCGGTAAGGACGCCTCCTACTATCTAGAGGGTCCTTTGTCAGATTGCGGCAGTTTGGGAAGTAGAATCATAGGTTAACTCACCACGACGCCGATGGCTTGCTGGGGGCTGAGCCCAAAGGCCAGAAGGGTGCTCCCAGTCGACCATGCCGAGATACACGATCCGGACACCGTCCAGTATCCTGTATTTGGTAAGGAGATGGTATTTCTCGAATGAACTTGTGCTTTTCACATACCGAAGTACCCCCATAGTCCCCAAGTCCGTCGGTCGGGTGGCATGGGGATCAAATCCCGGTTGCACCACGTTGTGTTCTCATAGTAGGAGTCTTGGTCCTTGGGACTGCACAGACATTGAAGGTCAGCATGTGTCGTCACCAATACACAATTGCCTGCTTCGGTGAACGCACACTTCCAGCCGCCGTTTGAGGTGGTCCCACTGGATTCCCATATTGTTTGTCTCTAACACACCGTAGACGGCCTGCGTACTCTGCAAGGGACAGGAAAGTCTGACACAATAGAAACGCAAAGACTGTTGTTGACTGAGGTTTCGATGGGGCAGGCGAGAATTGACCTGGTGTAGGAGAACTCAGAGCATATGCTTATACATAAATTGTCTGTTAGGCACAATAACCCTCTGGGCCCAGCCCTGCTGTCGCCCGTTTAATGGTGGGAGGCAATGTGGGACTGCTGATAAGTTAGTTGGCCGACGAGAAGACGTGCTTCGATAGATAGGTCAAAGAATTAGACCGATCGGCCAACTGCGCAAGAGCACAACCCGAAGTCGTACACTGGCTTCTAGGATCTCCAATGTGACGCGCATGGCCTGAAACCAGCAACAGACTGGAGCTGAGATTGGACGCTGGTGACCAACATCCACAACCGACTGAGGCCGATATCAAACGCTGGCGCCCGTCATGGCGAAGACCCGGTACAAAAGGCTCTGCTCGATAATAACATTATTCATTTCCGATGTCACCGTAGTATTGGGCTGCCAGATATCAATATAGACGCAGCACGCAACCTTTGGGAGTAAGCGCTGATAAGCAACAATGGCAACTCTCAACCACACCTCCCAGAAATTCTCGCTCAATACCGGGGCCCAGATCCCGGCCATAGGGCTCGGAACATGGAAGTCGCCGCCAGATCAAGTTCGCACAGCAGTCAGCCACGCGATCAAGATAGGATACCGACACATTGACACAGCTCTCAATTATCAGAATGAAGTTGAGGTTGGCCAAGGCATCCGAGACTCCGGAGTCCCGAGGGACCAGATCTGGGTGACGACTAAGCTTGACAATCCATGGCATCACAGGGTCCGAGAAGGGTTCGACAAGTCCCTAAGCGACTTGGGGATCGACTACATCGACCTGTACCTTGTACACTTCCCTTGCTCAACCGACCCGAACGATCCTTCCAAGCATTTGCCGGATTGGGATTTCGTGAAGACATGGTGAGTGGCCAGACCTTTCGATTCCTGAAGGACTCCGTATGCTAAGTCGACCACCAGGCAAGAAATGCAGAAGCTGCTGGATACAGGCAAAGTCCGAAACATTGGCGTGTCAAACTTCCAGATTCGCCATCTTGAGAAACTGCTCACCGACCCATCCTGCAAGGTGGTTCCAGCGGTGAATCAGATCGAACTTCACCCGGGCAATCCATCGTAAGTCATCGTATAAACCCTCGAGGTAGTCACTTCCATGCTGAAACACAGCCAGCCCTAAATTGTTGGAGTATTGCATGTCAAAAGGTATTCACTGCACAGCTTATTCTTGCCTCGGAGGTGCCACGGACAACCCGCTCTACAAGGAGCCAGTACTGGGTCAAATAGCCCATGCTAAGGGAAAAAGTCCTTCTCAGATATTGTAAGCGGTCAAAATCCAAGAAGGTGAGATCGTCGCTAACAAGATCAGGTTGATGTGGGGTCTCCAACGAGGTACCAGCATCATTCCCAAGAGTGTGACACCTTTGAGGATCGAGGAGAACTTCGCGTTGGATGGCTGGGAGCTCACCAAGGATGAGATGGAAGCCCTGAGCGGTATCAAGACCCGCTTCAAGGTCGTCAACGATTCGTGGATGCCTATCAAGGTCTTCTTCGGGGATGACGAATAAATGGCGGTAGATCCAATCTGCGCGTGCGTTGGGTAGCTAGAGTGACACCAGTATTCCATAAACCGTGTAGATCGAACGGTCCAGAAGTCTTGCAAGATGACTTGGGACACAATCTGGAATGTTCGGGCCTGTCGCCGAGCATTTCAATGGATTCAGTGACCAGTCACAACAACGATGCTTTTCGTGAATGTTATTGGATAGGAGAAGTTGTGGAAGCTTCGTCCTGGTGATCCACCAGCATGGGCGCCGAATAGGAGCCTGTAGTTGAGCCACTGCGCATAATCTGTGCCGCTTGGGTGAAGAAAGAGTCGATCCTTAGCGCAACAGGCCGTATGAGACCGACGGACTCTTCGTCCACAACGTCTCCCAGCCTCTGAAGGGACTCATGAAAAAGCTCCAGGAGTCGGAATGTCTCGCGAACATGATCTGGACTGGATGACAACAAGAAGAGATACACCAGGAAATTCCCGGTGAGAATCAGCTGCGACCGGCCATCTAAAGCTTGTCAGTAATTTGATCGTAATGAGCAACATGGAGATCAAACTCACGTCGGCCCCAGAACGCTCGGAGACCATCAGGCGTTATTTCGTTCATAAACTCGAGGAAGTCGCTGCACTGATCTATGGCCGCGTCAAAGAATCTTCGTAGACTCGAATGCGGACTATTCTTTGCAGCCATCGAGGCCGGCGTCATCAATGCTCGAAAGAGCAGCACTTGGGTTGCGAAATAAGCAAGGTGCAACGGGCCTGTTTCATTGTCAGCTCGAGAGCTCAAATTTTCAACCTGCTGCACATAAACCCACCATTGTTGCGAAAACTGTATCTATCTGCAGTGTAACTCATGGTGACACACTGCGGGATCAAGGATTGCCAGGACTCTAGTTCCGACTGGATCTCTAGGAGCTTGGCCTCCTGGCCTTCAGCATCCAGTACCGCAGTTCGGTAACTGTGGTCCGTGCTGCATCAAGATTAGCTGGTTATTCTCCTCTTCCGAGTCGGACATCGCTCTTACAAAGCCGTATCCAAGAGCTTGTGAAGTATTTGAGTTAGTTTCGTGAGCTCAAGAAATCGAGCAGCTGTGGAAATATCAAAGGTGGCACTCGTGGCATCGACCATATCTCTGAGATCGTCGGGGACGTCTTCGTCAAACCTCAAATCATCCATGTTCAGGTCTGTGGTTGTATAGGATGCCCGATAGATATGCGGAGGGTTACCATGCGAAACCGACGACCACATGTCAGTGACATAGGTGGCCCACCACAGCTTCTTTCTCAGACTCCTCTCCCAGGGAGCAATGTTCCAGTCGGAGGGATCACGATGAAGGCCTATCATTTGCGCACATGCGAGCGCCTGTGCAGAGAGAGTCCAGGTTCTTGGTGTTTCAAAGGTGCCATTCCCGGCAGCCTTCTCGTGCAGCATCAGTAAGCAGGCCTGTATTTTCCACAAATTGGGGGCCTCCAGTTCCCTCTCGAGCGAAGCTTGAGCGGCATGGAACAATTCATATTGTTCAAACGGACGAGGAATTGCTCGGAGCGTAGGATCACGCTTCCAAAAGACCGCAGCCATTCCGTAAATGACTCCTCGTAGAGACGCTGGGATACTCAACTTATCCTGCTTGTAAGCCCGCAGGAAGCGCACTTTAGAAACGACACAGTAGACGGGGTGGACGTATTTGAAGTATAGACGGACGAGGTTGGGCCCATATGTTCCAACCCTGTATTCAATGGCCTGGGACGATTCCTCTTTTATCCGATTGTCATATGGCATAAACCAGTCCCTCAAGATGTAAAAATGCAGAGGTGGCGTTCCGACTGCCGGGTTTCCGGCGTGCACTTGGAAAATGTCGCCATCAACACGGTTCGTCTCGTTGATGATAACGGACCGGAAGGAGGCGAGGAGATTGGTGTCTTGCTCGGCAGAGAGCCCGAGCGAATGTCCGGTCAAATTTGGGCCGTCTTCAATGGTGTAGACTTTGGCCTCTGTTAGACGGGAGCCAGTGCTGCTAGGCGTGGTCGGAGGGTGATTTCTACGCCAGTTTCGCACGTCCACATCCTCCACGCTGGCGCTCGGCGAGAGTAGATCTTGGCCGTGATCATTCTTGCCATGGCTGACCTGCTCAGGTGATACCTGCTCCTCTTGAGGACTGGGCTCTGCAGCAGGCTCGACTAATACCATTGCCTCATCGTCGTCGTCGGAAGCTTGCAACCTCGAGTGCTGGATGGGTTCAATGGTGGACTGGCAGTCCAACCCCCTTCCTCTACAAAACAGACCTTCAAGGGCTGGTAAGTCCATGATGTAACACGCTGACAGGATTCACTTACATGGTGGTCGATCTTCGATAACACAAGCCGTCTTCCTCCGACGGCAGGTATCGCAGGGACGGCTTTTCCGGCTTCTCCATTGTCGAGCACGACCAAACTCACTCTGTATCCTGAATCGTCGTTTGCGGAGAGAGTCGTTGTCGGATGAAGATGGCTGCATTATGATTCAACACATGGTTGGCAGGGTCGATGTTGGGGACCCGAGGTCCGCTCCAGTGCTTGTACTGTACTGACTGATTGATATGGATGGATATCACGGTCGTCTGTTTGGAAAGAGATAAGATGGAAATCAACCACCACTAGCGCTATATGATGGGACGCAAAAGCCTCGGGGTTTCAATCTCACGTCATTAGCATGAACGCTTCCTTCAAAGGGCAATTGAAGCGAGATCACATGATCACATGGCTGGCTGAAAGCCTCGTCTTGAGAATGTGTTACACTGACCGCAGAGGTTCGTTCAGACTTGAGAGTTTGTCGTGATCGTAGTATGAACAGAATCTAGTTTCTGGCCATGCCCTGATGCTTCATAATAAGTCATCATCTAAGTTTGGCCGCGATCATGATGGCAACTTGGAGACAGCGCATTTATCGTAGGAAGCTACTAGTGCACTTAGTGCCTTAGCAACTGATAACGCCGCGTCGCCGCAACATCAACTTGATACCCATCAGAGGCTCGGAGGGTATGTCTCAACGTGTACTTCAACTTCACCGTGGCGACGTTGGGTGCTAAGTCTGCAAGGGTCAGCCTGGTATAAAACAAGGCAAACAGGACAAACACATCCAACGTATCAAACAACATCTGCCTGCGTCAATGATGGCAAGATGGCTCCAGGCGTTGGTTTCGTGCCTGTTCAGCAGCCCATGCTCCATGCTCCATGGCGTCCTTGAGCAGTCCGGTTCTCGCGAATCAGGCAGACTCCCAGTCCACCACCGAGTATGCGGGTGTCCTCTAACCCGTCTATCGTAACTTCGGAGCGCCTGTTCCCCTTCTAGTGCCACCCGCTGATGGCCAATGACTTGTGCTATCCGGTCGCTGGCAATGATCACTCAGACGCCGCATCGCTCACAATCGTACGATGGTATTACGGCAACGGCATCAACCCTCGGAAGTAGAGTCACCGGGCTGGTCGAGCCGACGGCTGCCTTCCGGCGGAAATCGAGCAAATAGCAACACAACGAACCCTATCAAGGCGACCGCCTTCAAGTCCGAAATTAGCGCCAGCCATCACAAGAGCTCACGGTTGACGGAATAGAACTCACCGCATTGCATGTGAAGACAAGCTCTGTCTTGCCAATACCGGCGAAAGCAGCAAAGATAACACCAAACACAAAAGCTAGGGTTCGGAAGCAGGTCAGTATTGTCCACAACATCCCAGGGCCGACATAACATACGGCCCAAGGAGAACGGAGAGGCATCAGCTTACTGGTTGACAGCCGGGCCATGTTCTCGACAAGGCTAACACCGGCCAGAGCGTCTGTCCTCTCACTACTGCTGGCGGAACTTCCAGCCATCTGAAGAACAGTGCCCTTGGCGGCAGAACCGGTTCCTGCAGCGAACGGCAGAACGGCGGCGACAAGATACATCTGCCATCCTTCGCGGACGAACGAGCAAAGCAAGGTGAGTAAGCCATCGGCAATCAAGGAAAATCTGGTGTAGGTGAGGTCGAATGTGAAGGTTTGCTCCTTGCGTGCCTTGTCATCATCAGCGTCGTCGTCAACGGCGGCTGCCTGGGCTGAACCAGGGGCCAGCAGTGGCTCCCGCTCAGGCGAGGCTGCTGGCCTTGTGTTCGTGGCACGAGCATCTGCCTCCCTTTTCATAGTCCATCTTCTTCCAACTGCGATGAGCTTCGGGAATGCGAAGGTCAAGAAGAGCCCTCTGAGCATGGAGTACATGAAGATCAGCCAGCCGTTCTGCTTGGTGCCGAATGCAAAGACATCTGTGGCATACAGTTGAAGTAAGGTGGGCAGATAGCCTGCAGGAGACGTTAGCCGGCATGATTAGCTAGAATTGAGGTAGGGGGAGCAACGCACCTGTAGCCAAAATGCCCAGAAACACTCCCCATGCGAGAAGAAGAGCCCCGTATTCCGTGCGAACCACTCCGTCCCTACCAATGTATTTCCGTGGCGCAAACACGGTCAACGGACCAAAGAACCTGCTTAAGGACGTTTTCGCGTTCCCGCCCTCAGCCAGAGCTCCTTCAGATTCCCTCGTCTTTGCGGGAGGAATATGGGGCAGAAAGAGGAACACATAGGCGCACGATATCAGGAACAACGTCAAGGTCAGGCGGAATGGCGCCTTGATCCCAAAGGCCTCGGCCACCACACCGCCCAGCAGGAAGCCCAACGCAGACCCGAACATCATGCTCCCCATCAAGCGTCCCAACGCCGCTGTGCGCCCCTCATGTTCGACGATCTCGGTGATGAATGTGTTCAGCACCAATATGTAGCCACTCGGTCCTCCGATGATGCTGACAATCTGCGAGCATTGGATGATGATGATGCCTGCGCTACCCCAGACCTCCACACCGACATTCTGAACGAGCAACCGGAGAGCCGGGAAGAACACCTGGATGATGAGAGTCGTCTTCAGGCCAATACGTTTGATGAGCGCCCCCGTCAGGAAAAGGTTCAAGAGGCCAAAAAGAGTGGTGCTGGCACCGAGCAGAGATATCGACAGTGCCGTAGAGCTCTCAATGGCGTGTATCGAGCACTTGTCCGTGGCATCCTGGGCTAGCACGCCCGTAGAGCCGACTTCAGTGGCTGCCAACATATAGGAGAACACTAACCCCGTAGACCCGGTCAATGCTGAATCTGCAATGGGGCTGGGCCCACGAGAAGGATGGCTTTTGTAGTAAGCATCGCAGGTCATGAGTCGAAAGACATACAACAACGGTACTTGCGTAACACCGAAGCTCAGGCTCGTGAGAAATGCACTCAACAAGACCAAATACATCACCGATCGCGGCCACACTGTCGCCGATGCATCATTTCCATCATCACCGGCAAGGGATTTGGATTCATCGGCCAAAGGATCCTGAACGGCGATGTTTTCCACAAACGCAATGTCTTCTTGTGACCGCGTCCGACTGAGAAAGAGAGATGTAGTATCGTCCAAATCCTGGCGCTGGACTTGGTGATGATCCGATGACGTCCGCCGACTGTCGCTTTGATGGTCTGCCATTCTCAACGACCACGGGGCATCAAGGCCAATCGGTCAGCAAACCTTTCGACGTTATTTGAAAGACGTGGCCGGGGACAACGCGACTCCTGTCATTCTGCTAAGCGTACAGGATCTAGGCGCGTAAGAATCACGTTAACTTTGATTTATTGACAAAGCAACGAACGTTTGTGAGGATAGCGAGGGCAACAGATAACAACCACTGGCACTGGCACTGGCACTGCCAGGCATCGATCAAGCCTGATAAGCCGATGTTTCTTTGGCAGTGCCAGTGACCCGGCTCCAGGTGCCGCCTTTACCGAGACCTCCTTCTAACCCATGCATCCAACCCCTAACCCATGCAGGACTTCTACATCAATACGTATTGCTGACTCTACACATTATCGACATACCAGCCTTCCAGCGCGGCGTGCATAGGTATCGGATACCTAAGATTAAGCTCCAGACAAGCATCTTCTTACTTCCGTTGATTGCTTGAGAGAAGTCTTCCAGTCTCAACTATAACCTTAACCCAACCGCCATCACCAATAGCCGCCGAGACATTGTCATGAGCTGAGAGGATTGCCCGGGCTTGAATCCAGGTTTTCCTTGCTCGCGCGGCAAGCAACCAGCAGTCAATGCGAAAGTCCAACGATAGGCCATGCTGAGATTTTTAAGGAAGGCTGCGCCTTGGACTGACGGGCCTGTTTGAATAGGTACCCTGCTCCTCGACGGCTGCAGTGCCAAGTCAGTCCCCCTGTCACCGGTCCAAGGCTGGTGTGACATCTTGCTGTTTAACAAGCCAAAGCTGAGCCGCACATACCTTTCGTCGGCAATGCCTCACCAAGCAGCTTTCATATAGCCCCAAACCGCCACAGGTTACGAATCCTTTGCTGTATTCATGCGGTACATGAGGGCAGTGCTCCAAAACTACCTAGCTCACACCACTGCAGTAATGGCAGGCGCAATAGTGACATGTGGTCAAGAACGCAATGGTTGGACTTATCAGTCAGCAATACTCCTTTGACCGGAGCGAAGAAGAACTGCCAGCGCAGGAGCACGATTCGTGCGCATAGCGCCCATCATGCGCGATACGGCAATGTCTGCTCTGTTCTGTTACCGAACGACACGGCAACAGATGCCATGCCAGGCCACGGGCTCCTTGTGACCTCCTTCAACGGAGCATGACGAGGACTTCGGCTTTCCTCGTTCATCTTGAGTGTTTTGGGCCTCACGGCAGTCTATCGAAGGAGAAAATGATACAGAATTAATGCGCAGCGCCAGTGGGTAACTGGGGCCTTCCAGGCATATCACGCCTTTCGGCAGACGGTAGGTTGGTGTGAACTTGCGCCTCTATGAGCTTGATTCTGTCGCCTGCCCGCCCCTGTCGATGGCATTACTGAATGAAGCAAGAAACGGTTGCAATATGTAACTTACATACTACGCAGGCTGTGTCTGGGTGTGGCTAAGACATAACATCATGTCGATGACACTGACCTGAACCCGACTGTTGGATGGTTCACAAGGACATCGCCGAAGATACGCGAAACCTTTCAGGGGCCCGTCGACTCAGTCCTTCCGACTCATTCACAAATAGATGTCAGATGTGCCATGGATGCGCGTTGCCTTATAGCGGATGTAGGCTCGAAGAGATGCTTCCATAGCCTCTTTCCAGTTGGCTTGCAGGCAAGCAACGAACCGGACCTATCGAGTTCATATTGGATTTCCGAGCTCCATGACTCCTGCATTTGCTGCCAGCCGTCAACGCACCTTAAACGGCTCGCTAAGATGCCGATATGCAGTCGCTCGCTGTCGTTCCAGTGCAACCAGACTAGTAGTTTGTATCATCTCCAATCGCGACAGCCTCATGTTTATAGAAGAACGATTGACTTCTCTTGATCCGCAAAAGCGGCAGCAAATGAATTTGAACGCGGAGCTTACGAGCTATACCATATGAGGAAGCTCCAGACCGATGGACGGCATCATACATTACTACGTACTAATACGTACCTATCTCTTGATCTCTTATCACAGCGTTGCGTGTTTTGTACCTGGGTTCGTAGCTTTTCGTCGTAAACAAGTCCTAGGTAGTCTACCGTCTTCTTTTGAAACTCGGCGCTCTCTTGAAACCCTGATAGTAGGTGCTCAGCCGCTACACAAAGCACAGAGCCGAAGATGTCGGAAACAGATCCTGGCTTCATTGCTGCCGTCGAGGAAGCCCGACAAGGCTTCGCGGAGGGAGGCGTCCCGATAGGTATGGTCCTTAGTCCCGGAATGAGAACCGATAGACGTCTCCGATACTTGTGTGTATTACAAGTAGTCTGACAACAATTACAGGAGCGTGTCTTGTGTCGAAGGACGGCAAAATCATCGGTCGAGGACACAATATGCGCGTGCAGAAGGGCAGCGCGACGCTCCATGTAAGCATGACTACCCTCGCGGGGCATCTGCCTCCCATCTTCCTGTTGAGCCCTGGTCTTGTATTTCGTCCCAACAGAGGCAGCAATGGAGCATATCGAAAACCTCGTTCCTCAACCTGGGAAGACACTGCAGTACTGAGCCGATACTGATTACTGGCGGACACCTCTACAGGCTGAGATCTCTGCTCTTGAGAATTCAGGTCGACTGCCCGCCTCCGCATATGCAGGTGCCACAATGTACACTTCGCTCAGCCCTTGCGATATGTGTACGGGCTCGTGCATCTTGTACAAGGTCGCCAGAGTGGTGATCGGGGAGAACAAGACATTTGTGGGCGGAGAGGACTATCTCAAGCAAAGGGGAATCGAGGTTGTGGTACTGGAGAACGAGGAGTGTAAAGAGCTCATGAGGAAGTTTATCGAAGAGAAGCCCCATGTTTGGTGAGTTTGTTTTCAACCCATGAGTCTCTCGTAATGTGGTTACGGGCGGCTTCGTTTGCGCGACAATATGAAAATCGAACTAACGACCGGTGTAGGAACGAAGATATCGGCGAGCAATGATGACATTTCGAACTTTATTCTGTTTTGTTCCCTTATGCCTTTTGTCGCTCGTTTTTCACGCCGTGCATCTTTGAACCTCTTCAAAGAAGAATCTCAGGTCATCAGGGTTGACACCTGGAGTGATACCATGTCCCAGGTTGACAATCCAGCGCTGCTTCCCTCCTCCGAAACCCTTCACCATCTCTTCGACGACCGATGTGATCCCTTTATGGCTGCCGTATAAGACACCGGGATCTGCGTTGCCCTGTAACGTCACCCTTCCTCGGGCGATTTTCACAGCTTCCTTTGGATCATGCAACCAGTCGAGGCCGACCACGTCGTAACCGGAATCACATAGCTCATCAAGAGCATACCATGCGCCCTTTGCAAAGACGACCATGGGTACAATCTCCTCGCCCATCTCGTGAAGTTTCTTCGGCAGAAATTCCGAGATGTATTTCAAATAGGGCAGAGCGAACTCTCTGAATGAGGACGGCGACAGCTCTCCAGCCCACGAATCGAAGACCTGAATGATCTGCGCCCCAGCGGCGACTTGCAACGCGAGATATTCGACGCAAATTTCCGCAATCTTTTGAAGCAATGCCTTGCTTTCCTTGCCATACTTGTAGATCCAGGTTTTGGCATATCTGAACATTTTAGTGCCTCCGCCTTCGACCATGTAGCAGAGGAGAGTCCACGGGGCACCACAGAATCCATACAAAGGCACTCGGCCGGCGAGCTTGGTCCGCGTCAATGTTATGGCCTTGTAGACGTAATCGAGCTCTTTCGCGACATCCACTGTTCGTTCCAACACCTCTCGGTATTGTTTGTCTGAGGGCGAGCGGAGCGGATCCGGAAACTGAGGTCCCAATCCATCGACCATTTTGACATCCATGCCCATGGCCTGAGGAATGACCAAAATGTCGGAGAAGATGATGGCGGCATCTATGAGCCCTTCATAACGATCGATGGGTTGGAGAGTTAAAGTCGAGGCGATCTCCGGCGACCGGCAGCATTCAAAGAAATCATGTTTTCCTTTCGCTTCGTGATATTCAGGAAGGTATCGGCCGGCTACGCGAGCAGTCAGCTTTTTGGCTATGTCACTGGGAAAGGAAGGCACTGACCGCCGCATACCTTGACGCATTACCCACATGGGCGGTCTATCGACCTTTTCGCCTACAATTGTTTAGCACATGCGGTCCGTTGGCGAGATTTCCCAATGTCTGACGCACCACGAGCAGCTCGAAGAAGGCGGTCATTCTTCAGAGGCGGGAAGTTATGGTTCATCTTGCCTGACAAACGTAAACAAGCTCGAGGAATCACGAATTCATGGACTTTGTCGTGGGAGAAGATGTGCCCATGTTCGACTTATTTAGCCCTTGCTCAAACCGCAAGCGCTTTTGTCATGTAGTCATGGAGTATATGTTAAAGCGGCGACTGGCGCCCACATATCTCCGCAGGCGCAAATCCTTGCAGTACATTGTGATCGCTTGCGACTGGGCAGGTTTACCTGCAGGGTAGGTATTTCCGGCTCCGCAAAAGCGCTTGTGAGTGCTCCCAGGTGGTCTGTAAACAGCTCTGAAGTTGACGTTATTACCTAGAGATCAACCGGCTGTTGAACTGCGAAGCTGCCCTTTAGGATTTCCCAGTGGACGAGAAGCAATATTTGTACGATGTTCAATCACCCCGGACCCAGAACAGAAGTCTTGCATGCGGACAGCAATTGGCTGCCAGTCTGTATATTCTGCTGTCAAGTGGTACTGTGAGGTGCTACGGAGATATCATCTCCTAAATCTTCAGCATCATCCTCTTGGACATGTAATCCCCTCTTCTTCCTAACATTCTCGAGCCCGTATAAAGTCTCGCCCAACACGCTGTATGTGTTCTCGGCCTTCGATGGCTGTTCGACTGGCGCGTCCGGAATCTCACAGTGTAGGGCCGAGTCATTCAGAAGCATTGCCAGGCTGGTCTTCTCCCAACGCAATTCCGGTCCGTCGACAAGGTTCTCGATCTCGCTTGATCCGTTTTGATCGTTAGAGATATTTGAAAATAGCTCGAAGGTCTCGAATGCTTCTGTTGCAGGTGTCTCTTCAGGTCGAATGACCCTGACTGAACCAGGTTTGTGCACTGTATCAATACTGACCACAATGTCCCAAAGGGCAGGGCCAATGCCGACATCCAAAACGTTCCCTGCCAGGGTCAAGGTGTGATGATGCCTCAACTGGCCTTGTTCGCTGAGAACGTAACTGAGGAGAATTGGTAATCTGCATGGCGGTGTCAGTCTCAGCCAATAAGTTTTCTGGAATCGACTTACCCTTCCAGCGCGACGAGGAGAAGATGAGGAGGATGTCGAGAATGTGGTGCATTTCCAGCCACAGTGAAATGTATGGGCCAGATGGAGGAGACAGCGAGACGACCCACTGAGCGCTCGCCATCATCCGCACTCAGGACACTGTTGATATCCTGGCGTACCGCTGCGTCGAAGAGCTCTTCGTCAAGCAAACGCCCCGTCGAAAAATGATAGACCTTCAGGGACGGTTCAGCACTCCCTGTCACCAAGTATTCCGGATTCCATGGCGCAATGCATAGCTTGCTCACGAATTCTCGATGGCCCAAGCAATAATTTTCAATGATATGGGCTTGTGAGACTCCTCGAGATACCCGGATGTGCTCGTCTCGATCCGCGCTCAAGATGTACTGCTTGCGTTTCAAGCCATCTTGCACTTCGGCGATAGCCACGTCTGTCAGACTCGATACATGGCCCAAGAGTAGCTTTAACTGAAAGTTGGGGCCTTCTTTCCTAGGTGGGACCGTTTTTTGTCGCCGCTGCTGCTGAAGCGCCTTGAGGTTGCCTTGGGTGTGGACTGTCAGCTCCGATGCTGCAGGACCGTAAGCGCGCTCAGGCTGATCCTGCTCCACCTTCTTGGGGACAAAATCTTCTCTAGGATGCAATGGAAGCAAATATATGTCTCCAAATTTGTCCCCGACAAGTATGTCTTTCTCATCTGGGGTGAGGACGATGCCGCACACTTTTTTAGGCATGGATCTGATTCATGTTAGTTTCATTAGCCATTCTTATCGCTGGAGGAGAATCACCTCTGACTTTGCAGACCCAAGACTCCTCCAGGTCGTACATCAAATACCCGTATTGTCTTGTCCGCTGTGGTCGCTGTGATCACTGTGGCACCGTCACTTGTGGCGACGATGTGCGAGACATTGGCTGACTGAGAGGCTTCTGACTGCGCGTTTTTTCTCTCCGTCTTCTGGCCGTCGGATGTGATATCAACAGGTTCATCGGTGGTCTGCTTGGAAAGTACAGCGGGGGGTTGTACTTCGACTTTCCGCCTTTTGGCTGGGGGATCTTCCCCGTCGTTTGCTGTGGCTGCACCGTTCCCACCGGTCACTTTACCCCCAGGCTGAGGCCACTGGCTCAATAATCTGCCATCTCTCAGATCGAAAGTGCTAAGGACAGGGCCTGAAGCCGCTATGAGGAAAGGCTGTTCGCCATCGACTGGCTGTATGCAGCATAATTTCTGGAATGGATGACGAACCATCATTCGATTTGGCGAGGATCTTTTACGTCGCGCGCCGACTAGGGTTCAGCGCATAAAGACCACACAGCTGGCTCCAGCAAGGAGAAGACGCCTTTCGCTTCAATAACAGGAGACGCAAATCTTCATCCCGTCGAAATAGAAGCACAAGTGCTGTTGTGGTAGTCCTGATGTGAAGTACTTGCATTAAAGTGGCATCTGCTCCGCCAGATAACGCCAAGACTCAAGATTTCCGCGCACACTGCGAATCCGATGCAGGAAAATCGCAGGCGCAGGCATTCGACGACGAAGTTCCAACCATCGCAACCGTACCACAGCCTCAACTTCAACTCACACATCAATTTGCCCTTAAACATCCTAACTTCAGCACTAAGAAGTCATGGGGGGCAAATCCGGATCGAAGACTGTCTACTTCGACAAGCTGAAGAGCTTGCTCGACGAGTACAAGTCAATCTTCATCGTGAGTTGCCCGATAGTCGAAATCGAGGACGTTCGCTGATGATTTTGCAGGTCGGCGTCGACAATGTCTCGTCGCAGCAGATGCACGAAATCCGTCAGTCGCTCCGCGGTGACGCGGTGGTCCTGATGGGCAAGAACACCATGGTTCGTCGAGCCCTCAAGGGATTTATTGCGGACAACCCGGAATACGAGCGTCTGCTCCCACACGTCAAAGGTGCGCTTCAGCCGTCGATATGCACAGAAAGGTCAGGTTGCTGACTATTACAGGCAACGTCGGATTCATTTTCACCAACGGCGACCTGAAGACCATTCGTGACAGGATCCTGGCCAACCGAGTCGCCGCCCCTGCTCGTGCTGGTGCCGTTGCACCCGGTGATGTCTACGTCCCAGCTGGAAACACTGGTATGGAACCTGGAAAGACATCCTTCTTCCAAGCCCTTGGTGTTCCAACCAAGATTGCTCGTGGTACAATTGAAATCACCACGGACCTCAAGTTGGTTGAGGCTGGCGCCAAAGTCGGTGCTTCAGAAGCCACGCTTCTCAACATGTTGAACATCTCTCCGTTCACGTACGGCATGAAGGTTGTGCAGGTTTATGAGGAGGGTCAGACATTCTCTCCGGATGTGTTGGATATCGAGGAGAGCCAATTGCTCAAGTCTTTGTCCTCCGCCATCGCGACCATCACCACCATTTCTCTGGCTGCCAACTACCCAACGCTGCCTTCCGTCATCCACAGCTTGATCAATGGCTACAAGAAGCTTATTGCGGTTGCAATTGAGGTCGACTACAGCTGGCCAGCTATCGATGAGCTCAAGGACCGCATTGCCAACCCTGATGCGTATGCCGCTGCTGCTCCGGCCGCGGCTGCTTCCACCGAAGAGTCTGCACCGGCTGCCGCTAAGGAGGAGGAAAAGGAAGAGGAGAAAGAAGAAAGTGAAGACGAGGGTAAGTCCAGACCCATTTTTGATGTCTATGGCATGGTTGCTAACCTTGTCACCCAGGCTTCGGTGGTCTTTTCGATTAGATGCCCCAGGCTTCGACTAAACTCAGGAATGGCACATGCTACCGTCAGGACAGCAGCAGTTAGTTCGATAGACAAGATACATGCGCCTAATGAGATGAATACTAGTCATCCAATTTGCTCTTCCCCCGTGCATACGTGAACGGTTACCCGAGATTCGGGCACACTCTGGTAAGCAACAGCATTTCCTCTGCAGAACTATTCGGCATGATGATCCATTTTTAACCCCGAGAACTTGTTCTATGAAGAACAAAACTACGCAACAACACTCTAATTTTTTACTGAAGCCGTTCCTACTGATTTCATTATTCCTCTGGCAAAATGTGGACCTACCGCTGACTGTTGCCCGCAGACCTAGCATAGTAGCTTTTCAAGATGTGTGGCATCTTGCACTGCCACAACGGCCGTGTAGCGTCGATCTGCCCAAAACCACCATCGGTTACCTCGCCTCGTGATACTCTGTTGCTGCGAATACCTCATGGGAGAGGTTCAGGATTATACGGGAGCCTGGCATGGCTCGGTCATCGCTCAGATTCATTGTACACGGTTCTGCCAGGCAGAAGCGAAGATAATATTGCTCTAAGGCGAGAGCACACTTGATGTCTATGCAAAAAATTCTTGAACTCTCCTTTCTTCTTTGATGGCTTCCTCTTTCTCCTGTTCATTCAAATTGACCATCTCAGCTTCCGACCCCGCGGCACTCGGCTCACGTGCATAGTAGCCGGAAGAATCATCTTGATCATGAGCCATCCATGTTGCTTTGTACTGACTCCACAATTCCTCAACAGATTGACCGAAAAGGCTATGCCAGAATTTGTTCTCATCATATGGTCCCATCGCCATCGTTTGGTTCATGCGGCTGATGCTGCCCGGACCATGACGTTCCTCCAGCCACTCCAAAAACCATGCGGTCTTTTGATAACCTTCGTCCCATTTTTTGCCTCTGTTTTCTGGGGTTCCATTCCAATGCGGTGGGGCTAGGCCAGCCTTGAGCCGAACAAAGTCTGCGATACCCTCAATCAGACCTCCTGGGGCAGTCCCTTGGCAATTATTCTGAAAGCAGTGGACCATTTCATGGGTGACTACGCCAGCGATCTCAAGGCGAATCCTTGACGGGTTTGCTGAGTGTACGCTCCGCACGTAGTCTAGCGACAGATGGATCTCCTTGTGAAGATCATCCAGTGGCAGCCCGGTCGTGTAGGCGACCCCGCCCATGGATCTGAGCACCACGGTGACCGACCTTACTTTGGGGATCTTGCTCGCACCGTGGTGATCATACAAATGGTTGACGACATGCTCAATGGCGCGCTCCAGATACAAGCCTGAGTCCAGTGAGGAGCAAGCAATCTGGGCGGCAGCGTGGGTGACATCATCCAGGTGTAGTCGAAGCACTGGCTTGTGACTGAGTCTTGGAGGGAGCGGCGCTGGCATACTGTGGGATGGCTGGGCGTCGATCAATGGCAGCTACAAGGCTGCGAGGCGCAGGTATAGACGTGACACGCGTTATAGTTCGGCGATTGAACGAATCGTACACCGACAGGAAGGCTAATTCTTGTCTTCGCCAAGGGCTGAGTGGAAGAGCAAAACACAAATCAAAGCAGCTCAGTGAGTAGATCCGGTCAAACACGAAGTATAGGGACGGGGGCTGAAGTAATCTGAGATTCTATAGGTAGGGGCCGTTGAGAGTTGCTAATTCATGGCAATCACAAAATCGAGGCTCCGCTTAGATAATCCGCCGTTGCCACACGGGCGACGCTGATTGGCTTCCAATCGACGTCGGTCCAGTCGGGTGCCAAGCCGACCGCGATTTACGCCTCCAAAACATCTGGTAACAACAACACCATCCACTGAACCATTCATTCATCCATCCACCCATCCATTGTCCCTTCAGCTGAGCGACACCTTCCATCGTCTATACAAACTTTGCAACGGGTCAATGATCGTCACCTCCAGCCTCCTCGCAACTCTATCAATCTCTGCAGCCTGACAAGGTGCCCTCAAGGTATGTATATAAGTCTCGCTTCTGCCCCCGGTCTGCTTCCTCCCTCATCATATCGCAAAGACTCTTCACCACCGTGGTTGCTCTCACAAGCTACAAGCTATAAGCTCTGCCGAATCGACCACACTTGCATCTGAAGAACCACCACTGTTTCAATTCACTTCCATCACACTCTACATTGCCTTTTGGCTTCTTCCGCATCCTGCCCTACCTCATTATCATCCCCAGCCAAGAAGATTTCCGCATCCGGATCTCCTTTGTGTGCCAGCCCACCACGAGAGAAAGCACTCCGTGCTGTGTTGTCATCATGGGTTTCCGTATGCTGCATTTTGTCTTGTGCTTCGCTGTTTGACCTGTCTAACATTCTTCTCGCAGTCAAGAAAGTCGACAAACTCATCCCGATCGCCGGAAAAGCGATCTACTTCACTATTACCGGCTTCAGAGCCAAAATGCTCGGCAGGACCTATGTTGATGTGCTCAACTTCCTGCACTACGAGCTCACTCTTCCGGAGACCGAGGAAAGCTGGAAAAAGCGCCAAGACCTCCTCGCAGAACTCTCCGCATTCTTCGACAACCGTAAAGACGGCAGTGTCTTGCCCAAAGACTTCATCGAACGCGTCAAGGTCATCCTGCCGGACATTGTCACGGCGGCCTTGTCTGAGCGTACCACCCTCTCTTCTCAAGCTTGCCGAGTCGTCACCAATGTCGCAAAGCACCTGGAGTCCCAAATCCAGCCTCAACTGGATATGCTCCTTTCGCAGCTCATCGTCCACTGCGGTTCCACCAAAGGCGTAAATCAGAAAAACGCCAACGATGCAGTCATCACCATTTGCAAGCATGCCGGCTACAGTCCGCGCCTCTTCTACCATGTCTGCTCCGCATTCAGAGACAGACGCATCCCTCCTCGCACCTATGCCCCAGAGTGGCTCCGAATCCTTCTTGCAACGTACCGCACCCAAATGGACAGGGAGAAAGATGGCGAAGCGGCCCGCAAAGCCATATACCAGGGTCTCACCGATGGACAGGTCAAAGTCCGCGAGAACAGTCGCGCTGTCTACTGGGAGTACGCGACGTACGATGTTCAGGGTGCTCGCATGATCATGGGTGGACTCAATCCCCATGCACAAGCTGCTCTCCGTGAAGACCCTCACAACCCGGACAAATCTGCTGCAAAGGCTGCCAGAGTACCACGCCCAGACTCAGCCCTCGCCTCCATCAAAGCACAAAATAAACAACGCCTGCAACAGCGCCGTGGCTTCACACCGGCCTCAGTCAAACCAGACGACTTTGTCTTTGGCTCCATGGAAGACCTTGATGCCCTCACATACAAGAAGTCCGCACAGCATGCTGCCGCTGAGCCTTCCAAACAAGAGAGACACGCCGAGGAACATCCTCACGCCAGTCATCAGAGCGAGTCGGCAGGCAGCTCTCGTCAAGGCATCTCAAGCCACTCTCGCACAACCACTTCCAAAGCGCCCAAGGACACCAGGCTTGACACGACGAAAGACTTCAAGGCATCAAGCCCTCAAGTCGATGCACGCCCTTTGCTCTCGGCGCCAGTCAGACGAGGTCGCATCGTCGCCACCCCCATGTCCAATGCAGCACAACGCCCTGGATCTCGTGGAGAAACTACCAAGAAACCCACCGAAGTCAAGGAGCGGCCACTGCCAGAAAAACCAACTGGCCGCCATACTCCAGTCTCACTCACTGAGAAGGAGGCCATGACCTCCACTATCAGTCGACATCGCAAGACTGCAAGCCGTCATGACGCCGTCAGAGCCGATGAAAAGGATCTCCCTGTCGCCAGCGGTCTGCAAAGTCTCAAACGAAGCGGTCGTCAGACACCTGTTATCATTGAGGACAAGGAACCATCGACAACTCCAACGACCCAGTCAATCAAAAAGGCTGACCGACCGCTGCCTATGGTCACTGAAGCCAGGGAGCTACCTGCTCTTCCAACGATTCCTCCCCCAAAGAAGGTTGATCGAACGGTCCCCATCATCGCCGAGGATGAGACTGAGCCAACTTCTGCTACAATCAAGCCCACTGATGTCCTCACCACGTCGGAGCTAAGCACAGAATCACCCGCTCTGCCAGTGATCCTCCCTCTCCGATCAGTCACTGCGTTTCCCCACGAGAATCAAAGCACGATTCCGTCTGTTGAACGCAGCCATGAGAAAGGGACCAGCCGTCAACATGTTGCCGATGGGAAAGAAAACACCTACATTATCCCAGCTCCCAGAAAGAGATCGCCCGCCACCTCACCGCGTCGTTCTCCCAACCGTTCTTCCAACCGTTCGCCACAACGATCTCCACGTCGTGCTAGTATCGCGGCCTCCGCGAAGAGATCACTTGCCACAGCCGTGGACTATCTCCGTCAGGGCAATTTTGACGCTATGGGCTACCGCAGGCTTAGAAAGCTGATTGAAAATCACCCTGGAGTCTTGATCACCAGCCAAACACAGTTCAATGATGTGTTCGAAATCTTGATTGGCAAATTGACGTCTCTTGATGAACTCATCGAACCCCGGGAAAGAAGACTTGAGAGCCTCAGCCACCCGGCCTACACCAGACACACCATTCTCCTCATCCTATTCATCCTGTTCCGGCAATATCCACAATGGCCGGAACCGCACCCTGGCATGACCCTGTCCGCGCTCATCGTCGCCAGATGCAATCACAGCTCTGGCTATGTCTCAGTCTTACGAGCAATCGACGACTCCGCAGCAACCCTATGTGCCCACACAGAAGACCTTCTTCCTTCTATCGATGCAGTCCTCGATACCCTAGAACAGATCGAATATATCATTACCACGCATGATCCTATTATTACACCTACATCCAACACCACTGTTATCTGTACCAGCCTGCAGAGTCTCGCATCGGACTTTGGACCTGAGCGTCCGCGTTTCTCCAACCGACTCCCTATCATTCTGGCTTTCGGGGTGAGAATTCTCTGCAGCCTCCTGGAGCGCCTTGCTTCCGAAGGACAGAGCCTCTATACCATTCAAGAAGACCGACTGGCTTCATTCGCGGAACACCTTCTCGCCACCTACAAATCCCTCATCAAGAGATATGTGATGGAGTATTGCACCGCCCTCCATGCTGTCATCAAACCTGAAAAGCGGTTCTATCAGTACTTCAGCGACGAGTCTGACAGGAACCTCATCCACTACTATGTTGCTGGAGCTTCCGGCATGGTCTATGGAAGCCTGGGCAACACCGGTCGGATCGTCATGCCAGAAGACGACGACATCATCATGGAAGACTACATGGAACCCGAGCCATCCACCTTCAATCCCGGGTCGGACATGTCGGCGGACTTCAAGCTTCTACAACATGCTGCAAAGGACACTGCCATTGTACCAGCGCGAAAAAGCCCCACTGTCCAACAAGTCACTGTCGGGAGCAGTCAAGTTGCCGCTTCGGATGATTCGGGCAACTGGCAGATCCTTGGAAGGACAGTCGACGACGCATAGGAGGCGGCACCAGGAAGAACGCTGTCGAAGAGTTGTATTATTATTATCATTATTCTGGTTATCGTTGATGGTTCGTTGGTTTTCATGGGCTAGGACTGATGGTTGACGACTGGGATGGGGGTTTTCTTCTCGGGCAATGTCGAAACAGGGCCATCAGGGAACCAGGCCTGGCCTATCGTCATGAAGGTTGGGAATACTTTGCGGGAGCAGGAGTTCTTGTATTCAGCATTGGGAGGCTATCATTATTAGACATGCGCAAAGCATACTACTACTATGACTTTTACACACCAAGCTCTGTTTCTCTGACTTCCTCTCTGTGTACTCACCCTCCTCGTAGTCAAAGACCAAGAAAGATGTACCTTGCAAAAGAGGTGATGGGAGTGTTGATGCCGCATAGTAGTCAAGGTACTGGGGTAATGATTTCAGTGGAGCGCGGTGTGTTTCAGGATGTTGTTGTCGTTTCGTATCGCCGCCGCTCGGCAGTTGATGTGTAGTCCGGTTTGATAACACCCTGAGATATACAGTACGACTCTACGCTCGACAGCCACTGGCCGCTGGCCGCGTCGCAACATTAACCCAGAAAGCGGATTCTGTGAGATTCATGTTGATTAGAAAGATCCAGTGAAACAACACCTTTCTGCAAGTGGCCTGGTCTAATTTACGGAATCTATCTCCCTTGCTGCAGTTGCTGTCGTTGTCGCTGTCTCACTCACTCACTCACCACACCACGTGGAGACAGGTCAGAATGTGACAGCAAAGCAGCAGCCGTGTGAGCGTGGTGGCACAGCAGTCACAAACGTCTGTCAACGAATATTGTCGTGTAGCATTGGTGGTATTTTCGATGAGCCTGGCATGCTCCTGGAATATCGCCCTAGTATACCGAACTGAGACCAAAGGAAAGCCGCTATCACTGCTGGCAATGATTTACTAGTAGATGGATTGATATAGATACCATGACTGCAGCACACTGTACAGAGTCCGCCAACTGTGGTGAACCACAACACCCCAAGGGGTCCCAGGCTGGCTAGATCTCCCTTCGACACCAGACAAACCCCCTTAACTTGTCCTTCTTTGGCCCTCTCCCCCATCTTTCGAGGCGATCAGGGTGTCAACTAGCATGACAGCAGTTTAACTAAGAAGATATGGAGACAACGCGTTGTCGCTGAAGAGAACTTGATTGATGGATTCGTTGTTCATTGCGTGTTTAACTGTTTAAGGGCAATTAAGCCCATTCCCGGCGTGGTTGATGCGCCTCCTTTAATTATTAGGCTCGACGCTAGGCCTGGGCCGCCTAATCATCGCACACCTCTAGGCACCTAGGAGACCTCGAATAGGAGCCAACCGGGAAATCTGGGGGCTATGAACCTGTCAGGATGGAAGTCAGACGCTCATCTGCCCCCTCATCAAGCCTTTGCTGGACCGCTTTCTGGCTCCAGCGCCAATTCGCAGGCCGCCAGTAGTTCAAGTTGTGCCTGCGGCGCCTTGTCCTCTCCTAGTACTGCATTGCAGCTCTGTCTCTTCCGAGTCACGCATAATAATCAAGCAAGCAATCTATCTATCGCGCACACTGCACGAGGCAGATTGTCCTCCGAGTCGAGCATCAGCACTTTGAACCAACCTTCTTCTTTACACACCCTTGCTGAAAACACAACAACGACGCCAGACCTTTCTCGATGCACCTCTTTCCTCTCCTCTCATCCTAAGCACTGTGCTGTACACACGGAACGTCACCGTCCACCGCCCTTCACGACCTGCACCGCATCAGACGCGCCGCGCCTTCAGCCTTTGCTGTCTGCGCAACCTTCTAATCCTGGGCCTGTACGAGCTGACACCAACGATCTCTCGTTTACTTGTCTCGACCTCTTTTGCTTACCTTTGTCACGAGCAGCGACTGATACTATCTGACTGATCAACATATATTTCCGGCTTGACGATCGCTTAGTTGGTCACCGACCAACGGCCCTTCCTACCATCGACCGCAACTGTGTTGATTGTCACTGTCACCAAGTCGTGCTTGAGTCGTGTTTAGGTTGCATACAACATCATTGTCAGCCAACAGTGTGAAGAGTGGGATTACCATACTATGCAATGTACCGGTGTTGAGCGTGTTTGAAAGAGCTGTACAGAAAACGACATTCTTCATGAAATACTACTGGGTATACCTGGTGGTTTGATTGTTTGGTGTCGAATAGGTTGGCACAGCTCACCATATGTCGACCTGGCAGGCCCGTTGTGCAGAATACGATAAAGCAACCCGACATCATGGAGGCCGCGCTGGAGTCTCCTGTGACTTTTCCGGAGTCGCCAATGGATCCGGATGATGCTCCATTTCCCTGTAAAGGATGCGGACAGGTTGGTTATGCAATACAACATGATGAGGCAGCTGCTAACGCAAACTCAAGATCCTGGAAGAAGGCAAAGCCTTTGAACTTGGTATTTCTCTTCTCATCCGCATGTTCGTGCAATCACTGACCAATCGACAGCCGGCAACAGATGGCATATTGATTGTTTCCGCTGCAACACATGTGGCACTGCCTTGGATTCCGATGCGAACCTCCTCCTCTTAGGCGACGGCTCGTTGATCTGCAACAATTGCACGTACAGCTGCAGCAGCTGCGGGAGCAAGATTGAGGACCTTGCGATTCTGACTGGAGATCAGGCTTTTTGTGCCAATTGTTTCAAATGTCGCAATTGCAAGAGAAAGATAGAAAACCTCCGATATGCGCGGACGTCTCAAGGGATTTTCTGTATGGACTGTCACGAAGCATTGATGGCAAGGAGGCGCAAGAGAACCGCCAAAAATTCTGCGCAGCGCTCCAAGCTCTCCGCAAACCAAAGCGTCCAGCTGGATAAATCCTTGCCCGCCATCCCTCCGCCAGAGGCCAGGAAAACGGCCTATGTTCCGGAAGAGCAGTCGCCATACCCAGAGGGTTCCGCTGATGTGCCAGCTGATGTGCCTTCTGTCGCAAAGACCATGAGTGAGTTCCAGAGGGATAGTGACTCCAGGCCATCATCTTCGGATCAGAATCCTCCACGTGGTAGGTAGCCGATCTATTGACTCGATAAGCTTGACACTGATCACAGTTTCTTTTCAGATATGCTGACGCTACCGTCAACGACTTTCCGGAACAATAGGCATTCGATGATGTCTCAGCGTTCCGATCTATCTGGGGGTGGTGAGGAATTCCTGATACCAGTTGCTTTTGACCCTACACCTCAACCATCCACTCAGTCCCCCAGTGTCTCAAGCCAAGCGACCCCGCGACAGATCGAAGAAAAGCCCAAAGATTACTTTTCGAGTAGGCCGACGCCACCCATGGCGCAGTTGCCCCCGTCCAAGTCGAACACGTCGAGTCCTCACATCGCCTACCAGGAAAAGGGGCGCCAACCGTCTCGAGATCTGGTGGAGCGGAGTCGATCTGGTGGCAACGTCAGCAGAACTGGCTCTGCTAACGCATCCCCTTACTCCTCTATCGATCGCTCTTCCAGGATAGAGGGCTCGCCGCGCTTGTCCCAGATGGCTCGTACGAACGATGCTTCTCTGGGTGAAAGATTCAAATTGCAGGAAGCTCCAAAATCCAAGAAGCATGCTGCGTCCGCTTCCAATTCTCGGTCAAGAGCCTCTATTCCGCAGGCGGAAACACCTGGCGATTTGCTGGATCAATCCACGGCAGCGAAGACGCCTGGTTCCGACGTAGACTCGCCGTCAGATCGAGGCTTTTCCACCCCCCAGCTCTCAAGAGAGTCGAGTCCTCACAGCGGAACCGGTAGCTCGCCCCGACCAGCTCAATTGCCGACAGCATCTCTACTGCAGAGTTTACCTAAGCGTGGCGATTCTCTGGAGAGCACAAAGCGAGGGCAGACAATCCCACGGAAAGATATCAGCTCTTCAGCAAACATTCCTTCCAGCCTCAGCAGCGCCGTTAACGGCCACGCCACCGCGGCCTTCTCACCCGGGGTTTCTACCGATCTTGCGAGAGCAAACGGCGGCAAAATCATATCTGGCCCCATTGGTTCGCCCAGCTCCAGGAGCATCTTTGATACCGCCGATGACTCTATGAATCAGACAGACCTCCCAAGTGCAGGAAAGGGAGCCAATGAATCCTTCGTCGACCCCCGTGTGCCACCTCTACCTCCTGCGGACCATTCAAGATCGAGGAATGAATCATCCAGTACGCTGCAGTCCGAACATCAGCGATATCTGGACGGCCAGAAAGCGTTAGGGCTTCCGAGGTATTCTACAGGTGGTGAATTCACTATGGATGAGGATATGGCTCGAATAATGGGCGCGGACGAGACAAATGCGCATGAGTCTTTTCTCAGACGAGTCTCAAACTCCGTTCGTCACGGCCGCAGCTATAGTGACAAGACTGGCAGACTCTCACGGGACCGGTGGCCTCGATCACCGGCCGTGCCGACCATGTCGATCGGCCAAGAAATCAGCAGCCCAAGCAGTGTATCGCCGGAAAACCGGGACGAGCTTGCGTGGTTCAAGAATGAGCTGCGGCGCGAGCGGCAGAAGACGATAGAGAGGGAAAAGCGGATTGCCGAGCTAGAGTCACAGCTAGACTCGGCCGCAGACATCAAGCAGGTCAATTCAGAATTGAAGGAGAAGAGGTCGACCATAGTAGTGCTGGATACCCAGAAAGAGATTGTGGTCCGCGAATTGGAGGTGCTAACTGAACATTTGGCTGTCGCGAAACGCAGCGGCGAGCCATTTGATGTCTCCAAGATGAGGAGTACAGTACTGCGCGAGTTCGCCGAGTCACTGGAAAAGTTAAAGAACTCGTTCGCGCCTCAGATCGAAGAGTCCATACAGAGACGAAACGACCTGGTGGACGAAATCGCGAACCTGACTCAGATGAAGGACAAGAGTTTCATGGAATTTGAGCAGCTCTCGTCGAAGAACGCCCAGCTCGCAGAGCTGAACAATCAACTGGTTCATCAGATTCAAGGTTTGTACAAGGCCAACTCAGGCGTCCAGGCGGAAACTCCCAAGGCTGCCATCAATGGGCTGGGAATCTATTCTCATCACAAGGAGAAATCGAATCTGTCCATCGATTCACGAGAAGTGCGCAACTTGTCAACCGATCTGAGCAACATCGAATCGGCAAGCACGCTTCAGGCAAGCGAGGCAGAGCCGGTTACTGTGCTCCAAGGTCCCCAGATGGTGAATATCCGAAAGGGACAACCCAAGAAGTTTGACTGGAGAAGAGGCCAGAAGGTTGCCAAGGGGGTCACGAAAGGCTTGAAGGGCGCCTTTTCCTCTACGCAGCAGACGTACAGCCGAGATCTCCAGTTTGCCGAAACAGGAGCATACGGGGCTCCTGTAGGTCAGGAGTATTCGTCCATGTCTAAGTCGAATCCAGAGCCTGTGAAGCAAGGCGGCGGATTTGGGTTTTTTGGTGGCAACCAGAAAGCAGCGATCAAACCCAATGGTCTGTACGCGCAGCAGGCTAACGCGAGTACACCCTCGCTTCTGGTTGACGCAGCTACACGTAAGGATATCCCTCCCTCTCACTCCAGCCCAGTGCTAACCTGTCGCAGAACTGTATGGCTCGGATCTTGAGCAACGGGCCGACTTTGAGAAAACATCGGTTCCTTCAATCGTCCGGCGCTGCGTCGAAGAAGTAGAAGCACGAGGTACCTTTCCTTCCATTTCCAAGATGTGTTTCGTACTGACCAATATTCAGGCATGGACGTAGAAGGTATTTACCGAAAATCAGGCGGCAATTCACAAGTCCTGCAAGTCAAGGAGTGGTTTGAAAATCCTACCAAAGACTTTGATATCTCGGACCCCGACCTCGATATACACGCTGTCACTTCGGGATTGAAGCAGTATTTCAGACGGCTACCGGTGCCACTCATCACCTACGATGTCTACGACAAGCTTCTCGACACGACTGTCATCACGGAGAAGGAAAGTAGGATTGATGCTATGGAACGCGCCTTGGAGGATCTGCCTCGAGTCCACTATGAGACCCTGAGTTATCTCATGCAGCATTTGGCACGCGTCGTCGAGCAGGAGAAAGTCAACCTAATGACCAGTATGAATATCGCTGTCGTCTTTGCACCCACCATCATGAGGTCTGAGAACATCAGCCGTGAGCTGAGCGATACGAAGCCGAAGAATGAGGCCGTGATGTGGATGGTGGAGAACTGTGAAAGATTATTCGGGGCCTAACGAGAAAGGAACCTTTTCTTGTTTCCTTTTTGAGGGTTGAATCAGGAGTTTGGACTGGTTGAATACAGGGAGGGAATAATTCCCGCCTTTCACGACTACGATCACTTGCGCACTATTTCAATCAGCCTGGCGTCCTGAGGAGCTGCGACGGCGATGAGTTGAGATTTGCTTGGATGTGGACAATCAACACGCGACAAACAAACTGTCTGGTATTGTAAGTGACCAGCCAGGTGAAAAGGCTGAGGCTTGACCTCATGTCATGAAGTATCCTTGTCGAAACTTGTGGATTTGGATAGGCCCAATCAACTTATCTGAGAGAGAGACGACTTGACAGTGTACTTGTACAGTGTTATTCTGGTAGCAATGTACCTTTTAGTAGCTTCGGTAGGTGAAGCATCTTAACAGGGATAATTTCAGTAGAGGTCTTTCGGAGTAGACACGTTTGGCACCATCGCGCTAAAATGGGGTTGGCGTGCAAGATGCCTCGATCGGGTTAATAGTTGATGATTGGCGACTTCATCTGTCACAGCCACAACTCGCGGACTGAGCGCTCAGCATCTCCTCCATACCCGACCCTGCCGTTAATTAACAAACGTAGGATCAACTTTGCTACACGTTTCGCCAGAGCACACGTCTCGCCGTCACGCGAAGTTCATACAATATCTTCCTTCCTGCGACACCAACAGTGATCATATCAATATAGGCCTGGCCTGTCCCTGCACGATGCGCATACGGTCCCCTTATTCTTAACGCCAGAAGATGATGCCCTCCGCCACGATATCTTTGCACAATGTCTCAGCAACCACCGTACGCCGGGCCTCGACAGCAGCCTGCGGTCTCAAACGGCGGCCGAGAGGGCTCCTTTGGCAGACACGACGCCAAACAGTCCGCGTCAGCAGAAAGCATTCAATCCCTCGCAGCGCGTTTCGAAGATGAGAAGAGGCGTATCATTGAGAGCTGCTTCCACAAACGGGACCCTGATGGGATGCAACTGGAATCCTACATCACCCATGTGCGAGTCACCGAGGATGCCTCCTATCCGTCGTCGCCGCCTCCTCCAGAGTCCCCTCCGTCCAACAAGAAACCTAGGGTCATTCTTGTCGCAGTTCGAAGGTCGGGCAAGGTTCGAGTCCACAAAGCCCGCGAAAACCCGAATGGTACATACTCGATCGGCAAGACATGGAACCTGGATGAGTTGAATGCGATCACCTCATACTCGTCTATGGTGCCTGCGACGCCGCAACAACATGTGGAGAAACAATGGGCGTCTAATACTGGCTTCATAGTCACGCTGGGGAAGCCATATTTCTGGTCGGCAGACACGGCCAAAGAGAAAGATTTCTTTATTGCCAGTCTCGTCAAAATATATCGGAAATACACAGGCGGCAGGATACCTGACCTCATAGGCTTCGGACCGCAAGAGCTTGCCCACCTCACGGGCACACAGTCGTCTCAAGGCACTCCGATTCAAAATGCCGCTTTATCCCCAACAATACCGCCCGAGCGACCGCACCATCTTCCTCCTCCACCGGCCGTCCCAGCGTTGAGTGCGCACCGATCGCAGTCTCCTTATACTGGCCAGAAGCCACCCAGCCGGGACGGCAACCGCGTCAATCCGCACGAAAGAGAACGCGCTATCCGGAATCAGGGTTCTTACCCGGCTAATACAGATGGCCCATCTTTCCGGGGCGAAAACCGTCCACTGGGTAGGCCGGACAGGGAGCACCATGTACCTGATGCGCCGCGTGCTCAGCCGTATGGCAGTCATTTCCGGCGAGATGACGGTCGAGTGCCATCCCTGTCTGACAGTATACAACCACCTACTTCGCGACCCTCTATCAGCCCCAAAGCTTCGCAGTCATCACTTCATCGCACCGAGGTATCTCTTGAACCCCCCCCTCTTCGGCCCAACGGTCATGGAGTCACGAAGTCTCCAAGTCCTGACTATCCAGGACAAAGGCTATTACCAGCACCCAGCCAAGCCCCAGTCGACAACGCGGCTGGAGGCGACGCTATCAACAACAGAAGACCTGGTACCGCCGCTAGTGACCGTAGGCCATCGGAACCTGTGCCTAGCATTCCAGCGCATGATCACGAACCGTTGCTGGAACGTAAAATGTCGATTCCTCCGGTTCCAGAAACCAAATCCGATGAACCGGGGCCTCCAAGTCACGACAACAGCGCTTTCGTTACTCCTCTTGGGACACCTAGTGGACTCCAAGAGAAAGAAGAGCAACCCAAGCAGGATGCTGATTACTTTACCAATGAAAAGCCACAGCAGGACGAGGCAACTAAGGGGACCGCAATTGGCGAGTTGGCCGCATCAGAATCCACACATCAGAAGATAACAAGCGAACCGATAACAGCAGAACCTATGGAGGCACCACCTCTGCCAAAAGTCGAAGAAGAGCATCGCCCGGGTCTCGGCCCCATGATCAAGAAAAAGTCGGAAAAGGATATCGCCAGTCGGTTCCGTAGAGCTGCGCTTGCCGCAACGGCCTTCCAACCACGTCAAGGTGGCGCCGCTGCTCGATTGAAAGCGATGCAGGAGAGGCAGTCAAACGAACCCGATGGCATTACCAGCGTGGTTCCAGCCCCATTGTCAAGAGGCATGAGCTCCGACAGCGCAAGGAGCGGCACCCCTGACATCGCCATCCCAGGGAATGAGAAAATCCAACCCACCTCCAAACCCGTGCAAAATGAGTCCATTCCGAAAGTGCAAATCGAGAGGACTGCGACCTTGGAAACCGTAGCGCGGTCTGAGACGCCTGCAGCTGTACCTGCAGTTGTGCCTGCAATTGTGCCTGCACCGATTGAGGCAGATGTGGCTAAGCAGCAACCAAGAGCAGATTCTCCTGACAAAGCACGGTCTCGTTCACCTCAGAGAAGGCGTCGGCAGCAGCTGGAAGCGGATGTTGAGAAATATTGTGCGACCTTGGGAATCGATCCAAGAATCCTGGATGGTCGTGGAGCCGAATTCAATGAGCTTCTTACCGAGTTTGGGTGGGAGGGAAGACTTCTCAGTCAGCAAAAGGTGGAAGACTTCGAGACGAACATTCGTAGGGAAATCGGGCGTGCTCAAGCAAGTGGCTGGCTGGGCCATCTTGAACAACAAGAAAATAAAGTACAAGAGCTCGCAACAGCCTTTGACAAAGCCATTGCGGAATGTGAAGAGCTGGATGGCCTGCTGACGCTCTACGCCCATGAGTTGGATACGCTGCATGACGACATTGAATACATTGAAGCCCAAGGACAAGGGTTACAGGTGCAGACAGCAAATCAGAAGTTGCTGCAATCCGAACTGCAGACTCTGTTGAAGACGTTGACAATATCGTCTGGAGACTTGCGAGCTCTCCATGCTGCACCGGTTGACAGCCTGGATGGTGTGCAGGCAATCGAAAGATCTCTATCGCTGCTCTATGGGGCCATGCTGACTATCGACCCTGAACTACGTCAAAACAAACTCCGTCAAGCCGCCGCATCATCAACGGAGGGAACAGGAGTGCCTATCTATGCAGACACTAATCTTGTCCAAATGCGGGCAGTGCAACAGAAAAAGGAAGAGTACAGACAAGCGAGCATGATGTTCATCAGCCGGTTCAACCAACACATGAAAGCCATGTTTCAGATGGCGGAGCAACGCACCAGTGAAGAGAACGCAGCTAGTATATCGTCGGGAACGACCATCACGCTCAATCTCAGGGCGCTCTCCGCTTCACGACAAGATCTTTGGATTTACAATGCCATGATGCTTTTCGTGCGGGAAGTTAACCAATATGAATGGCAGACGCTGATCAGCAGTTACGAGATCAACGTCAAGCCTATCTATCAAGAGCAGTTCCGCGACTTCACCATGAGTCTGAGAAGAAACGTCAGAAAGCCGACCGGGGATGAACAGGAGATTCTGTTTACACATCAAGAGAAGGAAAAGGCGGAAGAGTCGCTGACTTCGACTGCCCGCAAGCTCACAGTAAGGCGCGGCAAAACGGTCAAGACAAGCGCCCTGAGACAGTCAATGGGTGATAAGCGCGAGGGCAAGCCGGAGGCGTGGGTGGTCTTCGATACAGTCCTCGAGCAGCAAGCCACCGCCATCTCGGAGGAGCAAAACTTCATCGTGCACTTCTTCCATCTGGAGTCACAGTCCAACGCGGATTTTGCGGAGATGGTACAGTCGCATCCCCCAGAACAACGTAAGGTGCCTGATTTGCAGGCCAAGCAATCATACGATCCGGACCGAAACATGGCCAAGGTTGTCCAGAATACTACCGAGGGAATCTATGGCTTTTGGGTTACAGACCTTCAATCGCTGGTTGATTGGGTGCTCCGGATGGACCAGTTACAAGGCGTCGGCATCCTCGTCTCTCTCGAGCAGTGTCTGGCGAAGTTCGAGGAGACCAACCAGGAGTTCATCACCCGCACGGTAAGGCTTCTTCATGACCGAGTCATTGGTCTCTTCCACAAGTTTGTCGAAGAGCAGGTCAAAGCCATCGAAGAGACCAAGGTCAAGGTGAAGAAGAGAAAAGGATTGATCTCGTTCATGAGAGTATTTCCCGAGTTCGCTTCGGCTGTCGAGGAGATGATACCTCAAGAATTCTCGCACCAAGAGTCGCTCGAGGTACGATTTATCGTTAATGACGCGTACACCAAGCTTCTCAAGGCTATGTGGGAATCGTTGAGTTTCATCGCCAAAGATAACCCTGCGAGCTCGGGCGCCGCTGTGCATTCGACCGCTGCCGCCCCGACAAGCGGAGACCCGGAGGATAAAGAAGCCTTGAACTATCACATCATGCTGATCGAAAACATGAACTTCTTTGCGGAAGAGGTCAAGACTCACCACAACGTTGTTTTAGAAGAGTGGACCGAGCGGGCATCTCGCGACCAGTTGACGCATCTGGCGCAATATACCGACGCGGTGATACGGCGGCCCTTGGGCAAATGGCTTGATTTCCTCGAGAGCACCGAAGCCCTGATGAAGTTGAACTCGACCGACTCGTATGCGAGCATTGCCAACAAGCCCAGCCATTCGCGAAGTTCGGCCAAGAAGGTCCTCGCAGCGCACGACACGAGGGAAATCAGAAAGGGCATCGACACGCTGAAGAAGCGCATCGAGAAGCACTTCACCGATGCGGATGACCCGACCAATTCGAGCAATAGGGCTTTGATCGGCCGGGTCTTTGACGAGTGCGCCACGCGTTACGCCCATGCGTATGATCGCATGAAATTGGTGATTGATCGGGTCTATGATTCCAATTTGGAGATCGATTGGCGCAAGGACGAGACAGCTGCTATGTTTAGGAGGTGAAAGTGGACGCACCATCAAGAGAATAGCTTTTCAGTCCGCCAGGTTATGATGAAAAGAGATTCATATAAGCCTGTGAGACACAGCACTGCTGATACTGTCTTTCACCCTACCCGTGTATCATGTCTCCTTGACTCGCATTGTCCCATGCAAACCTCTGATTGACTCGGGAAAAGCATAATGGCGCGGTATGCCCGTCAACATGGCGATGGTTGTTGGTCTTGGGCGACTGATTGTGAATTGGAATAGCTGTCTTGTATACCTACTTACCTTACCTCACCGTTGGCGTACCTGGGGTCAGCAATGGTGCATTCGTATGCTTATTAAGAAGAAAGCCATTCGTTGGTCTCTTGCAGCCTTCTCCTGCCATAGGGCGATGGCGATTAGACTGGCACCTACCACAGTATACCGTACAGAGTACATGTAGCATCCCTGACCAGGGGTCAGGGATTAGGGAGGTGAGCCATCTGTCAGTACGACGTACTCGGAATGTATCATCTGCGGATACTGTGGATATGAGAGAGAGAGAGAGAGAGAGAGAGAGAGAGAGAGAGAAAACAAGGCTCGGTGCTACGAGCCGGACATCTCGGTCGAAACAAGCCAAGTAACGGCCGACGCATTGATGGAACGAATAGCATCGGAGATAATTTGTTACTTGGTCGTAGTATAAGAACGCAGTAAGGCCATCCATGGTATTGAAGATTGATCAACGACCATCAGGAATTGATCTTTTTCCCTTTCTCTTCTGCCCGTGTAGAACCATTCCACTATTCGTGCGTCCGTCGTGGCATCGTTCACTTCGACCTACCGAGCAACCCCATCTGCGAACCGTCTGAACACAACTGTCTCCGGAAGTCGTCTGTCACCAGTCATTGGGCGTCTGAATCTGATTGATAAGATCGGTGTCCTCCGCATCCGCACAATCAGATCCAAAAGAGTCAATCGAAGCACTTGCAGATAACTCTATCTCTCATCTGATTGCAGGGTTGTGGAGCGCCGTGAGGGGGACAGTCAATCAATCAAACTGCCTCTGTCTGAAAAACACGGCGTGGTGACTGACAGAATAGCTGCAGAGTAAGGTATCTTCTACTCGAGGTATCTACTCTGAGCATCTGCGCCAGTACACGGTATTCGCTACCGGTGGATGGGCATCGGACAACGGACAACGCGCCGCAGCACTTGACCACGTTCCTTCACGATATACAACTCCGAAACCCACGCCTAGGGATCCAAATACTCCAAACTCCGAAGGCTGCGCCCTATCATTTTATTATTCACCACAGGCCTCACGATTCTCGCGTGCGGAGAAGGAGTCACAGACGAAGAAGACCAGAAGCCTGAATACCCATTCAACAACCCAATTGTGTGAACACAGCATCTTGCTTGACATTCGAGGCTCGAACTCGACGTCGTGAATTGCGCATTGCATCGGTCGGTGGTCATCCATCGTTCATCAGATTTCCATTACTCTCACCTTTGCTGGGAATACCAGAAGCGCCACCAGTGTTCACAGCAGATCGACTACAATCGAACCGTCCATCAGCACGCAGACTGCGACCTCTATTCACGACCGCCGCCGCAACAGCCGTCATCTCGAGTTTGAGAGTTCGACACAATGTCACTCCTCCGCAGCGTCAAGGGGTTCCTCTCCAACTCGCGCGCAGACAGCGCATACAGCCCTGATCAGTTCAGAACGGCAAAGACCGAAACAGACCTTTTTCCCGCGACCCGACCGGACGTTGACGGCGAAGAGTGCCTCCACGACTGCACGAGTTGCACGACGCACTACCCCTCGCGGTTCTCGGTGGACCAGAGCGACAAGTTATACGGCCACGTCAAGGGATGGAACACACATTTGATCGTGGGCACGGGCAAGACGGACTGGGTGCGCGACGTCACAGACGAGAAGGGGTCCGTGATGCAAGCGGTGGGCAAGGCCGGGGTTGATCGCAAGAATGGCAAACTCATGCTCAGCGCGAGCAATCTGCCGCCACGGATCAACTGGGACACTGACCCCGATGGAGGATACCCAGGAGAAGAACCAGGCACTAGTGACTGTTTGTTGCTTCCGGCTTGGGTTGTCATTGAGAAAGTCGCGCCGAGTAAAGTCGAGAGGTTGCTGCGGGACGTGGTCGAGAAAAGCGTCACCAACACGACTCCTCTTCGACGGAAGACGGCTGTCAATGGCCATGAAAATGGATACGGTACTACGAAGCAAGCAGAGTCGGAAGAGAAGCAACAAAATGGACTTGAACATCAATACGACAACGACGGTACGTCTGACGCATCTAAACTGCATGTCCAAGACCAGCATAGCAGCGACTCCCTCGAACCACAGACCATCCCAGCCTGTGTATCTTCGTCTTTCAATGTCCGACCTATCCCTTACGACTACCTCATCCTCATGTGCAGCCACCGAACGCGCGACGCACGCTGCGGCCAGTCTGCCCCCTTGTTACGCAAGGAGTTCGAGCGCATCCTCCGCCCCATGGGCCTGTACCGCGACATGCACGACGACCGGCCCGGCGGCGTGGGTATCTATTTCATCAACCATGTCGGTGGACACAAGTATAGCGCCAACGTGCTGATCTATCGGCGCGAAGGACGGAAAAAGGACAATTCGGACGAAGATATCGACGGTGCGCCCCTCGCCAAAGAGGCTGTGCAGATGATCTGGCTTGCGAGAGTCAGACCCGAGGATTGTGAAAATATCGTCCGATACACGATTTTGCAGGGGAAGTTGGTCAAGCCGCTGAGACAGCTGAGAGCAGGATTTGATCGAGAAAAGGGGTTGGTTTCGTGGTGATAATAGAGGAGGAGACGGTCTCCTTCGAAGAGAGAGGATGGGATCCGTTCGGTATAGGTTTCGACAAGATCTCAGCGTATCGACGAGAGAAAGGCGTTCCAATGACTGCAACCTGGCTTGGCCGCAGGATAGATGGATTGCAAGTGGGTGCATCGGAGGTCAGGCATTTTGCGAGACTATTAGATTTGATAAACGGTCTGCATTTTCATACAGCATAGACATGACGCTGGAGTCAAGTCATATCAGAAAACTTTCAAGAACCAGTCACCCAGGGTTAGCATAAACGTCAGTGAAGGCAGGCAAAGTATGACCATTTTTTGGTTTGAATAGGCTTGTTTGGGAACATTTCGAAAGTGATGTAGACAATAGTCTTGGTTTTGCCCGGTGATCATTCCTCGACGAGGATCACACCACGCCTGGGAATAAGACGTCTCCCTACACACCTTACGGCCCGCCGAACTGCAAACCCCGTTCGAAAAGCCGGAACTCGCCCTCCGAAGAAGGCGAGCTGCAACGGCTTTTGTCTCAGGATGAGTTCAAGGCAGACCGGTCCCCTTCTCTCGAAGCGGACGAAAAGGTCTCGGGTTGATCTCAGTTCTGTCGACTGGGAAGAAAGACATTAACGGAGGTGCAATAATATCTCCACGCGATGAGTCGAGAATCGTCGCAACAATCAACCGACCACTCCCATGAAGGAGGAAGGGATCGTTGCGACACAGAACTGTTGTATGGTAAGAAGAAGAAGGGAAGGGAAAAAGTTGGAGACATCTGGGCTTAAGAGTTCGATATTTTGATGCCAAGGCCTCACTCACATGCCAGACGCTAGCAGTATTAGTCATTTGAGATCAAGCTCATCTAGGTAAGACTATGATGCCGCTTTAAATCTATCTGCCTCAACCACCGCAATAGCATTTTCACAGATAACTATCTCGCGCCGGGAGACAACATCCTCCATCCCTACCTATTATCGTCTGTTGACAAAAGCTCCTAGGTTGTTGCCATCTGCCTGCCTATGCCATGATCTGAGGTAACAACCCTTCGATAAATCGCCAAGTATCTATGTACCCCGGTCTAGAAGCCTACCATGTGATTGTACACTGTGTCGGCAGTGCTACTCAGGGCACTTGTTGCACGAAACAGAGTGGCACGTGGCAAAACATCCCAGAATCAGCACCGATACTCAAACATCTACGTGAATACCTCCTTAGTTCGCCAGTAAGTATTCTCATTACAAGTTTCATTGTGTTGTTTGACTGAGGCTTCGACTTCATTGCTAGCTCAAGTCAATCTGCCGGTAACTATGGGATCCACCTGGGACCTTCTGGACCCAATGCCCACGCAGGGCTTTCTCCGTCCCGCGAGAATGGGGTTGACCGCATTTGGTTCCTGCCTAAAAAGGCAGGAAGTATTAGAAGAGGAAGCCGTGAGTGACTCTTGCCGTTCCTTCCTCCATCCCATCCCATCAACCCCAACACTGGCCAGACCTTTGATTGGACTTGTCCGTGCTCGTGTAACAGTGGTCCTATCATTTGCCATCTCTTACTCTTCTCTCTTTCAGTTGAAGCCAGCCTTATAAGCTCAGTGTCTTCATTGAACAGCGTCCATCTGCCCACGCACCGCCATCGTATTCGAAAAGCCATACTATCTATCAATAATGTCGCCATCTCTGCCACCCGGTGTGGCCAAATCGATTGAGAATTCCAAAGCAGAATATAGACGTCTCGGAAATTCGGGCCTGCATGTCTCGGTTCCAATTGTTGGGTGTATGTCTATTGGAAGTCCCGAGTGGGCAGATTGGGTGATCGGGGCCGACGAAGCCTTGCCGCTATTGAAAGCGGCCTACGACCGGGGTGTCAACACTGTGAGTTCTATTTGTACTTAATGTACAACGAGCTCATCCACGTCCTGCACACAGCCACTGCTGTTGCTTCTGGGGCAGAGAGTCTAATGATCATTTCAAAAGTGGGATACAGCCAACGTCTACTCCAATGGCGAGAGTGAGCGAGTCATTGGCCGCGCCATCAAGGAATACAACATCCCGCGCGACAAATTGGTCCTGATGACAAAGGCATGGGGTGTGCTGGGCGAAGAACAGTTCATGGCATATCCCATCATGGACCAGCTGAGAACCAGCAAAGACTATATCAATCAGTTTGGTATGACGCTTCCCCTTCCCAGCTTTCCCTCCCTGTTGCTGGGACGTTCTGAAGGTGATCTCAGCTAGCATTTGTCGCGGTTCCTTCCAAAACACCTTCTGCAATCAGGTGAACAAACCACGCGACTAATCAGTCCTCCCTCTATCAGGTCTTTCACGCAAAGCCCTCATAACCGCCGTAGATGGCGCGCTTGAGCGGTTAGGCACGACATACATCGATCTCTTCTGGATTCATCGATTCGATCCATATACGCCGATCGAAGAGACAATGGAAACCTTGCATCAGCTCGTCGTCGCCGGCAAGATCCGTTATCTTGGTGCATCTAGTATGTGGACGTATCAGTTCGCCATGATGCAATTTTGCGCCGAGAAGAACGGATGGACCAAGTTCGTCGCCATGCAGAACCACTACAGTCTCCTTTACCGAGAAGAGGAGAGAGAGATGAACAAATTCTGCGCTGCCACTGGCGTCGGCATATGCCCTTGGGGTCCGCTGGCTCAGGGTCAACTCGCCCGTCCTCTCAGCCTCCGAGGCAACACCAAACGGTCTGCCGGTGGCGGCGGAGACCCCTCGAACACACGTAAGGAGGCCATTGAGATCATTCAGCGCGTTGAGCAGCTCGCCCAAAAGAAGGGCTGGACTATGAGTCAAGTCACGTTGGCCTGGACATTAAAGAGAGTCACGAGCCCCATCATTGGCTTTAGTACCGTGCAGCGAATCGAAGACGCTCTGAGTGCAAGGGGCAAACTTCTCACTCCTGAAGAGGAAGCTTTCTTGGAGGAGCCGTATACGCCGTTAGAGGTGGAAGGTCACTTCTGAAGAGCTTATGTTGAAGATAGACAAAAGCAACAATTCTGGGTAATACAGTACAAGTAGTAGGTACTTAAGTTACTAGTACTATAGTGCCCACCCCCTTAAGTTCAAATCTGTATAGATACAGTATAGACACCGTATCGAGACAGCTTTAGAGTCTCCTAGCTTTAGAGTCTCCTAAGAGTCTCTAGTAGTACTTCTCTATATAGCTTCGAGCTTTATAATAGCTTCGAGTTCTACTAGCTTCGAGTTCTACTAGCTTCGAGTTCTACTAGCTTCGAGTTCTACTAGCTTCGAGTTCTACTAGCTTCGAGTTCTA